TGTAGTATTGCTTGATATGAGATACAAATTATTTATGTGTTGGATTCCTAATCATTTTCTAATAAATCTGTAGATCGATGTGGATATTGGGTCATCATCGGTTGCAAGAAGTGTCATTGGCCTTGTTCTCGGATATGTTACAAGCTTAGTTGTTGATCTTGCCATTCTCGTTGAGGTCAGAGTCCTTATGCGATTTTCGGGGTCCAGCTGAATTGTACGGTTCAATGCTCTCGTCTCTTCTATGTACTGATTTGGGAACGCAAACAATAATGATTTTACAGGGGAAGGAAGAGGCCGAGCTGCCAGAGTTCCTCCTAGGTACTGTGAGGCTGAACAAACTGAAGCCCGAAACTGCCGAGCCTTTGGAGGTTTGATGTTTTCAATCTGTCATCAACCCCTTTGATTGTTTAGTTTGTACAGCCTGCCTAGTTAAGAGCTCACTTTCCCAAATGTGTTGTACCTTGTGTACCGGGGAAAAATTGACATCTAATCTTCAGGAAAAAATCAATCAATTCATGAGCAACATATGCATTTAGCATTCGTTGTTACTAAGAATCTCGTAGACAGAAAAACACAACTGCAAGTAACCAAATGTCATTGCATAGAGCCGGTTACTAGACCAACCTGGGTTCTTATTTCAGCTGATCATGTATTCTCAATGAGTACTATGTTTTTGTTTTTTCAATTAGTATTGAACAACATGCCCATTGGTTGCAGAGGGAGATTATTTTGTGGAAACCAACTCCAATTATGTCTTAAACTTTCTTGATTGAAACTACATGTCAATGCAAAAAAGTATTCTGCTTTATTGCTTGATTCACAATCTACTGTGTCCTTGGCCAGCCCTTTGGCTTGCCATTTAAGAAAGAAAGGTGGAGATAGTGGGATAGAAAAGGGGAATAAGTTTGTTTCATTCACACATTAGTTTCTGCACCACCTCAGTCACATCAAGTTCAATTCAATTTAGGAATGTTTTTTTTTGTTCTCTGTTTGATTGATTTGTACTACCCTTGTGCATCCTCGAAAGTAACCCTTTTCTCTTTGCCATTCGAAACCATACATACGATTCGAGGTATAGAGACGAAGTCGTCATTTGAGAACTGTGAAGTGGTGTCTTGTCCATTCTCTCTTTATCAAGGTTGTCAAACCAGTTTATATTCTTATTCCAGTTTAGCAAATGATATAGGTCCAATCAAGGTATAGTCAGTCTATATGGCGATTTATGACGGTTTTGACAAAACATGAGGAAGAAACAATTAACACAAATTGAATTGTGCATTTATATAATTTATATTGAGACAATCTATTTGTAATTTTCATCCATATTCAAATAAAATACCACATTACAAACAAAATAAGAAATTATGTTACTTTTTACCATTTTTTGAGTATCGCTTCATACCGACGGTTCCTAGCCGGTTTTTGTTCAATACCGATTGAACCTGGTTGTACCTGTCTGCAATATCAGTGGTTTGACAACCAAGCTCTTTAGCCTTTGCACTACTCTGTCAAGGCAATTCCAGACTATAAAGAAGAGGTGACGAGAGTTAATTAGGAGATTAGTGAATTAGTGTGGATGAATGAATGGTGGTGGTGGGGTTTTACCTTTAGTTGTTGCAGGCTGTGTTTGCTACTTAATAGATTGGATTTGATTAAAGGTGTTTGGATTATAATTAGGAGTAATAGGGACTCCATCAACAATATAAAGGGTCAAAAAATTCAAGACCCTACTGTCCAAATTGGTCCATGATCACTCACTTTTTTTGACTGTTTTGGGAAAAGAAAAAGGGGATAGAATTGAGAGGGAATCTTTGAGAGTGTTATTAATAGTGTTGTAGTGGATTACATTGTGAAGAAGCCTTACTCTTTTTCGACCTCAAAAGATGAAAACTCGAGAGGTTTCTTTGCTTTCATCCCTTCCAAGACCACACGCCCCCTCTCTTTTCTTTATCCACACACTATAGTTCTTTCCAAACTCTGGAAAGAATTTTTTTTTGTATTACTTGTAAAGCAAAATTCCTCCTTACAACAAGTCTTTACAAGATGCAAAATTTTCCATACTCTTTCGTAGCAAGAGTAGATTCGTAGTCTAGTCGCAATAAATTTTCAATAATATCTTGTGCTCCGCCTTTCCTTCTACTTGCCGACTTCATTTTTGTAGATCATAGCAGCTCCTAATTTGTGTCGACGGTCACATGACAACTATTTGCGACATAACGAGGAAAAAACAATACTCAAATTTTCGCATTAGAAAGACTTATTTGATATCTCTAACCAAATAACTAGAGACTCAAATCTCTGAAGCCTTCACAAATCAAAACGCTGGGACAATCTGTGCGAGGAAGGAAAAAAAAAACAAGACTTGAGTTCTGTAGTACAAAGCGTTGTGTGATACCCCGAGTACCCAATTTACTAGAGACTCAAATCTCAAGCGACGAAATAATGGGCAATTTGTGTTTGATCAAAGACACTTTTGCTTCTCATCTTGCTGTAACTTTAAGTAGAAACGAGAAGGAAAAAAAAATGGTTCTACACTAACAACAGTAACTCCTGCCAAGATCATTACCACAAATCCACAGTAACGTAAAGATGCCCACCTTGAATTGAAGAATCCTCATTAGTTTTGTGGCATCAGAATTCAGAAGCAACAGAGTGAGAAACTGCTTTATGCTCACCTCTTTTTTCTTCTATAAAGCTTGGCACACATTTAATAGCACACTCCTCTCCCTCTGTAGTTTCTTCCTATCTGACCCCTTCAATTCAATTCAAATCATTAATGGTGGTAACCAAAGTAATAATGTCTTTGGACAGTAACCAAGTAGTAGTACTAATGAGTAATGACAACTTACCAGAATATGGACAACATCCCTCTCTTTTTCTTTTTTTTTCTTTGTAGCAGCATTCATTTCATCACGAGCTCTCTCTGAAACTCTTGCAGTGAGACTCTCTTTCTCCCTCGTGATGCTATCATGTGAGTTCCGAGCACATAAATTTCGAGAGCCTCCCCTTTTCTCTTCTTCCCATGCATGAATTATGGAAGGGAAAACCTAACTTAGCAAAACACAGAGAAGCGTTTACATTCAATGTAGTGATGGATTGTAAGTGAACTGTCGGCTATAATGCATGCATGCCTATACCAAAAGAGTTGTTGTAAACTTAGTAATCTATCATGGTGAAAAAGAAACTTGTAAAGCCGGTACAATCTCAAGCTCAAGCTCGACGAGACGAGGTTCGAGTCCTTGCTGCTCTATTGACTTGCGGTTTGAGAATCGTTTATCATATGAAAAGAATAAAACTTGAACATTAGAAAGGACACATCCGAGTGATTTTACGTTGACTTATGTTAGTTCTAGATCTAGTTTATTTATCTCCAATGAAAATGAAAAAAAAGAACCCAACTGAGTTCTTGTTTCAAACTAAGTACCTAACACATGGCCACTTCAATACTAGATCAAGAGCAAAGTCAATACGACTCCAAGCTTCAAACCTTTTCCCAAGGCACATGGCTAAGCTTCCTGGTTTATCTCAAGAGGTCCTACTGTAGTTTCACCCTATCGAACCTAGAGATCCTATCCTAGTGGAACAAACTCTTAAGGGGAACTTGTTATTGGGACTCAGAAAGTAGTTGGGGAAGATGGATATACGGTTGTGTACCGAACAAATACTCCACATACCCGTAAACAAACAAAAGATCATAAAAGGATAGCATAAATGCCCTCTTTTTTGCCTAAAAAGAACAGCAGATTTATAAAAAAAGCTAAAGGCTTGTGCTGGAATCAAATTCCTCACCTTTTTCTTTTTTGCTCCCGTCTCCAAAGCGTTACCCCTTGAAGCCCACTATACTCGGCAAATTCCTCTGTTAAAATGCCTGCATTATAGACGTTATTGTTGAATCACAGTTAATTATTCTTCTTCTTCTGAGTTGCTTCCCTGGCACAAAAGGTGTTTAAGTAAAAAAGAAAGCTGATGCTAATCATAGATTAGCAGGATGGAAACAAAAGAGAGCTCCTTTAACGCATCTCTTGGCTTTACTCTGTTCCTCTATCTTTTCACTCCTTTGTCTGTTATGTGAATTTTGCTCTTGACCCAAATACGTACAAATAGATAGTCCAAAATGTGGAAAGGCACCTGATTTCCTTGCTTGCTTCCCTGCCCAGCTTCAGTCTGCTGTTGGGTAGAATCAGATTATAGAGAGAGAGAGAGAGAGAGAAGTAAAGCTCCAATTTCCACAACCAACGTTGAACACTTTCCATTCCAGAGCGGCTATGTTCATTCTTATTAAACTGTACCACAAATCAAACTGCTGAGAGGATCAATTCAAGGATTTAAATGAAATTGCACGAACACCATTCTAAATCATGATAAAAACCACGTAATAAGACTGTACCGGATTGGTTGATAGTGTGCAGTTGACTAGTCAAGATACCATTACCATCTATGAGTTCACAAGCACTGTTCTTTTTACCATTTGGTTCTGAAAGTAAATCCAACGGCTATAGTACAGCTGACAGACAAATTTTCTTGTTGCCTTTTTTCTTGCATTGACCGCCTCCCCAATAAAATGCAAAGTGTGTGAAACAGCAACACAAAGCTAAATTCTTCTTTTGATAGTCTACCATGAAGCTACTTTCATCCACAGTTTAAGGATTTGGCTAACTATACCATAAGCTTCCAGCTGGAATGCCTATTGCCACCTTCCAATTTTCATGGTGAATGTCAATCCTTACAAGACAAAGATTCCACCACCTCCAAACTCTGAAATCCCATCAACTAAATCCAAAACCGTCCGACCACTGGAGGCTAAAAAAAAAGGAAATATTGCCGTCCCTTTTATCATTCGAAGTAAAATAACAATGGATATGGAGGATTAGGTTCCTGCCCCGTAGTTATTTATTAGTTCTTTTAAAATTTAAACCACATTTTCCAAAGCTGGCAAGAAAATAATTTCTCCAGTGAAAAGCAGGAAAAAGACCCTTCAAAGATATCGGCCAAACACCAGCCCCGATTAAATAACCACTCTTCTTAATAAGGGACCCTCCTTTGCTCCCAAAAGCAGCTCAATCATATTCTCAAAACCCAACTAATCCCCATACGTCATTCCCTTTCACTGCACTCTCTCTTTTTCTCTAGTCCCCATGCATCTCTCATCCAGCACGAATAGACTCAAAATAATAAAAGCAGAGAGTGCGAAGAAGAAGAACTTACAATAAACCGACAGATTTTCTCCCTTCCCTCCACTGTGAGTCCCCATGGAGATCTTCCACCATCTCAACTTGAAATTCTTCTTCTTCGTCATCACTTCCTTGTTTTGCACATCACTCGTTCTTGGTCTTGATCCTCACTCAGAAGCCCTCCTGAGCTTAAAATCTGAGTTCACAGACCAAGACGGTAGCCTGAGTGATTGGTTAGAGCCTTCTGGAGAAACCCCACCTGAGAAAATCTATGCATGCTCATGGTCAGGAGTGAAATGCAACGATAACTCGACAAAGGTCGAGGCTTTGGACCTGTCTTCGAAGAATCTCGGAGGAAATGCATTGTCAGGGAATCAGTTTGGAATCTTCACCGACCTTGTGGATCTCAACCTCAGTTACAACTCGTTCTCCGGCCAGCTTCCAGCGGGAATCTTTAACCTTACGGGGCTAAAAAGCTTGGATATAAGCCGGAACAATTTCTCCAGCCAGTTTCCAAGTGGGATTTCCCGTCTCCAGAATCTGGTTGTGCTTGATGCATTCAGCAACAGCTTTTCAGGGCAGCTGCCCGTTGAAGTCCCCCTGCTTCAGAATCTCAAGGTTTTGAATCTCGCCGGAAGTTATTTCAGTGGACCGATCCCGGTGGAGTATGGTTCATTCAAAAGTCTCGAGTTTATCCACTTGGCGGGCAACTCACTTGATGGGGAAATCCCACCAGAGCTCGGGAAGCTTAAAACGGTGAAGCATATGGAGATAGGATACAATTCTTACCAGGGGAGTATTCCATGGGAGTTTGGTAATATGAGTGAGCTTCAGTATCTGGATATAGCAGGGGCGAATCTGACTGGCTCCATTCCAAGTCAACTCTCTAATCTAACCAAGCTTGAGTCGTTGTTCCTCTTCAGAAACCAGCTCAGCGGACCAATTCCATGGGAATTCAGCAGAATTTTGCATCTAGCAAGCTTGGATCTTTCTGATAACCAACTTTCTGGGGCCATACCTGAGAGTTTTTCAGAGCTGAAGAACTTGAAACTGCTTAGTCTCATGTATAATGACATGAATGGAAGTGTCCCAGAAGGGATCTCAAAGCTTCCTTCACTGGAAACTCTTCTCATATGGAACAATTTCTTTTCAGGTCCTCTTCCAGAGGACTTGGGAAAGAACTCAAACCTCCAATGGGTGGATGTTTCAACCAACAATTTCGTTGGTGGAATTCCAGAAGGCATTTGTGCTGGAAATGCTCTGTTCAAGTTGATCCTTTTCTCAAATAAATTCACAGGAAGCCTTGAACCATCAATCTCCAACTGCTCATCCCTCGTTCGTCTAAGGCTAGAAGACAATGCCTTCTCAGGGGAAATTCCTCTGAAGTTCAGCCAACTTCCTGAGATTACATATGTGGATCTTGCGTTGAACAATTTCACAGGTGGATTTCCCAGGGATATTTCTCAAGCTCCTAAGTTGGAGTACTTCAACATTTCGGATAATCCAGCCCTTGGAGGCACATTGCCTACGGAAATATGGTCATCACCGGTTCTCCAAAACTTATCTGCCTCAAATTGTACTATCTCGGGGGCTCTTCCACCATTTGAGTCCTGCACGTCCATTTCCTTCATCGAGTTAGGAATGAACAAGCTCCATGGAAGCATCCCTGTAAGTGTTTCAAACTGTAGAGCTCTTGTCCAAATGGATCTGTCCCATAATAATTTGAGCGGGAAAATACCGGAAAAACTTGATGATTCTTCAACTCTAGTACTTCTAAATGTATCCTTCAACGATATCTCTGGTTCGATTCCTTCCACCAACATGTTTAGAGCAATGGGTAGCAGCGCTTACGCAGGAAATCCAAAACTATGTGGAGCACCTCTCCATCCATGTTCAGGTTCGATGACGATATTTGGCGGTAGAGGAACAAGGAAGCTTACATGGGTGCTGTTATTGTCTGCGGCTGTGGTTGTATTAGTTTTGGCCCTGGCAATAGGGGTATTCTACATCAGGAGAGAAGGCAAAGGTGAATGGAAGATGATACCCTTTGCTGGACTCCCTCAATTCACTGCAAGTGATATTCTGAAGGAATTGCCTCCATCATCCGCTTCAGTTTGCCAAGCAGTGCTGCCAACAGGAATAACAGTTTCAGCTAAAAAGGTCCAGCTGGAGGCGAAGACAATGCATGCCAGCATGGAATTGATAATGCAAATTGGGAATGCGAGGCACAAGAATTTGGTAAGATTGCTTGGAGTGTGCCACAACAAGCACCTAGCTTACCTTTTGTGTGATCACTTGCCAAATGGGAGTTTGGCTGAGAAGGTGACCATGAAGAGAGATTGGGCAACCAAGTGCAAACTCATCATTGGGATTGCTAGGGGGCTTTCCTTTCTTCACCATGATTGCTACCCTGTGATTCCTCATGGAGATCTGAAGTCGAGTAATGTGGTCTTCGACGAAAACATGGAGCCTCGTTTAGCAGAATTCGGGTTCAAGTGCCTGGCAGAAATCACTAGTGGCAAGTTTCCGGCAACAGTTTCCAGGAAAGAGACAGGTAAGCTTCATACATCCCATGTTAGGACGGTATTTTATGAAAAGTCAGACAAAGCAGACCTTCAATCAAAAGTCATACAATGCAAGAATAATTTTGATTCACTCTGTGGCTTTCACCTATTATATGCTGAGTAATCACACAAGTACAATCCAAAAAGTTGTTGTTTGTCCTCTATAAACACCAGACAAGCAGACATAGTATTACAGTAAGATTCTTGTAGAACTGCCCATTAAAATCAAGAACAGCAGTATTATTTGACTTTTGGATTAGAAAGAAGTTAAAGGAGTTAGCTTAGGAGTCCCCTTGAATTGTCTTCTATATGCTTAACAGGTGAAGTCAATGGTGCCATTAAGGAGGAGCTCGACGAAGATATATATAGCTTTGGAGAGCTAATTTTAGAGATCTTGAGCAATGGTGGACTTGCTAAAGCTGGATGGGGTGCACAGAACAAGACTACAGAAGTACTCTTGAGAGAAATATGTAGTGAGAATGAATCTAGCACTTCTGATTCAACTAAAAGGGAGATAAAACAAGTTCTTGAAGTTGCTCTGCTCTGCACCAGAAGTAGATCATCTGAGAGGCCGACCATGGAAGAGGCACTGAAGCTTTTATTAATGCCAATTCCACAGAGCAAATGAATGGGGGGAAAAGCAGATGTGGAAAACTGAGTTATAGATGTTTCCATATAGGAAGATTAGCAGTAATGATAGATATATACCCGAGTTCACTAAATGATGGTGAGTATCTATTTGTGCAAAAATGTTGCTTAGTGTCCATGTAACATAATAGCTCACAGTTTGTGTATGTCAAACCGAAAATAGCGATCCTGAGAATTGTCTATTTATCCATGTGAGCCATGCAAATTGCTTTTTTTATAAGGATGATCAGAGTTTCTACATTAATGATGAACTTTCATAGCTTGATTCCTGGAATTGAAAGATGAACTCAAGCAAGTGAATCTCAAACAAAAATCAACCAGCAGAACGATGAGCAGTGTACTGTCTGAATCTAATGACAAGCTTCTTCATTCAGGGAGAAAAAAAAGTTCATTCAGGCAATTTCACAAACATGTAGAGCTCAAACCTCTATAGTGCGAGTGCAGAGCATCGACGACGCCTTCAAAGCTCTCCAACTTCCCACTCACCTCATCAACATCCACTCCCCAATCCCCAATCCCTTAGCTCCATTTGCCATCACCGGACCATGTTCTGCCACCACCATCCCAGCCGCCTACGTCTCACCGTCTTCCAGTCCACATCCAAGCTCGCTCAAGCTTTTTCAGCAACCCTTCCCCCTTCCACAGCACTCGTGATTCGTGAAAAATACAGCATCCACTTCGTCCTCCCCCACCATCGAGTCTCGCAGGTATCAACTCGGACAGGATTTCCATCCGGCGAACTCCAGCTCCCGGGGGAAATCAAATACCCACCGCCGGCCTGTGATAACGGGAAACGAAAGCAGTGACCGAGCACGGTAAATCCATCCCTGCATTCTCTAATGCTTGTCTCGCAAATGCAAAACCACACTACCTCTGCAGCAGAGGAAGTTGGGATATGAAGAGCCAGAGTCAGTCCTGTCTTTTCAAAGTCTTGAGACTGTTACAACAGTACCACATCACTGAAACTATAAATAAAAATGCCGTTTATATTCCTCTAGGATGACGTATCCCTTCGCCGAGCTTGGTAACGCGAGCTTGTGATCCAAGTGGAGGCATTATGGAGATGGGACATTGGGCCTGCTTCAAAGGTTGGGCTCCGGTTGTCGGATTTCTGGCTTGCCCGCTCCAAGCCCGGAGTTGGGCCACGGAGTCTCGGTGAAGACCGGAGGCGTCGTGGTCTCTAGAGTGGAGGGTAATGCGCTAGGCTGGCTTCACAGAGCAGCGAGCACCTCCCTCTCTAGGCAGTGGAAGGATAACAGGCCGGTGGCTCTTGGGCCCGCATAGCCTGAGGGGCTGTCCAAACTGGACCTTCTCTTTTTTAACTGGGCCACACTTTTTTAACTGGGCTCTTGGCTGCTGGATATGTCCAAACTGATCTCTTTTTGTTCTGGGCTGGCGGCTCTTGGGCCTGCCTATTGCTGTGATTTGTGAAAGTTTGGGAGCCGGAGTGGATGAAAAATAGAGAGCAGGAAATGCAAATCTTAACCATCATACTTGTTGTCTTTGCTTTGGTTCGATTAGGAATTTAAACTGTGTTTAATGACATGATTAAACATTTTTTGGGAGAAAAGTCTTTCTCCATTTCCAATAGTCTGACATTCAGTTTAAAAAGAACTCGTTCAAACATCACAATTTAGAATGCTACATAGCTGCTGCAATTTGATATCTTATGAAAATCTTAAAATAGCCTTAATTGTTTTTACGGACAACAAGAACTCTGCTTTGATCTTGGATTCATTGACCTTTTTAATTAGACAGAGCACTAGCCCTATTAGTTTAACAACAAGAGATAAAAGAGGAAGAGAGCTAACTAAGATGATTCATTACATGCTGCTGGATAGTGTACCTAATATAGTGATGCCATGCCATGCATATCCTGATACGAGGAAAGAACGCGAGAAGCATCTCCTGCAGGCTGTTAAGATCATAGCTTTCGCACTATGATGCGTCTTTCATGCTTGTACTCGATCTCGTCCCTCTGGTTCATGGCTATTAGAGCTCTTCTCACCTGTGGCCAACCATCCATCCACAGCTCCAGTAAGTCAATTTGATTCATCCAGAAACATCAAACAAGTTGAGAAAGAAACGCGAAAATATGGCTTTACTTACAATGGATTCATTCATCCCCATCCTGCTGAGATCATCGATCAATTTCCTCTCCGAAATCCTCATACCTATCCCGATCCTTCTCTTTATCTGAGCTTCAGCTTGCTGTTTCAGTGGGGATCAAGAAAACCATCAACATCCATTATTAAAAAATACATCAACTTAAAACAGCAGAATAAAAATTAAGTAGAGAATCAATGACTAGCCTAAGGGGATACCAACCTGAATCTCAGGTGTAGAAGTCACATGCTGATTAATCCCGGACTGTGCTGCCTCTATGGTGGACACCTTGAACAGGTTCACTGCTTCAACCACGTCAGCCTCTGTTGCAATCTGTGACCTGCCAACACAAGAAAAGGAAATGTATGAGAAACACGTCGAAGTTCTAAAGTGTTGAAGAGAGACTAAATGGCGCTTCGAGCGATCTCACACATACAGTTTCATTTTTGCAAGAGACTCGCTCAGCCTTACGATTGCTTCCAGTTGTCTTACTGTAATGGGCACAGCAGATGCTTCTCCTGTTTCATTGGCTTGCCTTCTCATGTCCTGAAATCAAACCCACGACAAACAACTTACCATTAGTTCTGTTTTTACTATCTTAAAAAACATAATTATGACTGCTGGTGTTATGTAAATCTACCTGTCTGAATCTAACATATTCATTTTGGAGCCTAGTGGCTGCTGACTCGGAGAGACGAGGGCGACAAGTTGAACGACAGAACTGTATGTATCTGCAAAGGATAGACGCAGTTGGGAATGAAGCCAGTCCTTGACAGAAAGATGAAATGAAGACTGATGAACACCAAATCTGTTAATCATATGATAGACTTACCTCTTGAGCCAGTTATCCTCTTTAGAAACCTTGTGGTCTGTGGCTGTTTGATCAGCAGATGCATGAACCTTTATAATATGGCTGGCAATGATCTGCAAGAGAATGAACTGAATTACTACTACTGAACAGCAACATTTCTTATTTAGCCTCTTTGAGAAGTTACAGAGAACTAAAATCAATGGCCTTATTCCCAATTACAACAAGATGTGAAGGTTTATTTAATTCAGACTGCTAAATTATTGAGAACTACCTTATCTCGCTTCATGTCTCTTCTGTCTTTCACAATGAAGATCAAGTCGAATCGAGAAAGAATCGTTGTTTGCAAATCAATGTTTTCCTGTGTAGTCTGCAAGAAAGAAACTTTTCTTAGTTGTTTGGAACAAAATCACAAATATGCATATGGAAGGCCAGAGGAAGAACAAGTTTTACTGACCTTGAGATCATCATACCGTCCTGATGGAGGATTAGCAGCAGCAAGTACTGAAGTTCTAGAATTAAGAACAGTTGTAATTCCTGCTTTTGCTATGGATATCGTTTGCTGTTCCATTGCTTCGTGAATAGACACCCTGAGCAGCAGCGTAAAAAATATTTAGAAACTGGAGGAATCATTTAAAGGAAAAAAGAGATGTTGTCATTTTGAGATACCTGTCTTCAGGCCTCATCTTGTCAAACTCATCTATGCACACAACACCTCCATCTGCTAGAACCATGGCTCCTCCTTCAAGGTAGAATTCACGCTGATTTCACATATTACAAAATTACAGTCAGATCATAATACTGCAGATATAGAAAGGAAAAAATTCCACTACTCAAAGGTCTAAGAGCTTACAGAGCTTCCATCCCGTATCACAGAAGCTGTCAGACCAGCAGCTGATGACCCTTTCCCAGAAGTATAAACAGCGATAGGAGCCGTCTTCTCAACAAACTTGAGAAACTACAAGATGCAAAAACAATCACAAAGGAAAGACTAATTGGTTAGGCTAATCCTAGCAGTCATGATAATCCCTCTGCTGTTATTTTAAAAAGTAAAATGTCAGAAGTATAGAATAGAACAAACCTGTGATTTAGCAGTGGACGGGTCTCCCAGTAGCAACACATTGATGTCACCTCTTAACTTCACCCCATCTGGCAGGTTCTGTATCAGTGAAGCAATTGGTTACAACAATGATAAGTGCTGCATAACAGCATAAGTATCAATAGACAAACGTTTGAATGGCCATACCTTCCTTGAACCTCCAAATAGAAGGCAAGCCACAGCTTTCTTCACATTTTCTTCCCCAAATATAGATGGAGAAATCTTAGCGCATATGGCTTCGTAAACATCCGTTCTGGAGGCAAACCTTCTAAATTCTTCTTCCTGTGGGTTATATGATTGATTTCAGTCGATTTAAACGTTTGAAGCAATTGAATTATTATAGAATACCCTAATGAACAATACTTAGAAGATGCATGTATAGGTCATTTAGCGAGGAGAAGACCACTACAACACGTGGTATGAAATGAGGACAAACTTAAGGATGTCCCTTTTTGATCATTTTAGCAAGCAAATCAGTTTTCATTGTCCTAACCCTCAGATACTCAAATGATAACCAGCTAGCAGCAAAGTATTACCCTCTAGGCTTAACAGTCATACCTCATAGATGAGAGCAAGAGGCGAAAGGGTAACACTACTTATGCACAAAGATGGAACAGTTATAGCAATAGGTAAATTTGATAATGCGAATGTACTTGAAATTTCCACGACATACCTCTTCTTGTGTGAAGGACGCATGACCACGACTACTGGCTTCATTGGCTTCTTCCATCCCCACAACCCTTATATAAGGCTGCCTCACTGCAACAGCTCCTCTATTGCTGCACACCAGCAAATCATTAGCCCACAGATCTCAAATATCCAATACACAATAGATATAAGACACTCATCCACATGTGCTTGGGTCTTACTTATTTGATGAATTGGCTGCCTGAAAAATGCTGTAGATTCCAATGATTGTCAGCCTCGTCCCTGGTACTATTCTTTGAACTAAGTGACGATCCAAAGAAAGTAGCATGTTTCTGGGAAGCTCTCCAGTGGGGACATCCTTCATTATCAGCATTATAAAACATCAATTACAAAAGTAAGACACAAACTACCAGAAACCATCATGAGATAATTAATTCAATCACATTACCTCAGGATTCTCTTGCAATTTCAGTGTCTGCTGATCAACATATCTACTTTTGTCAGGAACTATTATCCAAGGATCAATGGGGCACGCTTCTTCACCAGGCTACACACATATGCAACAGATGAATTAAAACCCCAGCGAACAAAACCAGAGATGCAACGAACATGGCTTGAAGAGATCGAGACAAGAAACCTGAGGAGCGTGGTCACAAGAACGTGGCATTACAGCACCTCCAAGCCCTGGACGACAAGGAACTTCCTTTGTACTCTGACAGTTCTTGCACACCAGACTAACATATGTGGCTTTTGCCTTAACTCGTGAAGCAGCAATGGTGATTCCAGATATCTTGACCAGCTTGGAAATGTAATCGGCCTGCAAAACCAACAACATTAACTTTTCAGTTAAACATTGCAGAACCAAACTACAAATTAATCTAAGTTCTCATCCATTCAACTAACCCCTAGGGCTCTCATGGAAACAGGATCTTCCTTCGAACTCAGTAGTATCTGAACCTCCCCGGTCTCCGGCTCCTTCATTTCCCCATCATCGGTTAGCTTCTTCAATCTCAACCCCTGCAGCACCTCCGCCGCCGCCGTCTCGAACTACAGAAAAAAATTAGGTCAAAACAAATCCCTAAAATCAAACCAGTACGGGACAGAAATTCGAAGGGCGAAATGACCCAGATTCTCAATCGCGTTTCTCTAATTCGAGCGTACCAGAGGGAGGTTATCGGCGGGAGAGGAACGGAGGAGCGATGGAAGCTCGGCATCAAAGGCGAGCAGATCTTCGAGGTGGACGAGGAGAGACTTGGAGTTGTGAACCAGACTCTCTCTGTACGGGAACACGTTCTTGTCGGTCTCGAAGTTTCTGATGAACTCCTTCAACTTCCGGAGGATAGTGTGGCGGCTGAGTCCGCCACCGCCACCATCGGCGCCGGATTCGGGGAACTGCGCTTGGTCGCTGTAGTAGACGGCTCCTTCGTCCCATCCCGACATCTCTCTAGATGATCTCTCACCTTCGCCGCCGGGAAATAGGATACTGCTCACCGAGAAATCACTCTTTCTGCTGTTGTTTTGTTTTCACCGACTGAAATGAGAGCGGAGGGAGGCAATGGACTGGAAAGGGCGGGTAATAGAGGGAACGGCGGGTTATGTTGGCGGGAACTCTTGGCGGGAAATGTGGCACACGTTTCCCTTCACACGTGCGAGAATTTTTTTTCCTTTTTCGTTTTACAGTATGCAAGTCGGATTCTTTTTCCCCCTCTCGGCCTCCTCAGCAATTCCGGCGGGGATTCCGCTCCGTCGCGGCAGGGTTAAATTCCGCCGCCGACTGTAGCTATCGCCACTCCGACGACGAGTCCGCCGAATTCGCCCAATCACCTCGTCACATTCTGCCTGATTCACCTAATTCCACCGGAGATTCTGGTTTATCGACCAGTTTAGAGGCGGCGATTCAGCCCCTTCTGTTCTATTGGTTCGAATCTCTTCACCCAGTTTGCGGTTTTGGGATTTCAGGATAGCAGCTTCCGTTCACCTCAGCAGCATCCATCATATTGCCTATTGTGATCAGATCCCGGCCGATTCAGTCTGATTGATTAGGTATAAAAATATTTTCTGATGACTTCCCGTTATCACCATTGATCAAATTGCCGACTTTGTTTGCCAACCCAACTGCAGTAAGTTCATGTGCATCATCATTAAGTGGCTTTTACTGTTACTGCTGCACTGCTCCTATTTCTCTGCTGTTCAATATTCATGGCCGATTATTATATTGTACATGTTAATTCACTTCCCCATTGTTGCCACTTTCGGTTTGTCCTCGGTGTTCTTGGCTTTCATTTCGGCATTCATTATGGAGGACAAAGTTGCTCCCATATAAGGTTCTCTTATGTTTTTGAGCTGCACACTAATAGCAGGAAAACAAACCTCTAGTTCTTATTGGCGTCTTATTTAGTTACAAGTAGTAGTAGGATATTTTCACTGATACGGATTCATAGTGTTCAGATGATGTGCTTCTGCTGGTTTACTTGTTGAGCCAGTTGACAGGGACAAGTAGGAGAGGCTCCTTTCTGGCCAAAGTCAGACTGACGCCACTCTTCTCTTCCATGGTTACATCTTCGGGATTCATCCCATTTGGCAATTTCCAGTCGAAACGGTAGAGCAGATTCGCCAGTGCAATTTCCACAGTGATGATTCCCATGTTTATTGCAGGACAGATTCTGCGACCAGCTCCAAATGGCAGGTACTCGAAATCGTGTCCTTTGAAATCCAGGGAGCTGTCTGCAAATCTTTCAGGGATGAACTTATCAGCATTCTTCCAGTAGTTTGGATCCCGTCCCATCCCCCAGGCATTGACGTGGATCAATGTCTTGGGAGGAACATCGTATCCGCAGATTTTCAAGTGGGATGATGCTTCTCTCGGGAGCAGAAGAGGGGCTGGTGGATGGAGTCTCAGAGTTTCTTTGATTACCAGTTTCAAGTATTCCAAGTTTTCAATTTCATCTTCAGTTACCCTGCCTTTCTCTCCAACTATGTCCCTGACTTCATCTTGTGCTTTCTTCATCAATTTGGGATTTGCCACCAGCTCTGCCATTGCCCAGCTCACAGTCAATGCAGCAGTGTCAGTTCCACCTATGAACAGGTTCTGATTGGCAAGTAAAGTTAGTGTCTGAAGGTGGAAAAGAGTTAAATTTTGGTGGAAATGAAGTATATATTGGGGAGGATTACCAGCAAAACTGCCTTGATGTTCTCTCTTCTGAACTGAGATTTGCTACCGAGTAGTTGAGTTTGTTCTTTCTCGATTGCCAGCAGCATATCGATCATGTCTTCTTCAGTTCCTTCCCTTCCAGGCTTGAGGTGTTCATCAATGACATGCTGGAAGAAAGTGTCGAGCTCATGAAAAACTCTTTCAATCCTTGCTTCGTGGCCACTGAGTTTGTCAACAATCCAACCAACTGCTCGAGGGAAACCCTCCTTCCCCGATATGGTTCCCATAACAACCTCAGCTTCATGAACCACTTCATGAAACCTGCCTTTGTCGAAGTCGCTCCCATGGTAATTGAACCCAAATGACATCCTGAAAGTTATGTTTGCTGTGAGAGAGTAACACTTCTCAGTGAGATCAACGGTGGAGGCAGTTGCTGATGTTTCAGAGATGGAGTCGATCAGCAGGCCAACTTCTTCCTCCCGAACAAACCGAAACGCCTTCACCCTCTTTATGCTGAAGAGCTCGAGTATAATCATTTTTCTCATGAACCTCCAGTTGTCTCCATAAGGTGAGAAAGCCACGTCCAGATAGTTATATGTCAGTCTCCTAGTTCCAGCCAGGGGTGGCCGGCTGCAACTGGCAAGGTCATGAACTTTCAGCACTTCTTTGGCCGCTTCAGGTGAGGAGATAATCACGGCAGGTATCCGGCCGAAGTGGAACTGCATAACATGGCCGTATTTCTTGGCAAGTTGCCAGAGTGACTGGTGCGGCAAAGCACCAAGCTGATACAAGTTGCCAAGTATTGGAAGTTTAGGAGGACCTGGTGGGATCTGTTGCTGCAGGTTGCTGTTCTTTCTTCCTGATAATGAGTTGATCTTGTTCCTGAGGATGAGAACCACAAGGGCAAGAAATAAGAGAACAAGGAGCCATATGACTGGGAAATCATTTAGAGCCATTAGTGGGTTGAGAATGGTGCAATTTCTCCTTGAGATGCAGTCCTTAAGTGGCAGGTGCTAGAGAGTTGCGTAAAGGATTTGGGTTTCTTCTGTCATGTCAAAGATTGGAGTACCAACTTTCGGTCGCTTTCTTCGGTCCAAATTTATTCATAGCCGAATGTTTGTGATTATATTGAGGACCAAGCAAACCAGCGGTGCAGACCGCAACCCAAGGCCTTCCACAAATTAGGAGTTTTGGCAAATACTCAAGCCACCATGGATTCTTCTGGCTTTAACCGAAGCCCAGCCAAACTCTGCCTACATCTGTCTAATTCTTGTGCTTGTTGCTATGTGATGTCTGCTGTTTATGTTTTACATAAAGCAAAATCGGCGTATTATGTCTTTCTCGTGCAATGTTTAACGTAAGAGACAACGTCAGAGAGAAGAGATGACAGATTGCTAACATGATTCAATAAAGAAGGTAAGTGTCTCTTTCCATTTTTAGATTGCCAGTATCGTGTTGCGCCGATAGATCTGGGGATAAGCATTGCTTAGTAGGTAAAGTTGATAAAGGTATTGTCATAGTGTGGAAAGTAAAATTTGAAAGTAGTAAATACGATCTATTATACAATTGACAGTAGTGATCTTTTCCTTTTTATGTCTCGTCATCTGCAACTTCGTTCTCTTAGGTGTGTGCTTCAGAAGAAGCATTCTGTTTTTGTGGGTTATGTTTGTATGAATCAGGTGGTTCCTTAGATTGAGTTATGTGCTTGGAATTTGGATGACAGTTCGAGGCAAAGGTTGATATATTAGGTGCTTGTGGTCTGGATTACTTGAGATGGTTCCTTAGATTGAGTTATGTGCTTTGTGGCTTGGAATATAGATGACAGTTCCAGACAAAGGGTGATATATTAGGTGCTTGTGGTCTGGATTACTTGAGATGGACATGATTCTGCTTTGGTTTTGCTGCTCTCTCTGTAGTAGGTTACATTTCTCCCAACTTGTACCTGCTTTGAATGTTTCCTGTTTGCTACTATCTCCACTGATTCACTCCTATTCTATGATTCTTGTAGCCTGCCTGCCTCCTGCTTGAACCGCTCTTCGCTCCATAATGAACTGCAGGTCTCCATTTTCAAGACACAGAAAGACCGATGATTCCCTAGATGGTCAGGACCGACCGTCAGGATGATACTGAAACTGTCGAGGAAATGGCTATGGTAGCTGGAGGCAAACAACACAAGAAAAATTGGCATCCACGGTCCACCATTGATAGAAACTGCATGTCGATGCATATGTTAGTACCTTCAAATAATGTTTATGGTTATGAAACCGTGTAACGAAGAACATCTCACTGGCCACAGGCTGTGGATGATAGGTTGGATAGAAAGCCTTTTAGCTCTACTTGGTGCAGTCTCAAACATCTGTATAGAATGAACCTACCACTCTTTCTGTACACATCCTTGATCTTACTTTGCTGCTATGTTCGATCTTATGAATGTCTTCAGTGTTCAGGGGCTCTTTTATGTTCTCTCGTGAAAAACAAGTGTTCGTCTAATGACTTAGCACCTGATTATTCAATAATAATGACAGCATATGCAAGCCTCGTTCATTCACTTCGACTGTAAATCCATTTTGCTTAAGCAACAGTTTCAACACCTGCGGCCTGGCGATGCCACGGGCTCCATTTTCTTGTTACCTGTGTTTATGTTTTACCCAGAATATGATCGATGTGTTCTCTCCTTATTAAAGTTTAGTCTCTCGTGACTCACTCAAATGTAAGAAAGGTAGTTTTATATGTTAGATACAACAGATAAAATAACGATAAGGTAAAATATGACGTTAAAGAGAAGAGATGACTTCAAGATGGAGATTGTTAACCTGATTCTAAAGAGAAGTTAAGCTCTTTTTTTCATCATATTTTAAAGATTACTCTATGAACGACATCGATTAGTAAGTTAAGTTCACAAAATATAGTTTAGCACTAAAAGCGAAATTTGAAAATAATAATACAATCGATATACTATGTTTTTCTCGTCAATTTTAATGTAAGTTTGTGTTCATATATATTCCTCTTGTATCATGTACAATGCAAGAGGTAATATGGCCAATTTAAGAGAGCTACTAAACATCATCAAATTGCAGTTCAATTGAGGAGAGCTACTAAAGTGAGTGTTTTAAATTCGAGTTCATTTTGATGGTTCAGTTTGTAGTTTTGGAAAAATTTAGTGTTTCAACATAAGCCAAATAAGAAATTGATGGCGAAAATGATATTAAGCTAAAAAGGTTGGGCCTAAAGCCACAGGCCATTGGAGTGAATAAGGAAAAAAGGAGCCCCATTTCAAATTTTCTGCAACGAGAGTGAAAGTAGGAAGGACATTTTGGTCTTCACAATTACTTTTTTTTATTCATTAAAAACACATGTATTAGGATTCGAACCATGATCATTTTAAAGAAAAACAAGAATCATAACCAATCACACTAAGTACATTTGTTGTATCTATTTAAATTAAAAGCATATAATAGCAGGGAGGAAAAAACTCTTCCCCCATTTCAAATTTCCTGCTCCATGAGCGTTTGTAGGAAGAGTAGAATAGGTAATATCAATTTTTTTCTCTTTCCTCTGTGGAACGGGCCAACTTACCGTACACATGCGGGTTTAAACGGGTCCAGAAGTGTCAATTTTTTTCTTTAAGCTCTTTTATTTCTCCGTGGTGATAAAATATATATGAAAAGGCAAAAACAATACTCCTTTTTATTGCTAAAAATAAAAAATTTAACAATAAACTAATGCATGGTATCTAATGGGCTAACCGCTAACCATAAAATAAAAGAGTTGAATGGGTCTGACCTACACGAGATTTGGCCATCAAGTAAAACAAATGAACATCATTGGTTTGCCATTCTAAAAGCATTTGTAGGAAGGGTAGAATAGGGAGTGTCAAAATTTTTCTCTTTCCTCTGTGGAACTGGCCAACTTATCGTACACATGCGGATTTAAACTGGTCCAGAAGTGTCAATTTTTTTCTTTAAGCTCTTTTATTTCTCCATTGTGATAAAATATATATGAAAAGGCAAAAACAATACTCTTTTTTATTGCTAAAAATAAAAAATTTAACAATAAACTAATGCATGGTATCTTATGGGTTAACCACTAACCATAAAATAAAAGAGTTGAATGGGCCTGACCTACATGGGATTCGGCCATCAAGTAAAACAAATGAACATCATTGGTTTGTCATTCTAAAAGCGTTTGTAGGAAGGGTAGAATAGAGAGTGTCATTTTTTTTTCTCTTTCCTCTATGGAACGGGCCAACTTACTGTACACATGCGGATTTAAACGGGTCCAGGAGTGTCAATTTTTTTATTTAAGCTCTTTTATTTCTCCGTGGTGATAAAATATATATATGAAAAGGCAAAAACAATACTCTTTTTTATTTCTAAAAATAAAAAAAATTTACGCATGGTATCCAATGGGCTAACCGCTAACCATAAAATAAAAAAGTTGAATGGGCCTGACCTACACGGGATTTGGCCATCAAGTAAAACAAATGAACATCATTGGTTTTCCATTCTAAAACAAGCTATTTTCTCTGGCATAAAATATATTATGCTATTATTTTATATCTTAGTGGCTAAAATATAATGTATTTTAAAGTTATTCAATGGTTCAACCTCGACCAACCCAATTAGTCCAATTTTTATAATTTCAAATATATATTATATAATTATTTGATATCATAATGATCAAATTATAGTGTATTTTACAGGGAATCGTTTGGTATTTGTTAGTAAAAAACTAAACAGAAAGATCCATTTGGTTATTCTAAACATTAAAACGATCCTAAACATTTTCAGTTCCTTTTGAATTTCTATGGTTTTATTTCCGAATAAGTGATGTGCAAATGGCGAATTACAGTCATCTTTTTTCTTTCACTATTTTTTATTTTCAAATAGGATGTTTAAAATTAAAGAATAATAAGAATTTGGCATGGGTCAGTCAAACATGCTGAATTTCAAGTTTTGGCCCGTTTTGATCAAGTCTAATTTATAATCACAAGGTTCCCTGATACTCAATAAAAATCTCAATCCAAACCAGTTTGGCAGGTGAGTCCGTGTTTACCACCATTTTCTAGGGATACGACAACGGCGGTTCCTAACCCAAATCGTGTTGTTCGCTCTTGATTTTCTTAGATTTTATCATTGTCCGACAAAAATCAGAAAGCACAATGGCGACAAGATGAAAGTTTTATAAAGCAAATTAATCGGTCAACGGGCCGAGTAAAACCTAGCAACGATTGTGAGATGCTCATTTCCCGAAAACTAACGAGATAGGCGATTTTTTATTCGATTTTCTAGAATTCGGTTTCTATAAAATTACTCCACCTCATCGTATTACCATAAACAATATTGTTTCACAAGGTAACAGGTACTTGATTTTGGTTCATAAGGCCGATTTTTGATTCGTTTCATCATTCATGTCTCTTTCCTGCTAAAATTCATTATTTTTATCACGTGTTTCCCAAAAAAAACTATACAACAATAAGCTATACACCCCATTACATTATCAAATTTCATACCTCAGCTTCTTCCTGCCAACTGGCCGGGACCACACTAGTACTTTATATAAAATGATCAAACTGGGAGTCGGAATTTTTTACATAATTAATTCCGTATCACAAGTATTGGTCGAATTATTTTACATAATTAATTCTTAACTTTTTCCATCCCAATTCCCAACCGAGTAACTGACCGGTTAAGAATTTATATTACTACTAGCTTTGTTCCCGGCCTGTTGGCGGGGTGAGTTTCGCGTTTTATCTTATCGATTAAGTAATCTACACATAATATAATACACTGAAGGGAAAAACCGGAGCCCCATTTCAAATTTCCTGCAACGAGAGTGAAAGTAGGAAGGACATTTTGGTCTTCACAATTACTTTTTTTTATTCATTAAAAAAGTATGTACTGGGATTCGAACCATGACCATTTTAAAGAAAGGCAAGGATCATAACCAATCACACTAAGTACATTTGTTGTATTCTTTTAAATTAAAAACATATAATAGCAGGGTGGAAAAAACTCTTCCCCCATTTCAAATTTCCTGTTCCATGAGCGTTTGTAGGAAGGGTAAAATAGGGAGTGTCAATTTTTTTCTCTTTCCTCTATGGAACGGGCCAACTTACCGTACACATGCGGATTTAAACGAGTCCAGGAGTGTCAATTTTTTTCTTTATACCCTTTTATTTATCCGTGGTGATAAAATATATATGAAAAGGCAAAAATAATACTCCTTTTTATTGTTAAAAATAAAAAATTTAACAATAGACTAATGCATGGTATCTAATGGGCTAACCGCTAACCATAAAATAAAAGAGTTGAATGGGCCTGATCTACATGGGATTTGGTCATCAAGTAAAACAAATGAACATCATGGGTTTGCCATTCTAAAACAAGCTATTTTCTCTGGCATAATATATATTATGCTATTATTTTATATCTTAGTGGCTAAAATATAATGTATTTTAAAGTTATTCAATGGTTCAACCTCGACCAACCCAATTAGTCCAATTTTTATCATTTCAAATATATATTTTATAATTATTTGACATCATAATGATCAAATTATAGTGTATTTTATAGGGAATCGTTTGGTATTTGTTAGTAAAAAACTAAACATAAAAATCTATTTGGTTATTTTAAACATTAAAACGATCCTCAACATTTTCAGTTCCTTTTGAATTTATATGGTTTTATTCCCGAATAAGTGATGTGCAAATGGTGAATTGTAGTCGTCTTTTTTCTTTCACTATTTTTTTATTTTCAAATAGAAAGTTTAAAAGTAAAGAATAATTAGAATTTGGCATGGGTCGGTCAAACAGGTTGAATTTCAAGTTTTGGCCCATTTGTTTTATGCATTGCAAATTTATTAGCATGTTGATGGAAATGGCTTGGAAAAAAGACATATAAGTTGTATCTTTGCAGAAATGTTCTCAAATGTTTGAATGCTTTGAATCAGGTTCTGTGACTTTTGTGATAGTGTATGTGCTTGACGATTGCTCGATGTTGTAACTTCTTAATTTAAGAGTAAATCTTTTGACTTTCCCTATGAGTTGTGATACCAGTTCTAGTGGTTGCAGCATGTTGTCGTTGTTGGCCTGTAAAAGTTGTTCCGCCGTGATGCTAAATACCTTTCCTTCTTTTTTAACAAATTGTGTAGTAGTGCTATGAAACAGACCACCCATGAACGCTACGCTTATTATGTTCTGTTCTTACTTCCGGTGGTGAGAAATTGTGAATTGAGAATCATATTCGCCTACCGCACTGTGTCTGGTTGGTGGCTGCTTACTGTGCTCTCTAGAGTTATGAAACAGACTACCCATGAACTTTACCCTTAAGAGTTCACAACTTTGCGAAAAACCAAATATAGGCAATCAAAGGTGGTGGATGTGTGATAATTTTTTATGGCTTAATTGTTTGTGAATTAGATATCTGATCTTTGTATGATTAGGGGGATGTTTGCTTAATAGAATAATCCATTTTAATTCATGTTTATTTTTAACATGAACTTTAGTAACTCAAAACCTTCGAGACACATATCACCTACTGCATTGTATCATTTTGCCTGGGTGCTTGCTGTGTTGTCAAACTTCTTTGCTGCTGATGCATTTACACTAACAGGGGAGTTAAGAAACCCATGAATGTTTCCGTTTGACACAAACAAGAGGACTTACTTCTAAATCGTGCACTAAAGATGATTGGAGGAAACATCTCTGTTGCAGTTGATACACTGGAGACCATAACAAAAGCAACGTATAACATCAAAACCAACCATCTGAACTATTAGCATTGTTGCTTTACTCTTTTTTCGTGGTTGAGTCTCCTTCAAAAAATTTAGTTTGATTTTAGAAAATTTTGCTTCTGCAGTCCTGTCTTGCCACCAACGCGTTCAGTAGATGGAGATGGCAGAGGCGAAGGCTATTTTGTGTTGTTGTTGCTGGTTTAGGGATCGGTTTGTGAAGAAGAGGGAGAAGAGAGGGGGAAAGTGAAATGCATGAGAGGGGGATAACTCTTTTCTCCGACAAAATGGAGTGAAGAAAGGAATTATGATCAGTAAGGATATGGTTATCTTACATAACTGTGTCTATTCTGTTTGAATTGAGCTTGGGAGGTAGTGATAAGGACGAGCTGCAACCAATTCATAGTGATAAGAGTGCTATGAACTGTGATCATGTCTTATTTCAAGTTAGAAGGTAGTTTCAGTATAAGGATTATTTAATTTGACAAGTTGTTTCGTCCATGATTCTTGGTAGTTTCAGTGCCATTCTAGCCATTGTTTAGTCTGTAATTTTTGAGAATTGATGTGCGAGTAATGACTTTCACTTAGCTTCAACTATTATGTGTGTATTTATTGGCATGTGATAGAATTCTCTTTTCCTTTTCTTTGAATTCAGTTTCATACTCTAATTGTATCATTTGTACATAGGCAAATCATGCTCGAGATGACAACTCGCTGATATGGCTGGTGCAAGGAATGAAGCCATCATTAAAATTCAGACCGACAACGGGGAGGGATGCCCAGGACTAATTCAATGATGATTGATGATGGTATGATAAAAACTGCAGTCTGCATCAGCACCAATTTCTAGGCCTAAGTAAAGTTATTCAACCCAGAACTCTGTTTAGCGCTAAAAATTGCCCTCACCCAACCTTTATCCTGTTTGACCCACTTCTGAAGAGTCAAGATATATTACTAATTCTCTCCGTTCGTATTTTCTTATTGGCTCTTTCTGACCCTTTAGGTTGGGGCGGGTCGGGAAGAATCAGATTAGTGGGCCGGTCCTAATCAAGTGGAATCCCAATCCCTTCACTCTCACTTGCTTTCTCTCGCATTCCACAAGTGGGTAACATACAGTAATCCGGCCAACGGGCCGGGTAATAAGCTAGTTCATTGTTATGCTTAAACCCTTTTACATCATTTATGTTTTCACGCAATTCATTTCAAGAACGTATTTGTGGTCTCTCAATACAGATTTATGAATCATAATTAAGAAATTGTTTATTTATCAATTGAGCAGTCTACATTCATTCAATGATTTTTAGTCTTTACTTAAACAATGTATACTTTTAAGCTGGCATCTATTTTTTAATTGATGAATATGGATTTTCAGTTAAGCCTGTCATACACACAACACATGTTCATCTATTTTCGAGGGGAAATTTTAGTTTAATATTATCTGTGAAATTTTGGGGATTGGCCAAGTGTTGAGAGTTTGATTGAGAATTTTTTTCCCTTCATTGAATCAGTTGCTTTTATTGTTTAGAAAGACCGATACAACGAAGTGGAATCACAACGGATCCACACAATACAACGCTTCTACCCTTTTTGCCTATCTGTTACTACTTACATTAAAAGTCAAATAAAATTTATAAGTAGCCGAGCTCTGCAAGTGCATCTTAGTTCAAATAATCAAATTATTTTTAAAAAAGTTTTTAAGAAATGAGTTAAAATTACATTTAAAAAAGCTTAGAAAATTTAAAATATTTTAAAAGTAACAATAAATGGATTAATATAAATGAGAAATGAATTGCCCAAAATTGTTTTTGCTCGGAGTTCTTTTATAGTAAGAACTCTAATTGGAAATTATCTTATTGTATTATTAAACATGACAGGAATATATATATAGGTAGTTCCCTTACTTCCACAACAAGACAAATTAATTTGGCACTTTACCAAAAACGGAACTTATTCGGTAAAAACAGGTTATCATCTTGCCCTGGATAATATTTTAAATCTTAGCCAAAAATCGATGGCCTCCATCATTGACCCTCCTATTTGGAAAGGAATGTGGGCTCTTGATGTTCCACCAAAGCTTAAGTTCTTTATATGGCAATGTCTGAAAGTTATTTTGCCAACTACGACGGCTCTTAGGTCCCGAGGAATTAACTGTCAAGTTCGTTGTCCGGTTTGTTGGGATAGTCAAGAGACTATTGAACACCTTTTTTTCCATTGTCCTCCTGCTCTTCACCTCTGGAATATGGTGGGATTAAACAATTTACTTCTCTCCGCCCCAATCGAAAACTTCGGTATCTGGTGGCGACATGTTATGAAAACGGAAAACTTCCAAATCCACTATCTCCCCTGCATTTGCCTTCTTTGGAGAATTTGGAAATCTAGAAATAAAGTGGTCTTTGAATTTACTCAACCACTAGCCACCTCGCTTGCCCGCCAATTTTTCTTCCAAGTCCAAGAATATGCTTCAGTGTTTTCCCTCCCCCAGATCTTGTCTCCCCGCCCTCAGCCCTCTCGCATCTCCAGTTGGCTTGGTCCTCCCGACGGTTTTATCAAGATCAATTTCGATGCCGCTGTTCGTGTTCCGGGTTGCTCGTCAGGTCTCGTCGTTCGAGGATCAGAGGGGCAAGTTTTTTTGGCCTTGGGATTCCACCATCCAGGAGTCTCGGATCCCTATCTTGCAGAACTGATGGCCGCCAGAGACGCCATCTCTTTAGTTCACTCTCGCAGTCTTCCTCTGGCCATCATTGAAGGTGATTCTGAAGTAGTTATCCGGCAACTTGATGGTAGATGCTGTGAAGACTCGGTGGGCGGGCCTTTGCTTCGTGATTGTTTCCAGTTATTGAGCTCTTGTTCTTCTTGTATTCGCTTTTGCTCGGTCCCGAGGACTGTCAACTGGGCTGCCCATAGAGTGGCAAGACAAGCCCTGCTGCTGTCCCCTGTAGAGATAGCGTCCTTCGATTTTGTAGGGTGGCTTCATTAATTGTCTTTTTGGGGTTTTAGGTAGAAGATTTAACTATTGTACTTTGGCATTACTTGGAAAAAAAAAAAGAATATATATATAGATAGTAGCTTTAATTGAGAAGCCGTTTTAGTGGAAGGCTTTTTTAAGGGAAGGAGGCCGTTTTGGAGGAGAACGGGAATAATAAATTTAAAGAAAAAAATTACAGTTCCGAAAGTTGCGGTCGTTGGTTTAAGGCTGACGTGGAGGGGGCTTTATTTTCAAAGCCTTTTAATATATTTAAAGATAAAGAAAGAAGATTTTATTTTTCCGCAAAAAAGGAAAAAGAAAACAGAAATTACTATTTTATTTTTCTTCAAATATTCGGTGCCTCACTGTCGGATTCCCTCTCCCCTTTTACCGAGTCAGTTACCTAATCAATAACGATTTGTTACCTTGGTGTTAATAAAATAATAATTCAATTGTTAGGGTTATACGGATATCTATATATAGATTCAGAGATTTACATATTCCTTGCTCACAGATCAAACTTGAGACGAAACTGCTCGACCTAGCTACGTCTCTCAAACCCCTACAACGCTCCAAACCCTAATCAAGGTTAGTGTCAGCAATCATTGTTTCTCATTATACTCTTTGGTTAGTTTTCTGTATCACGAAAGTAAGATAAGTGGATTGTTTGTTTCTCGGCCGATGATCGCCATTACGACGAGATCTGGTTATAATTTAGTTTCGGAGCTATGTTTTTTTGTTCCTCAATCGGCTGAATTTATGTACGAGCTTATGGTATTTAAGGTTTGGAGTTGTTTACCATGCTTTATGTTGGATTAAGTCGATGGATCAACGTTTCATAGTAAGTATTAGGTTTATATGGATTTGTTGGGTAGCATAATAAGTAAAATAGTAATATGTGTTAGAACCGGTTTCGTCCCGCTTTATGTTTGTGATTGTTATAGAAAATATCAGAATTGGTTGTGCATTTGATTTGCTTACAAGATTAGTTTTTGCAGTAGGGAGGAAGAGTCTCGTGATAAAAAAGGAGGGAGAATGGAGGCAGGTGGAGTGAAGAACGCGACGGTGATTAAGGTGATCGGGAGGACAGGGTCGCGAGGGCAGGTGACCCAAGTGAGAGTCGAATTCATTGACAACACCAAGCGGCAGATCACTAGGAACGTCAAAGGCCCTGTTCGGGTCGGCGACGTCATCACTCTCCTTGAAACTGAGAGGGAGGCCAGGAGGCTCCGCTAGAAACTAGCTACTTTAAACCCTACTTCATGTCCTCTCTTCTGCCCGGTGTTTTTATAGAGTTATTCGGATTCCAAGTTTGTTTTATGCTCTTCTTATGGGAGATTGTTTGATGGTTTCGTTGGTAATAATAGCATAAAGTAACGTGATTTTGATAATCTGATTTGTTTTAAAAGGATTTTTTATCGTAATCATATGGCAATAAACAAGAAAGCGTGTGAATTACAAGTCATTAGTAACAACAGCATCAAGCAGCAACCCTGAAAGTAGGGGTGTGCAATGGTCCGGTCCGTACCGGACCACACCGGACCAAACCGTTGTTAAGACCGGACCGGACCAGACCGAGTAAAATACGGTCCGGTCCTTGGTCCTAATGAATTTTATAATTACTGAAGAAATGGTGGACCGAGCTCATATTTGGACCGGACCGAACCGGACCAAATGGACCGAATGCAAGAATGGTCCGGTCCTTGGTCCTAACATGTCTTTCACTAATGGACCGCGGTTCTCATGAGTTTGGTCCGGTCCGGACCGAACCGAACCGTTGCACACCCCTACCTGAAAGATAATTATCCTTCTGATACAATCGAGCACAGGGGCGGAGCTACATTGTAACTAGGGTGGCCCCGGCCCCCGGGATTGGTCCTGGCTCCTAGGTCTGCGTGGATATTTAGTACAAATTTTATAAGTAGAGCTTTTTCTGTAAATTTTATCATGTAATAGTTATGTGGTCTAATGGTAGTCAAGCTTAACTTATTTCACAAAGCACATGGATTCAATCCACATTGGTTACATAATTTTTTTTTAATTATTTTCGACCCCCTCAATCTCGAAATTCTAGTAATTTGTAATAATGTCCGTTTGTAATAAAGATTGTTACTAACACAAGACTAATTTGATCAATGCTAATCTTATTTTGCAAAATGAAATTTGAAGATGCAAGATTAAATATTTTTTTTAAGGAAAAATGCAAGACTAAAGATAAATAATAAATAAAAATCGTCAAAATTTTGATATATCAAAAATTATATTTGAGTCATGAGATGTTTAAAATAAAGTCAAGATTATTAGTATGAGTGATTCTAATATGATATGAGTCGGATTGTAAGATGCATTATTATAGAATCAAATTGAAAATGGATATAATGACAACCAAATACTATAAACTGAGAATTGGACTCTGCTTTACAATTAAACATGGATCAATATAAAATTAATCAAAAAAATTCATTTATATAAGAAAATAAGTATTACATTTTACATTCTTTGAGAAGATAAAAACAAATAAAATTTATAATTAATTGTTATTTTTTTCCAAGTTCCACATCTAAATTCTTCCCACGAGGCATGGGCTACAAGAATCTACCCAACCATCCTCATGAATGAGGAAACTCTTCAAAATGAGAACTAAACAAATATTAAAGCATAAAAATTAAAATTAAAAAATTCCGAAGTTAATAATTCTTCGGGATGATCTCTCCTCAAATTAACCCTTTTTCCTCCTTTTATTTTCACAAGGAAGCAATCCAAAATCTCCCTTCGTTTGTTTTCCCTCCATTTTAAATCTCCCGCCATCTTTCGCCGGCAAAAATCTCCTACACCGCGTCGCTGTACCGGTGCATATCGGCCGCGGCGGCGGTGGGGGACTCCGCTTCCACTTCCTTAAGCCCGGGGAGGATTCTTTGCGCTTCCGCCCATTGAGCTTCGCGCTCGTCCTTCCCGTAGCCCTTCTTCGTCGTGATACCCGTCTGCAAAAAAGAAAGAAATTGAAACGAGATTCCATGATTAGGGAGGTTTCAGAATTTGAGCCCCTTTTTCTTTTTTTGGTTTCTTCTTCACGTTTCGAACCTGGTTATCGGGATGATTTTCCCAGGCGTGGCCTGTCAGCACGAGGCGGATGAGGAATTTCAAGACGTCGAGGGGAATGTAAGTGACGACGGTGAACAGCCAGATGACTCCGGCCCAGCCCCAGCCGATTCCGCTGATGCCGGCGAAATCCCACTTCGCGTAGACGGCGATTATGGTGGCCAGCTTCAGTTAGAGAAAGAAAGAAGAGAGCAGGATTAGCGCACTTAAGGTGTTTGATGTTTTTCCTCAGTGAGGTAAAACTTGGCAATATGCATACTGATACTGCTTACCAATTGGGCTATGAAGAAGGCGACGACGAGCAAAATCCCGGGGCGTTCGGAGTAAGAGATGGACCAGCCTCGTGTTCTGGTGACGAAGATGAGAGCCTGGCTGATAATGCTCACTTGGAGATAGAGTGCTGCTGTAAGCTCTTCGTGGTTCCCTCTAATTGATTTCACACCAAATGTGGCCTGCAACAAGATGCAAACTTTACTGTCTGTTTGCACTTGGTTTCCCCAAACTGATTTAACTTTGATTGAAACTTACAGAGAAGAAATCTGTGTCCTCAGCTAACCAGAAGAATAAGACAGTCACGATCGCCATATAAGCTCCAAGAACAATCCCAGTGGCGAAGATCTCATTGAGCTTCCACGAATCGGGCACCGGGGACGGCTTCACTCTGTCCTTCGAGATCGTCATAATGGTACCGTCGTTGAGGATGGCTATGATGAGAACCATGAAGGGGGAGAAGTCGAACTTCCATATCAAGGCAACCAGTAGAAATCCAAACACAATACGGATTGTGATGGAAACAGCATAGATGGTGTAGTTCTTCATCCTCTGGAATATGGCTCTGCTCGTAAGGACAGCACTAACTATGACACTCAGCCCTGGCTCTGTCAACACGATGTCCGAGGCGCTTCGTGCTGCGTCGGTAGCGTCAGCAACAGCAATTCCTATGTCGGCCTTCTTTAGTGCTGGAGCATCGTTAACTCCATCTCCAGTCATACCGACGATGTGTAGTCTATCTTGGAGCCTCCTCACGATCTCGTACTTGTGCTCTGAGGATAATGAAGGAAGAATTTTTAAGCAAATGCTCGGCTATAATGGGCGGGAGAGGAATGAAAATAGTGAGTTGGATTGATTTGGTATTTTACCAGGGAAGACTCCGGCGAACCCATCGGCTTTCTCGATGAGCTCGTCGATTGTCATGGACGATTCATCGTTGTCGGTGAGGAGGGCAGATGAAGGGTACATATTGGTGCCCATGCCAAGGCGTCGGCCGGTCTCTATTCCAATAGCAAGCTGGTCACCGGTGATCATCTTGACACTAACACCAAGTTCAAGTGCTCGTCGGATTGTTTCTGCACTATCATGCCTTGGAGGATCAAAGAGTGGCAGCAGCCCCACGAATTCCCATGGTGATCCTGCGCTATCCTTGTTCTTGTCTGGAATCGTCTGATAGGCGACAGCTAAGGAACGAAGGCCACGATCAGCAAAATTAGCAATGATCTTGTGAGCTGTCTTGCTGACTTCCCCTTTGAGATCACAGAGCTCAATGATTTGCTCAGGTGCTCCTTTGCTTGCCCTGTGCCAATCACCATTGTTGTCGTAGTAAGTGATTGCAGTCCGCTTTTCGACAGGGTTGAATGGCAAGAAATGGACTTCAGTGATCCCTGCTCTTGCCTGTGAAAAGAAAACGTACATTCCAAGTAAACATTCAGCTGAAATCCGTTAGATTTCCACATAAAGAAAAAGTGAAGGGAATGCAGATTGGCTACTTCTTTGGGATCCTTCAACATATTAACAATTGAGGCATCAATGGCATCCTGGTTTTCGACTCTGGAAGCTCTGGCAGCAAGCAAGATTAAGTGGTCGGCATCCATTCTCTCCGGGAACACCTCAATGAGGCTTTTGTCGACGGTAAGCTTGTTAAGGGTGAGTGTCCCAGTTTTGTCACTGCAGAGTATGTCCATGCCAGCCATTTCTTCAATGGCGGTCATCCGCTTAGTGATGGCGCCTTGCTCCGATAGCCGGTGAGACCCGATAGCCATTGTCACCGACAAAACAGTGGGCATGGCGATCGGGATCCCTCCGATGAGAAGCACCAGCAGGTTGTCAATTCCTGCTCTGTACTCTCTGTGTTGAAAGGCATACATGACGACAACCTCGATGACCACACCCACCCCAATCGAGATGATACAGAAGTTACCGATAGATGTCAACACCTGAGTCACAGAAAAAGTGTTGCAGTAAGCTTTACTACGGTGGGAAGCACGAGGCGTTTAAAGGGCCTCATTTTGTGATCAGGGTGTCGGACTACAATCTTTTTTGTGGAGTTCGAATAAGAACCATGGTTACCTGTTGGAAGTGGCCAACATTGTTGGTGCTATCAACAAGATGAGCTGCCTTGCCGAAGAAGGTATGTATACCGGTGGCAATCACGACAGCATCAATCTCACCTTGCTTGCAAGTTGAGCCGGAGAAGACTTCGTCACCAGGACTCCTCGTCACAGGAAGAGACTCTCCAGTAAGGGCGGCTTGATCAATCTTCAGAGGATCCCCTTCCAAGAGACGTGCATCGGCTGGGACGATATCGCCCAATTTGATGCTGATCACATCTCCTGGAACCAGCACTGCTGCTTCCACCTCTTGCCATTTCCCATCCCTCAGAACCTTCAAACACAAAACGGTTCACAATCGTTAACTTGTTCTTGACAGAACCTTTTTTTACAAACATGTGCATGTAGTAACACCATACCTTAGCTTGAGGAGCGAGATTGGCCATCAAAGCAGCAGCAGCATTGCCTGCAGTGTTTTCTTCGATGAAGCTAATGGTGGAATTGATGATCAACAGGACGACGATACCGATGAAATCCTGCCAATCTGGGGGCTTGCCTCCTCCATTGGCTAGTACGATGGCCATGATAGCTGCAGACTCCATGACCCATGAGAGCGGGTTCCACATGAACCCCAAAAACTTGAGGAACTTGTTCTCGTGCTTCTCCTCGAGCTTGTTGGGTCCAAAGATTTGGAGCCTCTTCTCGCTTTCCCCACTCGTCAACCCTTTCCTTGTACATTTCAACTGCTTGAACACCTCATCCACAGGTATTTTCTCAAGGTCCACCTTCCCATTCTTGATCTCTTCTAGAGACATTTCGGCCATGTTTGTGATTCACACGGCCTAAAGAATGAGAAAATGGAGGAAAAAACTACTAAGAGAATCTTTTTCTTTTCTCTTTTCTTAATTTTCAGTCTTTTTTCCAAAATATTCTTGTATATTTTTTTTGTTCTTGAGAGCCCCGCGGTTGCTTTTCCAGTGGGAAAAGGCGGGGGCCGGGCTTCTCAAAAACTTACAATGTCAAAGCTAGATGCGTTCCTCCCATGAATTAGATGAGAAGGAACGAGGAAGGGTTGGAGAGGATGATCAAATTATTGAGTTTATTATTCTGAAGGAGGCAAGCCAAGACATTTCGGTGAAAACTTTCACATATTTAAAGGTAAGAAAAAATAGGTTTTGATAGAACGAAAGGTGTGAGATTAAGATTGTTTAGATCATTTTTTGTGGCTCCCCAAATTTTGCGGCGAAGTGATGAAATTAGTAACTATTGTTAGGGAGCATTGGTTGGAGAGGAAAGAATATTTCGCTATCAAGTTTGTTTGATGTTGTGGTTGAGGTTTTTCTGGCACTTTTTTTTTTGTGTTCGTAATTTTCTTTATCATTTACAATTGTCACGTTTAAAACAATTTAATAAACTTGTATAGTTGTCATCTATAGATTAATATTATGATATTTAGTGGTCTTGAAGTTTAAAAATCTTAGAAAGAAAAGTAGATTATGGAGAGATATGATAAGGTGTATTTATACGATTATCAATGCCACCAGGTAAACTTTCAATGCGATGTGATCAAAGGTATCAAGGAAACTATCTCGAACCCTTTTTCCAAGGCATATCGCGGTGCAACCCTCGCATAACACACACCATCATGTTCACTAGAATTTTTACAACGTTCGGAAACTCGCTACGACAGTCGACAATCCTCCACCATGACCTCACCAATACACAAGCATAAACGCAAATCTCATTTGATCAAATAGCCATGACCGAACCGTTGCTCCAACATCAACGAATCTGCCTTCATTACTCGACTCAAACAACACATCCATCCCGACACACATAACAACTAAAAACCAATCCCACTTCCACACAAAAGAAGTAAACTTGCAATTTGGAGAACGCAGAAATCAAAGGAAAACAATGCCAAAAGAGCAGTAGCATAACAATACTACAGCGATCGAAACCAATGCTGGAAAAATAGAACGCTATTGATCAACATTATGCATGACCTTCCATTAAGCTTCAGAAACTAGTCAGAATACATCATCTAAGTTATACCAATTCCTCTCTACACGTTCCAAAACTTCAAATGCCTCTACCAAAATTTAACTACAGCGAAATAATTAGAACTAACTGATAGTGCTTCCGAGTTAAATCATTCTGCAATCCACCATTGTCCATTCCCCCACCCAGCTTAGAACCCTAGCTTGGTCCGGCGCCAGTGCCTGCGCTTCGCATTATACTTGAAACCCCAGAAAAAAAACCCGTATCAGCAAAGAACGCGTGAAGAAAATGACAAATCAGAAACAGGAAGCGGCAGAAAGAGAGTCACCTGATGGTGTTTCCAGTCCTCATTCTGATCCAAGGAGGAATCGGCCGGTTCTGCCTCATCTTCTTCCCAAGCTTCTTCTTGATCATGAACGTCTTGTGCGACGGCTGAAAACATCGGGAAATTCCACCATTAACATATCAAATCCACAAGCAAAGAGGGGTTTTCTTCCAAGTTTAGACGGAGAAGCAGAGCTGAGAGCTTGAGAACTCACCATTTTTACGCCCAGAAAGAGAGGCTCGAAAACACCACAACAGAATTCTCAAGTGGTTTGAAAAACCCTAGAAAATGCAGAGACGCAGTCCGATCCGCGGGATTTTATGATTTATACACGGCTGTCCCGCGCGGAAACTCTGGTTGGGCTGAATAAATCGTGGGCCTTAAGTTGGGCCGGGCTAGGTTAGGCCCTTACCAGATCATTAACGGCCTAGTAGCGGGCCCATGAGGAAATCCATCCCTGGCCCGGAATGGGAAAAATGAGAAGGCTCGGCTCCCTTTCCTTCGTTCTGTCCTATAAAAAGGTTCCCTTCGTCCACTCCCCACAGCTACTCTCTGTTCAGTGTTCTTCGTCCTTTCAATTCTCCCCTCTGAAATTACCGGGAAAAGAAAATTAGAAAAGATTATAAATTTTCGATTTTGTTCTTCGTTTTGATTTTTCCAGTGGGGTGGGTTTTAGAGATTTTGACTTTCCTTGGTGGTCAGTGTATCCGGCCGACCATAATGCCTCGCGCGTCGAAGCGGAAAGCGGCCCCGCCAAGCTCCTCCGTCGCAGCACCGCCACCTGATCAGTCCCGGAAGCGCACCGCCAAAGGTAATTTATACTGTTATTGCTTTCTTCGCTCCGAAATTTCTTGTTTGGTTGCCGGGAAAATTGGAACTGAAAAGAATCCAGGGGCAAAGAATCTTTTGCCCGTAGATCAGTAGTGGAATCTTTTGCTTAGTGAGTGACTGCTGCTCTGGACTGGGGAGGCTTTGGGCACTTGGGAATGGATAAACGGAATGTGAGAAAGATGCGAACTCAATGAGTGTTGAATTGTTTAGTTAACTCGATGGCAAATTCTAATTCTAGGGTTGTGAATAATGATCATTCTTCTTTTTTATATAAGAAGAATCATCATTCTTCCAGTTGCTATGGGCGTCATCTTCTGTAAATAGAGCAGGTAGGAGGTTGGTTAGGTGAGCTATGGCGCAAGGGTTGTTCAAGAGTTGAATCTTGGAGTTCTTGGAGACACTATTTATCATTTTTGGTGGGTGTTACTTAAATATTAGGACTGTGGGTAGATCACGGACGGAAGCTTGCACAAGTGGATATTTAGAAGTCTGCTAGTCTGATAATGGGTGTTCAAAAGCAATGTAAGTTCATTTGCATGCGGGATGCAACTTTCTTAATTCTGACCCCTAGCTACTGTTCTTTTAATATTGAATCAGCAACAAGCAAGCCCAGGTTAAAGGAGAGTGACCAGATCGACAACCTATTTGATACGTATGCAAACCGCTCGTTGGGCGAGATTGAGTGAGTTGTTCGTTCATCTTGTTTTCACATTTTTTCTGGAATCAGTTTGAACTCATTTGCTTGCACTGTAATGGGTTTGGTTAAGATTCTCTGTATAAGCATTGGCTGCTTGGTATATGAGTTTGACTATGTTAGAATGAATATTAGAGGAGCCTTTGATTTGAATCAATATCAGAGGAGCCTTTGTTTCGAATGAATATCAGAGGATCTTTTGATTTGAACGAATATCAGAGGAGCCTTTGATTTCTTACAGCAATTGCACTATGCATTGGTTTTATAATTATTGTTGTGGTAGTAGCAAAACCATTGTTCTGCTGGTGTACTGAAGCAGGCATTTTAGAGGATGTGATACATTTATGGTCTTCTGTTGTTTGAAACAGTCCCGAAGGAATTGAGTCGTTGTGTTCAGACATGAAAGTGGGATACACTGATGTCAGAATCTTGATGCTTGCTTGGTATGTATTTTGTTGTTTCGGGAGTCATTTGATAAGTTTGTTATAATATAATGTGTAGTCTGGAACTAAAATCTTCATGCTTCTTTTTCAGGAAAATGAAAGCTCAGCGGCAAGGATATTTTACCAAGGTAAAATAGGAAACAGCAATGAGCTTAGATTATTTAGATAATTCACAGTTAGATTAAATTGACCAGTAGTTTTGTCCCTCTCCTTACTTCATCAGGATGAGTGGCAAGCAGGCTTGAAGGCTCTCAAGGCTAATACCATTTTGAAACTAGTGAAAGCACTCTCAGAACTGAAGAAAGAGGTGCTCTAGCTTTTTTGTGAAATAGTTGATAAATCTTGTCAGTACATGCTCCTAGAGTCTTCTTACTTACTGATTATTTGTTATTAATGATGTTAAGGCGGAGTCGCCAGAAAATTTTGAGGACTTCTACTTATTTGCATTCAAGTACTGCCTAACAGGTGAAGTCAATACTGTCATAACTAAATGATGCAATTCTTGTCGCTCCAGTTTCTAATCTGTATTAAATTCTCCCCTTGATGTGTCTCAGAAGAGAAGCAAAAAGGAGTAGATATCGAAAGCTCCTGTGAATTGCTGAAAATTGTCCTCGGATCGCAATTCCATTCCCAGGTTGATTCATTAGTTGAGTACCTAAAGGTAGGTATAGAGCACTTGCTGAGTTCTTACCTTAGAGTTGGGACTTAATTTACTATTGACAGTGTCCAGCATATAACTGTGCTGTGACTTTCTTGAAGGTCCAAAAAGACTACAAAGTGATAAATAAGGATCAGTGGATGGGTTTCCTTCGGTTTTGCAAGGAGGTAACACCGTCTCCCTTGAAGCTTTACACTTCTTCCTCCCATCAGGAACTAATGCATTGAGTTATGCCAGGAGGTCTTATTACTAATCTTGCTCATCTTTTGCTTTCCTCCACAGATTAGCTTCCCAGATATGGCGAACTACGACGAGAACCAAGCTTGGCCATTGATCCTCGACAATTTTGTAGACTGGAAGAAGGAGAAAAGCAGCAGCAGATAGTTTCTACTTTGACAGTTTCTAATCCCTACTCCCGAGTATTAAGGTTCTGTTAACAGTGAGATGACCATCGATCTTCTTGTCTCGATCACCCCAGTCGATCTACTCGCAGGTCTTTGCCAGAACGCCTCAACCCTGACAAGTGGAGCATTGATAACTAACACAGATAAATAGGAAGATACATTTTTGTGTCAGACTCGGAAAAAGATACATTCTTTCTGTGTTCTGTTGTTCCTCACTTCTTTTCTACAATCCTGTACTCCCAACTCGGATAATTTTTTAGTTGAGAATGTGGAAGAATATTTTGTCACTTTTATTTAGGGTGGAATCAAACCAAAATAAAAATACCATTGCAGTTTCTCTTGCAACTTGCAAGGGCCAACAATGATAGTGAGGAAGACTTGCAGGTTTGAATCAGCCCAGTGAAACCAATATAAAGTTTGTTCCTTTCTCTTCCCACATGTCGATTATACGATGAGACTAAATTGAGCACCAAAACCTTGTTCTGATCAGATAAACTTAGCCGAAGCAAAGATCATCCATCAGATATACATATTTTACATTGTGTGCATTGAACAGAGTACTCTGAAAGGTGTTTCTATTCTACACAACTGCAGAGTGAATAGCAGGGGCGTTTAGCCTCTCGAAACAGTTTAGAGGAGAGCTAATCATTGAACTTGTAGTGCTTGTATATTGGAGCAGAAACCTCCCAAGTGCAGCTCATCCCTTTGGGGAAATCAACCAAGTCACCTGCAGAGATCACAACGCCTTCATCAGACCCTTCTGGGTAAATCTTTGCCTTCCCCTCCAGAATGTAGGATGTCTCGTTGGCGGAATATGTCCATGGGAATTTGCTTGGAGCGAACGCCCACCTGCAGCAAGCACAAATTGTGGGAAATCTGCATTAGTTTCCATAGTGGCCCTGTTAATGATGGAACAGAGTAATTTCCCTGTTCTCTAGCGTGGAAAGACTCCAACTTGCTCCTGGAAATCCTCTCACCTGGGCCAGGAGCGGACGCCGAGGTCCGCGAGCTTGGAGTCGGGAGGGTTCCTGACGATCCTCATCCCTGATTTCTTCACTTGGATTCGCTTCTCAATTTCCACGCCTCTCGGGTGTATAGCAGCAGCGCCCAAATGAGCTGAATCTGCAGAATAGCAGGTGTGGAATCAATTCACTGTCTGATGCTCTGTTTTTTTAGTTTTCTTTTCTTCTTTTTTGGTGGCTGGTTAATTGGGGTTCGGTTGATTTCCCCTCAATTAGATTGACGGGAAGTTGATTTGGAAAGCTGAAGTTTAGTGAGGGAAGTTTTCTTACCTGATGGAGGGATCTTGAGGTCGAGGTTGGATGGAATCGGTTGAGTGATGAGCGAGCTGCCGTCTTCCCGTCGGTGAGCTTGACAAGCAAGAGCCAAGAGAGATGCCACGACGGAGGCGAAGAGAAGGCGAGAGGCTGCCGACGATTGCATATTGGGAAGACTTTGAAAGTAGGAGGAAGAAGTCAGTGGCGAAACAGGGGAATGGAGGGAGGAAATGAGGAATATGAAGGCAGAGTCGCAGTGGTAGAGGAAGACTTTTTAGGCCAGGCCAGCGGAAGTCCAAGTCAAGTGTGTGCCGCGACAAGAATAAGTGGTATATGTTGATAATTGTACCTGACTCAACAACTGATAATCTGATATCCTTTACATCTTTACACGAATTATGTGAACAAAGTTTACACAATATGTGAAAGAACATTACATAAGAGTCATCTTTTCTTTTGGACAAAATTATTTATGAGAATTTTCATGGCGAATATTATTGACGGAGAGGATATGTACAACGCATGAACTGAGCATATATGATTGAAACTATACAGAAAAGAATAGTATGACTCTTGTACAAGGATAAAACCCATAAATCGAAAAATGGTCTACAAGAGAATCTTGTTAGTATCTTTCTAAAAAAACACTATTATGCAAATCAACGAGGCTCCACTTGAGAGATATCATCATCATTAAACGAACATACTCCTTGTTGCGATCTAGAAGTTTGTCTCGATTCAGTTTCCCCCATCCTTTCCTTTTTGGTTGAAAATGCAGGCCTTTTTGGTATACTCATCTCTTGAACACCATTTCTCAGAATAGATAATACTTCCAACATTGTCGGCCTATCGTTCGGATTTTCTTGAACGCACAACAATCCTAGTTGTAGACAGGTCATCAACTTACAATGCGATGTAGAATCGTCCAGTGCTAAGTCAAAGAATTCCATTCCTTCACCAATTCTCCAATATTCGTAAGCCTGAAAAGAAAAGAGGTTTGACATGATTAGCTTTCTCCAAGTTTTTGCCCTATTCAAAACTTGTCACATATGAGGAAATTGAAAGGGAAAAAAGGACTCACATGTTCTAAGAGATGTAAATCTTCATTTATACCATAGTAACGTTGGGTCCTTTTGCCACTAATAATTTGTAGGAGCACAACCCCAAAACTATAAACATCATATTTCATCGAGTATATGCCTTGCTTCAAGTACTCGGGAGGAACATATCCACTAAAAACATTAGACATATCAATCAACAAACATTTCAACTGTAGGGAGTTCTCAAGCTAAGAGGCATATGCAATGAACGACAAACAGATATTCCACGCATCTAGAGTAAGAACATAGAGAAAAATCTTCTCAAGCAAATATGCAAAGTACTTTAAATGCTATACATTATTACTATGGGTAACAAAGTAAGAGGGGATGTTTGCAAATGACTTACTATGTTCCGACAATCCTACTAGTGTTGGCCTCATCCATATCTTTCCTGAACAGTCTCGCCATCCCAAAATCCGAAATCTTTGGCTTCATCCCATCGTCCAGCAAAATATTACTGGCCTTTAAATCCCTGTGAATTATAGTGAAATTCGAGTACTCTTGGAGGTACAAGAGGCCTTGAGTCACTCCTTCAATGATCCCAACCCTCTTGTCCCAATCCAACTTCAACCTCCTCACAGGATCTGTCCAAAAGAACCATATCGTCAAGAATCTTTCAGAATGAAAAACTGAAAGCTGGAAACTTTTTTACTGAACAGTTTTGAAGTTTGGTTTAGCAGAGACCGAATAAATAAAAGTCCAAGCTTCTGTTCGGCATGAACTCATAGACCAACATCTTCTCTTCCTTTTCGGTGCAGAATCCCACCACCCTGACCAGATTCACATGCTGAAGCCTCGCAGTGAGCGAAACCTCGTTCCTGAACTCATCAATCCCCTGCGTCGATGATTCTGAAAGCCTCTTCACTGCTATTTCCTCCCCTCTAGGCAACACACCCTGTGAAAAACAAAAAAATAAAAGGTTCACCAGAATCCTGAAAACCTAAAAAGGATTCAGGAATATGGCAGAAATTCATTTTACTGACCTTGTAGACAGGGCCAAACCCACCAGATCCTAGCACGTTTTCGGTGGAGAAGTTGTTGGTGGCAGCTTTGATTTCGGAGAAGGTGAATGCCTGCAGATTTGGAGGCTCTCTGCTGCCAAAGAAGACTGGTGACGAGGAGCGCAAGGCTTTGGCTTGTTCTGAACTGTTGTCGCCATGGAACATGGATTCTGTAGCAGGAGAAGAACAAATGATCGAACTTTTGAAGGTTCTCCGTGGGCACTTTCAGAAAGTTTTAAATTGGGGAGTAATGAGGGGGGTTTTCCTCCCTGTTTACCTTTGGGCTTCTTTAATACTCTGTTTCGAATGTAGCAGAGAACAATGGCGGATAGAATGATGAATGCAGCGATTGGGAGCAAGATTTTCAGCAGCAAATGCCGCCTGTTTCCACCTCCATCCATGTCGACCAATTGAGCTGAAAGTAGAAGCAACCAAAGTCAAATCCATTTCGAATACAGAACTTTCAATAGGAAAGAAAGTAAAGGCAAGCATCAACGGATACCTGCGCGAGAGAGCTCCCAGTTATCGTCATTGCTCAGCTGGAACGCAATAAAACCAGCGAGTCCCATTTCCATGGCGTACGAAACTTTCGCTCGAATCGCTTCCACCCCGTCGTAATTGATCCAAGTCGAACCCACAATGAAGTAATTCACGACGTAAGTCGAGTTATACGTCGCTCTAGCTCCAAATCCATAGTTCTGAATAATAGACTTGATCAGCTTGTACCCCATATCGCCGGCGATCGTCGTATCTGGTCCCGTCGCCGGAGCTCCCAGTGAGTTATTCCCGGGATTCGCCAACTTCCAGCCGTAGCCATGGTACGGCAATCCCAGAACCAGTTTGGTCGCCGGAAACCCGACCCGAATCCATTCTCTGACTCCGGCATCTGTTGAGGCATTTCGGTCGCCGGAAGGGTTGAAGATGGCGGCGTGGTTCGCCGTGAAATTCTCTTTGGTCGGTAGGTGGTAATCGAACGCAAAGATATTGGCCCAATCCAAATTCCTCGCCATGGATTGAACTGGGTAGCTGAGGGATCCGAAATTTGGGGAGCGACGAACCGCCATGGTCAGGGTCAGCTTCGAATTGTTCGAGCTTTCCGATTCGGAATCAATGGCGGATCTGAATTCGTCCAGTAAAGGTCCGATCGCCGCCGCGTCGGTGCCGTTGGGCCAGATCCAGGACAGGTCAATTCCATGGAACCCATGGAGTCTGGCGGTTCGAATTGTGGACTCGATGAAGGAATTCCGGCGGGAAGGGGTGGCAGCCGCGGCGGAGAGGACGGAATCAGGGGCGACGTTCTCGCCGGCGATGGCTCGGGCGGTCTGTTGCTGGCCGTTCCACACGGAGAGGAGGGTCGTGACGGCGGGGTTGCGGCGGCGGACGATGGCGGTGAAGTTGTGGAAATCCGATGGGGTGGGGGAGAGCTGGAAGGTGGAGGAGTTGACGGTGACGAATCCGCAGATGAGGTGGGTGAAGAGAGATGAGTCTATGTCGGCGATTGGGTAGTCGCTGCCGGAAAGCCAGTACGCCGCTTTAAACCGTGGTTGCTGCTGGGCCGTTGAGCAGTGAAACTGAAAGATCAGAAAGAAGTTGAAGCAGAAGATTGTGAAACAGAGACGTGTAAAGGTGAAAGGGTTCACGCCGGCCATGGATGGAGCTCTTGTGTTTATGGCGGGAAGTGTTCTTCTGCCATTTTTGACTTGTTCTCTTGATCTCTACTCAATGAACTGTGAATTTAACGAAAAACTACGATACTCAGAATCTCAGATATGATGGATGAATAAAGGAGATATCTTTATGAGATTTCGAGGAATTGAAACGAAGAGAGAGAGAGAGAGAGAGAGAGAGAGAGAGAGAGAGAGAGATAGAGAGAGAGAGAGACGTATCGAATCCGGCAGTGGAAATTTGGTGATGTTGACTTGCTGACTACCTGACTCAGTGCCTCTCCTTGTTTGCACTGTGCACACGCAGGCACATCAGGCAAATTTGAGGAAACACGTCTGAAGTCTGAAATGAACTTGAAGGAGACTGGAGAAGTAGACACAATTGTATGCTTATATGACATTGACGGCAAGTGCCTTAGCATACTAATATCGTCTGGTGATCATAGCATGCTGACATCGTTAGATTACTGATATGTCTTAGTACGCATTGATCACCCCGACGTCGGAGTAATAGCCAGATTCACCTAACAGGACAGGGATGTGATTGAAAAAAATACCAGTTTCATTCACTACAGCAGTAGAAACCATGGTGAATACTTAGACATGTAGATTAGTGTACAAGTCATCCATGGCGGCAGGAGAAAATGCTTTACATATAATTTAATATCATCCACGCCAAGAAACCCAACAGAATCTTAAATGACTATTGTACAAGTCAATAGTCAATACATAAATTTCTAAGGTTTGCGTGTGAACTTACAGTTCAGTCAAAAAGCTTCAAGTCGAGGTACGGATTCAAGGAAGTACTGGAAGCTCGGCCTTCTTCATGGTGAAAAAGCTTACCCGGCCGTGCTCTACATGGCAACACTTTACAGGAATTCCGTCGCACAGACTCTCCAGGGCTTCGATCTTAACTCTAGACGGCGGCATGTTGTCCCTGAGAAAACATGTAATGCATCCAAGTGACAGATTAGGATATAGTCATCTAGCTGTTAGATGAATTGGATATGACAGTCACAAGACCACCATTGATGAAAGCTGGAAGTAACCTGATTAAGCAGAGGAGGAAGTTGGGTTGACCAGGTGAATACTTCCTGAACTTGCTGTTTGGAAGGTAAACATCAAAGACAGGTTTCATCCCACCAATCTGCAAACTACCGAGCAATTCAGTGATCGAACATACATCTTTCGATCCACCTTCCACCGCATTGTGGTTGTTGTCTAGATTGGTTTGAGAAGCACTGGAGTTGTTCTCACCCTTTAAACCCTTCATGGTCCAAGGAACACCATGGCGGCCAACGATGTAACCAAGAGACTTCAAGTGCCTATAAACCTCGAAAAGCTCCCAGCCGCAACCATTCTTCTCTTCTGAAATCTTCTCGTACATGCGCTGCAAGGAGAATTGTACATTGTTGGTGTCCATGAGATGTAATGCCCCAACTTCAGCCAAAAATCTGCAGAGAAAACAGCAAGACAGGCTCAAATTTCAACAAAATAGGATCATCCAAATGGTACATTAGTAGGGGGGAAAAGCTGTGAACTTCATTACATAGTCTCCTCAATTGAGCAATATGTCTTGCCACCTCGCACAATACCCACTGTAATCCACATTTTCCCTTTCTTTTCAATCACCTCGGCCATTCCCATATCCTCGTTCCATATGGCCTTTGAAGCATCCCTCCTGGAGACACCATTTTCGAGCAGAGTTGAAGCATAAGAATCATAACTTTTCATAAGCAGATCAGGCCCTGAAGAACTTATTGTTACCTGAACTGAAGCTTCTTTGAATGACCACTCAGGTTGAGAAGGTCTTCGTTGTCATCATCGTCTTCCAAGTAAATCTCCTCGTCGCTCAATTCTCCTGACGCATCTTCCCACTCCAACCCTTCCATATTTCCCTTCACTGTTTCACAGAACCATGTTTTCCCTCATAAACTGTCTCAAAAGAGTAACCCAGAGAACAAAAATTCACAGAAACCCTGGCGATTACAGGCAGGAAACATGCATACGACGTGTTCGACAAAATGACTCAGTGACAGTTCTTAGTTTTTACCTCTTCTGATTCCAAGCGAACTTCAACAAAATCAACGGTCACCCCTCCAACTGAGACGGCTTTGGTTTCTCCTCGGCGTTAATAGTAGCGGCTGAGACGGAGCGGCAATGTGCAATTCGGCGGCGGCAGCGGCAGCGGCAAACAACGTCTAAATCGCGACGGCGGCGAGAGAAAAGAGAGAATTCTGTTTTTTAGGCTAATGCACTATTTCGCGCCTATTTTATCTAAGTTTCACCTTCTTCCCTTTTTAGCACTTAATCTTTTAAAACCCTCCATTTTGATCCCCGTTTCCATCTATTTATACGGACTTGCTTTCAACTCCCACATTTTATTCATTCAGCCCGTAGGAACCCTTGCCGGCTAATCCTCTCCCGGTTCCCACTACTCGCCGCCACCTCGTTTCGCCGTGGTCTCTCCGGCAAAGGAGCAGCTGTTCTTTTCTTCTTCTACTTCTTCTTCTTCTTTTCTTTTTAGTTGGCGAGTTTCTCATCAGTCATCCCCAAAGCCTTGTTTGAAAGCTCAACAATGGACGTCGACGCAAAACCCTCTGATAACAATTCGTCGATAGAAGTGGAAGCGAAGGTATTCTGACTCCGGGGGAGAACTGAAGATGTCTTTCTTTTCTGCTTCGTTTGTGCTGTGATTCTACTGTGGAAACGAATGGAGAATTGATGTTCGAAATAGTTTTGGTTTTAGGTTATTGGGGAAGGCAAAGAGGAGCTCGCCCAATCAATGGACAATCTGAAGATTGACGCTGGGTCTTCTTCGTCGAGTTTCAAGAAGAAGCCTGTGGTCATCATTGTCATAGGAATGGCTGGTAAAGTCCCTGTCCCTCTCTATGCTTACTTGTGTGGGAACTGGACCTAGAAACTTTTGAATGCCAGGTTAAGAACTGTTGTCCTGTTGTTCATGGTTGTGCAGGTAGTGGCAAAACAACTTTGCTTCATAGATTGGTTAGCCACACTCAAGCTTCAAACATCCGAGGCTATGTCTTGAATCTCGATCCTGCTGTGATGACACTCCCGTATGGTGCAAATATCGATATTAGGGATACGGTTAAGTACAAGGAAGTGATGAAGCAGTTCAATCTCGGACCGAATGGTGGCATTCTAACGTCGCTCAATCTGTTCGCCACTAAGTTTGATGAGGTAAAGGTTTAATAAACTGTTGCATTTTTGGTGTAAAGTTACGATCTTTGCGGCTGTTTGGGTGTAGAAATCACTGGTTCATTGTGCGGTATCACTTGCCTACAGTCTCTCATCTGGTAGTTATGTATCTCTGGATGAGTCTCAAAGTTCCAGAATTTGCTCCAATTTTCAGGTTGTTTCTATGATAGAGAGGAGAGCAGATCAGCTTGATTATGTCCTAGTGGATACACCTGGTCAGATTGAGATCTTTACTTGGTCAGCTTCTGGGGCTATCATCACAGAGGCTTTCGCTTCGACATTTCCAACTGTGATTGCTTATGTAGTTGACACGCCTCGAGCAACAAGCCCTGTTACTTTCATGAGTAATATGCTTTATGCCTGTAGCATACTCTATAAGACTCGGTTACCTCTTGTATTGACATTCAACAAGAATGACGTGTCTCAACACCAATTTGCTTTAGAGGTACGATGCTTTTCTGAATAAACATGGGTATAGACAGACTTTATTTTTTAATTTATTCCCTTAGGTGTTTCATCCATTCTGAATCTTTCTCTATTTTTTACTCTATGCCCATAAATGCAGTGGATGGAAGATTTTGATGCCTTTCAAGCAGCACTAAGCTCAGATCATTCTTACACTTCTACATTGACTGGAAGTCTAGCCCTAGTCCTTGATGAATTCTACAATAACCTGAAATCAGTTGGGGTTTCTGCTGTTTCTGGTGCCGGGATGGACGCCTTCTTCAAGGCTATTGAATCAAGTGCTGAGGAGTACATGGAGACTTACAAGTATTCTTTCGTCTTAAGCTTTTGACTGAAGAACACTTTGCTTTTGCCTTCTTGTTTCTGCTTTTGTTTTTAACGCTTGAACATTGGTGCTTTAGGGCTGATCTTGATAAGAGGCGGGCAGAGAAGGAGCGGCTGGAGGAAGAACGGCGAAGGGAGAATATGGAGAAACTGAGGAAAGATATGCAGAAAACAAGAGGTGAAACTGTGGTCCTCAGTACCGGTTTGAAGGATAATGCTGGCAGTTCAATGGCTGGAAGGGAAGATGAAGAAGAAGAGGAGGAGGAGGAGGAAGATCTGGAGACGTTTAGCGACGAGGAGTATGATGAGGATGCTGATGTCATTGACGAGGATGAAGATGAGGAGGTGTCTAGGTTCTCCTTTTAAGTTGTATTTCTTGTTGCTGCTGCACTACGATGTCATGGACGAGTATGACTGTAAAGAGTAGAAGTGTCATGTTTCTGTACAAAGACCAAAGTGAAATTGTGCTTGCAAAAAGTACTCTTTGATGGAGGAAGTTGTATTTTGATAACTTGGTGATGGTTACTTTCAGTAACATTGTAGCTTTGGCGGATAACACTGATATGGAACCGAATCGAGTTAGCGGTTTTTAGTTCTTCCTTCTCGTTTGAGCCCCAACAATTTTCATATGATCATTTGCTCATTATGAATGTTGATAGGCGAGTCTTGCGCCTGGCGGGTATCTTGATATTCATATTCGTTTCGTGACATATTGGTTTAGATTAGGTATTTTTTTCTCGAAGTATGAGTCAGATAGGTTGATTTATTTGGCTATTTAATTTAAAGAAAAAATACTTGAAGTATTGATTTTTTTGTCATTAAAAATCAAGAAATATATTATAATATGACAATTTTGGTTAAATTTATTCGAGAAATTGATATTATCACCTAATTACAATTTTATTATGACTAAGATATTGTGTATAAAAATATATTCGAAGTAATTTGAGTAAAATTACGGTTGTATTCGGTGCACTCACTTTTTTGGGTGCATGCTACGCACCCGTCTCGTAATCACCATTTGAGCAAGCGGTTCAAGTCAAAACAATGACAATTATCACTTGTGATATGATGAGCAAGAAAGCGCATGATTTGCACACAAAAAACCTTCAAAATTTACTTTGATTTGAAGGATTTACTCTTTAGAGATTTAGAGTTAGGATGTTAAGTTCAAAATTGAATGTTTATAGATTATCGTAATGCCCAGAAACCATAGCAAAATTACATGGAAATTAAGCTTAGTATTACCCACTTTAAAACAGGTCAAGTAGGCCGGGTCAAGTAGATGGTGATCTGTTAAATTGGGCTTGTAGCCTTGTACAGTTGGGCTTGGGGCCCGAGCAAGAAAGCCCTTTCCATCGACTATGCCCAGTTGATTCTGTATTGAACTCTAACCGCTTTTTCCCCTCTACAACTGGCCATCACAAACGAGAATCAGAACCTAGCTTTCGTCTCTCTCTTCACACCCTACCGACTCCCGCCGCCGGGAAAGCTTCGATACCACAGGTAATCATCATCTTCTTCCTCGTCGTCGTCGTCTTCAATCGGAGAACGAAACAAAGTTCAAATTCTGCGCACCTTGAAATTTTGTATCGATTAGTAATTTGCTTCAGTGAGATTCATGGACCAGAAGGAGAAGCAGCTTACTGTTTGAGGGTTTCCTTTCGTTATTTGTTTGGACTAGGTGTACGGAATCAAAAGAGCGATTTGCTGCGGGATGGCGACGGCGGAAGAGGAGCACAAGCCACTGGCTTACGTACCAGAGATTGTTTTGAAGAAGAGGAAGCACAAGGAGGAATCCATTGCGCTCACGAGGAAGAATCAGCTGGAGCTCGGGGCTCGTGCTGAGAAGAAGAGGAAAGTTCATGATATCAAGCGGCCTGAGCACTTTGTCAAGGAGTACAGAGACAGAGTAAGCCAAAACTGTTTGCTTTGCTTCGCTGAGGAGGAAATTTGTGTTTGCCCTTTTGATGGTTTGATGTCCTTTTCGGATTGAAGTGAATGAATTAGGATTTGAATGGAAATGATGCAACTTCTCTGCAGGAATTGGATCTCATACGAATGAAGCAGAGGACTAAGAGGCCAAAGACAACTCGATCTGCTGTGGCCAAGTCGACGCTTTTGTTTGTGGTGCGGATACAAGGGTATGTCGTCGTTGAATGCATTGAGATGTGTTTTCTTTGATTGTTGCCACTGTCTTCCATTTGCAGATACTAATGCGTTTTTAGTGTGATTTCAGAAAGAATGACATGCACCCCAAAGTTAGGAAGATCCTTTACAGGCTCAAGCTGAGCAATGTCTTTGATGGTGCTTTCATGAAGGCAAGTGAAGGAGTGTTAGAGATGCTCAAAAGGGTGGAGCCGTATATTACATATGGGTAAGGGGGTTGTACCCTTCTATGCGTACTACGAAAATCTTATTTGTTGCTCTGCAGATCCTAGGCAACTAAAACGTATGCTTGAAAGTCTTTATCTTTTCTTTTGTTGGCCAAGGAAGTTTTCTGCTGCAGCGAGTCTTTCTATTTTATCCTTTGCCTGCCTGGCTGCTTGTTTTGTCAATCTGTCTGTCTTTCAGTTGGTTGTCTTATAGTAGTTTGATTCGTTTATGAAGGTATCCAAGTGTTAAAACTGTCACTGATCTGATATACAAGAAGGGTCATGGAAAGAAGGATAACCAGAGAGTCGCCCTGATAGACAACAATATCATTGAACAGGTATTCCAAAAACCGTTTGAAACCTCCAGCTGCATGACTCATTTCAATCGGTTCTCAACAGCGACATCCTCTAATGGCAGGCATTAGGCGAGTACGGTATTCTATGTTTGGAAGATTTGGTGCACGAGATCACAACCGTCGGACCACACTTCAAGGAGATCAATACCTTCTTGGGACCATTTTCGCTCAACAAGCCGAAAGATGGGCTGCAAGGCAAGAAAGCATTGTTCAAGGATGGCGGTGACTCTGGAAATCGCGAGGATAAGATTAACGACTTGATCAGTAAGATGAATTAGCCTCGACGAGTCTTTGCTTGTATGTTTTAACCGCACTCTACCTAAAGTATGCAGAGCTGAAAGCAAAAATTCAAACTCATCAGGCTTGTATCACAGAATTTTGTCTACTGCTTTTCTACACTTGCTTGGATGCTCTCTTGTGTTCCGTCCGAGTTGTTTAATGGAAATAGTTAGATTGTCATGTTTGTTCTCAACTACCCATATTTTGCATTTTTTTTCTTTCTCTCCAAGCATTAGTTCACCCCAATCCATTCTACTCCCCTTTATGGTTCGACTTATAGTGTTTGACAACTCCAACTGGAGATGAGCTCGGACCGTAGTATCAGTATCCTAGTTGTTCCTAACAAGCAAACTGACTCTAGATCAAAGTCCAAAAAAGTTGCAGACGATTGACCGAAATGGTTGGTCTTCATATTTGTTTGGAGCCGTATTTTGATGCGCTCAACTTATCTACAAAAATTTGGTGGACTTCAGCTCAAAATGTAGTTATTAGTTACTAGTTAGTAACTAAGTTTGTCGTCATTACCTTCTTCATAATTGGTTTTTGCTCATTCGAGCCGAGAATCGGAAAGTCATTTGGCGGCTTCCTTTCTCGCTGTTCACTTAACGGGGAGCGTAACACCGTAACATCTTTTCTGTTATGAATGCGCGCGAAACCCAGCAAGAAGACGTTTATGATGACCTCACTCACGCGCATTTCTCCACTCGTCAACGCTCTCTTCCCTCTCTGCTACTCGCATTTCTCCCTCGCCTGTCAAGTCCTCTTCCGCCGCCGCCCCAACCACCGCTTGCTCTTCCATGGCTGCCTCCGCTAGAATCGCCGTCGTCGGGGACGTGGTGAGTTTTCTCCCAATTTCCTCAAAACTCATCTCGTCTTCACTTGCTTCTCCATTTTTCGAAACCCTAATTTTGATTTGCGGCTGTTCTTCTTCTTATTTGGGATCATTTTCGTGAAGCATGACCAATGGAATCTAGAGGAAGATACAAGGGCGCTTCAACTCTTACGGGTAATTCTTATCTTTCATCTTGTACACAAAAGTTTCCAACTTTGATCCATTTTTGTGTCTGAGCTTCTGGTTTATTGGCTAGCCGATAGAGGATTAGATTAAGTAATCGGCGTTATGTGTACCAGTGGAACCTTAACTCTCATTCACTATCCGCTGCTTGATTGTCTTATGTGGATATGGAACTTGCTAAATTCTTTTTGAATCTAGCTGTAGTTTGGATTCAATTTGAAGCTAGGCTCACGAATGGGTTGTGGTTTAGCTACATTTTCCTGAGCTACATGGCTAGAGTTTCTCCAAATCTGATCGAATCTTTAGTAGCATCCAGTTTGTTGTATGATCATCAGGTTTGATCATGATCTTGTTGCTTGAAAGTTACCAATTTCGGATCTAATACTTCAGTTTGCATCGCAGTGCAGCCGGATCTGGTTCTATTCACAGGCAAGCTATCATTTCCCTCATTGCCCTGATAGGTCAAATGTACTGTTTACGTTAGTTGGAACCTGTATTATAAAACAAGCAATCTGTGGTTATTTGTTCTCTTCGTCATAAAATGTATTCCTTATTCTTTCCTTGGACTATAATCAGGTGATTTCGGGAATGAGAACGTTGAACTCGTCCAGAGTATCGCAGATCTTCAGTTCCCCAAAGCAGCTATATTGGGGAACCATGATTCCTGGACTACCCCAAAGTTCTCTGCAAAGTAAGTTTAGCTGGTTTAATAGTAAAGCTTGCAGCTGGCAATCATGTACTTCATAGATGTTTGATTTGCTGTCATTTTCCCTTCCGTTTCTCAGGACAAAAGATCGCATCCAACTTCAGCTGGAAAGGTAAGCTCAGTGTGTTCTCTCGCGTGTTTCCAGATTGGTTGATGAGCATTTTCATTTGCTTTCGAACTGTTCTGTCTATCAGTTGCTAAATGACCTTTCAGTACATTCCCTTTGTTGCAATCAGCCTTGGCGATGAGCATGTAGGGTATAGTCGTCTGGATTTTTCAGAACTTAAGATCAGTGTCGTTGGTGGACGTCCATTTTCTTGTGGCGGAGAACATCTGTATCGGAGAAAGCTTTTGTCTGCAAGGTCCTAACCGAGGAGTTTCGCTTTCTCTTGTTCCTTCATTTACTCGTAGTTTATGGACTATTTCAACTTTAGTTTGATTCATTTAACTGGTTGCAGATATGGCGTCCATGACATGGAAGGAAGCGCCAGGAGAATATACAACGCTACTTTGGGTACTCCAGAAGACAATTTGGTCATTCTTCTTGCACATAATGGACCTACAGGTGATTCTATCTGGCTGGGATCATTTCTCGTAATTTTAAGCCCTGGTCTTTTGTTAATCAATGTTTGATTTCTTCTTGTGTTTTCAGGTCTCGGCTCTAATTTAAACGACATTTGTGGGAAAGATTGGTCGGTTGGTGGTGGTGATCATGGTGATCCAGGTAAATAATCTCATATTCATGTCTATTCTGTTGAAACACTGCAAAGAATGCGCCTTTGGCTGAGGGTGGGCAACTGGGCATGTTCTGATCCCGCGAAAAAGCTCTCAAAGCATCCATCATTCTTTCTTATCCTGCCTGCAGATCTAGCACAAGCCCTGTCCCGCTTAAAAGACTCCTCGAACTTGAGCATCCCATTGATCGTCTTCGGTCACATGCACAAAGAGCTGGCATATCGCGCTGGTCTTCGCAAAATGATCGTAGTTGGAGATGACGAGACCATCTACCTGAATGGGGCCATCGTGCCTAGAGTGAAACCTGTGAGCCACGAACAAGGAGCTGCCCAGCAAAGTGAAGGCACGCTGCGAGCCTTCACCTTAGTCGAAATCGTGGATGGCCGAGTGGCGAGAATCGCAGAGACTTGGGTCTCAGCTCTGAAAGATGGTGGCGCGGCTGTGGCAGAGGAGCTAGTGTTGTTCGACAGCGAGCCATTAGGGTAAATTTCCAAAAGCATGAGCTTCCATTGTTGGTCATTCCTTTGTATGTATACTTATCTGCTTGACTTGTATTATCCACCATTAAAACCAGGACCTTGGGTCCCTGTTGCTGTTTGTCGTAAGGTATATTGTGAGACCTGGAGTAGTTATAAGGTGAGCTGTCAATTATCGGCATTGTCTCTATAGTTGAAAACATACATTGGTGGGTTGCACGTTACGATTTGATGATGGAGGTGATAGTGCAAGAACACTGAAACTAGGCTACTAAGAAATGAGCAAAATTGATTGTGTGATAGTGTTTACAAAAGCTTGGGAGAGAACGAATTAGAAAGAGATATTGATAAGGTGATAAAATTTTATAGGGATATGCACTAAAACTTGGTGGATCTAAGCTAAATTTTTTAATATTTATAACCTAAACAACTTTTTATTCGAACTTTGTGAGAGGCTAGAATATACTCGAATCGTTTTGTGGCAAAACATCAAGATATGATCGTTAAGAGATCATAACTTCCAAAAGTCTTAAAAAATATTTGTTGTCTGTGATTATTAATTTATTATTACTAATTAAGTATTCGGGACTCGAGAGTGAAGCATTTTCTTCAGTGGACTTGTTTTACAAGATCATCGAAGCATCGAGTTGTAATGTGAATCAATAGTTGTATACTCGAAATTATGAGATTAAGAATATAAAGTCGAAATTAAATCATATCTTATGAAGGTCAACTATATTTCAGCGAATACAAATACGAAATCATCTACGTTTTGTGAAAGAAGTGATAGAGATCCATGGCTCCTAAAGGAATTGGGGAGTCCACCATGATGCTATGCCAACTAAGTTTTCTTTTTCACACTAAAGAGTAAAGAGCATAACTTTCTTGTGTCTTTTGAAGAGCCCCATATTTCCAAGCATTCCCTTAAGTAGGGGGTACTCCTTTTTCATTTTTTGACCCGGTCCATGTTATCCTTGTAGTCAAATCAAGTCCTACAACAAAAGCTATTATGACATTTCTTTTCCAAACAAAAAGCATTACATCATACACTCTCCAAATGCACTTGCATGAAAAATGTGTGGGAGACAAATGGCACCTTGTGTAGGTAAGTGATGAATTGTTATGTGATTCGAGTTTTGTATTCCGTGAATATGTGAATCTTTTATGTGATTTTTAATCGAAATAGAACTCATTGATAAATTGGTGATAAGAATTAAGGTATCTAGTTCATTTATTGTGACAACCCAACATTTCATTTTCAATATTATTATGGTTGGTTGGTGTTGGAGGACCATATAGGTTGGCTCCCACTCCTCTCTTTCAATTCCTAAACCCTAACTCATTGGCCAATTGGTCCCCATATGAGGAGGGTAGTGGACTAATCCTATTCATAGCCTACCCATGTTGTCCATTCCAAACTAAAGGAATTCCTAGTTGCCTAAGCTTTCTCCAAAACTACATAGTGCCCATCCCTTTCTAGCTAGTATTACAAGGCAAGCTCTTGTCTTTACTTTCCATCAACGTTGTCAAACCGGTTTATACTAGTGTGCCGGTTTAGCAAGTGGAATGGTTCAACCGGTGGCACATACCAGTTTGTGCCGGTTCATGCCGGTTAATATTACAAATAAAATTATAAATACTCATATTTAAACATGACATTTAACGTCAATACCTAGCATTTATACTTGAATCCAACAAATAACATCAATATATAACTTTTATACTCATAAAATAAATAATAAAATAATTTTTATCAATTAAATTCTCTAAAATGAAGTCATTTTACTAAGAGATTCGTATATCGATCATGCAGGTCATACCGGTGGTGTCACGCCGGTATTATGACTGGTACCAGTTGAACCCAGTACAACCGGTGACACGCCGGCCGGCATGACAACCATGCTTTCCATCCATTACCTTTCGCCCTTTTCATTAGTAAGTTCATGTTAAGAGGGACTGATCATGGCCTAAAATATTCCTAAAACATAGGTCTTAATTAACTAGTATGAAGATTTTAAGAGTAATCATCTTCATAAATATGAATTACTCAGATTGTCGCTCGCTTAAGAGTAATCATTGAATAATAACAATACATGTCGAATTGAGATGTATGTAATTGATCGAACCACTAAATAACCAAAATACTTAGGTGTTATTTGATCAAAACAAGCAACACACAACCAGATTCCATTCATACTATTCTACGGTACCAATTTCTTGGTCAGCCCTATTTCTTCCACGTAAAGAAGAAAAGCGTCAACCTTGGATTTAGGTTAGCACAAGCTTTGCCTCCTACAATTTTGATTACTTACATATTTAAACTGATTTTTTTTAAAACATATCTTTCTCCCAGCTGAGCAAGAAATGATGAGAGAATGTCTGACCCTGACAATCTTGACCCAATCTCTCTCTCACAAACACACTTTCTCTCTCTAATATGCAGCCTTTGACCAGATCTCAGCCATCCATTATTCATCAATTTGGGTCACTTTGGTATCTGCAGATTCTGTACTTCACTGTGGCATGGCATTTCCTACATATGATAAAAGAGACACACTTGATTATCAAATATGGCACATGGTTTTAGGAAAAGATTGGGTGGGTTTTGGATAAAGGTGGGATGGGAGGGGATTCCTCTCCACTTTTAAAAGGACTAATCTGCCCTTCTGATTGTGTTTAACATTAATCACTAACCCCCATTGGCTTCCAATTATGGGAAGGATTGACATTGGGGAGTGGCATTAAGTATTAAACTCATTAACTAATTAGGAGTCCTCTTGTTATAATATGAAATGATTTTGATTGCTTATGGAGTGTTAAGTAATGAATTTGTCTTTTTCCGGTTCAACCAGTTCCCATTTTATTGCATTAAAACGGAGTAGAAATCAAAGCAATCTCTACAAAACCGATACAACGAGAGGAAGTTTCCAATGAATTTGTCTTCTTTTGAAACAACCGTTCAGTTTTGTATCTGAGTTGATCACATTGACTCTTGTGATGCATATGAAATAAACATGTAATATGACAGAAACATATGATGCACTGCATGCAAACGTAAAAGAAATTTAGTAACTCGATACAAATAACCAATTTTTGCAAAGAAAGTAATTAGGCAATTAGTATAGACATCGAAGAATATGAACAAAAATATAGATTTGTAATAAATAATCATTTAGGTAAACAAAAGGATATATCTACAACAATACTCCTCCCTTATAGAGAAAGATAAATAATGGACTGCAAATTCGTGAGATTTCAATCAACCACCACTTTGAAGTCAATATTTTGTTGCTTATACCACTAGATTAATGATCCGTTAATTATTTGATCTAATTTATCAATTCAATCAATACAAATTAAAAAAGTGAAAAAAGCACTAAACATCCACCATACTTTTTGAAAGATGAAGTCCATCAAAGACTAAGCAACACTAAACACTAGAAACATTACCAAATCAAAGGTCAAAAGGGTCAAAAAGAACAGGAGATAGCTGGACTATTATCAAAAATAGCAAAGGGGGAAAAGAAGGGAAAAATTAAATAAAGAGAAGAGCTAATTTAAATTGATAAAAACTCTTCCTTGGGAGAGATCAAAGATCCAGTCATCATTCATCATCCTTCTTCTTCCTTCTTCCCAAGGACCAAAAGGAAAAGGGAAGAGTATAATTTATAGATTGTCTCTCCCTTGTTTCCCTTCTTCTTCTTCTTTCTCTCCCTTTGTTATGTCCTCTAATTATGATCCAATCTGTTCTTCCTCTTCTGGGTTTCTGTCCCCTTCTCCTTCTTCCTTCCGCCACCGCCGCCAGCAGCACCACCGTTATCTCCGCCGCAGCCACCTCCACCACCACTGCCGGCAGCTCTCCCTCTTAGATCGGATCCCTTCACATCAACCCATGAGAAATTGAAAGCCCCAACTTCACAAATCTCTCTTTCCCTCTCTCAAATCAAATGCATTAAATTAATCAAAAGTGAAAAGTTCCCTCCTTGCACCTCTTCGCCATTAATTAAACATTTCATTGTCATCCCCGCCATAAATTTTCAACTGGGTTCCAAGAAGAAGGAGGAAAGGTTCCAGCTTTGAGCTGAATTTCGGTTTTTGGTTTTTTTCCCCCTCTGGGTTTGTTGGAGAAAGAGAAATGGGGAATGTGACGTCGAACGTGGCGGCGAAATTCGCCTTCTTCCCGCCGGACCCGCCGACGTACGACGTGCTGGAGGAGGAAGAAGGGAGGCTGGTGGTGCCAGGTGTCACGGCGGACAAGAACATGGATGTCCATACGTTGGATACCAAAGCTGGGAACAAGGTTGTGGCCATGTTCTGGAAGCACCCTTTTGCCAGATTCACCCTTCTCTATTCCCATGGCAACGCCGCCGACCTCGGCCAAATGCATGAGCTCTTCATCGAGCTCAGGGCTCATCTCCGAGTCAACATCATGTGGTTAGAAACTCTGGCTTTTGTTTTAATGTTCTGTTTTCATTAGTGCAAATTCACCGTACTTTGAGCTTGAAATCAACCATTAATGTTGATTGGGAGATGTTCAAGACTGGATTTGATGAAAGTTTCTGGCTTTTCGCTGAATTCTTGTCGAAATTAGAGTTGTTTCTGGTTTTGGGTTTTGGGATGCTTGATTGTATTCCTTGTTGTTCAAAGATTGGAGCTTTATTGTGATGACCTTTGTTCTCTGTTGTTTCTCTATGCAGCTATGACTATTCAGGGTATGGAGCATCTTCTGGAAAGGTAAAGAGAGCCAAAAAAAAAATCTCAAACCCATTTCGAAAAGCACTCAAGTTTATGTTCTGTTGATTCTTGATTGGGGACCAATTCGGTTTCTGATTAGAGTTGTTCTGCTGCATTGTGTATAGCCATCTGAGTTGAACACATACTATGACATCGAGGCAGTGTACAACTGCTTGAAGGATGAATATGGGGTGAAGCAAGAGGAACTGATACTCTACGGACAGTCTGTTGGCAGCGGTCCGACGCTTCATTTGGGTTCTCGGTTGCATAACTTGAGAGGAATCGTGCTTCACAGCGCGATCCTTTCAGGTATCCGGGTACTGTACCCTGTCAAGGTGACGCTTCCATTCGACATATTCAAGGTGAGCAAAGCCTGCTGGTTTTGTTTGATTGATTGTTGTTCTGTGATTGTTTTCGGAGGAGGACCTTCGAATGTTATTCTTGGTTTGGAGTGGGGGACTCATGAAGGTTGTGTCTTTTTGGACATTGTTTCTGCAGAACATAGACAAGATTCGACATGTCAGCTGTCCAGTTCTTGTCATTCATGTGAGTCAATTTCTCTGTTTTTTACTATGTTTCCAACTGTGTGAAGATTGTTTGAGCTCACTTTGTTTGCCAGTCAATTTCGTTGTTGGTTTTGTCGATGGCTTTTTGAAAGCTTGATTCCTTGGGATCCCCTTCACAATGTATGGATTCATATGCACATAATTCAGAAAGGTCAATTCATAAATGGCCATTGAATTTTGTTTTTAACTAGTCATTGAACTTATTACTAATATTATAGTCATTATGTTCATCTAACACCTTGTCGACATAAAGTTTACTGTTCGATCCGTTAATGACCCTAAAGTTCAGTGATTGCTTATGTAAAATGATATGCTTCCATACACAGGAATAGGATCACGTTGCTTCTGAGCATTTGTTTCCTTCCCTATGTTCTTGAGGTATCTATATATCATCGATGACATCTTCTATCTGCACACCCATCGAATTTTCAGGGCACGAGCGACGAGATTGTCGATTGGTCTCACGGGAAGCGCCTTTGGGAGCTCGCAAAGGAAAAGTACGACCCTCTATGGGTCAAGGGTGGCGGCCACTGCAACCTCGAGACATACCCTGAGTTCATCAAGCACTTGAGGAAGTTTGTCAACGCGATGGAGAAGATCGCCATAACGAAGCCAACAAAGCAAGCCAGTGCTGAACCAGCTATGGAGTCCAAGCAGAGCAAGTGCTTGAGATTCGGGTTGAAAAGCCGCGTGGAGCAGCCATCTTAGTGTTGGATGGTGGAAGAAGAAGAAGAAGCAGCAGGAGGTTAGTTTCCATTGCTATGGGGTAAGCACCAGCCAAAATCAAGATTTGATGCGGTTTTTTCCTGAAGTCCCAGCAATTCACATGGCCATTGAATTGAGAGAAGTGTTCATGTGTATAACCATTTTTGTTGTGGGAAAGGAGAGCCAATACAAGGTTGGTGTCTGGTGTTTGAGAATTGAATGTGGCTTGCTTGTTCTGTGAGGGAAAAGGAATCCAATATAGGTGTTGATTGATCATTTAGTTTTGTTGTGTAATGTTATGAAAGTTAGTTCTGTTGTTTTTTTTTGTTTTTGTTTGTTTGTTTGTAAAGAAAAGAAAGATAACAAAAAAATGGTATCTTTTTACACTGCTTGGCTACCTAGCAACCAAGATACAAAGTCGAACCTTGTCGAACCTTGTGGGAGTGAAATGAAGGGTAAAGCGCCACCAAAATGGGCCATCTTATCTTGTTTTTCTTGAAGTAATAGTTTTGCTCTATACTTCGAGAGGAATTAAAAGGCGATGTCGAAGGACTCCAGTATCGCGAGACCTCGGTTACCGATGTGTTATCGAGTGGAACTTGATTCTCAATGTGTGGCCCAACTTCTCATGACTTGGTCCATCAGGACACACCCATTGTTCGGCGGTTTCATCAACTACTTGCCTACGAGTAGGCGAAGTGTGTTTCTCGTATTTATCGGAGTGCGTAATAAGTGTATACCTTTCTAGTCAAGGGCATTGATTGTCCTATAGTTTACAGTGTGTGTCAACGTATGATTGGATTTTGTATCACTCTCATAAGCTTTCCCAAAACTCAGTATGATTGGGATTTGGGAACAACTCCGAGATGTGTGATTTTGGGCCTATAAGATAATGAGCCTCGCAAAAGTCAAAAGTATGTGAACTCTCTCTATGTAAATCGTAGATTTAGTTGTTGGATCCATCGGAAATTGGGCTCAAGCATATGAAGCTAAGAAAAAACGAGACTAGGCCATAGCCCAATCTTGTTAGAGTTGGACGAAGCCCAAATGAAACCCCAGTTCTGGATATTCATCTCTATTCACAAAGGTCGCGATGTAGTTGTACCTTTAAGGCTTTAACAAGGATGTTGATGTGACTTGAATCGGACTATCAGCCGCTACGACTGGTAATCGAGGGTCCCACATGGAGAAGTACTATAAATACTTCTCATACTCCTCTGTAATCTGTAATCTCCTCGATATAGTGAAACTGGCTCTCTCTCGCCCGTGGACGTAGCTAACACACATTGTGTTAGTGAACCACGTAAATCGTGTGTCTGTGTTTTTTCGATTCTCGCTTTCGTATTCTTGCTTTATCGATTTCAACGATTTCCCGATCCGTAGCAGCGCGTTTATAACAAATGAGAACATAGCTTATTGTGTGGTTCTCTCTCCCATGCTCTCTACATGCCACGTGTTAGATAGATTTTTGAAAGCCTTTACATCAACTAAAAACTGTTAAGTACCATGTGTGTGGTTTTAGTGACATTCATCGTTATAGGCTGTGGAGTTATGTTTTCTTCTTAGATGGTGGCAGTGCTGAAAAAAACCAGATCAAAACATGTGGAGACGAAGTTCTCACATAACTCAACATTCTATATGGGTGCTATTTGCAATTGCCTCCAATTTAATAAACAAAATCCTTCTATCGATTTCTTAGTTGGGATTTTTGAAGGCAACATACTTTTAAATTGACACATGATGATACCACAACAAAACGTAACTTTCAAGATGATGAATTCGAAGACTCTGAAATTCATGTTGATCATTCACTTTTTGTAATATTTGTTTTCTCAAACCCACTAAATTATAGGCTCGAACCTTTCGAGCGATAATGTCCGTGCTTGTTAATTAGTAGGCTACTCCTGCTAAGCCATCCTTTTTGTCAACCATGGTGAATGAATTAGTTACGATTCCTTGTATAAGATACCACTCAAGAATATACTCATTAACCAAACAGAGATGTCTATACTACATGCATCGTAATGCTTAATCAGCATGCAACTAATATATCAAATACTAGTCTTTCTCCAATCTCGATGGATATGATCCTACGACCAACCGTGCGCTCGTTTTCATTTAAATTCATTGGTGATTTTACTATCCATTTGATTATCGAGTAAGAGCTAGTCATGGTTGCACATGTTTTCATAAAAAGAAGAAGGAAAAAAAAACATATCTCTCTCTTCCTATAGTTTTTTTTTTATATATGTATATTAGCTAAGGAATCTCTCTATAGCTTCCTATACTTATCCCACAACATGATGGTGACAACTAATCAAGGCCAATTTAAGTTTTTATATTCCAAAAGAAGCCCTAGCTATCTACTTAATTATGTTGCACTTGATGATTAATTAGATGAAAGTTTGAAGATTCAGATTTAGGGGGTTGATACTCCCTATGGCTAATCCCTATTAATTAGGGATAACTGACTAATTTTGTCTGGTGCTAGCATCAAGTATTGATTCCTCAGATATAGCGCAAATGACTTTGGAACAGTACAGCACAACAAAAATCATGCATCTAATTATGATAAAGGAGTTTGGCCCTAGCTTACTAGCTAATCCTGCATAATTGGACCATAATAATAAAGCTATTACTAGTTTATGCCACCCCAAGTATTTGAGCCCTAACACTAATAACTTAATTTTGTAGTTAGTGGAACTTAATAATTAATTAAGCAGCCATTAATTAAACAAATTTGGGATCTTAGAGTGTGGAGAGCAAGACGAAGTGCTAACCCAAATGGCCAAATCCCATATGTGACCCCATACCCACTTAACTAATCTTATTTTCTTGTGAAAAATACTAACTATTTTTTTAAAATTTTAGGCACATGTTATTTCGACATCAAAGTAGCTGTTTTTCTTTTATTGGGGGAAGACCTCAAATTTGCATTCCAGGTAATCAGAATTTTTCAATGCATACAAATTATGAAAATATTAATTTTTATGCTTGGTAATTGGTATAGTGATAATTTGATCATTGAAGTTGAATCTAACATGCACATTCTGTACAATCCTCGTTTCAAAAAATACAATAATAATTTCATCGTTACTGAATAATTTATATACTAAAAAAACATTAAAAAGTTGTACGATAAAAGACTATCAACACCTTGATCTCCTCCAACATTTTGGTTCAATTTTGAAAAAGTACAACACTATCAAATTTACAACTCACGACTCCGAAATGAGACTTACCCATTGTTATACATAATTCGTAAAAACAATGTCATACACGGCCTCATCTTAAACCGATCGATGATTGTATCTATTACAACTTCGACATACACTTGTGTAATTTTTTTGTTGTTTCGCTTCCACTAATTCTCTAGATTGAATCTCTATGTTTGGTTTAATTAAATTTATAAATAAATGTCGACATCGGGGTAGATCAGGCAGCCTAATCAATTACAAGACCAAACTCGACAAGTATGAAGTAATAATAATGTGAGGCTACATTACACCCTATTTGTGTCTAATAGAACATATAGTGATGTCCTTGTCCTGTTTGCTTTCTTTTCCAAATAAATACAAATCAACCAGCCTGGATTAATCAATTAATTTGGCCATAAAAGTCGACTCTTCCGTTTTTTATAAACTTGAATTAAGGATGTGACTTGTCTCAAATTGGTAGATGTTTTAGCGACGATATAAAATAATTGAATCATCGTTAAACTAAAGTTTTAGTATAGAATATCTTAGCACCGACGTTTATGACATAATCGCCTATACAGTTTCACAATTTTTCCTCCTAACCCAAATGAATTTGATTCAATACATTCTTTTTTCGTATATTATAAGCAAATAGCTTATAGCCGAGCCTCTTTATTTTCCATTTTTGCAAATTTGTTTACATCATCATGATCGTTTGATGATAGAAGCACCCTTGCCTACATGCACAAAAGTATCCATAATGAGGCGCACTTTGATAAAGAGTTTTCTTGATTTACTTGGTTACTGCATATTGTCAGTTGTCACACGAGTTTTCTTGGGAGGAGGCGGATCGAATTTTACTAGATTTTGTGTTCGACTCGTAACGAATTAAACGATTATGGAGACCCATTTTAACGATATCCAATACTAAAACAAATTTGGTATCCATGAATGTAGATTCAATCGCAGTTGCAATTTGTTACACGAGCAGGATTATATCCAATCCTACCACGTTTGATGGTTTCTCAATTTTGGATAAAAAAATATTTGATGAGAGGCTATAAGTATAACCCCCTCTGGACTATACACATCTTTACCAGTTACCACTAATATTTTCGCTATCAATCTAAAAATTTGAGTGGAAAATTCGACAAAAGTGAATGTACAAGGTGGATTGGTAACTGATTCATTAGCAACTAATTTATTATCACAATATGTAATTGATAACCAAATCATCTAAGGTAAAATCATCATGGAGAAAAAACAATCAAACTTGTCATATTGGAAATCATCAATCAATCAAATTCAAATTAATGAGCAAAAAGCCAAAGTGGAACATTAGTAGGTATCCATAAATAAAAATATGAACCAAGGCAAAGAGTGGTTGAATTAAATTGAACTTTCCATTTCCCATATAGGGTGGCGGCCTTATTCATCATTGTTTATTTCTTTGCCATTTTTGGCTTTCCCATGTTTTCTCTCTACCAAACCAACCTAGCTAAATTGAGTAAATTCCATGTTTGCCCCTTTGGGAGCCCCCCACCCCAAAATTACCCTTATCTCCTTTTTTTTCAATGATGGTTGTAAAATAGACGAGATATTATAAAGTATTAAAAATAAAAATATAGTCAACAAAGTATTGAGCTACTATGCAAGGGTCGTTTTTGTCAGTGAATGAGCAGCCATGTTAATACTATAACGAGCACAAACATAACGAATGACTGGAAAGGATATCTTCAGCAATCAAACTTCCTCAAGCATCGGTCCACCCCGGTCACGATGCACACACGCCTTGGTCAAATAAAAGAAGAGTAATTATCCTTCATGAAGTGATTTGCATGGTTTAAGAAACCCTACCGTACCGGTCGGTCGGATCGCAAATATCGAATAGCAGATCCAAAGTGGTGGTGGTTTTAGCAGTAGGAAATAGTTGAATCACAGTTAAACTGAGATTTTAGTATAAAATACCCTATCGCTGACATTTCCAATATAAACCTAGTACGGTTTCACAATCCTTGATTGTATGTGAAATACAAATCTCTCAGTCGAAGGTTATCATCTAACAAATAGCTAATCACGATGTGAATGAAAATTAGGTGTATACTACCGCGCAGCTTATTGGATATTAGCCAAAATTATGTAACTTGATTTGTTTGAATGACTACTATTCTTCCTTTCGTGTCAATATCCATATATGGCGTGGCTTCGAAATGTAAAGAAGGAAGCAAAAACCAGACAGAGCATGCACTGCAATAAATTATATTGTTTTGTTAGTGTAATATAACAAACTGATCAAAAGCAAACAAAACCCAGAAAAGATATGAGACGACATACCAACAGCAAAAGGATATTCTCATTTGGTCTCATTCATTAGTGTTCACTTCCAACTTAGGGTCTTGATTAGTTTCTTGAGATGACCAAGGTCATGCCTGGTTCTAACTTCTATCTATTAGGTATGGATTGAAATAATCGTCGTTCTCCAATCAGAATCAGGCTATCCTCCTTATAATACAGTATTCATTTAACGGTCATGGATCGTCCTTAATATAGAGTCTCGATTGGTTTCTTGAGATTACCAACGTTTAATCTGGTTATAACTTCTACATATAGGTATGGACTGAAATAGTCGTTCTAGAACCCGGCTATCATCCTCGCAATACAGTATCCATCCAGCGGTTGTGGATCGTCCGTGCCCGATCCAACAACACAAGCTAGACAGTTGTGAGATCCTTCTTACATATGGATTGTGAGGAGAATAATAACCAAACCCTCATTTCCCAAGCAAAATTGTTGCACCTTGTAAAGTGGAGGAAGAACACACATTATAAGTCATGACAATGTTCTCACCGAACAGCTTCTAATGATACGAGTTTCGCGTCAAACAATGGCACATGTTGAATTAATAAAAGTAAACATAGACTACGAGATTTGATTAGCCTTTTCAATAAAGTTATCTAACCCGTTACTCAATGCTCGTTATTATTATTTATTAGTAGTTGGTACGAGTACTTTGAAAGTTGTGTTTGGCTTGAATTAGTCACTAATTAGTTGCAAATTATATCCCCATTGTGAGTGGTTTGATTGTCCATATACATGAATGAAATAACTTGTAGCTAAGATCGATTGCAACCCAAATGGATAAAAATAATCTTGTTTTCTCTTTGTTTTGTTTACAATGATCATGATAGTAAACCCAATCAAGTCACATTGATTATTTATCAAGTTGAAAGAGAGGACAAAATGGCTGGGGGGATTAGTGGGTCCAAAATTGGTGATTTGTGGGTCTTGTCTTGTGGCTAATTGTAGTAACTGCATGAGGCTAGGTAGGTCGGAAATGCATCCATCATTGAGTTTTGCAGGACAAAAATAGAGCAGTAGGCTATTTGTCTTATGTAGATAAATTGACATCTCTGTCGTCTTTCTTTGATTTAATTACATGGATAATTGTAATGGTTAGTCATAGAGCTAATGTCTTACCAATTGTGTTATTTTTTTAAATTTGTTATCAATTTTACAAGATGGTCGTAAATAGAGCCCAAAACATCAATATACTTCTTGATTTGTTGGCATAAGTTTAAGGACGTGAATACATCAAGAGTCTAAAATAAGAAGGTTGTAGATATATGGGATGTCGATCTTTGGAGTGTTTCGATGACATGTGCTTTTTAGTGACTGCAATATTCTGGACTCTATACTAAGAGATCTCATATTGGCGAACATCAAACATATACGAGATGCCTAGTCACACGAGAGATCATAGACACTGATTTTAACGGGGGATATTTCAGAGGATAAACACAACATAAAAGAAAGAAGAAGAGATTTTTGGGTAAACCCTAAAAGCTATATGTTCCCTATGGATACTGATCCCATTATCTTCACATGGGGATTATAATAGTTCAAAGCTTAACCTCTAAAAATTCTTCAAATTTAACTCAACCATCGTAACATATCATTCCAAGTTTCAGCTTCTAAACGACTTTCTTGCAAATCTAAACTAACACATATCTAACCCCCTTTTCTTCAATCAACCTCTCATCCTTGAAAAACTCGACTCAAACTAGTTCGTTTTCATCATTTATACTTTCCGTAGTCTACTCGTACAGGACTAATGTTTGCCCACCATCAAATGTAACATATCACGCGTAGTCTATTTATACAAACAAGTGGATAACTACACAATGAGAATGGTACATAATTAAGCAACTCATTAAACTATCTTTGCTTGTGTTCTTCTCCAACCTATCACTTGAGACTGAATCAAACACACAGACGTCACTTTGATGTTAAATGTTTGCAAATTTAGTAACTATTTCCTTTGTTTATTCCTTGGGCTTCGAGGGTTTATATATTTATGGACGGTGGTCAGTGTTGGTGTTCTGTTTTTGTTTGTTGGTTGTTTGCGTATATTCTCAATATCAAGTAATAACTACTAACATACACTTCTCAAAACAAAAATAATTAATACTAGTACATAATTTTTTCTTATAAAAGAAACACAAAAATTTGACCTAATGATAGTTGAAAAGATAAAATTCAATCGTTTTTCGATTCTAATTGTCGCACCAACAATCGTTTAATAAAAATTGAATATTTTCAACCCCTAAAATAGGGACTCTTTTGCAATTTGGCCAGGAATTTGTTTATTCAAATTGCCAATAGTAATGGGAATGGGGCGGGACAAATATATATGCCAAGGCAGATCGAGTGTTATTTTATTTAAGAGCGATATATGTTTGTTTTTATTATTACATGCTATTTAAGATATACGAACCTAAAATTTATAGGTTGAAAGTATCACGAGAGCAATCAATTGTTCGCTCGGTTTGAGTGTTATTCTTATTTGCATATTATTTGAAGACAAAAACATAACAATTCAATTTTATAAAGAGAAAAGAAAGGGAATACTTTTTAAATGAAAACGAAACAATATACTCTTTGAAAGATTGAGTCTTGCACTAACTCAAAGTCGTATTGGGCAAACAATGAGTTAGGAAAAATGAAAGAGGAGAAATAAAAGTAGATAGTGAATGCACGGCTACACCTCACCTCCAAACTGGTCGAGACATGTCAAAATTACCTATTGAGTGATGATCACCAACAAGCGATTTCAAGGTAACTTCAACAACAATTTTAATTTTCTCTTTTTATCCAATTGTGCTCACTCTTCCCACTTTCCTTCAAAAAGAGCCATTTCCAACCATCCAAAAGTGCAACCCCATTGCTTCAAATCAAACTCTCCAGAACATCTTGCTGCAACACTCAACCCCTCTAAAATAGGCAAATTTCACAACTCATATTACAAATCGATCTGCAGTATTTGTTCCCACATGTGTGTTGAGATGAATAAATATGAAAACTATTTCTTATTCACATCTCACATGCATGACACATAATTAATTAATTAATAATGAACCAATAATAATATGCTTCAGTTAGTTTAGTTGTTGATAATGATGATGATGATGACCCTTTTTTTTGGGGGTGTACTTGGCTGGCAATTGGTTGTCAACACAGGTTAAGATGATGAGTGCCTTGCATCTAACTTCTATTGCTTGTGTAGACATCATCAATGGCTTTCATGAGTCGTTGACTCTCTTTCTTTTTACTTGTGATCCTCCATATTTCTAGAAACTTAGAGCACCTATCACGGATCGGTGCGTAGACCTACGATTGATATCGTTCAGTCAAGTTGTCTGTATTGGATTGCTTGTCACTCGATAAGGTTGAGTTTGGAGACCTTATCTCGGACTCTCTCTGAAGCTTGAATTTGACGAGGGACTTCACAGATTTGGGTTTCATGAAGGGGGGTGGCATGGTTTGGATCAGTCCAAAGCTGAACCGAATCGGGAACAGACTAGAGCAAAAATAAAGGAAAAAAGGATCAGCTGAACAAAACTAAAAAAAAAACTCATTTGATTCGATTATGTTTCGTTCGGATTTCAACGATCCCTTCTTTTCCTCTATTATAAGATGATTCATGAAATCAAAACTGAATCGATTAATATATGATTCACTCCGAACATTAATTCGGTTATGTATGTGGACCGAATCGTCACCTGCCCTTTATTTCAGGTGCTCTCACATACTTATTTCTCCCAACTCGAACCACCAAAACCAACCCTTTCCGCCAGTAACCTAGCTAGCCGGTCGAACCAAGTCAATTCTCGACAACTCAACCCCCAAAAAAAAAAAAAAATCATTGGCGCACTCGTCGTCACGTCGGACGGCGGGAAGGCAGCTGTGGGACCCACCAATATTTGTTGTTGCAATTCCCGAAATGTCCTTGTCTTCCTGATATCGTGCGACCATCGCGTGTCGTTATCGGCAGGTAAAAAAGGCTGCCTTTCTTTCTGGGGCGTTTTGGGGAATCTCCGCAGTCGAAAACGGGTCCCACCACTTGATTAGGAATCCAGCCAATAAGATGTCGAAACGTGGCGGGAGCCCGTGGACCTGAAGATGTAGTGGGCTGGGGGCCCAATCTGAACAAAGATGGGGCAGGGGGACGAGGGAACCGTGAAGTGTACTTCCTATTGGCCACGACGCTGACCTAATCCAATTCGTACCCACCCCCCACTCTCTCTCCATTGCTGAGTGATCATCACGCGCTCTTTTAGGTAAAATCATTGGACAAATTATATGGAAAGGTTTTTTTTTTCTGGTGGGCAGAACAACCAATGCAATTAAAAGTGTGATCCGATGTAGAAGAGTTTTAAGTTATATAGCATGATTTTGACTATATTTGTAAGTAAAAAATGCAATTCTACATAGAAGTATTTTGATGATTTAGAAGCGTAAAAGTGCAAGATTTCAAGTTTTGAAGTACGGTTTTGAGTACATTAAAACATCATTACCAGTTGAGTATTAAGAGGACAGTTGAGTTGTCAATATGATCATATGCATCTTGTGAGGTAATGTCTTGGTAAGAAAGATGAACGAGTTTTGTGCAGAGCGGGATGACGAGTTTTGTGTATCAAACAACCGACTAAGAAATTCAAAATGAACAAATCGAATGTCTCGATCCATGTTACATAACTCACAAAGTTAGCTCCTCGGTAAACATACAAGGTTTAATATCGTTTGCTTGTGAGATTTGGGTGATGGATTTGACACCCAAATTCCAAGCATCAAGGACTTGACATACCATTGTTTGCTTAAGAGAGGCAAATTCGTGGAACCCACGGATTTGGACCCATTTTTTTGTATCCAAATCCATGGACCCCACGGATTTGCAAATCACACATTTTATTTTGGATTTGACAATGAAAGGTAAAGTTGTAAGACAAATCCTTCATAAATTCATGATAAAAAAATAACTAAACAAACAATGTATTCTTTCAAATCCATAATGCAACAAATCCATCATAAATCTAAAGATTTTAAAACAAAAAACCCTTGTTTTCAAATCCAACAAGCAAATGAGGATTAATTCGATGTTTCGAATTAAGTTTGTGGCCAGGATTTGAGTTAATCGTGGTAGTCACTCGACTTTTCCTTTTGTTTAATTTTCTGAATTGCTATTTGTCGCCCTAAAATTTAAATTATTTCGCCCTAAATCATACTATATTGACAATTATATCCTTGTACCCAAATTCAATCCGTAATCCCTAACCTGAACCACTGCTGCCGTTCCCCCAACCCGCCGCCACTCCTCGTACGACCACCGCTGCCGTTCTCCCAATCCGCCGCCGCTCCCATTCCCCCACCTCACCGTCCTCCTATCATTACTGAGAAAGAATCCCACCAGCCCGTCGCCGGAGAGCTCGTAGGCAGGTCGCGGACCATTTTCTGCTTCTGCATGGCTTCCAAAACATGATTCATTTATGCTTCTGCATTGCATTTTCGGATAAGGATTCCCACTACTAATTACCATCCGAAGCCTGCTTCCTCAGTTGATTCCGTATGGAAACCAAAATCACTAATGAAATTAAAGCATATATAATTGTGTATGAAGAATGGCCAGTATGCTTTATTATGCATTAGTTTTCGTGTTTACCTTTGGGCAATTAACTCTCTTCCTGTCATGATATGGACTAAGGATATTTAAGTCATTTTAACAAATGTTAGGGCGACAAATAAAGAGTTTTAGGGCGACGAATAGCAATCCCCTTAATTTTTAGTCGAACATCAACATGTTTTTTGTGGGTTAATTACTTAAAAAGTACATATGACAACGGATCAGATGAGAAGCGGACAGTACATATCCATTAAAAATCTTTTGAAGTGGATCATGGCTGCTCGGATCGAATGTTTAAGTAGATTACTACTACAAGTATAGCTTTGTGATGGAATGAAGGAATGCGTTAAAGTTGTTATGCGGTTATTTGTTATATTTAGGTGACATGGACTTCATTTTACCATGGATAATCTAGATTCTCAATATATATGAATCTTCAGAAGATCCCAAGGATAGATTGATGCAAATCCAACAAGTTAGTTACCCAAACCCAATCCATAGATCACGAAATTTTACAAATTTTGGGATATGGTTTTAAAGCATCGTTTTATACATTTGGACAATGAGTTTGAGCATAGAGATTTTGGATACATGAATCACCGTACTTGAATTACAACTAATTCATATCATCAAAATTTCCCACGACGATGTGAATCTTTCTCCGGATTCAGAACGAAGGATACTACGTACTCCTGAGACAAGCTCCGACCTCATGCAACTAGTGAGAATCTTCAGAAGAGGTTAGATGCATGAGTATATAAGCGAGTGCTTTTTAAGATGTACTCGATGGTAGTTTCAACCATTTTCATTTGCGATCTTGGCCTTGCCACAACGACACCCCTCGAGATATTGCGCGTTCGGAACTCTACAATTCAGTGTTGTTTGTGGTTTAACCCCAAAACTGCATTCGCCCGTTCATTTTAATATTAATGATGCTCCATTTGGAGGAAAAAATGACATTGTTATGATAATAGTAATAACAACGAGTCAATGATAAATCACAGTCAATGGTGGTTAAGCATTGTGAAAGCTACACTCTTAAAGAAATAATAACCACAACTTAATCATTTTTAGAGTGGGAAAACACACACAAAAAAGCGGCTACAAGGCATGAATTGCATATCACTATTTGATATTGGATAGATAATTTGCTCACAACCCTTATTCTTATTGGTTGTGTGCGTGCAATCGAATATACATTATAAAAATACCAAAAATTAAATAATAAAAACAAATGAAAGTCTTCAACATTTTCATTCTAATAAAAAATTTTATGTAAAAGAAGAAGTTTTCAACATCAAATGGCTCAAATTTTAGTATTTGAAAAAAAAATTAATGGAGCATTTTTCGCATGGCCAAAAGAGTTTGAAGAGAAGACAATGGGTGGATATAGTGTTGAGCATGATCATTTGCTTTGATAATTTTCCATATTTTATGAGGGAATTTTTTTAATATAGAAAGGCTAATAGTTCATTTCCTTTTAAATATTTATAGAAAAAATCCAAATTTAAAATTATTATTTTTCTTACTCACAAGATTTGACATAGTCTTGAATATGTATCCTAGTACATGTGTGGTTAGTCTTATGCACATTCATATTTTTGTCATGGTTGTTTTTAGTGTATTAGGAATCAATCAGCATTCACCAACCACTATATCGATTGATCTGTGTGTTACAACATCAAAATTTATATTTCTAAATTTAAAATTCATTTTTACAAAGACCGATAAGAAATTGATATATCTAATTATAGTAAAAGCGTTTATGGTGCAATTTTATATATGTTCCTTGAGCTAAAAGTCTCTTGGTCGCACTTAATATTTCGATAAGATAATTTGATCAAGACGTTTGTTTAAAGTGGCTCAATAACTCAAGAAAAATCTAAACGGTAATCGTAAGCACTCTGGTTGAATTATTTCCGAAACTTCATGTTTATGCTTGCTATATCTTAATTTGAGTACAATTATAAATAACAAAGCACATTGGGGAAGTACAAAATTGGAAAAAAAGGAACTAGAATGGCTACTAATTGAATCATTTGTTGCAATGGAGTAATTAATCTTTCCATATATTTCAATAGAAGAAAAGTTCTTGCTTTAAGTAATTTAATTTATAATATTTCCAAATTTGTTTCGTGGACAAAGTGGAAGGTAAATCCTTGGTAGTTATAATCCATTAAATTTATCCAGATTCTGTTGTATTTATTATCATACATTATTGTATCAAATACCCTAAACCTCATCTATATTCAAATTTCAAAACCAGTTATTTTCAACTATAGTTGTTGTATTCTATGCTTCACTTTTTTATGTCCAAAGTATAAACTTGATTAGATTGCATGATCTACTATTCCAAATGCATTACACTCTGAATAGTTAGGGACTTTACATCTGATTTCTCACTTAATTTTCTGTATTACGACACACTAAAATAAATTTGTTGCTTTTACAATAAGAAAATCTCGACGTTCATACCAGTGTCTCGATGTTTTCCATTGGTCGCTGGCTCGTTGCCCTATATCATATTGTAAAAGTTAGTGACGGTTGTCAATTTATCAACCAATCAAAAGTTGTTACTTGCGGTAATTTTTTTACCATATTAAAATTTCAAGAGTGGACATTAGTAGTTTCGAGAAGTCAAATTATCGTCACACTATTCTTCAGTCTTCACCATCGATGACATACGAATAAATAATTATGACATTTCTCATGAAAAAGCATCTTCGAGAAGTCTAATTGATGAGTATTACACTTAAATTACATCTATCTTAAAAAATAAACGATGAAAATTCTTTCGATCAACAAATTTACAAAACGAACTAAATCATTCCTCTTAGTCCTTACACAAAGCAAGTCAAGGGGAAGTTAAACTAATGAAAAAGACAGCAAAAAAATCTGTTTTCTTAATTAACCAAATCGCTTATTAATTTAGTTAAACACCGAATTAATGAAATTCCCGGAAGAGAGAAAAAGGAAGAAAAATACTGTTTAATTGTTTTAATTACCTTGCCTAATTATTAATTATAAAATGGCGAAAAAGATGACCTCCATTATCGAGTTAAACAAATCGAGAGAAAGAAGAAAGAGAGAGGGAAGGGCGAGTGTGAAGCGCTGCTCTGTTTTTTTGTGTTCCATCTGCGAAGAAGAAAATCGGAAACAGAAAAGAAAGCTAAAGACAAATACAGAGTGGAGAGAGAGAGAGAGAGAGAGAGAGAGGGATTTGAGCTTTATGCTGTTTTGTTGGGAGTTGAAAAACTGAGTGGCGTATTCTTCTTCCTTTTCAATTTTTTTGGTCTGCTTTTGGCTTAGCAATCGCCATTATTGAGCTTCAATCTCCACTATTTCCATCTGGGTTCTGGGTTCGGCTTTCATTTTCGCCGGAATTTGGGATTTCAAGCCGGAAAGTTTGCTCCTTTCTTTCTGGGGGATTTGTGCTCTCTGTTTTTCCCCCTTTCTGTTTGGGAGTTTGCTCTGTTTTTTTTCTCCTTTTCCCATTCGTAATGAAGGTGGAGGACGTTAGCCCCGGCGGCGGCGGCAACTCAGCTTCTCTCGGCCGTGAGTTTTTCCCGAACGGGTTGCGGGTTCTGGCCGTCGACGATGACCCGGTTTGTCTCAGGCTTATCGGGCAGCTACTTCGCAAGTGTCAGTACCAAGGTATAATCCACTTTCTTTCCTCCATTCTCTGTTTCATTTTAACAGAATACCCTGGTTTCATCCTCTGTTTAATTTTAAAAGAATACCTGGTTTTACTTATTAGAATTGCCATTTGATAAATTTTGATTCCATCTCCAAATCTCAGCTTGGAGGAATGTTCCAAATTTAGCTCCTTGGGCACCCTGTTAATGACGTCCTAATTTTTTCCAAACTCTCTGCAACTACACGAAATTTCATAAATTCTCCTCTTATTTTGGCAGTCACGGTGACGAATCATGCGCTGGAAGCTCTGAAAATGCTGAGGGAGAGGAGAGACGAGTTTGACTTGGTAATCAGCGACGTGAACATGCCAGACATGGACGGGTTTAAGCTTCTGGAGCATGTCGAATTCGAAATGGACATTCCAGTAATCAGTAAGCTAGCCCCTGAAAATTTCCCCCTTTCCACACTTCACAATTCAATTTCCCTCTTAATTCTGATTGTTCAATTTTGGATCTCTACCAGTGCTGTCTGGTCACAGTGACAAGGAGCTGGTCTATAAGGGCGTGACTCACGGGGCTGTGGACTATCTGCTGAAACCGGTTCGAATGGAAGAGCTGAAGAACATATGGCAGCATGTGGTGAGGAAGAGGAGAATGGGAGGGAAGAAGAGCGATTCGTCGAGTTTGACTAACAAGGTTGAGAGGGATGGCAATGGAGTTGTTGGTGGTGTCGGATCGAGTGAGTGCTCTGACGCGAATGGGAAATCTACGAGGAAGAGGAAAGATCAGGATGACGAGGAAGGGGAGGAAGACGATGGGGATAGTGATGGAAGAGGGGAGAATGAAGAAGGAGGCAACCAGAAGAAGCCTAGAGTTGTGTGGTCTGTTGATCTGCATAAGAAGTTTGTTCATGCTGTTAATCAGCTGGGATATGACAGTAAGTGTCTCAAATGTTTGATGTTGAAGTTTCTTTTTTGGATTCATGGAATGCTTTTGGTTTCTGAATACTTCAGGGACTGATTGATTTGCTGTTGCAAAATTTGGTTTTTCTTTTGCAGAGGCTGTTCCTAAGAAAATTCTTGATATGATGAATGTTGATGGGCTCACAAGGGAGAATGTAGCTAGTCATCTACAGGTGATAAAATCTTTCCATGTCATCCTAGATGTAATTAGAATGTCAAATTTTGATCTGAAACGTTGGACCATAAATCGATTCGTTTAGGTATTACTTGGCCGACGTAAAATGATTATAATGTATAGTAACTAACTTGTTTTGCGTCACGTTAAACTCGTTCTATTTAAGTTCTTTCTATTTCCTCCTATTTTTTACCCTTTTTAATCATACTATATCTTTGAACCCATTTAATAGTCGTGTCGTACTCTTTCTTTTCATTTATTAATTTAGAAAATGTTCTTACTATGCAGTTTCATGTTATAGTTGAATGGTAATCAACAATACTATAGAATTTGTTACTAATATAGTTTAGCAACACCACAGAGTTGTTCCTGATGTGAAGTTTTTGGTACAGAAATACAGGCTCTACCTGAAAAGAATGAGCTGTGACAAAGCCATGGGCATCCCATTTGGATCCAAAGATGCCTCCTCCTACCTTGGCATAGCCTCATCAATGGATGGATTCGATGAATTTCGATGCTTGACAACACCGGGAAGGCTCTCAACATACCAACCAGGCAGCTTGCTTGGCAGACTGAATCCTTCATCTGGTCTAACTTTGAGAGGAATCGCCTCATCTGGCTTGCTCCAGCCAACCAATTCCCAAACTTTGCTCAATTCTTCTGTCACTAATGTTGGACAACAAGTTCAGCAGTCATCCTTTTTCTCAACTGCCCAAACTTCAGGCTTGTTTTCACCTTCTCATAGTAAGCCAACTTTTGGACATGTTTCTAGCATTGGAGGAGCTGCCAGTACTTCTGGAAACACTATGCTGCTACAGCATAATCTTCACAGTAGGGGAACGTTTGGAGCTCAGTCTGCTGGTCTTGGTATACCCTCGTCGAATCGGGATTCTTTCGGTGTTGGCATCCGACATGGACCGTTGTCTCCCAACTTGTTGGACAACAGCAGCAGATGCAATGGAAGCTGGGAGAATGCAATCCAGCTACCAAAGTTTCCTTCCAATCCACTGAGTGAACAGTTCAGTCATGAGCCCTCATTGTCTGCAAGGGAGTTTAGGCCTTCTTCCAGCTCTCAGATGGGGAATATCGATTTCAGTTCTGCTAGCCTTGGACCTCCACTAGCTGGTGCTGAAATGACAGGTCAAGTTGGCCTCATTGGCAATGTGATTGAGGGCTTTAGCAGTCCCGTCTTGACCAACTCATTTGGTGGGATGAACTCGATTGGTTCATTAGACCAGGTGCCATTTGATCATGGCATGGATCAAGGGAAAAGCTTTGATGGTTCTTCTTCTGCCGCGGGGCAATTGAGTGGTGGTGTGTCACCAACTGGGTTTGAAGTTGACAAATCACAGAATGGATTCATCACTGATAGTAGCAGCTTCGATCCTTTGGATGATATGGTGGCTGCGATGATGAAAAGGGTAGCTAGCCCTTTTTCTTCTTTTGATTCCCTTGCTGTTGATGATGCTATTTCTTTCCACATTGTTTGCTGACTCCTTCAGTTAATGTATTTTTTGCAGGAGCAGAATGAAGGTCTGATCATCGACGGAGACTTTGGACTAGACTCATTCCAAATTGGATCATGCATTTGAGGGTGGAGAAGAAAAGGGGCTTTAGAAGTTTCATAGGGGACTTAATTGTATCATCATGGCTCTTTTTTAGTTTCTAGACTTCTTTTTGGGTTCTGTCCCTTTTGGTCTCTGCAACTTTTGTTCTTGTTTAGTAGTAATGTCCCAATTCTCTCAAGTGACTGCAGATCAAAGTTCTTTTCTTTTAGTTGGTAACTTGTGTTTTAAGTTAGGACCTTTTTAGGGTTAATCTAAAATGTTCTAGTTCTCCATGAAAAATAATGGAAATGGCATAATGTCTTCAAGAATCTACTTTCTGGGTTCCTACATTTTGGTCCATTTCTGGAATTCTAATGTTTAGATTTGGAAATGTGACTATGGATTGATAGAAAAGTTGTTTTTAATGAATTAGGATATATATGATTTTTGAATTCTCAACTTTAATTTTTGAATTCGCCATGGGAATCTTTCAAGAATCTTTTATGAGATAGAGTTAATTAAACAAGAATCTTTAATGAGATTACATTCCCTGGTAGAGGAGCTATCATTAGCAAATTGGATTAAAGTGAATCTTTTTTACCATTCATGAGTGAATAAATTGAAAATTAATGTATTCAATGATGAGATAAATGTAAAGAAGGATATAAGATTTCCCCACAGATCTCTCTTCAGTTTACATATTCGAATCTGAAACAGGATTTTTCCCATCTCATCCTTAAACTGGAAGAATTTTCCTGAATATGATCATCAAGCTACTTGATCTATGAACAATGTAATAAACAACTATATAATATAAGCTTTGAAGTTCCTTCAACTTGCCTTGCTTTTAACAATAAGAACAATGTATTACAACAAAAGAATCTCAATATCAAGCATTTGAACTCTCTGTCAAGTTAAAAAAGGACCTCTAATGTTCACCAGTGTATCTCAACAAGTCATTGAATCAATCAAACATCAAAAGAATTCATATAAAGCTCCTAACTCCACCTGTTAGACTCCAAACAATGGAACACAAAAGTAATCAATCGAGTTCAATTAGCTGAGCTCTTCTCTCTGCAGCCCTCTTCCTAACAAAGATTCCCCACCTTAATGCAGCCTTCAGCTTCAGCCAACCAACAACAGCTTTCCCGGAACTTCTTCCACGATCCTGCGACGCATACACTTGATCCATCTGAGGCTGATATCCTCCTCCTCCATCTCCTTGAATGTTGTAAGAATAACCACCATCGCCAGGCCCACCGAAGCCCGACCCACTCCCAAAGCCACCACCCATTCCCATGCCAAATGACCTTAGCAGCCTCTGCATATCGTCTCCTTCCAACATCTCCAAGCTTCTCATCCTGATTTCCTCCGCGAAAAAGTCTCCTCCAGAGTGGTACCCGGGTGTACCCACTGACATGAAGTCCATGCTGCTGCTGGTCAATGCTGCAGCTTGCTGTTGCTGTTGATGATGACTGCTGCTGCTCATGGTGGCGGTGGTTGCTGATGTGGCTTGATGGTGATGATCTGGCCTCACGAATGGGAAGTCGATCAGCTGAGATGGATGTGGTGGGTCTGGGGAGATGTAGAGCTGCTTGTTTTGATTGCTTGGTACAAAATGTTGTTGCGCGTCATAGTTAGTTGTGGAGACAGGTGGAGGAGGCAAGGCTTTCTTTGGGGGCTTGCTGGCTGCCAGAGCAGTGAGGACCTTGCCATCGTATTCTATGACCTGATGCCAGTTCTCATAGGCTCTCTTAACTATAGAATCCACTGAAAGCTGTAAAGATCGATGGATAAAGTAGTTTAGATATCAACATTATTCACAGACGTTGGTTAGCTTTGGTTTCTTTCTGAATATCTGTTAAAAGATCTGACCTTTTGATTGTGGTCAAGTGATTCAAGGGAGACAAACTGTCCTTCAGATATAAGGCCTCTTAGCTCACATATATGGTTGAACACAACTCCCGTGCTATGAGCTCCATCAGTGTAGTAAACATACAGCTTTCCTCCTAAGACACAGGTCTTGGCATGCTCCACTGTGTTCTCCCACATTCTATTTGACATTCCACTTCCGAGAATCTGCAATCATGGTTTATTGTCAGATACATGGCATAGACAAAGGTAAAAAAATGTTGAATTGAAGAGGAAAGATTATTACGCTTCTCAGTTTCTGTGGATCCCTAACGAGTATCCGGAGGAAATCTTCGACTGTCTCGATCTGGGACTTCACCAATTTCTTGTGCAGTGCTCCATCTTTCGCTATTCTATCCAATCTCCAAACTTCGTCATGTAAAGCTGGTGGGTAGTGTTTCTTGTACACTGTCATCATTCAAACAACTTTCTTCAGTCTCAAGGCACATCGATGGCTACTAAGAGAAGAACTTTTCAATAAATTGCAGTAAAAACTCACATTCTCCTCTGTGATCCTTAACAGCAAAAGACTCGGTCTTGGCCTCACGAACGCGAACCCCATCACAATGTCCATCGGCAACTTTCACACCAAGCCTGAACTTCCTGCTCCTTATCCAGCTCGAATTATCAGTGAAACTGAGATCTCCCAGAGTTCCTACACCTTCCTTGAGAACCACCTGCAGCTCGCCGGTCAATAATGGTCTCTTCCCTTCACGTTCCTTGACCACGTAGTTCTCAAAGTGTTCCGGCGTCCAGTCTTCCTCATTTTCCTCATTGAAGTCACCCTCAAGAACCACAACATTCAGTTTGGCTGCTGATTCTGGTCCCATATGGACGACACTACCCGTGGATGAGTCTATCAGGACGACGTGGATGGCTGCTCCTTGTTCCCCCTCTATTCTTGCACCTGTGAAGAGATGAGGTGGCATCCGTGTTCGGAAATGGAGTTGTAGGGCGTTGCCCCCTGGACCAGTTAATTTTGGTGGTGGCGATCTGTTACCCGGAGAAATTTTGATCCATCATCAATCATATCAGAAGTTTCTGTAATTGAACAGGAAGTGTAACAGAAAAAAGTCCAATACCTCCCCGGCAATGTAGCATTTCCCATCCTTGAGAGAGCACGTTCAACTTCTTCACTGACCTGTTCATTCAAATTTTCATGATCAAATACTAACAAAGGTACACATTCGATGAAAGTAACACAAGAGTACTTTGAACGAATCTATGGCTAGAGATTTTGGACTTACAATTCTGCGGAAGAGAGGCTCTAGAGATGAGCATAGTCTTTGCAAACTATCAACCTTCAAAGCTTCCACAATCACGCTGCATAATAAGTTCAACAATCAGCAAGCTTGCCTGTGAAATCCAGGGCAAATTGAAGACGGGTACTATGGAAGGCCTTTAGTGTTCCCCCTTCTGGTTTCAGCTCTGAGTGGATAATCCCTAGATTCTTAATAGCAGTTTCCCCAGACCCCTAAACTGTCTCGAGATCACCAAAATTCCCCATCGGATCCACAAAACTGAAGGCCTAATCATGTAGCAATGATCAGTCAATCTTCAGAGCCTTCACAATCAAATTGCTTTACATGTGGATCAGCAAAATTGACACTGAACTATGTGCACTTCATAATCCAAACTAAGCAAGACCAGGCAATGAACTATGTAGTGGTTTCAAGTTTCAACTCTAAAAGCATCACTCTCCATATCCTTGTCTGCATATCCCCACTGACCTCTTCACTCTCTCGGTATCTTGAAACACTTGGGCATCAGATCCACAGACTGACAATGTAACTAGAACCAATCCATGAACAGTGACAAACTCTCGAAGTGACAAATTCTGAACTCAACCCAGATGCTACCCATATCCACACCATTTCTAAAAGCTATCACTCCTCTTTCAACTCAAAAACACAAACACCTGGCACACAAAGTCCAGCTCCAACCATAGCCCAAAAATCAACCTAGAAATCAAAAAAGAAAGACAGAAATTGACTTACCTTGCTAAAGCAGGCATTTTGGGCTTCTTCGAATCAGGCAAGTGATCACTCTCATCTTCAATACCCTGCTCATAACCTCTCTTCTCCGCCCTCCTCCCTCTTGAACCATCCATTTCTCCCCCAGTTCTTTCAAATCCTCCCCACAAATCTAGCTTAGATTCTACACGCAACCCAGAAGAGAAACTTCCACAGAGAATCAGAAAGTTCAGAGCTTTGTCAAACCTCGGACGAAACCCAGAAATTAAAAATTGGAAAAAACAAAAGCTGCTGCTATATTTAGGCGATCTGGGTAGTGAGGGGAGAGGAAGGAAATTTGGATGACGGTGTGGTTTATGCAAAAAGCTTTTCACTTTCTTCTTCTTGGATTAGATCCCAGGGGAAGGGCAAGGCAGCACCAATTGACTGATTCTTTATAAGTTTTTGTGTTGGGTTACGATCTGAAATATTGTATAATAATGATAAAGGATTTGGATTTGTACATAGAAAATCATATATTAATTATAATTACTGTATGCCCAAATTGAATAAAAATAATAAGACCCTGAGAGAGCAGACATGAACAGCTGTGCTTCTGATGGAGGGAAAGTCTTTGAAACCGCGTCTTTTTAATTAATTTCTTTGCTCTTTTTTTCTTTTGGGTGGGAAGAAGGCATGTGGTAATTGACTGGTTTGAGGTCATGGTCATTTTTGGGGGTTGAATGCCACAAGACTCTCCAAAGTGGAAGAATTTATACAGTCAATTGCACGTTTTAATGGCTTGATTTTTCAGGGCTTTGTGATGAGATTTGTGATGGCAAACCATGAAAAATGTTTGTATACATTATAAATAAGTGATGATAGGAAACGAGTTTTAAATTGTGTTTCAACACAATACAAATAAACATTCTCAAAGTTTAGTTATAAGTTGGTTTGAAAACAAAGTTATTATATAAGGGAAGAAAGGATGACAGAACTTGGAAAAAAAGTTCAATGATATATCGTTTAGAATATCGTGATGATAATATTGAATTTTACATTTTTGAAAGATTTAATCACCCTATATATTGCATTTCTCAGATACCGAACTAACTTTGCTCAATAATGTATTTGTGATGCTATTTTCTCCCGATATATACATACTTCACCATTAAGCTTCGTCGTTTGAAATAACCTAATCAATAACCTAATGCCACGATCCTTAAAAGAAACAACTAGGGTTGATCATTCTTCATTAAGCACCCTCAATAGTTGATGAGTGCTCTTTGATTTATTCACCCATCTGTCAGCATCTTATCATCAAAGATTAGCATTAATCATGGACATTATCGATCTGCAGCAGAATCTTATTGATGATATACGCTCCACATCACATGTGTCCGGCCTGAAGAGCTACAATAATGATATCATGCAAACTAATGTAGATGAAACAATACTCAGCACTGCATTTAATTTGCTCGGCGATGGCTGTGTAAAATCTAAGGCAAAGGACAGAAATTCTCAGTTGAGTCCAACTTTGAGGAGGTTCGGAGGCTGCAGCATTATTGCCTGTCCTATCTCCGAACTGCCTTAATAAGAAGTTTGTCAGCTTCTAATGGAGGCATGATTGGGATCGGCAGTCTATCATTTACCTGTGCTGGCTTTCTAGCCAGGCCACGAAGAGATGAAACTGGCCTTTTAAGGGACAGAAAAGGCACAATGGTAATCAATCGGGCTACTATAGGGCCATTATACGTACTTATATCGTTGAATTGTTCCATATCGACATGTAGTAGTAGTACGATTCCACGGTAATGTAGAGGCGAGAAATGGTACCTGATTTGAAGGTGGAATTAGAGTCGATCACCTCTACCTGTTTGATAAAAGTATGTTCAACCCTTAAAGAGTAAATGCAGCAGGATCAGGATTTGCTACAGGAATCATTAGTTAATTCGATAAACTAAAGAGACTGTTTTACACAAGAATCCAGGTAGACATAGTAATAGCAGTCAAATTCAGACCATTATCTGTCAGCCTAAGGGAAATGAATGTTCGTACATTAATCTTATCCCACTTTTGGTAGCAGCCATAGTCTGAACTTTTTGGTCTTCCAGGCTTCCAGCCTTACATCAATCTTATCCCACATCTGCAGAACTCTTCCCTCCAATCATTACCATCGAAAATTCAGCAGCCAGCAAGGACCGGTAGACCATATTCGAGATTCAAAGAAGGGGGAATGATCACAGAATCAAGAGGAGTTGAGCTTGCCCAGCTTAGCTTTGGCTGAATCAAGTAGTTCTGCAACAAACATTCACGCGATTTGACAGCAAGATAAAGCCTTCATTGGAAAGAAAGTATCCAAGTAAGAAGACGAGACTGAGTGGATAGAGAGAAAAGAAACTCTGTTTTTTACTTTGCTCGGAGGCTGTTGCTTTCTGAATGGTTGTACGGAAAAAGAGGTTTCCAGTCTTCTGGTAGACAGGCTATGCCAAAAAAAAACATCAAAATCTATGTTATTAAAGCATCTATAAATAACCAACGAACCAAGCTTTAAATGGAACAAGCTATCATAAATCATAATTGGCATATCCAATATAGCGTGGTATTAGATTCGCATAGCTTCTGCGAATCTAAACATGTTGCAGCTTGTGTGCTAAAATGGTGAAACCATCTTCCCTATCAACCTCAGGTAAGTGAACTTGATGTAGAACAGTTACGAGGAAAACAACTGTTGAACATTACCTAAACAAAGCTTCATATTTAGGTTGATAAAAAACTATGTCAAGCTACCAAGATTTCACTCACAGAAAACACGACGCCATCAATCGATGTTCAACAGAACGCTCTCCAGATATCTTCTACCGCAATGTGATACTTTCGCTTACTCATGCAGTATGAAATCTATCAGGTTCCAGGGACATCCAAATACGAATAAGAAGACCTAAAACTCTTAAGCACCATAAACCCACCCAAAACTGGGGAACCCACGATTGACCCAGTGAGCATCAAGATGAAACCTTTTCCCATTGTAACAACTTCCACACCTTAAATAGACTAACAAACAGTTGGATTCAGATTCTTATCAGTAACGAATGCAAAGAACAACCGATAGAAAACCCAGATGGGATCCAATCTCGTAAAAAGCTAGTTCAGAATTGGGTGCTTTCCTCCCAAAAAGTAGCAAACTTCGGGAGCTAATTGTTACAATAAAAACTCAGCTGGGAACTCCAAAAGTGCAGGAAATAATGGGAAATTGGAGCTTACTCGAGAGGCAGGAAGATGGCCGAGCTCTGCCACTGCAACTTCGTGCGTCCTAATCTGAAACCCGATCAACAAACACAAAATCCCATTCTTGTTACCATTTGTGTAAAGACAGATTTGAGATTACACAAGTCAAATCGACGATGGCTGTAAGAAAAGAAGAAATAAAAGAGAAACGGTTACCTCTTTCACAAGATTCAGCTTCGTCTCCGCCGACGCAGAGGAGCTCGCCGTTGCCATAGAGGAGTTCCGTCCAAATTTGCTCCGCCGGTGGAACAGAAATTCTAAAAAAAGACTGAAGTAAGAAACCGCGAGTTTCGCTGACGATTTATTGAAAACTCGCGGTAAAAGAGTCAGGCCTTACGGGCCGCAGCGATGGCCCATCAAGATGAGCGCTATCGCGAGCCCAAACTTTCTGAAATCGGCCCAGAGCTACTACCTATATAAATATAGCCCAAACAGGAGAGCGCAAAACCCTTCCATCTCCGAAAGCGCCAGCGGAAGCTCTCAGAAGAAGGCAGCAACAGTAGAGCTAAGCAACAAGGAGCCGCCATGGGTAAAGCTTCTCAAGCCTGCGCTTTACTTATCGGAAGTCCTCCGATCTTGCCTCAATCCGTTTCGTTTTGCTCTTTTGTTGATTGGGTGTTGCTGTCTTTGATCATTTTGCAGGAAAGGTTCACGGATCTCTGGCTCGTGCCGGTAAGGTGAGAGGACAAACACCGAAGGTCGCGAAGCAGGAGAAGAAGAAGAAGCCACGCGGCCGCGCCCACAAGAGGATGCAGTACACCAGGCGCTTCGTCACCGCTGGTAAGAACTCTCGTTTTCTTCTTCTACCTTGCTTTTTTGCGCTCTTGTTTTTCGATTCAGAACTTAGATGAAGGGAAATTGGTTGGTGTTCGTATTCACGAGTGGATTCAATTAGGGTTCTGATGGGACATAGGAATTAAGGTGGTTACACTTCGATTTTGCTGCATTGCTTACTACTTAATTAGACTGGAGCTGGTCTTTTCCACTATTGTTCTGTATTCTCTCCTTCAATGAAGGACATTAGTGCATAACATTAGCATTCTGTTGAACTTAGCTCTGAAGGTGGAATTAGAGTCCAATCCTGATTAAGTCTAGCATTTTTGTAAACTTGGATTTATCTGATGTTCGCAGTTCGTCCCTGATGTATTCGAGCATGTTCATTGTTGAACATGTTGTTTGTGTGAGAATGTCTCTGTCATTTTTCGAATCTACAATGAAATTGTTAGGGCTTGGTGAAGCTAGATCTCGTGCTTAAACTTGATTTCATGAACACCATGAGTGTCTGGGGCAGTGTTGTGATCATATTTCTGTCTCTCCCTTTTGTTACAGTTGTTGGCTTTGGCAAGAAGCGTGGACCTAACTCGTCCGAGAAATCGTAAAGAGAAGTTCATCAGCTGAATCAATGAGAAGTTTGCAGTCCACCGTTGCTTTTTTGACAAGCATACATTTGCTCTCGTTTTACCTGTTAAGGATGAATTGAGTGTTGAGTTTTCAGACATGTCATGTCCTATTACTTATGTAGTCCTATGAACGAATTAGTAGCTGCATTTTCATTGATTAAAGCCAATAGTAATCCCTGTTTGCCTCTAGCTGTGTATGTTGAGTTCACTCTTAATGATTCTGGTGGTTTTCTGGTTTTGAATCATGTTGCAGCTTGCTTGTTCCTTCGTGAAGAGAAATGCTAGAGGAACTACATGTCCTAGTTGCTTGGTGCTTCTTTCTAGTCGTTCATAATCGAGCTGATTTGAAAACTACTCTTTGCTTGATTTCTAAGACAATTCATAGAATCGAATCGAAATCGAATTCTGGAGATTAAACATGTAGTGCTAGTTGCTCTGCTCCATTCACTTGAACTACTGACTTGAAGAGAACTAGAAGCTTAATCTTGGGGAGCAATGAAAGATAAGACCTTAAACCTAGCCTCATAGAATGCATAAATAATTGGCGAGGAAAACTCTCAACACATATCATCCAAGATTGAGGTCTATATTAAACTAATAAACCAAATGGCTTTGCAGGGTCTTTTTTGCCCTATCAACAATAAAATGGTTTCGTAGCTGAAAATACCAAAAAATCTCTCTATTACAAAAACAAAACCATATACCATAGATACAGTGCTTACCAAACCCTGCTGCCTCTCACTACTTGCATTTCCATATTTGTATGGCTTGGGAGGGACTGGTAGAAGGTTACTTTCTTTATGCAAGGAAAAAAATTGATGCAACAATGAACTACTGTTGTGACTGCTATAGACGGTTCTTCTCCTTTAGTGTTGGCGATAAACTACAGTTACTCTCCTTCCCAGCCAACTTGGCGGGCCCTTCGCTCCCACAAAGCAGTGATCTTCCTCTCCCGACGCAACAGCGCCTCAGCCCTCTCCCTGGAACCCTCACAAGTTTCTGTGGCAGCAATGCACTTCTCGGCTTCTTTCTGGTACTGAGTCGCCACCCTCTTTGCCTCTCCGAATGTGATGTTCACATGGTGAGCGTGTTCTAAAGCCACGGCTTCTTGCAGCTTCAGCTCCTCCGTCAGCAGGTCCACAAACTGCTTCTCCATCTCCTTTTTCAGTTCTGGATCGCTGCTCCCGCAATCTGTTCGTGACAGGAGTTAGCTATTTTGCATAGTAGTCGGTTGGTTCGAGGAAGATGCATGCTATAGCAAGTAGGAATAAGGAAACCCAAGAATACCCAATAGACTGCTGTACATTTTCTTCACACGTTAACTGAAGACTATAATAAATGCAACATATGTGCCTAATCTATGCTTCAGGATATTGAAGTAAATTGAGAGAAGTTTGGTAAGGTGGAATGTTGTCTAACCTGTGACTGAGAGATTGGCCAACCCTGCAAGCATAAAAGAGGAGAAATCCATTAGGAATCGATAATAGCAGATTATAAATGAACCGTTTATGTACACAAACAAACAACAGAAAATAGAACTAAGAGTATATAAAATTATTGGTTCACCTTGCTCATCTGGCAATGCAGGTATAAGAGCCTTCACAAGTTGAAAGATAGAAAAGGCGAGGATGCATTCAAGTAAGGGAACTTACATATATGCAGAAAAATCTAAAACAGTCACTGCTGCATTGCACCCGAATCTAAAAGAGTTTCCTTCCAGGCAAGGGAGTTCTAAACTAATTCAAATTAAGTTACACAGTCTAAAGTCCCCAGACAGGTTTCACCCAAGATCAACAGACATCTGACATTAAGGTATAGCATCAACAAGAATGGAAAATATGGGATCAACTTCATAACTACTAACTAGATTCTGCATAACAGTCTTGGATGAGGCCACAAAGCGACGCTGGGATCAATTGGACAGAAGAACTGCGGCCAGATGATTCAAGAATAGCCTCAAACGGATTCCCAAATGTTGTGCTGTTCAAATACTGGTCCGGCAAACTGACAGTATTGCATAGATGGAAAATGATTTGTCTAATCTTATGACAACTGATACCAGAGAGTAACATGAAGCTCTTAAAGAAATACTCTTTATCAGAACCGCCTGATGTACATTCCAATTTAGCCTGATTCAAATCAGGCCAGTTTCAGCCCTATCAGCCATACATTGAACGCGAAAAACTGAAAGTAGCAGCAGTAGTACCCACAGATATCTATCTTGCAGAGAGCTAATCTCATGAAAATTCCTTAGCTACATCACAACCTCCAGCTAACTCTCGGATTCATCAGAACCAAACATTGATTATACACTCAGATCCACAGGATCAGCACTACCAACGGATCAAAACCTCAAACTGTTTACAACCCAGCTCAAATTCGCGGAAATCCTCCAACAAAACAGCGAATTCAGGACTACCCAAATGCCAAAAACACGGAATAAATAACCCGCAGAAATCACGACGGCGAAGTGGGATCGGATTTACCTGGAGCAATCTTGAGAAGAGACAGAGGAGGCGGGCAATCACAGGCACAAGGAGGGCAGGAAGAAGCTTCGGAATCGGACAACCTCATCGTCTTCTTGAATCTCCAATAGATTGCTGGCCCGCAGACCGCCAGAGCCGAAACCACCGCGAATATCACCAAGCAACACCTCAAGCAAGCTCCTGATCTCCTCGACATTTTCCCCTCCAATATGGAAAAATTCCCCTATCTACCTCGGCATCTACCTATATATCTCAGTGTCTCAGTTCTCATGTATCGAATCAGGCGAGACGAGAGCCGCCACCATTATTGCGCCGCGTTGATATAAGCAGAGCGAGCCTTTTTTACTTTTCCCCCACTTTCCACTCTCGCTCGTTTCGCTTTCCCTGTGTCTGGTAGTGAGCGTCGGTGGTTTTTGGCGATGGCGACAGTGGAGAGTGAAGTGAGAGAGAGAGAGAGAGAGAGAGAGAGAGAGAGATCTGAGCGAGGAAGATGGAGCTTTGAATTGATGGGTCGAGCTCGAAGAGAGGAATGAATCTACCTCGGGGATGAAAATGTAAAGCTTGGTTCTTTTTTGGTTTCCTAATTTCCTCTTTCAAGCTCTCGCTGTAAATAAAAGATCAAAGTTCAGGTGAATAATTAATTATTAAGGGGGAAACCGGAAATGGAAGATAATAATTTAATTTGCTTATGGGCAGAAAATCAAGAAAATTAGGGCCGGTGGTTTTTTTTATTTGTTGTGGGCTTTGACTTTATGGGCCGCATGGTGGGCCTTGGTAAACGCTCAAGATTTGCAGGCTGTTAGTTAACATGTTATGATTGGTGGGCTCATGCGACTAGGAGTTATTGATATTTTTTTTCTTCGGTAGAAGTTATTGATATTTTTCTGTGTAAACCAAAATCCAACAAATAAAATCCTATGAGTTTTGAGTTTTTGGCTTTTAATTGATTTGCATTTTAATGGGTTGGATTTTTATTTGGAAAAAAAATCGACAAAAATAAAAATCTAACCCGAATCTTGCTCTAACCGAAAATATTACAGGGGTTCTACTTGTTATACCTGAAACCGAACTCGTTAAGGGACTTATAAGTTTTTTTTATCATTAGTGACGTGATATTACTTGATTGCAAGGATCACATTCAACCATGTACCCTTCTGTGTCTCACGTAGGGGTGTCGATTCGTTTCGGTTAACCACATAAGCAAAATTCATGAACCTACCAAGGAACGCTTTTCAATAAATAAGTGAAACTCATCGGCTATCGCGCTCAGGTTGGTCAATAAGGAATGGAGAACGACAATTGCTTTCTTAAAACCCATACTTTGAAGACAAAAGACTACTAGAGGTGAATAAAGGCGGTGGGAGAAGCTCTCCATCCCTATCATTCCTGTAGGTGGATCATGCGGTTAACCTCAAGAATCCTTGCTTAGAATGAGATTCCATTTTTTACCAGAGTCGCTCTTTGGAGAGCACAATACGACTATGAAAGCTGTAAGTTGTGTTCGAAAGTGATGTATCGTCTATCGTTGTTGGGATGTACCGCAGAATCAATTTTGATTCATCAAACCATGCTAGGAATAATTACTAATAAACAAAGGTTCAAACAGTAACGAGAACGCATCATATCACGATTAGCATTATTAATTTTTATTTTTTAATCCCGTCCTTCGACCAAGTTTCGAGCTATGTATGATGACCACCACTTGGTTGCAAACTAGATATACTAGTTGTTGGTGTGCACTTCACATTGCATGTCTCGGCACAAGCTTCTAAAGTTCCGGTCTTCAAACAGCTCTTCATGCATTTATGGTAGCATTTGGTGTGATCTTCAGCGACCGCTGTTCCAGTGGTCACTAATAGTAGCACCACCACCGCAAGCAACGCAAGGGTCGTCCTCTTAAATACCTTTCCCTCCATAATTCCTTCCTGGATTTCTTCTCCTCCTTTATTTCTGAACTATTTGGTTTGGATGATTTCCCAACTCTTATCTTTCTTCCACTCTTTATATAGGTGTGGTGGGAACTTAATTATAGCAATTTATTAAAAAAAACTGTTAATAAGAATAAGGTATGATAATTATTTTATTGGAAATAACAGTTTTTTTAATCACTTAGTTTCCATAATTATTATATATTCAGAATCATTTAATTAATTATCATTATTCCACATTAAAAAATAATTTGGTAAGAAAATAATGTATTACAATATAGAAACTAATTAAATTTAAAGTTTGACTTGAAATTTCATTTTAGATATGTAGGTTAGATTCAAACCCACTTATCCTTTGGAATCTGCAAAAAATGACCCGGACTAAATCTGTCCTAATCGGTGCTCAATGGACTTAATCATCGTTGAAGAATAGCCTCAGGTCGAATCTGTGATCTGTACCCTTCAAAATCCAAAGAATATGGCCTTTCGTCACCCAAAAATTACCAAAATGTCATCCAAAAATATATTGGCCAAAATCGGTGCTTAATGGACTTATCATCCGTGGAGAATAGGATCAATAGACTTCATTATCAGTGGAGAATAGCCTCAGCCTGATTCAGTGATCTGCAGCATCCATAATCTAAAGAAAATGACATTTCGGAAAAATCACCTGAAAACTGGGATGGTACTCCTTTGGAATTTGGAAAAAATTGACCCGAAACAAATCCTCCCAAATTGGTGCTTAATGGACTTAATCATCGTTGAAGAATAGACTCAGGCCGAATCTGTGATCTGTACCGTTCAAAATCCAAAGAAAATGGCCTTTTGTCGCCCAAAAATTACGAAAATGTCATCCAAAAAATCGATGCTTCATGGTCTTATCATCTTTGGAGAATAGGATCAATAGACTTCATTATCGGTGTAGAATAGCCTCGACCAGATTCTGTGATCTGCAGCCTCCAGAATAGAAAGAAAATGACATTTCGGAAAAATCGCCCCAAATTTGTGATGGTACCTCTTTGGAATCTGTCAAAAATTGACCAGGAATAAATCCTCCCAAATCGGTGCTTAATGGACTTAATCATAGTTGAAGAATATCCTCAGGCTGAATCTGTGATCTGTAGCCTTAGAAATCCAAAGAAAATGGCCCGACCAAAAATAACGAAAATGTCACTCGAAAATAAATTGGCCCAAATCGGTGCTTCATGAACTTATCATCCATGGAGAATAGGATTAATAGACTTCATTATCGGTGTAGAATAGTCTCGGCCTGATTCTGTGATCTGAAGCCTTCCGAATAGAAAGAAAATGACATTTTGGAAAAATCGCCCGAAATCTGTGATGGTACCCCTTAAGAATCTGCCAAAAATTGATACGAAATAAATCCTTTCAAATCGGTGCTTAATGGACTTAATAATAGTTGAAGAATATCCTCAGGTTGAATCTGTGATCTGTAGCCTTAGAAATCCAAAGAAAATGGCCTTTCGCCGTAAAAAAATTACAAAAATGTTATCCGAAAATAAATTGGCCTTAATCGGTGCTTCATGGACTTATCATCCGGGGAGAATAGAATTAATAGACTTCATTATCGGTGTAGAATAGTCTCGCCATGATTCCGTGATCTGCACCCTCCAGAATAAAAAGAAAATGACATTTTGGAAAAATCGCCTGAAATCTGTGATGATACCCCTTTGGAATCTGCCAAAAACTGACCCAGAATAATTCCGCCCAAATCGGTGCTTAATGAACTTAATCATCGTTGAAGAATAGCCTCAGGCCGAATCCATGATATGTAGCCTTCAAAATCCAAATAAAATGGACTTTCATCGTCTAATAAATTAGCAAAATGCCATCCGAAAATAAATTGGCCCAAATCGGTGCTTCATGAGCTTATTGTCCATGGAGAATAGGATCGATAGACTTCAATATCTGTGGAGAATAGGCTCGGCCTGATTCCGTGATTTGCAGCCTCCAGAACCGAAAGAAAATGACATTTCGGTAAAATCACCTGAAATCTGTATTGGTACCCCTTTGGAATCTGCCAAAAATCGACCCCGAATAAATCCGCCCAAATCGGTGCTTAATGGACTTAATCATCGTTGAAGAATAGCCTCAGACTGAATATGTGTTCTGTAGCCTTAGAAATCCAAAGAAAATGGCCTTTCGTCGACCAAAAATTACCAAAATGCCATCCGAAAATAAATTGGCCCAAATTGGTGCTTCATGGTCTTATCATCTGTGGAGAATAGGATCAATAGACTTCATTATCGGTGGAGAATAGCCTCGGTCTGATTCCGTAATCTACAGCATCTAGAATCGAAAGAAAGTGGCATTTCGGAAAAATCGACCAAAATCTATTTTGGTACCACTTTGGAATCTGCAAAAAATTAACCCCGAACAAATCCTCCTCAATCGATGCTTAATGGACTTAATCATCGTTAAAGAATAGCCTCAGGCCGAATCCGTAATCTGTAGCCTTTCAAATCCAAAGAAAATGGTATTTCGTCGCACAAAAAATTACCGAAATGCCATCCGAAAATAAATTTGCCCAAATCAGTCCTTCCTGAACTTATTATCCGTGGAGAATAAGATCAATATACTTCATTATTGGTGGAGAATATCCTCGGCCTGATTTCGTGATCTGCAGCCTCCAGAATCGAAAGAAAATGGCATCTCGGAATAATCGCCCGAAATTTGTGATGGTACCCCTTTGGAATCTGCCTAAAATTGACCTGGAATAAATACGCCCAAGTAGGTGCTTAATGGACGTAATCATCATGGAAGAATAGCCTCAGGCCGAATCCGTGATCTGTAGCCTTCAAAATTCAAAGAAAATGGCTTTTCATCGCTCAAAAATTATGAAAATGCCATTCGAAAAATTAGTTGACCCAAATATGTGCTTCATGGACTTATCATCCCTGGATAATAGGATCAATAGACTGCACTATCGGTGGAGAATAGCCCCGGCCTGATTCTTTGATCTGCATCCTCAAGAATCGAAAGAAAATGGCATTTCGGGAAAATCACCCGAAATCTGTGATGGTACCCCTTTGGAATCTGCCAAAAATTGAACCCGAATAAATCTGCCCAAATCGGTGCTTAATGGAGTTAATCATTGTTGAAGAATAGCCTCAGACCGAATCCGTAATCTGTAGGCTTCAAAATCCAAAGAAAATGGCCTTTCGTCACCCAAAAAATTACCAAAATGCCATCCGAAAATAAATTGGCCAAATCGATGCTTCATGGACTTATATTCTGTGGAGAATAGGATCAATAGAATTCATTATCATTGGAGAATAGTCTCGGCCTGATTCCGTGATCTGCAGCATCTAGAATCGAAAGAAAATGGCTTTTCGGAAAAATCGCCCAAAATCTGTGCTGGTACCACTTTGGAATCTGGCAAAAATTGAACCCGAATAAATCCTCCCCAATCGATGCTTAATGGACTTAATCATCGTTAATGAATAGCCTCAGGCCGAATCCGTAATCTGTAGCCTTTAAAATCCAAAAAAATGGCCTTTCGTCGCACAAAAAATTACCAAAATTTCATGCGAAAATAAATTGGCCCAAATCGGTCCTTCATGAACATAACATCTGTGGAGAATATGATCAATAGACTTCATTATTGGTGGAGAATAGCCTCGGCCTAATTCAGTGATCTGCAGCCTCCAGAATCGAAAGAAAATGACATCTCGGAAAAATGGCCCGAAATTTGTGATGGTACCCCTTTGGAATCTGCCAAAAATTGACCCGGAATAAATACACCCAAGTCGGTGCTTAATGGACGTAATCATCGTGGAAGAATAGCCTGATGCCGAACCCGTGATCTGTAGCCTTCAAAATCCAAAGAAAACGACCTTTCTTCACCCAAAAATTATGAAAATGTCATACGAAAAAAAATTGCCCCAAATCGGTGATTAATGGACTATCATCCGTGCTGAATAGGATCAATAGAGTTCATTATCGATGAAGAATAGACTCAGTCTTATCCGGTGATCTGCAGCAACCAGAATTGAAAGAAAATGGCATTTCGGAAAAATCGCCTGAAATCTGTGATGGTGAACCTCCTTAGAAATCTGCCAAAAATTGACCCGGAATAAATACGCCCAAATCGGTACTTAATGGACATAATCATCGTTGAAGAATAGCCTCAGGCCGAATCCGATTCTTCAAAATCCAAAGAAAATGGCCTTTCGTCGCTAAAAAATTATGAAATTGCCACCTGAAAATAAAATGACCAAAATATGTGCTTCATGGACTTATCATCCGTGGAGAATAAGATCAATAGACTGCACTATCGGTTGATAATATCCGCGGCCTAATTCCGTGATCTGCAGGCTCCAGAATCGAAAAATGGCATTTCGGAAAAATCACCTGAATTTTGTGATGGCACCCCTTTGGAATCAGCCAAAAATTGACCCCGAATAAATCCGCCCAAATCGGTGCTTAATGGATTTAATCATCGTTGAAGAATTGCCTCAGGCCGAATCCGTAATCTGTAGCCTTCAAAATTCAAAGAAAATGGTCTTTCGTCGCCCAAAAAATTCACAAAATGCCATCCGAAAATAAATTTGCCCAAATCGATGCTTCATGGACTTATCATCCGTGGAGAATTGGATCAATAGGCTTCATTATCGGTGTAGAATAGCCTCGGCCTGATTCCGTGATCTGTAGTATCCAGAATAGAAAGAAAATGACATTTCGGAAAAATCGCCCGAAATCTGTGATGGTACCCCTTTGGAATCTGCAAAAATTAACCCGAAATAAATCCTCCCAAATTGGTGCTTAATGGACTTAATCGTAGTTGAAGAATATACTCAGGCTGAATCTGTGATCTGTAGCTTTAGAAATGCAAAGAAAATGGCCTTTCGCCGCCCAAAAATTACCAAAATGTCATCCGAAAATAAATTGGCCCAAATTGTTGCTTCATGGACTTATCATCCATGGACAATAAGATCAATAGACTTCATTATCGGTGTAGAATAGCCTCGGTCTGATTCCGTGATCTGCAGCCTCCAGAATAGAAAGAAAATGACATTTCGGAAAAATCGCACGAAATCTGTGATGGTACCCCTTTGGAATCTGCTAAAAATTGATCCGGAATAAATCTTGTCAAATCGATGCTTAATGGACTTAATCATCGTTGAAGAATATCCTCGGGCTGAATCTGTGATCTGTAACATTAGAAATGCAAAGAAAATGGCCTTTCACCGCCCAAAAATTACCAAAATGGCATTCGAAATAAATATGCTCAAATCTGTGCTTCATGGACTTATCATCCATGGAGAATATGATCAATAGACTTCATTATCGATGTAGAATAGCCTCGACCTGATTCCGTGATCTGCATCCTCCAGAATAGAAAGAAAAAAACATTCGGTAAAATCGCCCGAAATCTGTGATAGTACCCTTTGGAATCTGCCAAAAATTGACCCAAAATAAATCCTCCCAAATCGGTGCTAAATGGACTTAATCAGAGTTGAAGAATATCCTCAGGCTGAATCTGTGATCTGTAGCCTTAGAAATCCAAAGAATATGGTCTTCCGCCGCCCAAAAATTACCAAATGTCATCCGAAATAAATATGCCCAAATCAGTGCTTCATGGACTTATCATCCATTGACAATAGGATCAATAGACTTCATTATCGGTGTAGAATAGCCTAGGCCTGATTCGATGATCTGCAGCCTCCAGAATAGATAGAAAATGACATTTCGGAAAAATCGCCCGAAATCGGTGATGGTATCCCTTGGAATCTGCCAAAAATTGACCCGAAATAAATCCTCCCAAATTATGCTTAATGGACTTAATCATAGTTGAAGAACATCCTCAGGGTAAATCTGTGATGTGTAGCCTTAGAAATCCAAAGAAAATGGCCTTTCGCTGCCCAAAAATTACCAAAATGTCATCCGAAAATAAATATGCCTAAATCGGTGCTTCATGGACTTATCATCCGTGGAGAATAGGATCAATAGACTTCATTATCGGTGTAGAATAGCCTCGGCATGATTCCGTGATCTGCAGCCTCCAGAATAGAAAGAAAATGACATTTCGGAAAAATCACCCGAAATCTGTGATGTTACCCCTTTGGAATCTGCCAAAAATTGACCCGTAATAAATCCTGCCAAATCGGTGCTAAATGAACTTAATCATCGTTGAAGAATATCCTCAGGCTGGATTTGTGATCTGTAGCCTTAGAAATCCAAAGAAAATTGCGTTTCGCCGCACAAAAATTACCAAAATGTCATCTGAAATAAATATGCCTAAATCGGTGCTTCATGGAGTTATCATCCATGGAGAATAGGATCAATAGACTTCATTATCAGTGTAGAATAGCCTCGACCTGATTCCGTGATCTACATCCTCCAGTATAGAAAGAAAATGACATTCGGTAAAATAGCCCGAAATCTGTGATGGTACCCCTTTGGAATCTGCCAAAAATTGACCCGGAATAAATCCTACCAAATCGGTGCTTAATGGACTTAATCGTAGTGGAAGAATATCTTCAGGCTGAATATGTGATCTGTAGCCTTATAAATCCAAAGAAAATGGCATTTCGCCGCGCAAAAATTACCAAAATGTCAAATGAAAATAAATTGGCCCAAATCGCTGCTTCATGGACTTATAATCCGTGGAGAATAGGATCAATAGACTTCATTATCTGTGTAGAATAGCCTCGGCCTGATTCCGTGATCTGCAGTCTCCAGAATAGAAAGAAAATGACATTTCAGAAAAATCGCCTGAAAACTGTGATGATACCCCTTTGGAATCTGCCAAAAATTGACCCGGAATAAATCCTCCAAAATTGGTGCTAAATAGACTTAATCGTAGTTGAAGAATATCCTCAGGCTGAATCTGTGATCTGTAGCCTTAGAAATCCAAAGAAAAAGGCCTTTCGCCGCCCAAAAATTACCAAAATGTCATCCGAAAATAAATTGGCCCAAATTGGTGCTTCATGAACTTATCATCCATGGACAATAGGATCAATAGACTTCATTATCGGCGTAGAATAGCCTCGGCCTGATTCGATGATCTGCAGTCTCCAGAATAGATAGAAAATGACATTTCGGAAAAATTGCCCGAAATCGGTGATGGTATCCCTTTGGAATCTGCCAAAAATTGACCAGGAATAAATCCTCCCAAATTGATGCTTAATGGATTTAATCATAGTTGAAGAATATCCTCAGGCTGAATCTGTGATCTGTAGCCTTAGAAATCCAAAGAAAATGGCCTTTCGCCGCCCAAAAATTACCAAAATGTCATCAGAAAATAAATTGGCCCAAATTGGTGCTTCATGGACTTATAATCCGTGGAGAATAGGATCAATAGACTTCATTATCGGTGTAAAATAGTCTCGACCTGATTCCGTGATCTGCATCCTCCAGAATAGAAAGAAAATGACATTTCGGAAAAATCGCCCGAAATCTGTGATGGTACCCCTTTGGAATCTGCCAAAAATTGACCCGCAATAAATCCTGTCAAATCGGTGCTAAATGGACTTAATCATCGTTGAAGAATATCCTCAGGCTGAATCTGTGATCTGTAGCCTTAGAAATCCAAAGAAAATAGCCTTTCGCCACACAAAAAGTACCAAATGTCATCCGAAATAAATATGCCTGACTCACTTCTACTGTCACTCTAGGAATTGGCCAAGTGAAACCACTTCCCAAAGCGTAGTATAGCGGGTTTAGGTTTAAATGTCAACCCGGGTCCTAGATCTGATGACTACTCAGTGAATTCTTGTTATCTAGCAATGAAACTGGCATGCAAATCTAAACTATCAAACTAACAAAGCAAGTAAACTGTTGTATTCAGGTTAAGAGAAGTCACCCGGATATGGTTCCCCCTAGACTGCAGTTAAGCCGGATTGTAATTACCAAGTTCAGTTTCTATGATAGTTATACTGCGGAAGGTTCTTAAACAGCCTGAAGTCTCGACTAAAGGTCTTAAGACCCTCTCAATCTGAGTCTCTAGCGGGCGACTAACCTCCACCGGAGTAAACAGATTGAGGCCTTAACAAACAAAACCTCCACTACCGGAGTAAATCCGGTACAGAATAGTGAGTTGGCTCCTCGACTAAAGTCACCAACTCCCTACCTTCAATCAAGGATGCTCTATCAACCTAGGCAGATATTCTCATTCTAGGTTAAAGCAGAAACAACAGGAATTTGATCAGGATTCAAGTCATTCAATCATTCAAACCTCAATCGAATATAATCAAATCATAGAATCAGTACTTGGGTTCATACAATCAAAGCCTAACATACAAATCTAGGGTTCTCCATACCCAGATGAATGGGAGAACTACTCCATGGAGAAAGATGCAAAAGCAGAATCAGACGCGGAATTCATACCGTGAAGGATGGATTCCTGCTCCTGGACGTTGATCGGCACTTCTCCAAGCTCAAACTGGCCTCCAATGGTGTTGAAAATACATCTAGGGCACTTGGAGACTCTTGTTCGTCGCTTTCTCTCTCTAGGAATTGCTCTGTCTCTCTAAAACTCGAATCCCCTTCTGTTTGGCTGAAAATCTGCTTAAAAGGGCATCAGTGGCCAAAGCACGGTCGAGGGCACGGCCGGGTAATGCCTCAGCCCGCCCGTGCTTTGGCTAGGGTTAATTACACTAGGAGAAACACGGCCGTGCTTTTGGGAGGACACGGCCGTGCTTTGGTGAAGCACGCCCGTGTTCTATCTCAGCCATGCCCGTGTTTTGGCCAATGTGGTCCAAACTCGAATTAGCTCTCGGCAGTAAAAGTACGGTCACAGAACACGGCCGTGTTCTGTTTTAGGTGTGCCCGTGTTTTGGCTCCAGCTCACCGAAATGACTTCTGAATGCCTCGAAACTCGTGCTTAGCCTTTCCTTTGACGCCTGGGACCTGAAATATGACAAAATAGCACAACCCGGCGTAAAATAGGCCAAAAATACACGACTATGCCCCTCAAACGGATAAGAACTAGGGGCGCAAATTCGTGCAATTACATCGTTATCAATGCCCAAATCAGTGCCTCATGGACTTATCATCCATGGACAATAGGATCAATAGACTTCATTATCTGTGTAGAATAGCCTTGGACTGATTCTGTGATCTGCAGACTCCAGAATAGAAAGAAAATGACATTTCGAAAAAATCGCCCGAAATCTGTGATGGTAGCCCTTTGGAATCTGCCCAAAATTGACCCGCAATAAATCCTGCCAAATCGGTGCTAAATGGACTTAATCATCGTTGAAGAATATCCTCAGGCTAAATCTGTGATCTGTAGCCTTAGAAATCCAAGGAAAATGGCCTTTCGCCGCCCAAAAGTTACCAAAATGTCATCCGAAATAAATATGCCCAATCGGTGCTTCATGGACTTATCATCCGTGGAGAATAGGATCAATAGTCTTCATTATCGATGTAGAATAGCTTCGGCCTGATTCCGTGATCTGCATCCTCCAGAATAGAAAGAAAATGACATTCGGTAAAATCGCCCGAAATCTGTGATGGTACCCCTTTGGAATCTGCCCAAAATTGACCCGGAATAAATCCTCCCAAATCGATGCTTAATGGACTTAATCATCGTTGAAGAATATCCTCAGGCTGAATCTGTGATCTGTAGCCTTAGAAATCCAAAGAAAATGGCCTTTCGCCGCCCAAAAATTACCAAAATGTCATCCGAAAATAAATTGGCCCAAATTGGTGCTTAATGGACTTATCATCCGTGGAGAATAGGATCAATAGACTTCATTATCGGTGTAGAATAGTCTCGACCTGATTCCGTGATTTGCAGCCTCTAGAATAAAAAGAAAATGACATTTCGGAAAAATCGCCAGAAATCTGTGATGGTACTCCTTTGGAATCTGCCAAAAATTGACACGGAATATATCCTCCCAAATTGGTGCTTAATGGATTTAATCATCGTTGAAGAATATCCTCAGGGTGAATCTGTGATCTGTAGACTTAGAAATCCAAAGAAAATGGCCTTTCACCGCCCAAAAATTACCAAAATCCTCCCAAATCGGTGCTTAATGGACTTAATCATCGTTGAAGATCATCCTCAGGCCGAATCCATGATATGTAGCCTTCAAAATCCAAAGAAAATGGATTTTCATCGTCCAATAAATTCATAAAATGCCATCCGAAAATAAATTGGTCGAAATCGGTGCTTCATGGACTTATCGTCCGCAGAGAATAGGATCAATAGACTGCATTATCGGTGGAGAATAGTCTCGGCTTGATTCCGTGATCTGCAGCCTCAAGAACCGAAAGAAAATGGTATTTCGGAAGAATCACAAAAAATCTGTGATGGTACCCCTTTCAAATCTCTGCCAAAAACTGACCCCGAATAAATCCGCCAAAATTGGTGCTTAATGGACTTAATCATCATTGAAGAATAGTCTCAGGTCAAATCCGTAATCTGTAGCCTTCAAAATCCAAAGAAAATGGTCTTTCGGCGTTCAAAGAATTACCAAAATGCCATCCAAAAATAAATTGGCCCAAATAGATACTTCATGGACTTATCATCCGTGGAGAATAGGATCAATAGACTTCATTATTGGTGGAGAATAGCCTCGACCTGATTTCGTGATCTGGAGCCTCCAGAATTGAAGGAAAATGACATTTCGGAAAAATCGCCGGAAATATGAGATGGTGTACTCCTTTGGAATCTGCTAAAAATTGACTCGGAATAAATTTGACCAAATCGGTGCTTAATGAACTTAATCATCGTTGAAGAATAGCCTCAGGCCGAATTCGTAATCTGTAGCCTTTAAAATCCACAGAAAATGGCCTTTCGTCGCCCAAAAATTATGAAAATGCCATCCGAAAATAAATTGGCCCAAATCGGTGATTAATGTACTTATCATCTGTGGAGAATAGGACCAACAGACTACATTATCGATGGAGAATAGCTCAGGCGGATTCCGTGATCTGCAGCCTCCAGAATCGAAAGAAAATGGCATTTCGGAAAAATCGTATGAAATCTGTGATGGTAACCCTTTGGAATCTGCCAAAAATTGACCCAGAATAAATACGCACAAGTCGGTGCTTAATGGACTTAATCATCGTTGAAAAATAGCCTCAGGCCAAACCTGTGATCTCTAGCCTTTAAAATCCAAAGAAAATGGCCTTTCGTCGCCCAAAAATTATGAAAATGCCATCCGAAAACAAATTGGCCCAAATCGGTGCTTCATGGACTTATCATCGGCGGAGAATAGGATCAATAGACTTCATTATCGGTAGAGAATAGTCTCGGCCTGATTCCGTGATCTGCAGCCTCCAGAATCGAAAGAAAATGACATTTCCGAAAAATCACACGAAATCTGTGAAGTTACCCCTTTGGAATCTGCCAAAAATTGACCCAGTAAAAATCCGCCAAAATTGGTGCTTAATGAACTTAATCATCGTTGAAGAATAGCTTCAGGCCGAATCTGTGATATGTAGCCTTCAAAATCCAAAGAAAATGGCATTTCGTTGGCCAAAAAATTACCAAAATGCCATCCAAAAATAAATTGGCCCAAATCGGTGCTTCATGTACTTATCATCCATGGAGAATAGGATCAATAGACTTCATTATTAGTGGAGAATAGGCTCGGCTTGATTACGTGATTTGCAGCCTCCAAAATCGAAAGAAAATTGCATTTCGGAAAAATCACTCGAAATCTGTGATGGTACCACTTTGAAATCTGCCAAAATTGACCCGAAATAAATACGCCCAAGTCGGTGCTTAATGGACTTAATCATCGTTGAAGAATAGTCTCAGGCCGAATCCTTGATATGTAGCCTTCAAAATTCACAGAAAATGGCCTTTCGTCTCCCAAAAAATTAACAAAATGTCATCCAAAAATAAATTGGCCTAAATCGATGCTTCATGGACTTATCATCCGTGAATAATAGGATCAATAGATTCATTATCGGTGGAGAATAGCCTATGCCTGATTCTGTGATCTGCAGCCTCTAGAATCGAAAGAAAGTGACATTTTGGAAAAATTGCCCAAAATCTGTGATGGTACCCCTTTGGAATCTGCCAAAAATTGACCCTGAATAAATCCGCCCATATCGGTGCTCAATGGACTTAATCATCTTTGAAGAATAGTCTTAGACCGAATCCGTAATCTGTAGCCTTCAAAATCCAAAGAAAATGGCCTTTCGTCGCCCAAAAAATTACCAAAATGCCATCCGAAAATAAATTGCCCCAAATCGGTGCCTCATGGACTTATCATCTGTGGAGAGTAGGATCAATAGACTTCATTATCGGTGGAGAATAGCCTCGGCCTGATTCCGTGATCTGCAGCCTCCAGAATCGAAAGAAAATTGCATTTCGGAAAAATCGCTCGAAATCTGTGATGGTACCCCTTTGGAATCTGCCAAAAATTGACCCGAAATAAATTCACCCAAATCGGTGCTTAGGGAACTTAATCATGATTGAAAAATAGTCTCAGGGCGAATCCGTGATCTGTAGCCTTCAAAATCCAAAGAAAATGTCATTTCGACATCCAAACAAATTACAAAAATGTCATCCGAAAATAAATTGGCCCAAATCGGTGCTTAATGGACTTATAATCCATGGAGAATCGGATCAATAGACTTCATTATCGGTGGAGAATAGCCTCAGTCTGATTCCGTGATCTGCAGCCTCCAGAATCGAAAGAAAATGGCATTTCAGAAAAGTCACCCGAAATATGTGATGGTAACCTTTTAAAATCTGCCAAAAATTGATCCGGAATAAATCCGCTCAAATCGATACTTAATGGACTTAATCATTATTGAAGAATTGTCTCAGGCCAAATCCATGATTTGTAGCCTTCACCTTGATGATATCGAGACGTGGAGTAGGGATCAGGTGCCAAGACAGGGTTGATTTTGGTAAAGCTAACCTTTGTGTCATCGAGAACGTACCAAAAAATATATCACAGTGTATGTCATCTGGTAAATTATGATTACGATTTAATATCTTCGATGTTGAATATTTTCTTTTATGGTTAAATCAAATATTATTAGGCACCAAACCAACTTCCTTTTGAACCAAGTACAATCATCAAAGAAGAGGACAGCTCCACAAGAGCAGTCCCTAAAGAGGAATGAAAACAAAATCCAATACATGCATTTAACAAACAAATAAACAAGAAAAACTATTAAGTATTCTTCACCATTCCAACTCCAACGTATTAAGGCTCATCTGAAGCTCCTGGTTGCTCATTGCTTTGCCTCAAACTACACTCTGCATACCTGGACAGGGGACCGAACTGGCTTCAATCTGATATATATTTCTTCCACCTGCGGTTTCACGTTTAGAGTATGGTACAACATGAGTTGGTTTTCTTGGCCTGCTTGTAGAACATCTGCCCATATCGAAGAGAGAAGGATATAATATGTCAGGAACCTACTATCGCGATAGGCAATAAGTATATGCAAGAAGCTAATTCGACATTCAACTGAGACGAGAGGGCACATCAGTTTCCTGGTTTCCCGTGAAATGTTGTATGACTTGAAAAGTTAACACTAAAGACCAAGTTTTGGGTTTGTTATGTGTGAAGGTTTATATGACTGAAAAGCATATGGGATGCAGTTTACTAGGTACATGTTTACCTGAGATGCAGCACTGAGATCTGAACTTTTTTCAACTAAACTGTCCAGCTTTTCACCTCGGGCGAGGACACTGTCGATTGTTTTGTGCTGTAACAAAAACAACAATGATATGAACTATTTAAGAGAGCACGGATAAGCAGGTATGTAACAAATTCAGTTGCGATTCCACATAGAGGAGTTCAGAAATAAATGCAGGCCGTTCCTAGGAAAAGCATAAGATGATATGTTGCTTAGTTGCATAATAAGATCGGAAGAGGGATGCAAATTTATTTGAAAGGCATATCTGAACAAAATCACTGTATCAGGAGGAGAAGCCAAACCCCTAAATGGAACCACATTGATGCCATCTTACAGAGAAGCTTTGGACACATTCTCTACCCGTAGGGGAACTCAGTTTCATCTACCAGAGAAAACAACTACAAACCGGCCCAGCTAGTACTTCCATCCCAAGTAGGTAGAACTGTAGAAGAGAAAGTAGAACCTATGCAACTCACTTAACAATCCTCCAGGAGACCAGGACACAACTAAAATCCACTCACCAAATCATCTCCGAGCAATTAATATGCAATAACCTCTAAAATGCAGGAATAAGGATATAAACCTACCTCCCACCAGCAGGCAAGTTATAATACAATAGTTGCAACTTGCAGGCCACAGGGCATTTTGTTTTAGACGAACACTTATGATACCACAACAAGGAAGAGGAAAGAAATTTAGGATGGGGATAGGAGTGCACTCACTAGTACAATTTTCGTCTCATCCAAGTCCCTCTGAATTTTCAACAACTTGTCAGCCTCAGCAGGATCCTGAAATTATCCGTATATCATGCAAGAAACAAGAGAAGTCAGACATTCCTACAACAAATTCCACATATCAGTGAAGCCATAAGCATGCTTCAAAGGCTCAAAAGTACAGTACAATGTAAAGAACAACACTTATTGTCTGGGAAGAAGGTACAGTTACCTGGAACCTAACCAAAGCGTCATTCAAGTATTGCCAAGTCTCGGTGCTATCTGTCTGTGCTGTCCTCCATGACTCGCCGAAATTCTTTTGATACTCATCAACCACCTTAAAACAAGTAAATTTATCATGTTATAATGCAACCACAAACTAAAGAGTGCGTCAACTACACGACACCACATAAAATTTTAAGATCCAAACAATCAACCACCCTCCTACGTAGGATGGTGGGAAGAAACTAGAAAGAGACAATCGCGTGACAAACCTAGCCAACAAAATTAATAAAATTCACAATCTTTTCAAAGCAAATCTAAGGGTGCTTGAGACAGATCCACACGAATGCTAACCACACAATACTTTACACTTGAGGGAAGACCTAATTTTGCCATAAAAACCAGGCAGCATGTCGCGTCTCTCAACTAGAACTATAAAAGAGACACAGAACCTGAGATAACTAATTGGTCTCCAACTCTGCCTCTGCTACAGAAATGGTAATGTCAAAATACCTGGTTAAGAAGGGAAAATGAACTACGAACGGGATAGTGATCATCCATGAATCCCACAGCACAAAGTCCATTCCTGTTGTATGCGTGGACCTTATACTCTGCAACCAACCAAATAACTCTTTACCAAACGCAAGGATAAGAAAGAAGGCCAATTTCATCTAAGAAACAACCCTGCAAGATCATAATTGGGCAGAATTCACCCATAGAAGCTTCGCATCTATAAATTCCCTTGGGTTAAGGAATCTACAAACACCTCAACCAGTTCATAAATTCGAAGCTCTATCATAATCCCGCACAGGAAAAATAATCCGACGAGTTTAAATAAACATCAATCGAATCCCGTGCCTCCCGAAGGATCATAGTACGGGCGTTCATCTAACATGGGCGAAGCATTAAAGGAGACGGAAAGAACTCAAACCACAGGTAAGGGCATTGGCTTGATCACAACCAATCCTCAAATTTAACCTCATCAGCGACACCGATCCTTGCGATCAAAATTGAAAACCAAAAACCTAAAACTGAAATTCGCAAAAAAAGTGAGGAGACGATACACAGCAAAGGACGCTGAGTAGGAGATTCGAGATCCTACCTTCGTGCTGAACGGACTGACGCTGGCCGGACGGGGTGCGCTTGGCGACGGTCCGGCCGACGAAGACGATGAATTGCCTGATGCTGGGCCTCTGGAAGTACCCAAAATGGGTGACGTCGGAGGCGTTCGCTAAGATGATCGGATCCGACGAATCCGAGTCGCACTTCAACACCAAAAGCGCCGTGATCTTCATCTCTCCCTCCGCCGGCGTTGTTGGTCTCCGAAGGTTGATGATCCCCTCCTCCCTTTTACTTTCTCTCTCTAGAAATCAAACAGAAACTCCGCGTTCCTCTCTCTAGAGCATTTCGTCAAATTTCTGTTGCATTTCCTTCTCGTTTTTCGTCCAACGACGGTCGGTTTGTTTCCATTTCCTTCTATTTGAGAGTTGAGCGGGAGGATCAGGTGCGGCCGAATCTAGCCTTACCACGCCAGTGTGGCTTAGATGGATGGCTCTGATTGGCGGAACTGCGAATAATATGTTTATTCTTTAATCTTTCTCGTCAAACCAAGCAAGGCCTACGACAGTCGACAGTGCCCTATGGGCCCAGACCAATTGGTGCGATGGGCCCAACAGAATTTATACCCACTCCCGTCTTCATTAGAACCAATGGTGTTAAGTTAATTAATCAGAAAAGTAATGAAATATTCCAAAGTGTAATAGCTTATCAAGTTTCAAATTTGGGGATAATTTGGCCAACATTGAAATGCCCCTATTGGCCGCTGTATAGACCCAACTTCTTGTGACAAATAATATCATGATCTTGGGATGGTGTTCATTTAAGTATATACCGACAGAATGAGAGGAGATGTCACATGGATAAAGTTAAGATACAACTCACATAATTAGTATTGAGTTAATATCAATTAATATTCATAATCAAACCAACTAGTATTTACCTATAAAAAACCCAACTAGTATTCAAGATTTATTGATGGATATCCACCATGAAATCAATTATTATTCCACATTCATGAACTAATATCCAGACAACACAAAATAGTATTCATGCATCACATAATTAGTATTCAGCAAATCAATTGCGAACTAATATCCAAAATCAACTAGTATTCAAGGTTCCCTAAATGATATCCAACATGAAACAATAGGTAATCCACATTCACGAACTGATATCCATACAACACAGAAGAGTATCCATATCGTGGGAGACCTAGTATTCAACCAAACAATTACGAACTAATATCCACACTCAAAACAACTAGTGTTCACGTTTGCTAAATGATATCCAATATGAAAACAATATGTATTCCACATTCACGAAGCGAGAGAAGCAGGAGTGAGAGGGGGTGGACCACGGAGAATCACTGACTTGCAATGTTGTCAACCGAATGGTCAACCAGATCCACATGGAATCGTCCACAAAAACAGGTGTCAGTCACCAGTTGAGGAGTTCGCCCGGACTCACTCAAGTCCGTCAGATCCATCATATTGAATCGGAAAGCATTTTTGGTCTTTTGGCCGATGATTTAGGGATTATGCTAGGCTCTCTAGGTGGGTCAATTCACAAAAATGGACACTGAACTATCAGATTAATGACAAATTGGTCACTAAGATTCAAATATTTGGTTTCCATGATCTATCATATTTAAGTTATTGTAGAAATTAGTGTGATGATTCACCTTGGTCAATAATAAGAACATTATTCTAATTAGTTATGATTCACATATTCTAACCAAACCGAGTGACACCGGACTAAATTGACGACCCATTAACCCGTCGTTCACCCGCTCGACCAGATCAACCGGCTAAACTAGATTGACAATACTATTGTCTCATCTTCATTTTTAGATCGAGAGAAGCGTCTTTAAAACTATAGGAGTTTTGTCACGACCCGGAATGTCGTGACCGTGTTGATCTTCTGAAGAACACTGCCATCTGGTTGTCTTGCCACAAGAGGGGTAAAGGGGGCGACATTAGCGATAAACCGTTGTCTGCCTGTGCATCGTTCTAATCGAGTTAGGATGTGGCTATGACGGGGATCGTTGCAAGCGCAGACACAACTGGTTGGAGGCTATTGTCGTCTCCTTGATGAGCCCAATGCAGGGCGAAACCAGTTGGCATCCGTATGCGGAGAGACCGGTCTTGAGAAATGAGTGCACCTCAAGACGCTGCACGGTCTTCGGAAGTCTATGTTCGTGGCAAGTGGTATCAGAGTCTGGTTAGGCTGAAGAGCCTAGTTCCTCTCTCAGTAGGTCGAGTATGGACCGACCCTATGCCAGAATGAGAGGCGGTCCTGGGTTTGCATCAGGCAGTCCGGACGCAGATACACATGTGTTGCGCCGTTGTGGGAGACCTCGACAGGCTGGAGAGAAGCAACGGTTGAGAATGTCATTCAACCGAGGAACTAACACTAGCAAGAGCGTAGGGTGAAGGTCGAATGATGTACAAACGTTAGGAGAAGCGTGGGGTGAAGGTCGACCGAGGTACTAGCGCAAGAGAAGCGAAGAGTGAAGGTTGATGTCGAGAGGCGAAGCGGTATGTGCTCGTGGCACAACAGGGTAGCGCGAGAGATGCGATCGGAGCCTGTCCTTCAGAGGATGGTATCATATGTGAAGGCCCACAATCGGTTCGAGTGTTGCAATACATGATGCGGAGAAAAGCATTCTTCACCAGCACGAGGACGTGCTGCATTATGAGTGGTGGAGAATGTCACGCCCCAGAATGTCGTGACCGTGTTAATCGTCTGAAGAACGCTGTCATCTGGTTGTCTTGCCACAAGAGGGGTAAAGGGGGCGACATTAGCGATAAGGCGTTGTCTGCCTGTACATCGTTCTGGTCGAGTTAGGATGTGACTATGACGGGGATCGTTGCAAGCGAAGACACAACTGGTCGGAGGCTATTGCCGTCTCCCTGATGAGCCCAAGGCAGGGGGAAACCAGTTGACATGAGTATGCAAAAAAACTGATCTTGAAAAATGAGTGTATTTCAAGACGCCGCACGGACTTCAAAAGTCTATGTACGTGATAATTCCCCTTCTCCGTTGCAGCCACGATGACAGCTATTTTGATTTTCCGCTTCTCCTTCTCGCTTTTTCCCCCTTCTGCTCAATTAAAGGCAAAAATGTGAGCCTCCTACAGTCAAGCTCCAACAATTTTTCACATTTTTTAAAAAACTGTAGTGCAAAAGGAAACACAATTGGAGAAAACGTCCTTTCACTGTAATTAGTTTCCTAATTAGAAATGTTTGATTATGGTTGCCAATTCTCATTTACAGCGGGGAGGAGACCACAAGTCATTGTGAGAGAGAAACATGATTTCGGAGTCTGTTCGTTTAAGAACCCCAATTGTGTCCCGCAGTGAGAAAGCAGAGCAACGCCACGGCAACGGCGACGGCGGGGGCTGTCGATTGGAGTCCAGCAGCTACAGAAGAAGATGAAGTGGATGCTTCCTGCTCCTGCTTCGAAGCAGGGTCTTTCGGTTTGGCTACTTCGGGCAACGGTGGGTCGACGACATCTTGAACGGTGAGAGCTGGTTTTGGAGGATCTGCTGGCGCTGAGCGAGTTTCGTTCAAGAGACTTCCAGGCCCGGCCGGGAGGATGGTATAGCTGCGGTTGATGTCTGAGCATGGGTTTCCTGGATCCATTCAACATATCAGACCACGATGATGTGTTAGTATGTGGTATAAGATCCATTATTGAAAATCTGCGTTGCGGGCATTATCAGAGAGAGACTTACTCTGGTATCTGTTGGCGGTCTTTGGGTACTCTGTGATGAACCCGTCGACTCCGACCGTGTGTGTGTACGTCGCGATCTCGACCGTCGGGTCGGCAAAGTAGTCGAACGCTAGCGTGATGTACTCGTTGTTGAGTGTGGAGACGAAGACCGTCAGGTTCGCGCTATGCAATGTCTCGACGATCGGGGTTTCCAACGTCAGGAAGCCTTGCGGGTTGGTGGGGAGGATGGAGTATCTCGTCAAGGTGACCCCATCGGCATTCTTCTTGATTTCCTCTACGGCGGCCTTGTTCACGGAGCTGATTTCTTCCTTGATGGAGAGAATCCTTTTGTAAGATGGGAAGTTCTTGAATTTGGCTAGCACGGACGTATCGTCGGATTGAATGAAGACCTGCGGACCGGACTTCTTGTCGTACTGTGCCTTGGTTAAGGCCGCGGTGACCGTGGTGACGAGATCTAGACCTTTCGACGCAAGGTATGGCGCATTCTGCGGTAAGAATTGTCCGAAATCGTAAAATCGTAAGATTTTTAATGTTACGCAAAAAGACTTATCATAATGAACGATGTAATGTCTCGTGAACTTACATCCAGGCTGATCAGAATGCCGGTAACAGATTTCGATCGGGCGAACTCCAAGAACTGAGCAAGGGTTACAAACTTGCCCTTGTTTCGGAACAGAGGGTTTCTCTTCAGGCCTGTGCTTTTCTCGTAAGGGGTGGACAATTGAGCTGTGACAAACGAAAGAATGGATCATTTATGGTTAGTCAAGAAAAAGCTTGAGACTAATGAACAATGTCAATGGCTTTTTTTTTTTTACGTTGTAACGTCTGAATCTCGTCCCACGACAAGGCGAAAGAGAAGATGCCCGATTCCTCTTGGATTTCTTTGACATCAGTGATGCGATCCACGAAGATGGTTGCTGCGGTGGTGCTTGTAGTGAGGTCTGGAGAAATCATACAGAAAGCAACTCCATCTTGCGACATTTGAACGCTGCAATCGATTACATCCGCACCATCGTCTACCGCTTGCTTGTACGCGAGGTCGGTGCTCGGAGCGTAGACTCCGTAGGCTCCTCCTCGTGTTATGATCAGAGGTTGCCCTGCCATGGCGAAGAGATGTGTATATGGTTGGTTCAGTTTTTTTTTCTTGCAGAATTGTGTGCATATTGTGCTATTGATTTTTGGGTATGGTTAGGTTACAGAGGAGGAGAAATCTCTCACCTTGTTTCGACCGGTTCTCGGGTAACGGTCCAAAACACACTGCGTCACGTTCCCAAAAGAAAATGTTCAGAATTTAGGTAAGAAATATGTCGTCGAGTTTATATATGAGGAGGTCTACTCGCACATTCGGATTAGGCGCGAGTAGACCCAAATGTGACAAAAAATTTAATGAAAGCAATGGATAAATTGACATAAAGTAGATACAGGGGATCAGTCTTACTGATGGCATCCGTCGCGGTCGGCGGGAAATCGGTGATAAATCCGTCGACGGAGAACTGGCCGTTGCTGATGAAGTTGAGATACTCTGCCATCGGATCGTAGCTGTAGTTGTAGACGAGCACATTGTCATTTGCGAAGCCGGAAGCGTAAACCTCGAGACCAAGTTTATGAGCGTCGGTCACCAGAGTCGTCGGCTGTGCGACCAAGTAGTTGGATTTGTCGACCGGCCAAATGTAGTCCTTCGGGACGACGATTCCGGCCACGATCGGCTTCAACGCGGCCAGGTCCGACGCGATCGAACCGTACGTCTTTTTGGTCGTGGGCTCGATGGCGTCCTTGCCGTGGAAGGTGAAGTAGAGCTTCAGCCCAGCCGGTAGCTTTCTGTCACTCATTGCTTTCAAGAAACCGATCTCCGGCGAGGAGAGGCAATGTTTGCTGGTTAGCGGGACTTGGCGAATGAAATCCTCCATGTTCATCTTGTGTTCTGAGAAGAATTGAACATACTAGAAGAAAAGAAAAGAAAAAAATTAGAGGCGAATCAGTTGAAAAACAAGTCGAAATTTGAAATTCTTCATGCCGAATTGTTTCATCCAAATTTTATGATGTCAAATGGATAAGTTTCGCCAGCTTATCTCAAAACAAAACAATTGGGTCAAATTGATCCGTTATAATTCCTCATCCAATACGATCCTTTCAAATTTCATGCAAACAAAAGACTCATTCGTGAGACCGTACCGGAACATTGATCCACAAAAGAGGCATCTTGAACTGTCTCTCGCCTTCAAATGGCATAATACTGTAGCCGTCAAAAGCATCTGATCGAGTCATGATGCGTTGAACCCCTGCAGGACGGTAAAAGAGGAGAAACGAATCAAATTTATAAAAATGACGATTACATAATATAAAAAAAAGTGTTACATATGCATCATGGCCATCCAATCGATACTAGAGGTCTCGTACCAAATAAAAGATGTGGCCAATTTTTTTTTCTAATATTCAATAAATATTCTTTTTAGCTATTCAATTCGAAATCTTCTTATAAAACATATTGGGCTAATTCCACTAAGAAGTCCAAACTATTCAAAAAGTGTCGTTTGTGTACTAAACTATATGCGTTTTCGTGACATTTGTATGCATTATCCAACATATTTACCAATATATCAAGTACAAAATTAGTATTTCAATTTTGTATTACACATTATTACATTGATCTAATCGTAAAAAATTTAGTAATTATGCTTGATGCAAAACTTCATTCTTTCATAATCTCGTAATTTATAGTAAAAAACTCACCAACCATCGTCTCTACGAGGTCATTCATGGTGTAATCAATGGTGAAGTAACCGCTAACGTTCTTGCCATTCACGTTGTAAGTTTTGGACATGTTTGGATGGAGGGCCTGTACGTTTGTGGATTTGCTGATCTCCACATCTGGCTGGCAAACTGCCCCGTTGTCCATCGTTAACTGTACGCTGCAAAGCAAGAGCATGCCGTCGAATGTACGAATTGTGAACGCCATTCCGGTGTCTTCAGGGAACTGCCCGGAGAAACCCTCTCGAGCTACCACCGCCGGCGCCTTTCCTGGGTGAACATTCATATCGGGATCAGAAGAAGAAGAAGAAAAACGTGGTTTACAGTACAACTTGAAGTTGTACCGTAATGTTAAAAAGTATAAATTGAAGTTGTATCATAGGATAATTTGACCTTTATGTTATGGTACAACTTGAAGTTGGAAAGTTGTACCATAAATAAAAGTAAATTATACGTACTTACAAAACATTATAGGTACGACCCGAAGTTGTACCATAAAAGCAAAAACTAAAGTACCAATAATTTAAAGCATTGTAAAATTCCTTCAATTACTCATTGTTATTGTCGCTTCGTAGGATGAAAATTCGATACGAGCGGACTAGTTGAAAACCAAAACATGTTTTTTTTTTTCTCACCGTTTAGGGTTAGCCATGGAGCCTCTTTCTCATCGGCACCGTTTGCAGAAGAACTTGCATGGATGAGCAATAGCACAAAAAGCAAACCCCTCACCATTTTTTCTACCTCTTAACTTGCACCTGGTTTGATTTCTTCTTTTTCGTGTACAAAAACAAAGAAGCATTAGTTCAAAGAAAAGTTCACCCTCATGTGTTATGTTCAATAATTAGATGCAAAATCGAGATAACCATGATAATTATATAATATCAAATTCCAGATATATGGTAAAAAAATGAGAAAATACAAATATACAATAACACTTCAAAAGAGAGAACATTGACCTCTATCAGCCAGATAATCAACATATATGTTTTCACCAAACATTCCTTGTTTTTTTCCCCTTTCGTCAACGGTGAGGAAGGAGTTCAATTATAAACCCTAAAACCAAACGAACCCGTTCCTCAATTTCTCTCAATTATCTTGTTATTGGGACGTGAGAAGTTGCATGTTACACCAGAATTTTCATTCAGATGATCAAATGTTTCGAGACATAAATCTCGTATTATGTTTTTCATTTCAATCCCGGAACTATGGATTACAAAGTGAATAAATTATAAGTTAAAAGAGAACTTACCTTTACCCTTGAGCAAAGAAATCATAAAATGTACATTCCCCTTCATAAGAACTATGAAAAAATTTGACCAGACATTTCTTGCCTTTTTTTTCCTTTCACGTCCTTCCGTGAACAAGGATTTCAACTCTAAATCCTAAAACCAAATGAATTAATGAACTCATTTATCGATTTCTCTCCATTTTCTCTTGATTAGGACGGCGGAAGTTATACGTTACATCAAAATTCCAATTCATATCATCAAAGGTTTCAATGCATACATCTCGTGTTATACTTTTCATTTCGATCACGAAACTGGGGATTACGAAGAGAATAAATTAGAGATTAGAAAGAACTTACCTTTACCGTGGAGCGAAGAAATCAGAAAATGTACATTCCCCTTCAGAAGAATTTGGGAATTTTGTTTTTTTGTTTTGTCCCCTGATGTGAAACTCTTAGAAGGGGAATGTGAGTTAGCTCCCAAATGGTAACAGAGCCAAATTGAAGGCTATTATAATAACCGAAATGACCCTTTTGGTGAGAATTGCCGTTGACAATTGTTTGGTTCTCGTCTCTTTTTTTTTTTGTGCCAACAAAATTTCGGTATCTAATAAACTTATTACATGTCTAATTGACCTTTTTGTTAACTATATCTTTTATGTATTACATATCTATTGCCGCTATCCGAAGGACGGCTGGTTTTGAATGAAGGGTAGGGATGCTAAATGCGCATTCGGTTAAAAATAATAAATATACAAATAGTGTTAAATTAATTTATGATTTTAAGAGAAAATCTACGGCCGAGATGTCACAGAAGTCTAAAATAGTAAATTTCTTACTTTTCTTTCCCCAATAAAATTTTCCAACACATTTTCAATGCAATAAATCTGGAGAGTCAGAATTCGCTTTCTTTCCTGTTCTCTCAATTTCTTCAAAGAAGCCTCGGAAGTTTTATGAGTGTTTTTATTATGAATACATGATGTTGTCCTGAGAATCAACGAAGAAGAAAGCTTCGAACATTGTTCAATCTGTAGCAATTTTCGAGCTCCGATTCGCTGTAAGAAACCAACAAAATTTCCTGCATTTTGGCTCAGGATTTGGATTCCCCCCAAACAGTGTTTCAGGGGGTTTGAAGTTGAAACTTGACAAGGAACGTCCATCTGGTGGACGTTGAAGAAAATTGGAAAGTAAGTTTCGTTTTCAAAAGATTTCATTTCATGACATGATAACTCATAATCTCGATCCTGCTTTCTTCCGAATCAACGACGAAATTTTTTACGGAGAGATCGTTTGATAGACGTAGTAATTAGGAACAGGCAAGCAATATATATGCAAATAACAATGCATACTTTCTTTTCCCCACAACAAGGAATAGCAGACGAAGATGACAAGGAGTTTGCTTTTGGTTCTATTGTTCATCCATGCAACTTTAGCCGCAAGCGCAGCACCCTCAGGCGACGCACCACCCCCAGGCGACGCTGGGGCTGCCAACGGAAGCTCCGTATGGCAAACTCTACATGGTAAGATAAATGTTGTCTGATATTATACCACACGATGATGATCAATACGAGTTCGAAATGCATGAATCCTCGGGCATTACCTGATGTTCCTCTTCCGTTCTCCACAGGGGAGCAGCCAAAGGTGGTGGCTCATGGCGGGTTCTCGGGGTTATACCCACAATCGACTCCAACGGCGAATGCAATTGCTGCACTATACCCAAAACTGATTCTGCTCTGCAATTTACAAATAACAATGGACAAGGTCGGAATCTGCGTGGCAAATCTCGACCTCAGTGAAGGAACCAGCATAGCGGTCGAGTACCCCAACAAAACTAAAACGTACAAGGTAAATGGAAAAGATGTCACGGGCTATTTCAGCGTGGATTACACCATGAACCAACTCAATAACGTGATAGGTCAGTCAGAAGGCCATTCTGCAGCAACAAACCGACATGTTATTTACAGTACGATATCATCGCTGTTGAAATGAATGAATCAGAAAACACTTACCAGCATTTTCTTTCTGTGTTGTTCAAAAACCATAACAGCAACGCAGAGCGTATTGAGCCGTCCAGATGCCTTCGATATCGATCCGATTCCAACATTTGATGATTTTCGTGCAAGCATCGCTGCTCCACGGTGGATCCATGTTGAGGTAAGTTTCCAGTTTTTGCTTCTGTTTTTCCTAGTGCTCTGAAGCTTTCTGCAGTAAGGGTTGGTAAATACCAAACCAACCGACTTAGAATTCATCTAGCCCAATTGATTTGGGTTAAAAGAAAAATAATAATTTAAATATTTACAGTCTTCCATCGAGTACCTACACTTTCAAATGTTCATAAACTGGTCCAGAACTTAACTCCTATTGTACAACGAATCTACTACTCATTCAAACTCGATCCATTTGCCACCTCTACAATCAATTTTCCTTACTCTGTATGTAATGCTCTCTTCTGCTGTGATTTCAGTATCCTCAATTCTATGACGAGCACAAACTGAGCTATGAGGATTATTTTGACAAAAATAGTCTCCGAGGCATCAATTATTTATCCACTCCGGAGCTTACTTTTCTGAAGGCAATAAGTGCTATGAAACCCCCTACCATGAAGCTCTATTTTGCCTTCAAAGGCAGAGAAGAGCTAGAACCCACAACCAACCAAACCTACGGCGAGCTCTTGTTAAACAAACTCAAACCGATGATAACTGGAATTGTTGTCCCAAGGGAATACATATGGCCGGTCGAAAAATCCAACTACTTGGCACCAGAGCCAAACCCACTGGTGGCTGATGCTCATGAACTTGGTCTGGAAGTATATGTCTACGGATTTGCAAATGACAATGTACTCAGCTACAACTATAGTTATGATCCAACAGAAGAATACCTGCAATTCACCAGTAAGGGCTTCTCAGTCGATGGTTTCATTACCGATTTCCCTCCAACTGCAATGAACGCCGTTGGTAAAGATCACTTCTCCTTACTGAAAATTGCACTAAAGCAGTGTTATCACATCAGAAAATTACCTTAATCAGTTTATTGAACATACTAAATAGATGGTTAAGCCTTCTCAGTGTCTTTATATTAACTTTAAAACTTTTCGTGGATCAGAATGTTTTGCGAAGTACAACAACTCCGAAAGCCGCAGAGAGGGTGAGTGAGGCCTTCTTCCTGCAACCAAATGTTTGAATCAAGATGGCAATGAGGAATAGCAGGATAACCAAAACATGTTTTACTTTGATGTAATGCAGGACAACCTTTGGTTATAACCAACGGGGGAGCAAGTGGAATTTATGCAGGGAGCACTGATCTCGCTTACCAGAAAGCAGTAGATGACGAAGCCGACATAATTGATTGCAGCGTTCAAATGAGTAAAGATGGAGTTGCTTTCTGCATGGCGACTGCCGACCTCAGTGTAGATACTACTGCAGCAACAATTTTCCCTGATCGGGCCACCACTATCCCTGAAATTCAAAAGGATGATGGAATATTTTCTTTTGATCTGGAATGGAGTGACATTCAAAGCTTACAACGTATAAGCAACTTTCTTCAATGGTTTCACCACATTTTCCTGGTTCTTCAATCTTCCTTCATCATGTCCTTCTCACAATGGACGCTTTCATTTTTCAGCTCAATTATCATCCCCTTTTGAGAAAACCAGTGATCTTAAGAGAAATCCAGCAGTAAAGAACGAGGGGAAATTTATGACCCTCGATCAATTCCTGCAATTTGCAAAGGCAAAATCTGTTCCGGGCATTCTGATCAACATAGATGTAAGTATTTCCCTTTCATCTGAATCTCTCTTCTTATTAATCTTAAACAAGCTAATAATATACCCCAAAAAAAAAAAAAACACTTGCAGAATGCTGCATACCTAGCATCGAAAGAAGGCCACGACGTTGTTACGACAGTGAGCACAGCCTTACATAAAGCCTCATTTGACAAACAGACTACTCAACAAGTCTTAATACAATCAGACGATACATCGGTGTTGGCCAAATTCAGCAATCTCGGGTACAAAAGGGTACTGGCTGTCAAGGAAGAAGTAAGCGACGTACCAAAGGCTACAGTAGACGAAATCAAAAAGTATGCAGATGCAGTCACCTTGACTAGATTCTCTATAATCCCAACAAGCCATGGCTTCACGAGGAAGGAAACCAATTCTGTTCTGGCACTGCAAGCTGCAAACTTGTCTGTGTTCGTTACAACTCTGAACAACGAATATCTCTCACTTGCATTCGATTACAACTCGGATGCCATGTTCGAGATCGCCACTTACACACAGATGGTCCAAGTCAATGGTACCATTACGGAATATCCAGGAACTGCAAACAAATATCTGAGTAAGCATTCATTCATTCATTCATGCGTGCAGCCTTCTTTCATCCCTCGAAAGACCATAAAAAACTGAATTTCCTCATATTTTTTCCTTATTGCAGAAAACCCATGCTCGAATCTTAACGACCCAGATCTCATGTACGCCATCTTACCAATCACCCCGGGCCAAATGCTCAATCTAACCAAGTACTCAGAAAACCTGAGTCCTCCGAAACCAGCTCTAGCTGTTAAAGACATCGCCGACCCACCATTACCTCCAGCGATCAAAGTTCAGGAAGACGGAGCTCCTCCTCCGGGTTCATCCGCCTGTGCCCATTCCGGCCTCTCAATCGCAGCTATGGCGTTGCTAAGCTTACTCAACGGCTTATTCCGCATCTAATTCCAGCCAGAAGTGCTAACAGACGTCTAGCATATTAGCAGTCGTGATTCCAATTTGTACAGATTGCAATTTATCACATTTCAAGCTATGATCTAGATCTCTTTCACAGTATTACACCGTCTCCACAATCTTCACATTCTAAGAACCCTACATATGGTTCTAGACTCAAAATCCATTTCATGCAACATTTCAACACTATCAAATCTTCGACGCAGCTCATTAGAAAACAATCGCAAAAGAGAGAAATTACGAACTAAGAGGCTCAGATTCGCCTTTAATCAGACATTAAGAAGCAAGCCACGAAAAACAGAGAAGCAAGAATCACCAGCTGCCATTGGCTGCAGACAAATTAAAGGAGGCGGAGAAACCCTAAAAAAGGTGTTCCAACACTCTCTCCCCAAGATGTCGCCATGCCAGGTAACTGATATCCAGCCATTGCTATCTCCGTCTCCGGGAAGTCTGATAGAATCATTCGTCATAGCCTCAGGCGAGAGTGAGAGAGAGAGCGAGAGGAAGAGTGAAGGTCGATGAAGCAAAGGAAACCATATATATATGTTTGTTTTATGTATATAATCTCAGTGACCAAACTTGCAATTAACCCTAGGTACTTTCGGACGATGTGGCGGCAGATCCGCGCATCGGCGGCGAGTAATCACTGGCTTCGCTGGCGACCAGAGGGAGAAACTGTCGATTTTCCGGCGACTATTCTGTCTCGCTCCACTGAGAGCAAAGCCTCATACTTAAACTAGTGAGTGATTGCCTCTCAAGCAGCTCTGTGTGTTTATATAAGCCACTGGCCGCTGTCGGCAGTTCCTTATCGGGCTCCGATTGGGCCAGTGACTTAGTTTATAGCAACACGAAATCAGCCCACGTTCTTTCGCAGCCCATTAAGAACATTAGTACTTGGTATTCATGGTTGCTTGCAGCAGAAGTAAATAGTCCTCTCTTATTGTTTTGCCTTATGTGTATGCCGTCTAGTCGTCTACTCACAGAAATCAACACTCCCGAGGTTTACTAGTCTTATCTTTATTTTAGGAAAGAATATTTATTTTAGGAAATAATAGAAATTTTACAACGTTATATAGTATTGGTGTTATGGGATTTTGTTTTTATGGTACAACTTAAAATTGTACATTTACGTTATGGTACAATTTCATATTGTACCAATATTTTTTGTACAAATTCTTTTATGGTACAACTTGAACTTGTACTTTTATGTGATGGTACAACTTCAAGTTGTAAAGTTGTACCATAACATAATGGTACAAATTGTTTTATGGTACAATTTAAACTTATACATTCAATATTATGGTACAATTTTAAGTTGTACATTAAACCACCAATACTATGAGGCATAGTAGAAGTGCTGCAGTCATTGGTTAGAGGAGCGTAGGGCTGTCCATTTGGTTTTGGTTTTACCATAACCAAACCAATTGGAAAGCTAATGGTTTCAGTTTTTCGGTTTTAAACCAATAAGCAACTTGATGATTTTGGTTTGGTTAAAACCAAAAAACCAATAGAAACCATTAAGAAACCAATAAGAATAAAATTATTTATCAACAAATATATATTTTTTTTTGTTTCTTTTGACACGCATGCCAACCAATAATTTGTAATGGTCATTTACCAATATTATGACGTTTATTCAATAAAAAATAAAAAGGAGGGAAATGAGAACACATATGAGTGTATGAGTACATGTTGGTATTTTGGTTATTCAAACCAAAACCAATAAAGCTCTTATTGGTTTTTGGCAACCGAAAACCAATAAGGGCCTTAATGGTTTTAGTTTTGATTTTTGGTTTTTCATGCTTAATGATTTGGTTAACCAAACCAAACCAAATTGACCGCCCTAGATGAGCGTTAAAATTAGAAGGATCGTGAAATAGCAATCAGGTGATATAGTCGCTCCGGAGAAGTTACGAGTGATGAACCAAAGACTGCAGTGCAGTTGGCACTGCCATTGGAGATCCAAATCCTGAAGACGCTCGTGACGACAGTGTAGCTAGCTCGAGCGACATTCTCGAGTAACAACCCCAATCATTCATCATCGAGATGATGATGCTAACTGTAGAATTACATTGTTACATTATGGCACAGACCTTAGGAGCCTGCTCGAACATTCCCGGAGTTCCTAGAGAAGATGCTAACTCTCGATCCTTCTCGGAAAATCTCCGCCGAGCAGGACGCACTTGATGCAGAGTAACCCATTGCCTTGTGAATTGTGATCCAAAGCCTCTGGGCCCAAATATGCCGTCGCGAGTTCCTGACCAAGAAAAACAGCGGCAGCAAATACAACAGGAAGAAGAGCGAGCCAGCCAAGCGGCAGAAGCTACAGCATTCACAACCAGAACTGAAAACTTAATTTGAAGTAGGGCTTGGATGAAATCAAAAGCGAGTGACAAATCAGTAGAGGCTCAGATCCACCATTGTAGTCCAGAGAAGGAGCGAAAGATCCTCCACGGCCATGGCTGCGAAACAATGCCATCTTGAGCAACTAGATCGCCGTGCCAAACAGCCGTTGAGTGCGTTCCCTCATCTGAAACAATGTCCGGAGAAATCTCATCACGGCCAACCGAAAAAGAAGAAGAGAAAGCTGGAAGCTTAGTAGTTGGGAACAACGAAAGAAACGACGACAACGGGAACAAGACCGTTTTGTACCAAATGCAATTGTGTGACCGTTTATGATAATTACCTCAGATCTGCAGCATGCATTTTCGGTAGATTACCGAAACGCGCCAAAATAGAGGCGGTCGAGCACCGTCCACGTGTACGGAGACGGATGGTTAGTTTGTCGGAGACGGAGGCTCAGATTTAGAATTGCGATCGGAAGCCGGAAGCTCCGCCGTCCATGGCTGCGACAACCGGTTGCCGGAGGGAATCCGATTTCCCGTGAATCCAGCCGTCCGGTGTCTCCCCGCCGTGGAATCGGCGGCTCCGCCGCTCCCGAGCCGGCCTCGCGGAAGAGAGAAAATCGATCAAATGTCATCGTCATTGCCTCGTGTTTAGAGAGAGAGAGCGAGAGAGCAGAGCAGAAGCGATAGGCAGAACGAAACAAAAGGGGAAGGAAGAAAGGAGGAACCAGAGCTGTGATTCCAGTCACCAAACTCACAAACACACACACAAACACAGAGTAATCAGCGGCCGGAGAAGTCATCGGCTCCGGCGGGGGAGAGAGAATCTCTCTCGAAGCCGAAGCCATCATTCTTTGCTCTCTCTTCACCCGGAGACCGGAGTTCAGTCCATGCCTCCATGGCTGTAGCCTGATGGCTGGGCTCTGTGGCTTTTATAGCGGGGAGGATCTTCCTATTTTACCCTTTCACCGCTGCGTGGGATAAATCTGTAAATGGTCACTGGATTATAATGTTTGTAATAAGTGGTCACTATACTATAACTTTTAGCAGAAATTGCCAACTAAGTTGTGGTAGTAACTAGTAATGAATAGATATCTAGCCCAATGTGGCATCAATTCTGCTGATTTAGCACGTACCAAGTTACATAATGAAGATTACCTAATGAGTATAATATTGTGAAAAATCGGAAACCTCGACTCTGTTGGTTTGGAGTCGGATAGGTACAGGAAGATCTAGTTTATATGTTGTGAAGTGTCTACCTTAATCGCGACCTCCAGAAGGAATTTTTTTGGCTTTCTGAATTAGATTGCAAGAGGTCAGATGGCAGCCTTGCCCTTCTGTTGGGTCACAAATCTGCTCAGGACCTTCCCTTCTGAGCTAATGGAATATGTAATCTGCCATCGAAAGGAATGAGGTAAGCACGAAGAGATCGGATTACGAAAAAAGACTTGTATGTTTCGTCGCTGCAAGACGCGAGATTCAGAGAGCAGCATACCATTTCAAGAGAGGTTACTCTGTGGAGAAGGAACCCATCGGCCATTCCACTGCAAAAAGCCAGCAACAGAAAGCAGTTCAGAGACCAAAATGTTGATGAAAAAACTTAGTAGGTGCGAGGAAAAGATGTATACTTTTGCTGCTGCTGATCCAATCCCAATCCCAATTTCCTATTTGGGAGAAAGGGACCATCACTGTGTTCATCAGGGCCTGCGATTCCAATGTAATCCACACCGTCTCGAGAGGTATGATTGGAACAGGCATTGGTACTCAAATAAGCATTCTGAAGAAAGAAAGATGAGCAAATCAACAACTGGGCATGGAGTTTGGAGAAGAAGCAGCACCTGACATGTCTTTTTCCTTTGGCCTTCTTACCACTCCATACTTCACAAATATATGGTGTAGAGTTTCGGGAGCACTGTTTATTGATTCGAAATGCTCATGGTTCTCGTCAAAACGAATGATCGGGTGGTATCCAACGACTATAGACCTAGATTTACAGATGGGAAATAGGATGCTTTTTTATCAGAGCATTTGATGAACAACACATAAAAGTACTAATCCATGGATTACATCGAGAGAGAAGTAATGATGAACCAACAGACAGGAAATGTTACCAGTTACTACCATTAGCAGCTTCAAGTGTACTTCCCAGCCAATTCTGACCGTCACCCGAGCCATTCATCGACTCGGTAAGCAGTAGATCCTAGAAGGAAGATTAACTTATGTTAATTCGAGATGGACAAGTCTTTAACAGATTATCCATGAAAAAGGTAGGGAGCTAATTATGACACAGTACCAGTAATGAACCAGTATTCAGACCAATAATGTTAAAAGTCTGTCTATTATCTATTTTTATATGTTCCTTGAAGCAACTGGCTATTTCCTGCCCCTTTGAAGCTTTAGTTGTGTACCTGCATAAGCAAATCAATCACAAACTTCATCAGCAGTCTCCAAAGTGTAAGGGTGCAACAATCAGCCCAAGAAACAAGCTGTACCAGGGAATGCTGGGTGATTTGAAGAGCTGACTTGCCTGCAAAAAAATCACAGTTAATATTCAACTTTGGCTGGTAAAAACCGAATTCTTGTAGCTATTAGGAGCGTCGCACAATCAAATAAACAGCTCTGACAGTGTCCGATTTACATTCCAGTTAGAGTTAAATCTGGTAAACTAAGCATTCCAAGAATTTAAATGTCCGATTTACATTCAAAAACCAATTTTACCAATCATTTCTCTCCCTAATGATTCCATTTAGCTGAGTTGACTGATTCCAATTTGAGCCAAAGTATTCGGCACAGACAGGGCTATTTAATCGAAGAGTCAAACTGAGCGGGAATGGTGGGGTAGAAAGAAAATAAGAACAGAGAAGAGGAAGGAAAATCACATTACGGGTCAGGGGATCTTCCTCCCCAAGCTCATTGAAATTCACCACAAACCGAGCTCCGTAAATCCTCACTACATCCTCAATCTGCAAATCCGACATTAACATCTATACCCATCAACTCGAACCATTGACCATATCAGAAATCGGCCAGCCCAAAATGCACAATTGCTCGAACTGCACAATGAACCAGGGAAAACAGAGACGAAAGGAATAAAAAAGGAGAGAACTTTGACCTGTCTGAGAAGATGGGTCTGCGTTTGAAAAGGTCTGAACCCACCACCTCGTACCGTTACAAAGACGATGACATCATCAGGACGACGAGGAAGACGCTGCCATGGCTGCTGCTGCTGGGGCTCGCCGATGTTCAATGCGAGGTACAGAGCAACGCAGAGGCATAGCTGGGTGACGAGAGTACAAGTCCAAGATCGTTTACCGTCCATTTTTCTGTAACTGTGTGTTCTAGTGCCGTCTCTTTCCAAAGACTTCGACTTTGAAAATTTGTTTTCTTCTAGGTGCAGGGGAAGATGTCGAGATGAGATCTGTGCAGGGAGTTTATCCTTTTTGAATTGTTGTAGGTGATGGGGAAATGCGAGCCAAGACAAATGGAAGGAAGGCACACACAAACATAATTCAAGAGAATTTTGTAATTTACAGTTCAATCATTCAGAGACGTTAACACTGTTGTTGATGTATGATTCATGATGGAGGAACAGATTCAGCAATGGTAGTGCCCCTATTTTATAATCTTTCATGAAGATATGATAGCGTTCATCTTTGTTTAACAAGATTCTCTTTGCCTTGCCCAAAACTATACTTGCTTTCCACTACAATTTATCAATTACCAAATCACAAGCCAAAAGAATAAAAAGAGAGATCAGATTTATGTTATAGGATAAACCGAATATATACGGTACCAGATCTAAATATCTAATGCATAATCTTCAATCATAAACGGTTAGTCATGAATTCGTATCTTAACAAATCTTCGCAATTCTTATAAATTAATGTTCACACGTATTCGATTTATAAACTCATCATTAATCTATTTGCGCACGAAATCGACTTGTAATTCAACTAATAAATCCTAGAGCTGCATATGTTTGGAGGAAAAAACTGACCTGATAAAATCTCGAATATATTATTTGTCATTTTCCCAATCCACCACAAGACCTGAAAAGGACAGAATCCATCGTCAACAGCACAGGATTAAGTACTGAAACATTCCAAGACCTCAATAATTAAGGATAAGATGGCATCTTAAAATCCACGATCTAATCCTCATTTCATTGTCAACGAGGAGAAACCCCCCAGGAACCAAAATCCAGCACGAATTGTTCAAGGGAATCAAGAGCCAAAGACAGAACAACCATCATAGGAAATAGGTATGATGTGAAACTCAGGATTAGACCCTCCCCACCCAAAAACACGGATTTGGATGTTAAGTTTAACAGTGCTAATCTATATTCCAATTCTTGTTCTTTTCACTCAATGTCAGCACGATCCAGCATATCCACAAATGTCATCCTTCTGGGGAACCTCGGTGGCAGCCTGAGATACGTAGCATCTTCCATCTTGATCGGCAGATGAGTCGCCACAAACACAATCCCGCCTTTCTTCCTATGATCCGCAATTATGAACTCCAGCAGCTTCACCCCTTCGTCATCCAGGGCCACAGACGGCTCGTCGAGCAACCAGATGGGGCGGTCCATAGCCAGCAATCTAGCTAGCTGCACCCTCTTCCGCTGTCCCATAGACAGCATCCTCGTCTTCTCGTTCGCCAATCGTCCCAGCCCCATCAACTCGAGAGCAGGCAGCGATTTGCCGTGTTTCCCCTCGAGGACCTCGAACCACTGCACGTTGTCCAAGACCGTGAACCTGTCTTTCATGGCGTCTTTCAGCGAGAGCCAGTTGAGTTGAAGCTTGTACTGCTGGAAGACTCCCGAGTTTGTTATGTCATGTCCATTCCACAGGACCTGGCCCGCAGATGGTTTGGTGAATCCTGCTAACATGCGCAGGAGTGTTGTCTTGCCTGAGCCGTTGGTGCCCGTTAGCACGATGGCACTGCCGTCATGGACCGAGACATTGACGTGGCGGAGGATTTGCTGTGCGTTTCTCATGCAGGAGACATTGTCGAGTACCATTCTTGGCGAGGGTGGTCTACGAAGAGACATTTTGGTGGGTTGTTGAATTGGAAGGTTTGAACTTTTGGCGAAGGGCCTTTCAGAAATCTGCAAAGTTAACAGAAATCAAGGGAATTCGATATCAAAAGAGAAGTACTGAACATTATAAACCAATTGGTTTATGAAACAGAAACACTATATATGCCTTTAGAATGGACAGGGAAGGGGAACCATAAGAAAAGATCAGCAGGAGGCTAGTTCAAGCTCGAGAAAGGAGGCAAAAAAGTAACAATCCATCCCAATCGAAGACGTCACAAAACTACGAGATCCTAACTGGAGACCAGACTGGTACAAGTAAACCATCGTAAAAGCTACTAGTTCAACTCGTTCAGGCAAATGATCGAACACCTTGTGGACACAAGCTCAACTCCCTCCCATCCCCTCTACTTTCCCCCTTCTTTAATCTCCCTAACGTTCAATTCCCAACTCCTCGATTCATGTGGAACAATCGAAACTTCATTCTCGCTGGGAATTCGTAAAACTTACTCCATCGCAATTCAGCGAAAAAATGGAAAAGGAGAGCAAAGCGACGAACTAAGGTAGTTACCGGGGCTATTAGGCTTCTTCAAAGCAGTCCCAACGTTGACATTCGAGAATCACAACTGGGATCAAGAAGTGAAGTACTTGCTCTGCCAACTGCCGTCCGGAATCCGTACTGGGTAGAGTTCTTCGGCGCTGCCGCGAAATGGTTAGCGGAGAGACGGAATTAAAATTCCGAGGTTTGAACTTTGAATGGAAGTTTTAATATCTTAAACAGTCCCTCATGTTTATCAATATAACAGAATTCTCATCGAACTTCAAAATGTAACAGATAGGTCACTTAGGTTTCTCGGTTTGCTTCACTCTCTTCTTGGCATCCAGTTTGCAAACTTCACCGGATTTCTTCTGTATATATAAAAACTGGAAACTCGTTGCTACGTTACAGTCTTACAGATGCAAGTTATGGGGGTATCCCGCTACCTGCCTTATCAGCATTCCAATTCAAAGACAAAATAGAACGCCTGAAGAACTTACAAAAGCAGGACACTGACAACTACAAGATCTCTTATACAGTTAATACAAGGTCGGATTAGATCCAATGCCTTCTCCGCAGCGGCCATTGACAGGGAGATTCCAGCCTTTCGGAATCAACTCTGACGGTGGAGCCAATGTGGCGGCGGTCTCCATGGCTTCAACATCCAGCCATCTGCACATCCAGAAAGAAGGCCGACTTCCAAAATGGGGGAAGAACACAGATATGTTTGTCTTACAAGAAAAAACAAAAGGGTTCCTCGTTCTCGTGCCAACAATGGCAGCAGCAGCAGCATACAGCGTTACATCTATCAGTATGTACATATAACAATAACTAAATAAGATCAAAGCAAACACATGTTACAAGATCGTCGCCCTTCGACCTTCCTTCTAAAAGGGCATCTTTGAGCTTGGTGAAGGCTTTAACATGATCAAGCTGCTCAACATGGTAAGAGACAGCACTCGAGAAGAGCAGGCATCTGAGAATTCTTGACGAATCTAGTTCCCTACCCACCTTCTTCTACGAGCAGGACGCTCAGGTTTGACCTCTGCATCAGCAACCGGCTCAGTTTTATTGACTGGAGGCATTGGTGGCAATGCATCCGGGGTCTCTATCTTCTTCACTGTCGTCGAAGCATCTTTTTCAAGGGGCAGCGGGAGTTTGAACCGCTCGCTCCTTTTCTTCAACTTCTCGACAGTTTCCAGGTGGCGGTCGTCTAACTGCTTCTTGTCTCCATCTTTGTTCTCTGTATTATCGCCACCACCATCCTTCTCTTCCACCACCGGGTGCTGCCTTTCGACAGACTGAACCCTCTCAGAGGGCCCACCATCGCCGTTCTTATCTCCATTTTTTAATTTCGCAGATGGTGCAGACTTGTTATTCATGTTGAACTCCTCCTTATGGCTCGTCCATCGTTCCAGTTTCGAGCGTCCTTTTTTAGAGTCCGGTTGTTCCTCGTCTGATGATGCATCTTCTTTAGCTCTTTTAGAGGAGTTCCGTTGCACTTGATTCTGCTTGTTATCGTTCTGGCGATCACTGCTGTCTTTCACCTCCTAAACAAAACCAACAACCAGTCACACTATAGATTCTACCGATCATGGAAAATAGTTAACGTTTGATCTTTTGTCATTCTGCAGAGATTAAAATCAGCCTGTTACTTCTAAAACATTCCGCATATATTCACTCCTCCATATACACCCAATGTACTCAAAGTATATATTTTCCTTGGAATCGAGGACATGTGTAAAAATAATAGCAACATTGAGAGGTAGAATCTAAAGATATACAAAACTCATATGATGTTATCCTTATTCAAAACATCTATCATGCATGACCCTTTAAATAATTATATCAAGGTAGAATAAAAGCATAGATCCTATCGCAATTCCACCAAGTTCATTCATTTGTTATTAAGCACTTGAGATTCTATGAAAGATAGCTCTTGCATAAACTCAGAACTATATTTGGTTAAGCTGATAAAGTGTAAGCTTTTGAGTGTTTTGACTTGGGATTTTGACTACAGTGCAAACAATCACTTCATGCGCTCCATGCCCATGTGTCTCATTTTATACATACCGAGTTATTAGCTTGACTAGTCTTGTCTTCTCGGCTTCTCATGGAAGATCCCAGTGTCCCGTGATCTGCACCCTCCGGCTCCTTGAGCTTCTTGGTCGCTTCTTTATGTCTCTTGTCGGACGATCTGTGGTTATCAGGAGTATCAACAGCACGATCAGTTCGAGCACTCGACTTCTCCTTCTCATGCCTTGAAGATTTTCTCTCCTTATTATTAACTTGGTTTCCTCCTCGTACATCCTCCACCCGTTCTCTCTTCTTAAGCTGTTCACTATTCCGAACAGAATCTTTAGCGAAGTACTCGTCTTTCCCTCGAGCATTGCCAATCCATGCTTTCTCATCACTCCCCCGCCCACTCCTCACAGAACCTCGTCCACCCTCTTCTCTCTCTCGTTTTGGAAAATGCTCTTCGTGGGTAGATTGTTTTGGTCTATATAATAACTCTTCTCTTTCCCTCGGTTTATCATTCCTTTCTCGTGAGAGCCATGCCTCATCCTTATTATGCCTGCCAGAAGAATGGTAATCTTCCATGGAATCCCGGGGAATTCTCTGCTGATCATCTCTCTCCCTTCTTCTATGGCTACTACTGCTTTCCCTGTGGCCATGCAACATCTCTTCTCTTATGTATTCCTCATCCTTCTTTCGTTTGCTATGGTAATCCTCCGGAATTTCATATCTATGCTTCACGCTGTCTTCTCTTCCTCTGTGCCTAGACCCACCGCCATCCTTATTATCAAAATGAGCCCTGTAGTTACCATTATCCAATTGCTTCCTCGAGATCAGATGTTCATCTTTCTCACTCCTCTCACTTTCTCGAACCTTTCTGTGCCTGGATGATCCTATTTCATCTCCACGTTCCCTTTTCTTCATCTCTTCAGGTTTGGTCTTCCTGTTATGAACACTAGAGTCTTCCTGTCTCCGCTTCTGCCAAGCTCCATCAAGATTATCACGATCCTTTCTTCGATCATAGCCCTCGCCTTTGGACTGCAAATGATTGCCTACAATGCTAGGATCCAATTCCTTGCGAGTATAGGACCCTTCCCTGCTTTTACTCAGTACACGACTTCTTTCTGTCTCTTGCCTTCCATCCATGTCTTTAGGATGCCTCTTGATGCTGCTGCCAGGCCGGATAGATGTAGATCGCCCACCACCTTGAACGACTTCATCGTCAACACCATCCTGCCATTGCTGATGATAGTCTTTGCTACTACTGCTGGACCTTGCTTTACTGTTTTCACTGCTTCTAGCAGCTTTAGAATCCTCCTCTTCCTGAGCATCGGCTTCTTGGAGTGGTATATCAGAGGAACGCTCAACTCGCTGTTTCTTTTTGGAATGATATGTACTTCTATCTTTCCCAAAGTCATTTTGCCCAGTTCCACCCTTCGCTATTCCAGAGCTTCCTTCAGCTGGTAAGAAGTCACCCACAGCATCAAGACAATCCTTGTCTTCGACGCTAGACTCTCTTACCTCCCGGCCATTAGTGGGAGATGATAGCTGCTGACTACTACGCCTGCCGTCGCCACCCATACTTTCAACCGACTCTTCGTCTGCACTTCTACTAGAAGTCAAATGAGGAGACCTGCCATTTGTTCTTTGTTTCCGCCTGTGGCAGTGGAAGTACAATAGGATATTAGGTCCACTAACAATGGAGAAATTCTTCAAAAATTTAATTCATAAACTACCAAAATCGTGGCAATAACCACAAAAAGAGCTTCATCAACATAATGTGGCCTTATATCACTTCGCAGCCAACCTAGACATAAAAAGATTGTACAGGTAAAATTCTCATGATTTATCTTCTATTTGTCATCTCAAATTCTCAATGCTGCAAATGAGGTAAAATCATAGTTTACATACAAGATATGATTCCTTACATAGAATCATTAGATGGTAAAAGGAACGCAAATCTTAACCAAGATCATTTGACGGGTAGATCTGACAAGGTTGGTCTCTCTAGTAACATCATTGGAGGTATAGTAACATCCATAGATTTTGGAATTAACCACACTTTTGTCCACTGTAATAAAAAGCTCTGTACCCATAGAGAACAGTGAATGTGGCTTTTTGCAAGGTTCCAGTGTCTCAAATATTCCACGTACCTCTCTTCATGAGAAGTGCCCAAATCTCCACCAGGGTAGACAGGAGCTTGGCCCCTAAAACTGGGACGATATCTACTTGGTGCGTCAGATTGAGAGGCACGAGGCACATCTCCATCAGTGTCCTTATCCATATACGGAGCCTTTCTTCCGCCCTTTAAGTTGGGATGAGCCTGTGAGGGATCATCAAAATCTTCTGCTTTTGGTGCCATTACCTCATGATCATCAGGCACCCGACTACCTCTATTGTTCCCTCCTGAATTCTCCCCATCAAGAGCATCATTTCCTGAGGAATCATCTTCAAGTGAGCCCTGCAGTTGAATCTGTTTGCCAAGGAAATTCCAGTTAAGATCACATTGCATGTATATGGAATATGTTTGACAGAGTCAAATAATAACAGAAACAAGAAGAAAAAACTCACCTCAATGATTGCATCAGAATCACGAAGACGAGGTGGCCGAGTGTCGATGGAGGGTTGGCGGTCACCAAAACCAGTCTCAACTGGTATCGGCCTACCAGTTGGCTGACACGAAGACAGTAGACCGTCAGTTCTTTCAATTGAAATGGACAAATGAAGAAGATACACAAAAGAATCCAGAATATATAATGCTAAAAGAACAAAAGTATATAAATAAGACATTCATCATAAACAGACAAGTTAGCCAAGACATACTATAGGTGGCCGAGCACGAGCAGATCCTTTTGCTAAATCACTTTGGCCCAAATCGGTCTTTCCGATATTTGAATTGTCAGCTGAAACATCATGGCCTCCAGCTGCTGCTGCTAATTCTGGGGGCAAATCAGGATCAAATTCCTGCAAAGCAACGATCAAAAGTCTTAATAATTTGAATACCATGATGCTTATGAATGGCAGAAGAAAATTCTTAAATCATTACCTGCTCAGCCCTCCCGCTTTCATAAACACGGATTTTGCTTTGCATGGTAGTCTCTAAACGATGCTGTTCCTGAAATGTCAAAGAAGACCCTCTGATAATCGAATAATCTGTAAGATAGCATAGATAAAGGCCAAATAGTTACCAACTGTCTGCAATAATCTTTCCAGCTTTCCTCATTTAACCCAAAGTTGAAGAAGTCTGTTATATCAACACCAGGATATTTCCAAGGCTTTTCCTCAAAGTTGTCAATGTCAACATCAAATATTGTCCTGAAAAAACAAAACAAGAGAAGGAAATGACTAATGCAAACAACACTGACAGGGTTCGCGGACCATCACCACACAAAGACCAGCAAAGCGACTTTACAACCTAATTGGTCTAGCTGGTGCCTAGTACTCTACCGGAAACCAATGATCAACAAAAGCCAAGATATTATGAATAAAAAGGTAATTATCTAAGAATATTTGGAGAGAATTACTTGTGAGAAGGAAGTGTGAAATCCAGTCCTCCACCAAAACCACGCCCACCCATGTTGTTGCCCCATCCACCATAACCTGGGAAGCCCTTTTGCATTGGAGGGCCACTTTTATTACCCATTGGGCGCCAATCACCTCTACCCCGACCCGGCATAGAACCTAAGTTGATCGGAGGACGAAGCTGACCTGGTGCTCCAGGAGGACCAGTGGTAACACCTGGCATTGGTGCTGCACCTGGCCTCACATACTGCACAAAGTCAAGCAAAAAGGCTCACATAGTCAAGAAAAAGGACTGACAAAATAAAGTGACAAGCTAAAAAAGAAATCAGTTTGACAAATTGCTGCCAATAACTTTAGGGCAAGTTCATAATACACAGCAGGCAAAGGGTATTAAGCACAGGTCTTAGATCGAACCCTTGCCCTATCTAAACCCAAAGCTACTAAATTGACTTTCTCGTCTTTGCTTAAGTTGATCAAACTAACTATCGCAACTCAACTTGATTCAACTTCAGAATTCTTCAGGACTGCAACTATCATTGATGTCCTCTGCAATCATATAAGTTATGAACTTAATTGAGGACATCATTTCTTAATGGCTCACTACACAGAGTTTATTAGGTATCTTGATTTTGAGCTGCAAAGTCAAAATGCTCCGAGTTACCGAGCTTCAACTGCTAAATGTTAGCCAAAACAAGGGCAAGGAGATGGTCGGCCCTTCGACACAGTGATAGCAGAGAGGTACAGTTTGCGGATAACCCAAAACTTCACGGCGTTGTCATTCTTGATCCCCTTAACAGAGGAGCTAACACTTTTTGGGCATAAGTGCACCTAAGGCTGTGAGAAGACGAAGGTTTTCAGGAAGCAAAGAAGGAGGACGTGATATTGGTTAGATTGTTAGATGAGTCATTGCTTTCAGCGTAGGTGGCTTGGACAAGTCCCCTGGATGCTTCTGATGGCGGATGGAGAACCTCTGAATAACGTTACCCAACCCGAAAATCCAAACCATGTTGCATATTATAAGAAGTTAATGAGCATTAATAAGTAAAGCTTTCAAAATTCTCATTCATATCTTCCACTAAAAAAAGAGTACATGAAGAAGACATGACGAGCTATAGACACGTTCATGACATTATGTACACCATTATACATTTCTACACTTTCATCAAAACATGAGAAAGAACAACACTTTCGTTATCCCTTTTCCTTTGTCTAACATATATAAACAGGACAACGATCAAAACTGACCTTAAACTGGGAATGAAATGTGTGATGATATCCGTGATTGTTATATCCAATCTTCGCTCCGGCCACCATAGCATTTCCTTTCCCAGCTGCCTCTCCTCCATCCTTCTTGTCCCCTCCTTCACCTCCAGCATCAGCCGCTGCTTCATCTCCGCCGCCCCAATCCGGCTCCCCCGTACCCTGGTTCGGGTCTCCATCTGCCACAATCACCAAAGGGTCGCCATCGTCATCTTCATCTTCTTCTCCATCGCCCATCATGCCTCTGTCCATTCCCATCGGCCCAGTATCGTTCAACACTATCTGCAGATCGTCTTCACTATCACTGTCTTCCTCGTCCCACTCTTCATCTCCCCCCTCCTTAACCCCTCGGCCGCTGCCACCCATGCCACCAACACCCGCCGCCGCTCCATTCTGCTTCGAGTCCTCCACCATATCAACCCCAAGTCCAGGAATGAGGAGACCCGAATCCTCCCCAGCATTCCCACCTTCCTCGATATCAAAATCCAAATCTTTATCCGGCTCCCCGGATAGAAAATCGGTTGAAATTCCCCTCGCCTCCAAACCCTTATTATTAATCCCCAATCGTGAATCGGAACCGCCGCCGACCATGACCGAGAGCTTTCCATCGGGCCTCGAATTGGGGGCGGAATTCACTAGGGTTTGATCACCACGCCCGGATGCGCCGTAGAGAATCTCGTCATCGTCGTCGGGATTGAGATGGACGGATGACGACGAGGGAGGCGGCGGCGGCGGGGAAGCCCGTTTCAGCTGGAGCTGAAGCAGCGGCTGTGGCGGCGGTAGAGCGGAGGTTGAGGAGTTGGAGAAAGGCTGGAGGACATCGGTGTAGAGATCTCCGAATTCGTCGTCTTCGTCCATTGGAGAAGAAGCTCGAGAGACGGTGGGAATGAAGGAGGAGGAAGAAGGGAGGAGAGAAATGGCGGAAGGGTTTTTGAGCTCCGAGTCCGACCAAGAAACAGAGAGAGAGAGAGAGAGCGTGTCTTGTTCTTAGTGGGCGAAGAGAAGGAGAAAAGGGCAGAGAAGGAAGAAAGAAAAGCTCTCTCTTCTTCTCTCTTTTGGAGCTTCTGCCCGGTCGGATTCGGAGTTCCGGCTCGGTCTGATTTGGTTTCGGGCTTCCGCTTTTTGGATCCGGCTTTTGTTTTGTCTGTCCTTTTATCCTTCGGATTCAGTTTATTGGGGTAAAATTTCAATCATAGCCCTCAATCTTCTTAGGAATGAACAAATTTATCCCTCACCTCATATAGTTACACGATATTTACTTAATTTTGACATGATAATTTAGTACTGTAGTATTGTTTTACCAACAAAATTTCAATTTCTAAATCGGGCTAAAGAACTGAGTGGAGTATTGTGCTCAACCCAATCATCATTTCTCCGTGTTGGTATTGACAGCTTGGTAAAGGAGATATTGATCCCAACAAAACTCAGTAACAACACTAAACATACAGAGAGATGACTATAGCACCGCCACACAGGATAGCAGACGGAACGCTTCCCAATACCTCAACCAAACGTTTACCTTTTGAGAATAACCTTTCATTGAAGTACTGTTGACGTGCTACCAATTTATAAGTTTCAAAAAGAGTATGAGGCTATACGCTTGAAAACGAACAGAAGACCTAATCAACGCGTCCATGGTAAATCTATCCAAAATCATCATGGGCTTTGCTCATGTTAGAAAAGCCCAACTTCTACTTTGTTTTGAGCCCAACTACAACAACGAAGACACAATATCCTGGTGATCGGGTCAACCAGTATAATAAAAACCGGTCCAACCAGGATCGGGGAATACAATTTGTTTTTTTTTTTTTAATTTCGGAGTGCTCTGCAATTTCATTTCTCAGACCCCCTTTTCTCAGCTGCCAAACAGATTCCCAAACACTAATCCCGCTCACTGTCCTGAGAAAAATCGCCGGTGATTCGATCTCGTCGTCTCCACAGAATCGGAATTAGGAGGATAAACTGCGTCTTCTCCTGTCAAGTTCTGAGGGTGGAAAAATGATCGGAGCAAGCAAGATCAAGCAGTACTCCAATGTCCTCGAGAAACCCCTAAGCAAGGGCAAGCAGGAGGTAATAACCGTATCCGTCGTTCAATTTCTCACTACCCTAGATGCATAGTTATGTTTGATTGCCGAGAACACGAGGGACGATAAACAAGCTGGCAGTTTTCGATTAGATTTTAATGGTGTTACCATTGCCGAATAAGTTTTTGTAGTCTTGGGTTTCCAGCTCTGGTCACTAGGCGCAGGATGATTCTCTGTCTCGGGCATTTTCCCGGTAATCAAACTAATGGATCGGATCTTTGACCATTTTAGCCTAAACCCTTTTGGCAAGCTGTCGCGAGACTGTAAGGTTGATGCGTAGTTTCTTATATTAAGACTGCTCCTTTGCGTTGTGCAGTGAACTGAATTGATGTCTATGATCTTTGTTAGCTGTTGCTCGCTTCGGCATCATTCGGGTTCTTTGAATTTCTTGTTAAATAAGATTGAGAGTGGAATATATCCTCCTTGAAGCTCATGATTTTTGCAGGTTAGTTTGAGTGCATTTGCATTTTTATTCTCGGAGCTTGTTCAGTATAACCAGACGCAGGTTGACAACATTGCTGAATTAGAGCGAAGGTACGGCGTTATTTTGTTATTACAAACAATGTTTCTTGGTCCTTGGGCTGCTGGTTCCGAAGTTAGCAGAAGTACTGAAAACAGGGAAGGGTAAAATGTATTGGTAAGGACTCTGAAAATCTGGTGTCTTGCATGAAAAGTTTGGAACTTTAGATAGTGCATAATCAATTGTGCAGGTTGGAGGATGCTGGATATGCTGTTGGGGCTCGATGCCTAGAACTTCTTTGCCATAGAGAGAAGGTATACCATATTATAGTTAAACTGGTATCATTGAGTTGCTCAATTTGTATGGACATTTTATTAGTCTTTAGGAGACCTAAATGCTGGCAGTAATGCATGTGAGATTTTCTTTGGTACCTGCAAATTTACAGGAAGCTTTAAACTAGTAGGCGTCATCCATTACATTTCTTGCTTCCATTGCTCTGATTTTCGCTGGATGGGTACTTTCAGCTGTCCAATTGATGGAATCCATGATTCATTGCTTCCCGGATCTCTTACATTACAGGAAACACTATATGATTTCCTTTGGCTATGTTCCTTGCATTTTTGTTACTAACAGTAATTTACTTGAAAACCTCTTCTTTCTGAGTGTGTTATGTTCATGCCTTTCTGGCTGTCACAGGGTAATCGACGTGAAACACGACTCTTGGGGATTTTGTCTTTCGTTCACAGCACCGTTTGGAAGGTTTTATTTGGCAAAGTAAGTTCATAGCTTATTTGGTAGGTCCTTCTGAGTTTTCTCTATTGCCTGAAATTCCAGGTGCTATTTTCCTTCTCGTCCAATTTCCCTGTCTACTATTGAGTTGCTGATGCTAATGTTTTCATGTGAATGTCTTTGAGGTATTTCAAAAGATCGATTGGTTATTGTTTGATAAATTGCCTAACTAGTTGAGTTACACTCATATCTGGTTTCTCTCCTTGCTCATCTCTTTGTTATCCTATCAGGTGGCTGACTCCCTTGAGAAGGGAACTGAACATGAGGATGAATACATGATCAGTGAGAAAGAACTCCTTGTCAACAGGTTCTTGGTTTCTCCTGACTTCTTCCTAATGATATCAACAGTCAATTATTTCTCAATTGTCCATGGATCCATATTCAGGTTCAACTACTACCATGATGTTTGCAGATTTATATCCATTCCAAAAGACATGGGGACTTTTAACTGTGGGGCTTTTGTTGCTGGAATAGTGAGGGTAAGCCTGCATTGGCTTTATACACGGCTTAGTTGACCTTTTGAGCAGGTCAAAATATCTCATTAAGTACATTGCTTTTTCTTCGTCATTGCAGGGTGTGTTGGATAGTGCTGGTTTTCCGGCAGTGGTAACGGCTCATTTTGTTCCCATGGAAGGCCAGCAACGACCTAGGACGACTATTTTGATAAAATTTGCGGAGGAGGTAACTCTTTGTCTTGCATTTTGGATACAGTACACTTATTAGCAAGAATTTCAAGCCTCTCTTGTGTATGAAAAGCTAAAAATGTTTCCTACCTACAAATGCTGTTGGAAAGCCAGATTCTTTAGCCAATTTATATGTAGTTTAATCAAGATTGTTTACATCCCTGGTCAGCTGCTTTATTAACAATTTCCTGGTTATCTGCTTTTTCTTGCCTCTAGGTGCTAAGAAGAGAAGCAAGGCTAGGCTAAGGATTTCTACAAAAATGATGCTGTGTAATGTTCTATGAAAAGCTAAAAATGTTTCCTACCTACAAATGCTGTTGGAAAGCCAGATTCTTTAGCCAATTTGTATGTAGTTTAATCAAGATTGTTTACATCCCTGGTCAGCTGCTTTATTAACAATTTCCTGGTTATCTGCTCTTTCTTGCCTCTAGGTGCTAAGAAGAGAAGCAAGGCTAGGCTAAGGATTTCTACAAAAATGATGCTGTGTAATGTTCTTCTCTGGCATGCACCATGTCGAGACACACGATGATGGAAATTTTAGTGGTGTTTTAGCAAACTGCTAACTGCTGCAAGAAACTTTCTGAAAAAACTTAAGTTGTGGTATCGTCGGATTCTGTTACTACCGTTATTTTGGTGGTGTGCGTTCTTAAGTGGATCTTGTAATAGAGCGATTATTGATCATCAACTGCATTCATTGTAAAGTAGAAGGTTGTCACAGTTTAGTCTTCACATGATGAACTCTGAATTAGATTGTTGAACTGTTTGCAGAGCAAAATGGAATGCAGATCTTCATTGGATTATTCTCATCTTCCCTTATCCCTATCATTACAATCCGAAGATTCAATGAATGTGATGTCAATATGTGCCTCCCCGTACGAAATCGCAGCAATTCTATGCGCATTGCTTCATAAATAGATTAGCAATACTGTCTTTCCACCAATGGTTGAGAACTTAGCTGCGGAATGAAACAATTGCAAACTGATACACTACGACACACACAACTGGTTCAAGTGACTCATTAATATCATACACCAGTAGAATATAAGAGGAGGAAAGGGGGAATTGATGGTCTAAACTGAAAGGCAGGGCAATCATGAAAGATCAACAATAAAGGGGAATGTCAAACAGTTCAAATGTGAGGTGGGATGGTTAACACAATTGGGCAGGATGGTTTGCAATTTGCTAGTGTAGTAGTTTCAGAAGAGAATCAAAAGGATAAATGACCTGTGAACGATTTTTTGGGATCAACCTAGCCTATTTTCCCCTGTTATTCAACAAGTAGGCAAAGAAGCTCTAATGGTTTCCCAATGCAACCATCAAAAATCTCCAAATCCTATAGCAATCACGTTAACAATTAAACACAAGCCAAAATGTGGGTAAGGAAGTAATCTCTAACACAAGCACTAGATGCAGTGCAGCTTTCTAATGCAGCCATATCAGGGAAACAAAGCAACCCGAAACAAAGAAAGAGCTAACTGTTATCATCCCGGTAAAATGTCAGTGAGCAGCCAACCAACTAGCCATAGCGTTGCTAATCCGCCAAACATGGCATGGGCTGTGCAAGAGACTGGCAGTGTTGGAAATCTCATGCATTAGGCTCCAACCAAATAGACTAAATCAATGCACGAGGAATATGCTTCCTAATCTGATAACCGAGATTACAGCTACCTAGAGCATACACCAAGCAACAAGGATACTATAAAGACCAGGGTACAACGTAAATCTAGCAAAGGAGAAGGCGCGTGGATGGTAATCCATCCCCTGGAGAGAGCCTCATTACCTGGAATCGTGTTGAAACCTGCAAGCAGAAAACCCAATACAGAATGCAACAGAAGAGAACTGGAACACCAAAGTAACACTAACCAAAACTTCATTTTTTTAGACTTTTATTTCATATTGATTTTTTGTTGTTGTTGTTGTTGTTGTTGTTGTTGTTGTTGCCTCTTTTTAATGAGTACTCTGTCCATTCTCAACACCAAGACCATATAGTACACCAACGTACTTCTCCGTCGAACCATTGAAGAAACTCTCTTTCAATTTCATGAATGTACAACAAGTGAGCAAACTATCCGACCCGGCTTGGTGACATATCCCGATCCTCTCGACATCCAAGAGCTCGGCCAGCTTGTTCAACCCACCATGAAGGCTATTGCAGAACTTCACCAAATGCTTTATATCATACAGCACGGGGAAGTACAACCTGATCAGCTTGAAGAATTCCGCCTGTGTCTCTGGCAAATTCTTGCAAGTAAGCAACTTTAAGAGGTACCCGAAATCATACCCACTATGGAAGGTAACCCAATGAACATTGTCATTCAACACGATCCCGGAAGACATAAGCAGCTCGCTGAAACGCTTTGCATCAATACCCATCTCGTTGTTCTTTCTGAAATCAATGCCACACTGTGAGAGAAGCTCGATGGAGTCATCGGCGTAGACATCTTCACTCGGGTTGAACTCTCGGAAGTTGAATTGCCAGACGCAGAACTTGCCAGTTCCACATGTGGGCAAGTTGCCTTTGTCGTCGGAGAAAGTGAGGCCGAGCTGGATTAGCTTGAGAAGGTCGACGTTGGCCTTCAAGGTTAAGTAGTTGTAATCAGAACCATTTTTGAAATTGCCTACGGGCCGTAGCACGATGCCAGGGAACTCTGTGTCCATCGCGATGAAAGGGTAATCGTCAACTATGTCCCTTATCAGCTCGAGTTCGTCTTCGAGGTTGTCGCTCCATACGTCACGGATGATTATGGACTCGCTCTTTGGCAGAATCGACATTTCCTTCTCAGAAACCAAGAACTCTACCCTCTGCACGCAGAAAGAACAGAGTAAAATCAGTGCATGCAGGAGGATAAACCCTGGAATTGGAACAGAAAAACCCTAAATTCCGCCGCACCAAACGGAACCCAGAAAAATTCAATTCGTCCAACAAGAAACCCACGAGACGGAAACCTCAAAACGAGTGAAAATTGGACGAAATCAGACAAAAGATCGTACCTTTCTAGCCGAAAGCGCGCCAATCGCAGAGGGGGGATTTAGCTTTTTCGCGCCGGAAGTGAAAATTCTCTCCTGGGAGTTTCTCGAGAAAATCTTTGTGGGGTTTTCTTATCAACAAGGTACGACAACGATGAAATGATAGCCTACGCTGCAGATAAGGGTTTTTTTCCAGTTTTCCGAGGGAAAATATTAAAGAAAAACAGGGGAGAAGTAAAATTCAGAATGCAAATCGACAGAAATTTGCCGGGGGATTATGAATTGAAGGAACGACAACGATAGGAGGAAGAGGAGAGAACCTTTTGTTTGATTAAGGGAAAGAGGAGGAGGAGGGGATAGTTCCATTATGGTTACATTGTAACGGCATCGAACTGAAAATCGGCAGGAAAAACAGACAAGAAAGGGAAGAATGAAGAAGAAGAAGAAGAAGCAAAAACAGTGGGATTCAGATTGGAGATTCTATGAGAGCCGGTAGAATAGACTGGTGATGATGATAGATCAATTTACAAGTTTTTATTTATTATTATTTTCTTCTGTAGAGGAAATGCAATGAAATCAATTTTTTCCGGTCTCCTCTTTTCTGTTTATCTTCATTTTTGTCACATATACATTTTTTTTATATTTTTTTAGCCTTTGTTAGAGTTTTGAGCTATCAAACTACCGATAACATTTCTCAACTTTTTCTTTTTGTTTTCCGTAAAAAAAACTTTTCTTTTTATTATTTTGAAAAAAAACATTTTCCCCTGCAGAAAACATAAAAATAATTTCACATATTTTAATTACGTGCAACATGCCGTAAAATGGTTGATCACAAAACTAATTTTTTATTTTCATATATTGATGAATGATTCAGATAAATCATTTAAAGCAATAAAAAATGTGTAGTCTTGGTCGAACTCGAAACATACTATGGTGTACTCAAAGTCCATGCAAATTTTATATGCTCAAGATTTAAGAACACTTGCTCGAAACGCTTCTAAAATCCCGGCATATTAAGGGACTTAGGAGCAAGTAACGATATAAAAAAACCACATGAATGATTATCGTAAATATCAAATGTTATATAAATCTATATAAGGCATATCGATGTTAACACATAAGCTTCTCTGAACCAACCAAATGGAGTGATAAAATGAGTTTATATTACATGTATGAACACAAAAATGAAAACACACATAGTGAGAACCAAAATTTTCAAAATATTAATCTTTCATTTTCTTCTTGAGTATTTTATTACTAAATAAACAAACATAAGACGAATTCGTTACTTACTAAATAGATCGTCATAAAATAAATCTGTGATGTAATGTCTGAGTTTTATTTACGTGGGTTTTCTCATACGAGAACAACCCAACTCATTTTTTCATCCCGTCAGCCCAAAAGTCTTACGGAGTCGGCCCACTTAGAAGTCGCAATGAAGAGTGACGAGTCCATAAGTTTAAATTTCCCGAAAAACAAAAATATTTTAAAAATAGGCAAGAAAACGGTAAACTAGCGGGGCCAATTTTCCCCACTTAGGGCATTCCTTCCCTCGCTGTCAAATTCCTGAAGGCCCAAAAGCCTCGAAGAAACGAAAGCGAACTGCAGCCTAAAACCCCGCCACCGTCTGCTCCGTCTCTCTTCCTTCCTCCCGCTCGCCACCGCCACCGCCGCCGCTCAGTCGACCTCGTCTCTTCTCCTTCCAGCCTCTGTAGCTCGCGCGCGCACACCGCTGTCATCATCATTATGATCAGAGGCGGGAGGAACTACGTGTCTTCGCCGCCGGTTTTCTCCAACGACTCCAAGCGGCTATTGGTTTGCGCCGGAAACTCCGTCGCCGTCTTCAGCACCGATACCGGATTGCAGGTGCCTGTCTAATTTTCCTCTCTTCTTCCTCATTTCATTTTCTAGTTTTTTTTTTTTTTATCTTGAAATTCATTCCGAAGCTGGTTTTGACTTGGGGGACTTCCTTAGGTAGCGTCATTGGACGGCCATGCGGCGCTTGTGACGGCGGTGATAGTGGTGCCGGCGACCAGTCCGGGGAGTAAGATACTGTGCTTTTGCTGGACGGCTTCACTCGATGGAACTATTCGGTATTGGGATTTCGCGGTCCCGGAGTTGATTAGGACTGTTGATATTAAGCTCCCCGTTCACTCCATGGTAAATAAGACCTTGGCATTGCTGATTCTTCTATGCCGTTAACTAGCGTTATTTTGAATCTCCTCAGTGTTCCTATAAGCTGAGCAAGCATGCAGAGCAGCATTTTGGCAATAATTAGTATGCCCTGATGGATTGGGATTTGTGATTCCGGTGTACTTTAATTTGGATGCTGATTCTGTTGATACGTTTGCAGGTGATTCCCTCTTTGTTTAATAAACCAGTTCAAACGAGGGAAAAAGCCGTTAAAGTTTTCGCTTACATTTCTGTTGAAGTTAAAGACGCATCAGAAGATAAGTCTAAAGTCTTGTTTCAAGTCAGAAAGTGTAACTTAACTGACGCTCATCTGGTGGGAGGAGCAGTATTAGCAGAGGTATTTACGCTTCATAATTCAACAGTTAATCGCATTATGCTACTTGTTTCATAATCGAAGGCTAGTTTTAAGGGTAGGTTCTTTGCCATAATAGATCGATTCAATTAGCCATGGCTGGTATGCATTTGCTTTGGTTAGGAATTTATGTGTACTGCTACCATATATCCTTTATGCTACTGGTATCCCTTATCTTGTGTATTTGATTCTACTGAGAACTGGTTTCTTCAGTGGCACTTTACATTTAATATGTATGTAAAGAATTCAGAGAAGTTGCCACATGCATTTCATTTTGCGAAATGGTTTTAAATGATGCTATTTTTGTCTGACAGACGAAGAAACCAGAGATAATCACAATGAGCTCCTGTGGTGAACTTTTTGGTGTCCGAAGAAAGCGTAAGCTTGACATATGGAAAGTCCCATCTACTGATTCTGGTCGTACAGTGCTCAAGAAGATTACCCTACATCATACAAAGGCCATAACAGTTATGGCGTTCCATCCTACCCAGAGAATTCTTGCTGCAGGTGATGTGACTGGGAGAATTATGATATGGAGAGGTTTTGGAAACAAAATGTTTGCCATGGCTGATGGGCATGTAAATGGAAGTTCAATGATTATGGAGGAAGAAAATCCTGGTGTGAGGGACAGTGATGATGCTGAGTCCTGCACAACATTGCACTGGCACCCGGCTCAAGTGAATTTGCTCTCCTTCTCTTCTGATGGAGCTTATTTACTTTCAGGTAAAATGGTGACAAAACTAAAAAGAAAGATGCCCTATCTTGTGTTAGCTATTCGCCTATTCCTGCTTATGTATATCCTTACACTGGAAAAGGAATTGTCAAACTTTATCAGGCTTTTGGAGGTCGTAAAAGAAGTCCCTATTTATGCTGTTAGCAAGCACGACCAATTGATTATTTCTCTTACTGGTATCATGTGGATTTTAAAACAATGACACGTTACTATCTGGTTACTAAAGGTAGTAGAGCTATGCGCATAAGCACAACACCTTATGTTAAAACCACTTGTTGAAAATTTGCGAAGCAGTTACCAATCAACTGGGGGCAACTTAACTGTGCCTTGCAGATTTTTGTGGGGTTCTCTTTTAGGATCTTTTCTCTTTCCTGTTTCTTTCTTTTAACCTTCTGCATTGATTTGTGTTTAGGTGGAAAAGAAGGTGTTCTTGTAGTCTGGCAGGTGGACACAGGGAAGAAGAAATTTTTACCCCGAATCGGATCTCCACTCTTGCATTTTACGGATTCTCCAGATCCGTCAATTTCATCAGTAAGTTGAACATGGTTGGACCGATGTGGAATTTGTTGAGAATGCACGTGTATAAGCATGTTTAGCTGCTTTTGATAGTTATATCTGAAACAGAGGCTATCAGATATCTTGTGCAGATAATCAGATCCATCTAGTTCAAAGGCCTTCAATGGAGATCATGAAGTCTATCTCTGGAATAAAGGTTGGTTGTCACTGTGATTTACCTGATTTAAGTGAAATGGTTATGTTTGCAGTTTTCATTTGTTATTATGAGGAGTCCACATGAGAAGCTGTCGAGTCTTTTTATTTGTTAGTATGAAAACTAGATCTTTCTAGGATGAGTCCTAAAAGACAAACGGAACAGAGGAAAAATGAAGAAATGAGCAAAAACAATAAAGAGTGACAGGGAGAGGAAATTAGGGGCAGATAGAAATTTTATTCGCATCTCTTTTGGTCATTATATATCTAGTTTTCTACATGTTTATTTTAAGTTTGGAGGTGCATATGGGCCCTATAACCAAATAACCAATGCTATACCTGGTATCTCGTAGCAACCTACATCAGGAGAGGCATGACTTGTAATTTGTTAAGCAAGTCTGCTTTTAATGATATTTTGTTATTAGCTAGAGGTATATAAAGGAGGGTGCTTTTGGCTTTTTTCTTCTCAATTTTTTGCAGCTCCCATATTCACATCCAGAGATATCCAAGGTTATGTCAAGTGGGGCTTCCTTCGATCAGAATGCTGGCTTGGTTGCCTTGCGTACCGAGAGTTATGCAGTCCAGTTATACAGCCTCTTTGATGATCGTGGAATTTCGGAGGTTGAGAGAATTACTCATTCTTCTGTTAACGCATACTCTATTCTAGTTCCCATGAACCTTCTCATCACCTTTTTATTTGGGCCATCTGCTCACCATCTCTGTATAGCTTATATATTGCACTATTTTGATTCTCCACTTTTCAGGTTCAAGTTTATGAGAGAAATCACCAGCCAGGTGATGAAGTCACGGTAACGTAGTTGCTTGACCTAAATCTTCTTAACTTGAACTATTCTCTTTTACAGGTTCCTTGAAAGTGGGAAATTTGAAGAGCTTGTGTTGTTGCAGATAGTTGTGACATCTGTAGTCCTATCTCCAGATGGTTCTTTACTGTGTACTTCTGAGGTGAGGCTGCCTGAAGAAGGCTTGGGAAACCTTGTTTGCCTTAAGTTTTGGTCCTCAAAGTCGAAGGCTGGAGATTTCAGCTTGTCGACCATTGTCTATGAACCACACAGGTTTGGCCCTTGGAAATTTATTTAGAAATGTAGTTGCGATCTTGTAGAAGTACTAGGCTTGTGCTGCAAGCTGCACAATAAACCTGCACTCCTCTCCCGCACTAGTATTCTTGTCACATGCAATTGTTGTTGTTTCATCTGGCTCTACTCCGTCGTCTCAAAATATGAATATCCTCTCTTCAGTTTTCTGAATCACTCAGTGAGCAACTGTGTTTATGCTACTTAGCATATCAGTTCTTCATGAACATAGTTTTCTTTCTGCAGGGATGCTGGAATTTCTGCTATTGCATTTCATCCTAACCGTCGTATGGCTGTCAGCTCATCTTTTGGTGGGGACTTCAAGGTAAGCTGAACTATGGCAAATTATGGCTTTAAAATTTCTGTGTTCATGTTACATGTCAAGACATTGTCTTTCTTTGCCACAGATTTGGATTTCCAACAGTGGGGTTCCCATGAAAGAAGAAAGTCCGGCAAATTCCGGATGGATTTGCCATGCTGCTGGCTCCTATAAGTAAGAGCCTTGTCCCTGTGAGAAGTATATAATCTTGTTCAAAGAGGCCTGATTTTCTTTAGGCATTGTCTTTTCTATTAAAATTTTCATTGCTCTCATTTCTATGATACTTTGCAGAAAAAAGCCAATGACAGCAGCTGCTTTCTCCCCTGATGGTTCTGTTCTGGCTGTTGCAGCTGAAACTGTTATCACGTTGTGGGACCCTGATAAGAACCTTCTTCTGGCTGTAATTGGAGAAGCTATTACTGTAATTTCTCTACCATCCTATTCATTTCTGACTTCAGTTTTCCAATATATTCTACGACGTATATCATGAACTAAGGAATAAAGTTGGCGTTGAACTTCTCTACAGTGATCAGTGACTAAAATGATTGTGCTCTCTTTGAGAGGCAGAGACCTGCTTGCTATGGCTGAGCTTCTAGTTCTAACATATCTTTCACAACTGGCTTCTTATTGATACCTGCAATGTCTTTTCACTGCTGCTGTGTTTGCGAGTCTCTTTGTTCCTTCCTACCATGTCTTGTAGCATATCTGCTGACTATATGTATGGAACTCATTTTGACAGCCAATCGTGACCCTCTCGTTTGTGGGGAACTCGGACCATCTTGTTTCAGCATCTTGGGGTTTGAAGCCACAACTTGCAGTTTGGAGTCTGTTGAATCTCTCCACATGTTGGTCTTACAGGCTCCACATAGAAGGTAATAAATATTTTATCTTCTGAAGCTGACCACTAAAATTGTATCGAATCCTAAAACGTCGGCATTTGGTCATCAATACTTGTACTTAATAAACACATACACATGATGCAGCTATAGCAAGTTCTCCGGACAGTTCCTCTTTTGCTGCTCTCGTCCTCCTTTCAGAATCGGCTGGAGTCTATGACTCAAATGACATATCGCATAAAACAGTTGATGGGTTGATCTTGTTATTCAATTCCGCCGAACCAAATCCTGTTGCTGTATGGTCTGTCAAGAAGGTAGTTTCGTTACCCGCTTGCCCAGCAAAACTCTTGAATGTTGGATAAATAATCTACAGTCATGTATATTGTTAGTTCGCCCTGCATGGAGGATATCTACTTGCTCTGATATTTTGATCCTCGTTGCTTTGTAAACCAGGCCAGAGGCGGCGCACTAGCGTTCATCAGAAACCAGTCTTCCGATCAAGAGAACGCAGCCGACCAGCACCAGGCTGCTCAGACACTGCTTGCATACATGAATGCCGATCACGAGTATGCACTGTTTGATCCATATGGGAAGGAAGCTGATGAACTAAGCATAACACGGTGGGGTCAAAACAGCCTCGACGAAGCTGGTAGGCTTCAATTAATTCTGAGACCTATCTATTCGACCTGAGTCCATAATCCCATACCAGCTTGTAACTTGTAAGGAATCTAACCCGGTGCCTTCTGCTCATGCTTTTCCAGGAAATTTTGGTTATGCATCTCTCTATGGCGAGCTTCTTCCGCCAATACCGTCCAGAAAACAAACTCCGTGGACAGTCCCATCTTTCCCATCCGAGAGGCCCTGGGAGACAATCTTCAGCGGACCATCACACAATCTTCCACCCCTTACTCTACTATGCGGGCCATTTTTGGAAGCACTGTTAGAGAAACGAACTACAGTCGTGCAATGAATCAGCAAACTGCTACCTACATCACAGTTGTCATTTGAAATGAAGAATCAATCAACGAGTTACTTCGTTGCACCGGGACATCAGGCGAAAGGCTCCATTGATGGGGCGAATTTTTGGCCGTCGGGGCTCCCAGCGCCTCCTTTGATCATACATGAAAGCAGAGCCGGTGGAAATGCCGGAATTTCGCAACATTGTCCTTGCTGGAGAACATGGTAGAGGTAACTAGTGAATCCAATACCCTTCTGGGTAAGTTTGTACCTCGAGTTTGTAACATTATCATCGATGGTAAAGAACAAAGAGGAACTAGTAAATTCACTATAGGTTAAGCTTGTTTCGCTTCATTGCGTCGTATTGTTTCATTGCCCCAATTTTTTAATTGCCAGGAATGATTAACAACTTCAGGGTAAGCTCCTGAACATGAAATGGTAGCATCTGAACATGAAATGGTAGCATCACGTACCAGCTCCTGAACATGACAATGATATAATTCGTAATGATATCGGCCAGAGTTCTTCACATTGTAACAGTTCTTCACATTGTAACAGTATCTAAATTCATACAATCAATCAGATTCGAGAAAAGCTTCACCATTACATAGCTTCGATTCCACCTCTAAATCAGTTCCTACCGAGAGGTAGGGATCGACAAGAGTAAGTCTCCCTGAAATCCGACTTCTTCTTCGACGAGGTGAAGATCGATGCATAAACCTCCTTGGTCGCGTTAGCCGGTGCAACAGCAGCAGCCTTGAACCTCTTGTTGTTAGTACTGCCAACACTCTCAATCTTCCCATTCAACTTCTCCGTTTTCGCAGCAACCTTCTCCACATCCTTACCATCAACAATCCCATGCTTCTTCCCACTCAACCTCTTCTCAGACTCCTCCACTTCACCACCATCAGCGACGCCTTTAGCCGCAACAACAACATCTCCACTCCTCTCCTTCCTCTGCTTCTTATCCTTCACAACTTTAGCCCTATCTTCCTCCATCCTCTCCCTCAAAGCATCCACCTCCTCCTCACTCCCATTGATCACAACCTTATCGCACTCCTCGAACTCCTTGTAACACACCAGACAAGCCTTCGACTTCACCTCCTTCAAAGCCTTGGCACTCAGCACATGCCCACATTTCCTCAAAGCGAAGAACTTGTACGTCCCGTTGAACTCCAGCCCCGTGATCGGGCACTGAAACCACGCATTGTTCGATTCCCCACCGGGGATCGGCTCTAGCTTAACATCTATCATGTCTTTCAAACCTCTGATGTGATAAAAAGCTTTGGGGAGCTTCTTACCTATCAGAGCCTCGACCAGAGCTTCCTTGTTGAACACATTTCCCAGTCTGTCCATCACGCAGGGCTGCCGGAGAGTCTCGTAGGACAGCGCGCAGTTCACCCACTTGGAAAGCCGCTGCTCGTTGGGGTCGATTTTGTCCGGCTTCTTCTCCGCGTACATTTTTAAGTAGCAGTCGCGGGATTCGGCCCCCGTCGCGCCTCCGTCGCCACCGCCTCCGCGGAGGCGGTGGCGCAGGGTGAGAGTGGATAAAGCCGGAACCTGGGGGCTCCCGACCGCGGTGGAATCATCGGCGAGGAGCTTCCCGTTGGCGGTGAAGTAGAAAGCATCTGGATTTCCATGATCGGGGATCAGGGAAAGCTTCAGGTCGCGGAGGGATAGGGGTTGAGATGGTTCGAAGGTTAGGGTTTGGAGGCGGCGGGAATTTGGGGTTCTGAGCAGAATCTGGCGCGATTTGGAGTGCATATTGGGAAGTAGAAACTCGAATCAGGCGAGATTGAGGGGAGAAATCGGAACCTGGAAAACGACGGAATTTGTTATCGTGGTAGCGAAGGAACGAATCGGCGATGGCGGATTTACGACTTCTCCTGGATGAAAATTTTCCGACCGAGTTTGCAGAGAAATATCGAGACAGAAGAAGAGTAGAAGACGAAGAACGGTTATGGGCCTTCGCATACGAGAGCCCATAAGGCTTTTTATATGTGCGATTGAATTTTTGTTTGCGTTTCAAGCCCAAATAAGCCGGATTAGCAACACCAATGCGGGTGTGCAACGGTCCGGTATCGCTTTATATGGTTCCAATCAGCCGGACCAACTCAAGAGAACTACGGTTCAATAGCGAAACCCAATTTAGCACTAAACACAGAATTGGTATGGCATTCGGTCTAATTTGGTCCAGTCCAACTATCTATCCAATTCTATTTTCTTTCGTATATAAAATTCATGACGACCAATGATGATATCACCATTATATTCTATTGAATATGGTATGTTCCAAATATCAGTTTGGTCAGGGATGAACCAAACCGTTGCACGCCCTTAGAGCTAAGAAAAAGTATACTAGTTACCGAAAAAGCACGCGGAGATAACTTGACTCGACAAAGAGAATAATATTATGGCATTTGCTAAGGTAAAAGTTATTGATTAGTTAGTATAAATTAAGGATACTTGCTGTACGACTTTTATGCACGTATTGAATTCGAGTCATGTATCGAGAATCTTCAAATCTTGTTTTCCTCTGATTTAGTTTGTTTTCATGGAGGATAAAATTTATAAACTAAAGGATACTTGTTGTACAACTCCTATGTGCGCGCGTATTAAATATGAGTCTAGTATTTGACTACTAGACTTGCACTTTCAAATCTTAAGTTCGATCAAACTACATACCGTCCATATTTGACTCGCATTCCAATGGTTAACGATCAAAATCCCTGCCAGAGTACTGTTTGTTGTTTGGTTAATGAAAGTGGAGCACCATAGCAAAAATCATATTCAGACTCCACAAAAGCTCGGCTCAGTAGTCGTCTCCCGAAACTGAACCAGAATTCTTCTATAATAATAAGAGAGCTCATTAATAAAGATCGTGACTTTCGATAAAAAAGGTCACTTGTTCAAATCTCCATATCGTCATCGTCGAGAATACCACTTACATGGCTTTGACTTGCTTGTAGGGATGGCAATGGGGCGGGTTTGGGGCGGGTTTGCCTAAACCATCCCCATCCCCATCTTCAAACACCCAAACCCATACCCGCCCCATACCCATGCGGGGGAATGTTTTTGGAAACCCATCCCCATACCCATGGGTAATACCCATCCTCGTACATCTAACATTATTATACCTAAAACTTACAAGAAAAGTTTTAATTATAACCATAAATAAACCTATATATCATGAAGTCAACAAAACACGGTCATTTTCTAAATACGATTCAAAGAATATGATCCTAAAACATCCATTAATACATAATATAGACTATAATATTTTTAAATTATTATGCTCTAACTCTTGATACATTTACTAAGTAATAATTAACTAACATAATCTTGTTGACAAGTGGGAAAGTGAAAGAGTGGAAGGAGAATTGAGGGAAATGAATTAGGTTTTGTTTAAGGTGATTACTCAATTGAATTTCTACTATTTATTTTCTCGAGTTATCATCATCATCATTGATAGATTACAAATTAATCCACATATTTTTTGGTATGTGAAGAAATTCTCTTGGTGTGGCGGGTATGGGTATGGGTATGGGGCGGGGGAGGCTAAAACCATACCCGCCCCATACCCATCAAACTTTTTGCGGGTTTTACCCATACCCGCCCCATACCCGATCAAAGCGGGGATTCCCCGCGTTGACTGGGTCGGGGGCGGTCGAATACCCGCGGCCATAGGTTTGATTGCCATCCCTACTTGCTTGTTGTCTTAACACGAATTTATCTTGTTTTCTGCTAAGTGTTCTCGTCATAAACGAACAAAACTAATTGGAACAAAAACTGCAAAGAGACGAACAAGGCTTCCCTCTTGTCATCTTGTTCCCAATAGCCGGCTGCCGGCGTCTTGAATTTCTTTATGGGGAAGAAAAAAGTTTGGATCTTTTCGACAGGTTACATCAGGGTTTCAGTTTTTTTGTTGTTGGTTCCTCGTTACTATCTCTAATCCAATCCTTTCTCTTCCCAATTCATTTCAATTCACAGCGCCAACAAACAAAAAAGGGACCATCAATGGCGATATCAGAAATAACAGAGGAGGAACCAGAAGATGGGTTTCTCATCAACAAACAAGCACAGAAGGAGACGATCAGAAGAATGCTACATCATCAGAAATTGCTCCTCCTCTCTTCCTCCACTTCAACATCATCTTCTTCCCTCACTTCTTCCAACCCAACTGAAGCTTCTCGTTCCTCGTCGTCGTCCTCCTCGTCTTCTCAGGAAAGCAAGAACAGCACCAGCTTGCTGGGTCTGATGAAAAATGGAAGCACGTCGCTGGGGAGATTGTTTGGGATGGAGCACACAACTCTGGCCGCACATTTCCATGACTACAGCTGTTCCTCCACGACGAAGACGATCCCTCTGTGGGGGAGCGACGCAGAGGATTCGATTCGAGAGGAGGATCCCTGGGAATCCGTTAGAGGATTTGGGATGCAGGGCTCAGATTCTAGTAGCTACCAAGATGATCAGTTGAGGGTTAAGGCTGCCAGTACTAGAAGAAGGAGGAGAAGTAGAAGAGGGAAATTGAGCAGGAAAAAGTCATTCAGGAAACTGCCCAGGTTTCCTTTCTGGAGGTGGAGGCTGAGATTCAAACGGTTCAGGATTTTGATTTGTGGCAAAATCTTCTGAACCATATACACTGTAGAAGAATGTATGAAATTTGTACCCTATTGATTTCGAGTAAAACCTTTCTCGAATTAATTCTAAGCTATGGGTTTTGAGATTTAGAGGAGATACATTACATCTTGTGAAATGAAGATAGTGGCTTGATCATATTAGGAACCAGAATCATATTATTATGTTGATGCGGATAATATCAACACGTGGAAAATCGCCCTCCGGTTTAGCTCCCAGCCTCCCACTCAATAATTATGTCAAATGAATGTAATCAGAGAATTTCAACACAATAAACGATCTTATCATAATCTCTGCTTAATCAACGTCAACAATTTTTTCTTATCATATTAGGAACCAGAATCATACTATTATGTTGACGCGGATAATATCAACACATGCCAAATTGTCCTCCAGGTTAGCTGCCACACAATAATCGTGTCAAATGAATGTAATAAGAGAATTTCAACACGATAGACGATCTTATCATAATCTCTGCCTAATCAACGCCAACAAAAAAAAAAGATCATATTAGGAACCAGAATCATACTATTTATGTTGACGCGAATAATTAATAATATCAACACGTGCCAAATTGACCTACAACTTAGCTCCCACACAATAATCGTGTCAAATGAATGTAATCAGAGAATTTCAACACGATAAACGATAATCTCTGCCTAATCAACATCAACAAAATAAAAATGTGAATCTCCCCAAATCTAGATTCAGAATGAAGTTATGAACTATTTTTTACCTTTGGAAAAAAACAGAGGATAAATGGGACTGTAAATGTAATCCTACCAAGTTAGCTAACCTGAGATTCTACTATCGGTAAATCCCTTGGCAAATGATACAATGGCGGGAGATCAAGCTCCACAAAATGCTCCCTTCTTCAATCCTGAAATTCCTGCTCTCCTTATTCCACAGATGAACCGCAAATGTCTTCCCGCTCAACTGAATGAGCTTGGCCGAAACCCACCTCGAATCGGACTTCGTCGCCGGCTTCCTAAAGTACCCGCCGATCTTACTCCAGTACGCCGGATAAAACGCCATCGGCGGCATAATCGTAAAATTCCTCCTCCCTGTGCTTCCATTTCCAACCCTGTCGACAACCCTCGACACGAGATACGGGCCGTTATGCCCCCACCTGCTCCCATCGAACGTCGCGGCGAACTCCGCCATGAAATCTAGAAGCAGAGGGTGGCTCTTGTCGAAAACCAGGACGGCATTGTTTAACCGGGTCCACTTCTCGGCCGAATCGGCGCTCTGCGCGCCGATCGAGTTTCGCAGCCTCGCGAAGCTCTTCAGCACGATGAAGTCCGTGTCAAGGTAGACGCCGCCGTACTTGTACAGCACGGCGAGCCGGACGAGGTTCGAGAGGTTCTGAGGCAGGGGAATCTCCCCTGGATCCTTCTCCCCTGTTTTCAGGTCCTCGAACCACTGCTCCGCGGGCGTGCCGCGGAGCAGGTTGGATAAATCGGGGGCGAATGCCGCAGCCCTGAAGCCGCGATCGAGGAGGGGCTTCAGGATTCTGCGGCCGCTTCGCGAATCGAGCGATCGGGAGACGAGGACGAGGCACGCGTCGGGATTCGACTTGAACAGGGACTCCATTGCCAAAAACTCTCTGTTTCCGAACGAAGAGGCAGGGGAGATCCACGTCATGAAGAATCGGAGCTCGCATCGGTTTCGGAGCAGGAATCGGCGGGCTCGCTTGTGGAATCTGCTCGTCAGGTTGTCCGATTTCAGGATCTGGAATGCAGGGAGGTTGGATCTGAACCAGTGGATTCTCTCTTGTGTTGTGAGGTTCGTCGGAGGGACTAGGTAGGTTTCTGGGTATTGACCGGGATCTTCGTCGGACGACGACGACGACTTGATGATTCTGCGGCGGCGGTGGTGGGGCTCGGAGGAAGGGGAAGAAGGGAGAGGGACGGCGGTGGTGGTGATCATGCTTGTGCGGACAAGGTAGACGGTGAGGATGAAGATTACGGAGAAGAAAGCTAGAGGCTTTACAGGGTAGTACAGTACCCTGTTTTCGATGATCGGTTTACCCATCTCCGGTGAAATTGGGATTTAAGAAACAGGGGATTTTGGGGAGAGGTGTGTTGTTTATGAGTTCAATGTCGAGCTTGGTGAGGAGTTTCCATGGCGGAATTCAAAGTGCTGACTTTGAAAATTCCTTCAGGGTGAATAATTAAGTCTTTTGGGTTGGGCAGGAAGCTGCTGAGGAAGGAGGAGGAGAAGAAGCAGAGACGAGGATTAATCTCCATAACTGACCAAATAATTGGGAATTAAATGGCTTTTTCGAAGAATCAGATATTGATTAGGATTGGATTAATTGAGTCACTGGGATTTTAATTAATTTTTATGGATTATCTTGGATTCCCGCTAATTCTGCGCAGGCCCCTGACGGCGGAAATTATTATCCGGACTGACGACGACGAGGGTCAGTTTCGTCGGAAAGTGACGGTAGTGATCGGACCAGCTCAGAAGAAAAGGCCGAAATGGTGATGCATTGAAGTTTCCGTCGGCATTTTCTTTGAAGAATAAGGTTGTATATGGACACCAGATAATCCAATTCATAGCAACAACGTCCGGCGGATATTATTTTGCTGCCGGCTTGGACCTATTGTAGTATTGTGGGTGAAAATGAGTCAAACTTGTTGATTTGGGAAAAAAACGCATTCGACACTTTACTCATTTATTAATAATTAGAGATAGAGCTAAATTTTATTTGGTTTGTAAGATTCGTGAATCAGCTCGATTCTGTAGCTTGTTGAGCTCAACTCGTAAGCTAGCTCAACAATATGATTAGCAGGACATCTCAACTATCAACTTATTAGAGCATATATCTCATTACATATGATGTTTAAGAACGTGAGCATGTTATAACAGATGTCTCCTTTATAATTTAAAAGATAAAGTATGTATCTAGATACTAATTAATAATTACTATCGAATAACATGATATGAATAATTACAATTATAAACTAAATGATATGATATCTTAGTTCGAGCTGATTTCACGAGCTAATTGATGAGCCGAACTCGAGTAGTGCTCGAGCTCGAGTCAAATACAAACTAAGATTCTAATAAAAAAGATGAGCTCGAAGTCGACTTGATTATTAATAAACTTGATCAAAATGAGATCTAAACTCGGCTCGGCTCGGCTCATTTCCCACCCATACCTAACCAAGGAGGCACATTTGCGTGGGCCAGATTGGGCTTTTGTTGGGCTATTAAATTTATCCGCGATGCACGTGATTCGGGCCCAAGCATTGACCAAAAGCAATACACACGGCCCAACCAGCTCGAAGAACAGGTGGCTTTTTCTTTCGAACGCTTGTTTCTTTTCTTCTCCGAACAGAACCGAGATCTCCGCCCGGATTATTCTTTCCCTTGGACTCCCGTCGCCCGAACTAGGAACCGCCGGTGCTTACAGTCAGCGTCCATCGTCAATCATGGTAAAAATTCGCCGTCTTCCGAACTCTTTACTCTTGCTCTCACTTTAGTTTGAACACGCGACGGCGCCTTCCTGTGTTCTCTTGATGATTTCCAGCTTTTCTTCTTTGCGTTTGGCTTTGCTTAGATCTGTTTAACGTTAACTCGCGGAATTTGATTCGAATCGGAAAAGTTGGCAGTGGATTCATTGAGTTTCGCTTCAATTTGCTAAATTTCGATAGTAAATAGTAATGGCCTCTCATTTCTCGATTTCCTTTTGGTTGTTTGGTAGCTAGGAGAATTTCTGAAGGACTGAAAACGAGTTGACTTGATTTTTGGAAATTTTCTTCTGTTAATGGGTTTTTCTTTTGCTTGGTTTTCGGTGCTTGATCTGGTTGTGCTTCATTTGGTGTATATCTAAGCTTGGACGAAGTTTCGTGTGCTTCGTCGCTCTGTGCATCGAAATGAATGATTGCGGACTGTTGAAAAAGCCAACTTTCGACTGGTTAGAGCATTTCGTGATCTACTGGATGCCGTTTATGACCGACTTACTTTGAAATTCGTCTTGCGTATGGAAGTCTTCGTGGTCGAATTGGGAATGTATGAGGGATCTTTGACAGTTTTGATCAAACAATTGGTTGGAATTTTTATGCAGTTTTGTTTTACTGTCTAGAAAGGATGAGTGATTGTTTGCGGGCACAGTTTGTAGTTTGTCGATGGCCGAGTCACTTGCAGGGCTCTCGGTTATTTCTCACTGTATGCTGTAAATAAGGCGAATAATTGCTGGTTTTGTTTGTTCTAGAATTTGGGCTAGGCGTACAAGTACTAGTCCTTGGTATCATTAGGGTGTTCTGTTTCCAGTGACTGTGAATTAGAGCAGTCCAGTTTGCCAACTTGGTTTGGATTCTCCATACGCAGAGCCACACATTCTACCATACTAAGGAATTAGGAACTTAACTTCGAGATTTTTCTTGTTACATCGCAGATTCACTTTGTGTGTCTTATTAGTCGCCAAGGCAAAGTCCGGTTGACAAAATGGTATTCAACTTACACACAGAAAGAAAGATCCAAGGTAGTTTCCAAGACCATATTATGTTGATATTTCGTGTCTAAACATTGTCCCTGGTCCATGTTTTCTTTTATGTTGTTTGCTGATTGATTTTCGTTTGTATCCTTGGTAACTGAATGGCAAGGCCATCCGTGAGCTTAGTGGAGTGATTCTGAGTCGAGGGCCCAAGCTCTGCAATTTTGTTGACTGGAAAGGACATAAAGTTGTTTACAAAAGGTGGTTAAAAATCTATGATTCAAACTTCTCCTGAGTTCCTTTTCCCAGGCTGCGTATTTATCAATCTCAAGCTTTATCAACTTTGTTGTGGTGCAGATATGCTAGCCTTTATTTCTGCATGTGCATCGATGACGAGGACAACGAGTTAGAGGCCCTTGAAGTTATTCACCACTTCGTCGAGATTTTGGACAGATACTTTGGCAGTGTGAGTGAACTTCTAGCTGTTATTCTAACTTTGTGTGTGGTGCAGATTTGCTAGCCTCTATAATGTGTTGAACTCTGTATCAATTGCTTGTTCATGTATTATTCATGTTCTGCAGGTTTGTGAGCTGGACTTGATCTTCAACTTCCATAAGGTATGTGCTTGCTTGCTTTACAGTCAAGATTTCAGATAATTTATTTTCTGGCTATGTTTTTGGATGACTTCCAGGGGGTTGATTATCTAAACCTTCTGTATTTTGCGATACAACAGGCCTATTACATATTGGACGAGCTTCTAATTGCAGGTGAACTCCAGGAATCAAGCAAAAAAACAGTCGCCAAACTAATATCTGCACAGGTTTGTATCATATGATCTCCATTTCTCTCAAAAGCAGTAGTTTCTCTCGTTATTGACCGAGATCAATGATGGTTTTGCCATGCTGTAGGACTCTCTGGTAGAGGTTGCGAAGGAGGAGGCAAGCTCCATAAGCAACATCATTGCTCAGGCCACAAAGTAAGAGGCATACTGATGTGTCGTTTGTTTGAACTACTTTAAAGAAGTGCTTTGGTGTAATTAGCTGAATCCTATACATGCCCCTGTTTTTCGTGTGCTTTGGTGTAATTTTCTGCATTTCTTTGGCAACCATCTTGTGGTTCCGAAAGTTAAAAAAACCAACTTTGTAAATGGTCGCCAAAGGACTATTTTCTGCCGCCGCTCCCATTGGTTGCATTTGGTGATTATTTGGGAACAAAATGGTCGCCGTGAATTTCTGAGAGGTATGATACCCGGGTATAGTAAAACCTTTAGCCACCACTTGTCTACTTTACTTTGCCACTTTCTAATTGTCGTCGCCAATAAACATGGCTCTTGTATTGAATGTGGGATAATCTGCTCCACACTTCGCTTGATATATTGTGGAGCGAGAAACGTATTAATAACCAAGGTTGAAAAAGGCGCTAGGTCGTAAGGCGAGCGTTGAGGCTTCGCCTAGCGCCTAACTTGTTTGGTGTAGACTAAGCGTGCTTATGCGTTGAAAGAAAAATTGTTATTCGCACTACATGATAAATGAAATAATAATCTACAACACTTCCTCACTTCAGTTAAAATGATTAATAACTTACTCAACACTTAATGACAATAACATAGCTCACGAATTCGTAGAATCATAACTCAATAGCTCATAAAGTTCTTGAGCTATTGAAAATATTGAAATAGAAAATTGATTTCGTAGTTGACGTTAATTTTCTCCTTTAATATTGACTTCCTAACTCCATCTAGTAATGTTTAGGAGAGAATTATATGTCACGTTACTCCATTGATGTGTTACAGCATCTAATTAGGCGTGAAACCCCTAAGCGAGGCGTTTTGTCACTGTCTTGCGCCTAGGCGTGCCTAAGCGTAAGGTTTTTTTTTTTGATTGATAATGACGAATATATTAATAAAAGCAAAAAGAGAAGAAATACAAATGAAAGGAGAAACAGAGGCTCAGGAGAACTGAACCCGTCTCCCCCACAGAGTACAGAACCAAGAGAAGAAAGAAATAAAACATACAACTCTGAAACAAAAACGAAAACAGAGGGGAGAAGAAAAAACAAAAAGAAGACGAAATCAGCTAGACGGACTGAACTGATCTAAGCGTAAGGTTAAGCGTTTCTTTTTGAACCATATTAATAACCATACATTTTGAGCTCCTACAACACCTCATTGTACATTTACTAAGACTACACAGCAAAATCAAAAACAAATTAAACACACCCACATATATAGCTTATATATATGCTTCTCATCATGGATTAAAATCACATAAGCCAACTTCCTATCTAAGAGTTACGTGGGATAAAACACACAGGGAACCGTACAAGTGATTCGACCGAAATTAACAACCTCGCCTACCAGAGTCAAAAATCGGCAGACGGTGGTTTTTAGCGGTATGAAACGCGGTTGTACACCAAGAACAGACCACAGTCTCAACACAAAATTAAAATACGTTATACCGCGCTGATTTTTCCGGTACATCCTCGACCGATACGGTTCTACACAATCCGCGAAACTCACCGAACTCGTGCATGATACGCGGGTTTTACAAACGTCAGTGCCATTCAGCGACGTGAATTCGCTCCCCAGAACCAACGTAGTTCCCATAAACCCCATCATCGTACACTTCGTGGTCCGTAACGTAGTCCCCATTACTTGCGTGATACGCCGTGAAACCAAGGCGCTTGTCTTGAAACGCCAGGCGGCACCAGAAAAGCGTCCCTGCATCAACGCTCGCACCGAAGCTCCAACTGTAAGGAGTATCGGGGACGACGGCGTGACCGTGGAGATCGTCGTCGGCGGACTGGCAGTGCACTATCACCGCCTTCTTGCTGCTCAACTTGTTGGCAACGCTAACCGTCAGCTGCGTAACTGCTGCAGAATCTTGTATCACAACCGCCGCTAAAACGACCGCCGCTAGCAGTACCGCTCTGCTGCTGGTCACTATAGCTAGCTGCTCCCTCGTCATTATATGTGGTTAATTGGTTGCTATTGATTGGCGCTGTCGTGCTTTTATAGTGATTACTGCGTTGATCGGTGGTTATAGGGCTTTTTGGATACGTACGGCTGATCTGCATGTGTGTTTGTTTGGTTCGTAGTTGTGGGTTCTTATGCTGCTTGGATGTAGAGCTTCACAGGATTGTTTTCGGCAGCTTTATCGTTTAGATCAGAAGAGGTGACAAATAAAACGCCTAGACGACGCTAATGAAAACTGTTTTAAGTTCCATTTCAGCCAAACAAAGCCCTAGACCACATAGATGGAAACTGTTACGTTCCCTTTCAGCCAAAGGGTACAAGACAAGCAAAAAAAAAGGTACCTTTCACAACTTATTGATACCAAGACCTGTCGTGACTTAAGTAGTAGTTATGAATTATGATCTCATGTTAGTGGCGGAGCCACGTTGAAGGGAGGGTACATATAAAATTTGAAATAAATGACATTTCGAAAAAACCGTTAGAAATTTTTGATGGTACCTGTAAAAAACGGACTCCAAAAAATCCGTCTAAATAGGTGCTAAATAGACTTAATCCTCGATGAAGAATAGTGTCAGGCAGAATCCGTGATCTGTAACCTTCAAAATATGAGGAAAATGAAATTTTGAAAAAAATATCCCAAAAAATTACGAAAATGTCACCGAAAACAATCCTCCCATATGGGCGGTCATTTGACTTCTTCATTGGTGGAGAATAGTCTTAGAATGAGTCCGTGATCTACAGCCTTCAACATCCAAAGTATATGGCTTTTCAAAAAAATCGTATGAAATCTGTGATGGTACCCCTTTGAAATTTGCAAAAAATGGTCTCGAAAAGAATCAACACAAACTGGTGCTTAATAGACTTAATCATGGGTTAAGAATAATCTCAGACCGAATTCGTGATCTGTAGCCGTCAAAATAAAAGAAAAAAAGACATTTAGAAAAAATCGCCCAATAAATTACGAAAATGCCTTCCGTAAAAATTATACCCAAATCGGCGATTAATAGACTTCATCATCGATGGAGAATAGCCTCAGGCTAAATCAGTGATCTGTTGCCTTCAAAATCCAAGGAAATGACTTTTTGATAAAATCGTCCGAAATATGTGACGGTACCTTTGAAATATGCCAAAATGGACCCGATAAAAAGCTTCCCAAATCGATGCTTAATAGACTTAATCATCGTTCAAGAATATCTTCAAGTGAATCGGTGATTTATAGCTTTCAAAATCAAATGCAAATGTCCTTTCGAAAAAGATTCCAAAAATTATGAAAATGCCCTCATAAAGAAATACGCCCAAATTGCCGATTAATAGAGTTCTTCATCGATGGAGAATAGCCTTAGGTCGAATCCGTTATATGTTATCTTCAAAATCCAAGGAAAATGACATTTCGAAAAAATTGCCCTAAAATCTATGATGGTAACCCTTAGGAATATGCCAAAAATGGACCCAGAAAAAATCTGTCCAGGTGCTTTAAGGAGTTAACTATCGGTGAAGAATAGTCTTAGCCGAATACGTTATTTATAGCTTTCAAAATCCAAGGAAAATTGACTTTCTAAACAAGACGGCAATAAAGTTATGAAAATGCCCTCTAAAAAAAGTCCGGCCAAATTGGCGATTAATAGACTTCATCATCGGTGGAGAATAGTCTCACGTCGAATCAGTGATCGGTGGAGAATAGACTTCATGACCTGTGATCTCCTTCAAAATCCGTGGAAATGCAGCCTTCCTAAAAATTCATATGAAATCTGTGATGATACCCCTTTGACATCTGCCAAATATTGACTAAAAAAAATCCTCCAAAAACAGTGCTTAGTAGACTTAATCATCGATGAAGAATAAGCTCAGGTGAATCAGCGATCTGCAGACTTCAAAATCCAAAGAAAATGGTCTTTCAAAAAAATTACCAGAAATCTCTGATGATACTCCTTTGGAATATGCAAAAAATGGATCAGGAAAAAATTCGTCCAAATTGGTGATTAATAGACTTAATCACCAGTGAAGAATAGCCTCAGACCGAATCCGTGATATGTAGCCTTCATAATATAAGAAAAATGGAATTTAGGGCCAAAAAATTATCAAAATGTCCTCCAAAAAAATCCCCCCCTCCCCCCAAATCGGTGCTTAATAGACTTAAATCGGTGAAGAATAGCCTCTCGGTGAATATGTGATATGTAGCCTTCAAAGTCAAAGGAAAATGGTCTTTCGAAAAAAGTTGCTCAAAAAATTAATAAAATGTCGTCCAGAAAAATATGGCCGAATATTAATAAATTTTTTCATTGATGGACAATAGCCTTAGGGAGAATCCGTGATCTATTGAATTCAAAATCCAATGAAAATGGCCTTTCGAAAAATTCGAAATTTGTGATGTTACCCCTTTGGAATCTGTTAAAAATACACCCGGGAAAAATCTACCAAAATGAGGGGTTAATAGGCTTAATCATCGGTGAAGAATATTCTCAGACCGAATATATGATATGTAGTTTTCAAAATCCAAGAAAAATGGACTATATAAGAAACACTGAAAAAATTAAGGAAATGCCCTAAAAGTCTAGCAAAATTGGCGATTAATAAACTTTATCATTCAAGTAGAATAGCATTAAGCCGAATCAGTGATCTGTTGCCTTCCAAAATCCAAAGAAAATTGTCGAAATCTGTGATGGTACCCCATTTGGAATATGTCAAAAATGAACTTGGAAAAAAACCGTATAAATCGGTGCTTAATAGATTTAGTCATTGGTGAAAAATAGCCTCATGCTAAATTCGTGATATGTATCCTTCAAATTCAAAGGAAATTGACTTTCCATAAAATCGCCCAAAAATTACAAAAATGCCCTATGAAAAAAATCCGCCCAAATTGGTGCTTAGTATACTTAATCATCGGTGGAGGATAGACTCAGGCCGAATATGTGACATATAAACTTCAATATCCAATGAAAATGGTCTTTCGAAAAAAATTGCCTGAAAACTGTGATGCTACACCTTAAGAATCTGTCAAAAATGGATCCAATTTTTTTTTGTCCAAATCGGTGCTTAATAGACTTAACCATAGGTGAAGAATAGACTCAGGGTGAATCCTTGATATGTAGCCTTCAATATCCAAGGAAAATGACCTTTTGAAAAAATTATCCAAAAAATTACAAAAATTCCCTCTGAAAAAACCACCCAAATGAGCGATCAATTGACTTCCTCATCGGTGGAGAATAGTCTTAGACCGAATTCGTGATCTATAGCCTTCAAAATCCAAGGAAAATGACTTCCAAAAATTCGCCCGAAATCTGTAATGGTACCCTATTGGAATTTCCCAAAACTCGATCCGCAAGAAATTCGTCCAAATCGACGATTAATAGACCTCCATCATCGATGGAAAATAGCCCACTCAGAAGAAGTAATGGAAGCTAATTGATTAGATTTGCTTGATCAAATGATAATGAAACATAAAAATAGGTATAAAATTATAAACCTAAAATTAAGAAGAGAGTTGTAAAATGTCAAAATTAGATCTTGCGAGAGGATGAAACACACCCACATACATATAGCTTATGTAGAATGCTAAATCGATACATCAATGCCATTCAGCAATGTGAAGTCGTTGCCCAGTACCAAGGCTGGCTGGTCCCGAAAACCCCATCATCGTACACGTCGTAGTCCGAAACGAATCGATCGTAATCGTCACCAATGTTGAATGCCGTGAAACCGAGGCGCTTGTCTTGAAACGCCAGGCGGCACCAGAAAACCGTCCCTGCACCAAAGCATGTCTGGAAATCCCAACCGTAGCTCGAATCGGCGACGACCGCATGGGCGTGGAGATCATCGTCGGCGGATTGGCAGTGCACTATCACCGCCTTCTCTTGCTGCTTAACTTGTTGGCAACGTGAATCGACACCCCCAAACATGCTGCAGAGTCTTGTATCAGAACCGCCGTCGCCAAAGCGACCGTCGTTAGTAGTACCAGCTGCTCCCTCGTCTTTATATGTATAAGTGGTTACTAAAGATTGGCGCAGCTGGTACGACGACGTCGCTAGTAGTACCAGCTGCTCCCTCGGCTTTGTGCATGTGTGTTTCTGGTTCGCAGTTGTGGGTCTTATGTTACTTGGATGTAGAGCTTTTCAGGATTGTTTTCGGCAGTTTGATCGTTTTGTAGCCGGAAAGAGAGAGATCAGAAGAGGTGACAAACAAAGCCCTAGACGACATCAATGAAAATTGTTACGTTCCTTTTCAACCAAAGGGTAAAAGACAAACAAAAAACTGTACTTTTCACAACCCATTGATACCAAGACCTGTCGTGACTTATGTAGTTGTAATCTCACCGTTGGGTCGGGTATCTCAATAGTACTTATCTTCGTTATGTAAAAAGTCGGGTAATTTATCATGAGGTGTGGGTTGGAGCAGGTCGACTCAATGTGTACGTAATTTATATAGAAAACATTAGAAATATTCGTTATTTCCATTATAAGACCAAGAAACAAACCATAATATGATAAATGTAGCTCAATTATTGAAGAAACACTGATTTAAAACTTTACTGTAGCTAAAATATGATGTAATAAAAGGAATATGCCTAGTAATTTGGCTAAGATTACCTGTAATTTATGTAAGAACGAGTCGAGAATGGGGCGGGCCAGGACAGGTCGGGGGATGAGGGTATCCATGCCATCCCGCCCCGAAACAAGGCAAACAGGCCGAATAAACGGGCCATGTCGAAATTGTCATCCCTACTTTGAAGAAAGAGTACATATAAATTATAAAATATGTTTTAATAAAAGCTGCAATATCGAATTCTTCATCTTTGATTCTTTGGTGAGTAAAGTCTTGCGAAGGGTGTGTACAGAACTAAAGATAGATCTCTCTCTCGTCAAAGAGTGTAGTCCTTCGGTTTACCTACTTTTGTGGAAGAGGGAGAACCTAAGTGTCCTACAAACCATACACACATGTACGCTACCCTTCTATCCGATCGGTTGAGTGAGTAGGTGGGTTTGGTTTATCTACTTCATACTATAAATTTTTGAAGAAATTTTGAATTAATAATCAGATATTCTTTTCTGAAATAGAACGGAAAATAATCAAGAATAATTAATAATGAAATATTTATCTTATCAGATCAGTCTGCAGTTCATTAAGAGAGTAATTATATTTCTTAATCATGTGTCTTATTGTCCATCGATGGATTATATTGGATTCAAATTGCCACCTGCCGTGGTTTTACGACCATTGTGAATTATTGAAAAATAAATTAGCATTCGTTGGAAATAAATTTTGTGAACAACATAAATTGTTAGTAACATAGATAAATTGGTAGTAACATATATATCATGGTCAGGTTTTGTGGCGAATTGAATTCGTGACCATTCTGAAATTTGCTCAGATATTGTCACGTCGACATTATGGTAAAGTATATCCGTCACTAATTAGTTTCTTGCAACGAAAGGCATCGAAAGGACCGACCATTGGCATTTACTATTATTGGCTTTCTTTTCCGAAATAGATAGGGAAAAGTGAAGAATGATTGTTAAAAAAAAAAAAAAAAAATCCACAGTGCGTAGGGTTTCTGCCATCCTCGACTTCTCCACTTTCGCCTCCTTGCGGCAGCCATGCCGGGGGAAGACCCCACGGAAAAGCCCCAGTGGCCGGCGACGAAAGTCAGGGACACTTTCGTCGATTTCTTTAAGAACAAAGGCCATACGAACTATAAGTCCAGCCCAGTCGTCCCCGTGAACGACCCGACTCTGCTCTTCGCCAATGCTGGTGAGCTTTCGTTTTCCCCTTTCGCTAGCTCGACCGATTAGAATTCCGTTTCGCTCGATTTCGGATGAAGTATGGGGGTATCGATCAACTCGATTTCGTAATTGGGAATTCCGTTTTTGCTCTGAGGATGCTTAATTGTTTGATTGTTTATGCGAGCTAGGTATGAATCAGTTCAAACCCATCTTCCTGGGGACGGCTGATCCTAACACCGAATTGGGGAAGCTAAAGCGCGCCTGCAATACCCAGAAGTGTATCCGCGCGGGAGGGAAACATAACGATCTTGACGATGTGGGGAAGGACACATACCACCATACATTCTTTGAGATGCTGGGGAATTGGTCGTTTGGCGATTATTTTAAGAAAGAGGCAATTGAATGGGCTTGGGAGCTCCTAACCAAGGTATATGTTGTGGCAATTACTACAATGTTGAATTGTTTATCACCTTTCTCCAGCTTCTCTCCATTTTACATCAGCTGGTTGCATTTTCTTCGATCGCGTCTTGTTCACCTTCGTTGTCGCCCTGTTCTGTTCTGTTTTTGTCTGTGGGTGATAGGTGTACGGACTGCCCGAGGATCGTATCTATGCTACTTACTTCGGGGGCGATGAGAAAGCTGGTCTAGCTCCTGATAATGAAGCGAGAGACATGTGGCACGAATTGTTGCCTCCTGGAAGAGTGCTGCCATTTGGTTGCAAGGTCAATATGCTTGTTTTTGGTTTGCTTTCCGTTGTTGGTGTGGATAAGTTGCTGCAGATTGTGTAAGACAACTGATTGATTGGGGCATGGTTTTGAAATCTTCTACTAGGACAATTTTTGGGAGATGAGTGATACCGGTCCATGTGGTCCTTGTACAGAAATACATTTCGATAGGATCGGTAATCGAGATGCAGCTTCGTTGGTGAACAATGACGATCCAACGTGTATTGAGATATGGAACCTTGTGTTTATTCAGGTATGGCTAGCTTGTCCTCGGTGGTCACTTTATTTGCTTGCTAGCTGTTCTCGTATATGTTGCTCTCCAAATCAGAGCACTGACAGAGCGAAAAGGATCTGGAAACTATCTAATTGCATTTCCTCCTCCCCTCCCATGCTTTCCCCCCCAGTTCAACAGGGAAAGTGATGGCACCTTGAAACCGCTTCCCTCTAAACATGTTGATACTGGAATGGGGTTCGAGAGGCTTACTTCAATTCTGCAAAACAAGATGAGCAATTATGATACTGATGTTTTTATGCCCGTCTTTGATGCCATTCAACAGGTACTGTTCTGGTGCTTCTTTCATTTCTTTTCTTTTCAAATTTTTGGTCCTCGAGTTTTCAATGATTTCAATTGGTTAATTTGCTCGATTCTCCATTGTTTACAGGGGATAGTCCTGTAGCGGTCAAGTAATGTTCTCAGGTCACATTGTTTCTCTTCTGCAGGCAACAGGGGCACGACCTTACTCTTGAAAAGTTGGGGCTGAGGATGTGGATGGAGTTGACATGGCTTATAGGGTTGTTGCTGACCACATTAGGACTCTCTCTTTCGCCATTGCTGATGGTTCTTGTCCAGGTAGGTCATCGTGGGCCTATTTTGGGTCGTTCATTACCCGAGCTTGCTGGTTCTGGTCGCGGAGATTCTTAATGTTAAATGTTGCAATTGCTTCACTATTTGTCGCTTGTGCAGGTAATGAAGGGCGTGAGTATGTTCTTAGGCGCATTCTTCGCCGTGCTGTTCGTTATGGACGCGAGAAGCTAAAAGCCCGAGAAGGCTTTTTTAACGGGTATGAAGAAAAGGGTTTCTGTGGCTGTGAATGTGGGTCGCCATGCATGTTGTTTAGTACTCATTACACATGAATGAGGGTTGAGATCCCTTGCTGTCACTTACTTTATTGATGGTTTCCATTTCTTTTCCTGTTATATTCAATGCAGGCTTGTAAGTGTTGTTGTAAAAGTGATGGGTGATGTTTTCCAAGAGCTAAAACAGAAGGAACAGCACATCAGGGAAATAATCACAGCAGAGGAAGCAAGTTTTGGGAATACATTGCTTAAGGGAATTGAGAGATTCAAAAAGGACGCTAAGGAGGTTGAGGATGCGCAGGGAAAAGTAATCAGCGGACAGGCAAGGGCTTATTATCTGCGTGCCAACTTTATTGTTTTGATGAGATTTCTAAGAACTACAAATGCTCTAAAGACATGAAATTTTTCATTCTGGCTTGATTGATGTGCTCAGAGTGCCAAGTCCTGTGCTTATTCTATAACTATATTGGTGGTTGGTGCAGAAAGCATTTGCTTTGTGGGATACTTATGGCTTCCCAATAGATTTGACTCAGTTGATGGCAGAAGAAAGGAAACTGGAAGTTGATGTTGAAGGTTACTATAAAGCCATGGATGAAGCAAAAAAAAGATCAAGAAGTGCCAAAACTAAGGTATAGCTGCCTTTATCAGTTTGTTTTTTTTGTTGAACTGGTTCCAATTCTTCCAATACAGAACTTAAGAGTAAAAATTGATGGAAACCTAGCTATGATCTTCCCATTTGTTTCCACAAGCTTTTGGCTAATAGAAACCCTTTTGGCAGCAAGCTGGTGGTGCTGTTGTCCTGGATGCTGATGCTACATCTGCATTGCACAAGATGGGTGTTTCTACGACGGATGATTCCTACAAATATATTTGGTTCCAGGTTAGGAATATTACTTACTGGGTTAGAATATTCTCTTGCCCTTTTCCTATCTCATTCTTTCTCTGCTCCTTTTTCAGGATCATGGAACTTCCATTAAAGCGATCTACACAGGTTCTGAGTTCTCGGAAAGTGCCTCTCTTGGCGACGAAGTTGGCATAGTTCTTCAATCTACTAGCTTCTATGCTGAACAAGGTGGCCAGGTATTCACCAGCCAAGGAAATGGCTCTTTGCAATTCATGTATTCTTAAAGCCGAAAAATGTTATGAGACTTGTTTTTTCTTGTAGATTTTTGACACCGGATTACTTGAGGGCTCATTTGGTTCCTTTGAAGTTTGCAATGTCCAAGTATTTGGAGGGTTCATCCTTCATATTGGTTCCCTTACTGGAAGCAGAGGAAAATTCTGTGTCGGTGACGAGGTTATCTGTAAGGTATTTAAAGGACACTAGTAATTACTAGACTGCTTTCTTAATTGGTGTACTTTTGATGGTAAATGCTTCAATGTTCACCTTGTGGTTTGTTCAGGTTGATTACGAGAGACGCAAACTCATCGCGCCCAACCATACTTGCACGCACATGTTGAACTTTGCTCTTAGAGTAAGTCCCTTCCCTTGCCCTCCCCACATAAAATTTTCTGCACAATTCTCTGATTGTGTCTTAATCTGATGTCAGGAGGTCCTTGGTGATCACATTAACCAAAAGGGCTCCATTGTCCTCCCTGAAAAGTTAAGATTTGACTTCCGTCATGGTGAGCGTTTTCAGTTAGCAGCATTCAATTTGCCTGCTTTCAGATGGTCACTAACTTGATCAAATGATTTTGTAGGGAAACCTGTGGATCCCGAGGATTTAACAGAGATTGAGAAAATTGTGAATGAACAAATTAAGGCAGAGTTAGATGTATACGCAAAGCAAGTGAGCCTGGCTGATGCTAAGCGGATCAATGGTCTGCGAGCTATTGTCGGGGAAGTACGTACGTAATGCACTGAATTAATCTGCAGTTGAGGTTGTTCAAAGTATTAAATGTATGTACTTATTACATTTTGAATTCCTTGTTTATCTTCTCTGTAATGGTAGGTGTATCCTGACCCTGTTAGAGTGGTTGCAATTGGTCGTAACGTTGAGGAACTTGTGGCTAACCCGGATAACAATGAATGGCTGTCACTTTCAACAGAACTCTGTGGAGGTTTTTTGTTTTACAATTTGCTCTTCAACGCTCTTCTTCTTTCCATACGTACTTTTGGGGTTTCGTGTGACTTATGAGTATGGAATTTGTTGATAGGAACACATATTACAAACACAAAGGAAGCTAAAAAATTTGCTATCCTCTCCGAGAGTGCTGTTTCAAAAGGGATTAGACGGATAACTGCGGTTACAGCCGACAGTGCTCGTCAAGCGTTTGACTTGGCAAAGAAGTTTGAGCAAGAATTTGAGGAAGCATCCGAAGAAGATGGCAGTGCACTGGAAGAGGTTTGCTGCTATTTTATAACGTTGATGATTCATTAAGACAAAATGCTCTTTGGTAGTACTCTCCACATATGATTGCTTTTGGTTGATTGTTTTCGTATAATTAAACAGAAATTCGCATCTCTGAATAGTCGTCTGGGACCGGCAGCTATCCCAGCAGCCAAGAAACATGATCTTTTGTCCAGGCTACAGGCACTTCAGGTATTGCTGAGGACACACTTGACTTTCAATACCTGCTTGTCCTCCATTTTCTATTACCCCGGATGTGGTTTTTCATTACCCCTTCTAGTTTCTGCTGTAGTGTTGCCTTTGGCCCTAGAATTACCGCTGAAATGTTTTAGATCTTATCAGAACCGAGTTAACAGTCTACAGAAGACGAATTACCGCAAGGCAGTGCAGGTTGCAACCGAGACTGCTGAAACTGCTACATCGCAAGGCAAATCATTCTGCATCGCGAGAGTCGATCTGGGTTTCGCTGCAACTCCAGTTCGCAATGTCGTATTAAAAGTCCTGAAACAGAAGGTGCGTGGGGTTTTATTATGTTTGACCGCATATATTCTGCTAATGATGCCAGTAGGTGCAGAGAAATCGGAACCAAAAAAAAAAAAAAACAAATCTTTTTCCATGACACGGGCTGTTTGCTACATATGTTATTGGCAGGGGATCTCCATCATGGTTATCAGCACTGATGAAACCACAAACAAAGCAGTGGTGTGTGCTGGAGTGCCGGATAAGTCGAACAAGGTGAAGCAGTTGGAGGTTTCTGAATGGCTGAGCAGTGCTTTGGGGCCTCTGAAAGGAAAAGGGGGCAGAGGAAAAGGCGGTGTTGCCACTGGACAGGTTGGTAGTTTTGAGTGAGCATACGAATAATGCAGTGTATCCCCCCATTTTCTAACTCATTCGACATAATGATGCGAGCTGAATGAATTCGATCTCTCGGTTTCAGGGGAACGATGCGTCGAAGGTGGATGAAGCCATTGATGTGGCGTCGAAGTTTGCCGAGCTGAAGTTGCGATGATGATGACGATATCGAACGTAGAACAGCAAAAGTACAATCTACTTGGAAGTAGAACAGGGGATTAGAAGGAATGTGGGTTAGGAGTCAGCAGCTGAATTACCCTATAGCCTAGCCTTGAGTGAGTAGAAGAATTGCTAATTAAGCATTGTTTCAATCGAGTATTTAGTTAGGCACGAAGCAAGATTAATCAGGATAGAAATACAGATGATAGTTTCGATTTTATCGTACCTACTTTGGTTAAGATTTGTTTTGAGGTGGGTGATTTGGCCTACTTTCATTTGTTTTGGGATGGACAATTAATACTTGACCTAAAATATATATTGTTGTCCATAAATCTAATTTGAAAATATCAATAAAAAATCGTTAATCACGATTGAACCATTGTCGATCCAACCTCTACAAAATATGATGAAAATTTTCAGCTTTATCCCTTCATTATTTCTATCATGTTAAAGTAAAATTATTGGAGATATTTTAGACATTTTTGTTATCCAGAACATGGTTCAGTTATGGTTGATAAAATTTTAACATAATACCATATAATTATATTTCAAAGTACATCAACCTATTTGATATAAAAAATAGTAAAAAAAAAATATTTGTATCTAATCCAAATATTCTCTTTTCAAAATAGTAAAAAAGCTATAGGAATTTTCTGGCACCACATTTTGGAAGCATGCACGTGTATGTGTGACAGAATTGTATCCTAGGACCAGTGATGAAGGCTTTTAGTGACCGAAATGTTTCCCGTCATGTAAGATACAATTGCACGACATTCATATTCGTCGCCTAAAAGAATTGTCGAAAGGACCGGCCTAATTTTGGTCATTGGAGACGGAAATTAGATTCCGTTGCATATTACAATGAAACGTTGGCAACAAATTGTAGGTTACTGCGTGATGGAAACCATTAATTAAGAACCAATTCATTTCTACAATTCGAATAATTGGAAGAGGTTCAAATACGAAATCAGGTGCAAACCTAACTTACCTCACAGTTAGTTCAATGGTCCAAGAGAGCTCTTCTTTGAACTAAGAAAGAAGGGCTTGCTTAATGAAGAAAAAGAGAAGTTATAATTTACACATAATCCATGAAAAAAAAAATGTTCTACGGTAGCCAAATTCGCCTCCACGCACCCATGAACCGTTCACCGCCGGTGCGTATATCCTTCCCGTAAACCCCACCGTCGTACACGTTCCAGTGCTCGAAAAAATACGGCACCTCGTCCCCGTACGCAACGAAAGAAAGACGCTTATCTTCCACCGCGAGGTTGCACCAGAAAAGTGTCGTCGCCATAGCGTTCGACTTGAAACTCCATCGAAATTCGGCACCGATCTCGACGCCGTGGGGGCCGAGATCGTCGTCGCCGGACCGACAGTGCACTATCAGCACCTTGCTGCTCAGCTTGTTCGTGACGTGAACCGTCAGCTCCTGGATCGAAGGATGCGCCATGGATATTAATACCGTCGCTAAAACGACCGTCGTTAGTAACTTTTTGTGGATGGCCATATTGTGTGATCTAATAATTAGTAGTGCCTTAATGATGATTTAATTAAAAGTATATATTGAATACTGGAGGGATAGTGCCCTCTTCTTTCTATTGTTCGTCAGTTGTCGTTTTGCTGATGTTCTGTTGCCGTTTTATGGGAATCCGATCGGCGATCCGCTGCCGGTTTGTTGTTTGGATCAGGACGTACGTCCAAACAGTTGATGCACAAAACTTTGTTGGAGCGGAGAGACCAGCAGGAAGCTGTTAGGGTTATCTGGAAACTGTATTTTGTCGATGTGTCTTTTCCAACGTATTATTTATCAAGTAATCATCGGGAATTCAGAACTAATAAGTTTTCCATATAGTATTAGAGTTTTTAATCGCGCGATGTGTGTTATGTTCGAATCTTGAGGACTCTCAACGTACATCCTTTAAGCACGTGACATGTAAGATTAGATGCTTGCAAACTTCAGATATATAGGTAGTAGCCGAGTCAGAAATCTAAACTAGGGGACTAAAATTTATTAAAAGAATTTCTATGTAATAATATTCATCAAGGACGACGAGCGCGCGTATAAAGTTCGTAATATTTGAATAACAAACGGCCTTCAATATTAATGAATTACACAAAGTATAGTGAAATCGTTAATGATGTTCACGCAAACTCCATTCAACCAAATAATTGACGTGACGAAACTCGGCGCCATGGAGCCTCATAAAACGTCGTGTTTGCGTGCCTGTTCTGCCCATAAACCCCATCCTCATGAACGTACCAGTATTCTGTGTACAAGTCGCCTTGATCGTACGCCACGAAAGAAAGACGCTTATCTTCGACCGCGAGACTGCACCAGAAAAGTGTCCCGCCGAGCCAACTCGGCTCGAAACTCCACTCGAAGCTGCCGCCGGCGGGGGCCACCGCGCGGGCCTCGAGATCGTCGTCTTTGGATCGACAATGCACCAACAGTAACTTGTCGGGTAGCTCGTTGGTCACAGAGACACTGATGTCCTGGATGGAAGGACGCGCCATGAATATGATTGCGGTCGCCAAAACCGCCGCCGCTGGACGTAGCAATGATTTGTGGACAGCCATATGGCGAGATGTAAGGCAATCCGATCGGTCGTCTTTTTGCTTAATTATGAAACGAATGGTCGATCGATTGCCATTGTTCCTTCTTATAGTGAATGGTCTGAAAAGTAGGGGTGACTATACAGTCCGGTTCGGTTAAATTGACTCGAATTAATCCAGTCCCAGTCCGGCCTTTTCGGGAATATAAGGACCAAAGATTGGATTGGATACAGTCCGATCTTGATCCGGTCCGGTCATAATTTGGTCTTGATTTTAGATTGACCTTGGGGAGATTTGAGTGGCCTGAGGCATCAAAGGGTGAGGAGTTGGTTAAGTTTTGAGTGTTGGGGTTTCTTATCCGGTCTTTATCCGGTTTTCGATCCGGTCCCAAACGATTTCTTATCTCAAATCTAATCTCGAATACGAGATTGGATTGTTTGTTATCCAATCTCGATTCGGTCCTGGCCCGGATTATACGGTCCGGTTTCGGATAAAACCAAACAGTCCGGACCAAATAGCCAGCCTACTGAAAAGGGGTGGTGTAATGCCGAAACCGTCGATCTGCTTGATTTGCTTCTCATTGACCGCTCCTTTGTCGGACTCTCTGCTTATTTTGGGGATGTACGTCGCCAAAAGGACATGCAGAGTTGCCGGCGCGACCAAACTCTTTTGACTTTTTGCCCTTTTCCCTGCAGCGCCAAATTGAGCGGATGCGAGGATTCGCATTCACCATTTTCGAAGTTGGGTTACAAATACTAAATAATTTGTTTGGATGCTAGGTGGATATTGTTTTTTGCTAAATACGTGGGTTGAAATTTATATGATCATATATATGCACATTATGATTAGTGGTTTGAATTTTGAAACATCGTTCTAGCATCAAAATAGGACTTGTTTGTAAAATTTGGAAACTTTCGATGTTTGCTGTGAGTGGCCGGGGTTCGGTTTCAGAAGTTTCCGTAAGAGTGCTAGAAACCAGATCATATAGTTTGCGGTTGGCCCGGTTGCAATATAAAAACTGTGTTTGACACACTCAGATTCGAATTGCGATTGTGGGAGAGGATATGCTCATGATCTCAGTAAGATAAAGACATTTTATATATAGGCAGTGACGGAGTCAGAAATCTAAACTAGAGGTCTAAAATGTGTTTAAAAATTCATGTAATTTGACCTTTTTTGCAACTTGAGTGGGGGATACTATAGACCCCTCCTACAAACAACGTGACTCCACCGCTACTAGTTTGTTGACTTTCATTTCTAGAGTTCGTTGAAAAGAATAGTATATGATTTATTCTTGGATCTCTCTGTCAACCACTTGAATTATTGGGAGAGCTCAACCATCATTTCTACCACAACCACTTTGAAATAATATTGTCTTTGCTCTACTTATTTTTTCACATAATAAGCTTGAAAGGTGGCTCCTTTTGGGTAATGGGTTTCGAGAAGTGGTAAAGTTTGCAATCAATTGTTTGGTCGATGAAATTTGGTTATGAATTGTGTATGGGCCATATAGTTAAATGATAAAAGTATCAAACTGAATTGAATTATTCTCAATAATTTTCTATTAGCATTAACGGTAATGCGTTAAGTAGAGTGGTGGGATATTCAAGTTTTAATTAGAGGGACGATGCAATAACCTTATATTCATTGAAAAACTTAATTAGTCCATCTCAATAATTCGAATCTTGGAGAGACTAACATTTATATATTTTAATCATTCCATCCTCATACAAAAACTTCCCCAAAATTACAAAAATTTCCTATGGTACCCAAATTCGCCTCCACCTACCCATCAAATTTTTGTTGGTAACGAAATTCTTCCCGTACACCCCATCATCGTAGACAATTAAGTACCCGTAATACGGCATGCCCTCCCCGCCGTACGCTTCGAAAGAGAGACGCTTATCTTCGACCGCGAGATTGCACCAGAAAAGCGTCGAACCCATCGCGTTCGAATCGAACCTCCAACTCATCTCGGCGCCAACCTCGACGTCGAGGGCGCCGAGATCGTCGTCTTTGGATCGGCAGTGCACTATCAGTATTTTGTTGCTCAACTTGTTGGCAACATGAACCGTCAGCTCCTGGATCGAAGGTTGCGCCATGACAATTACCACCGTCGCTAAACAAACCGCCGTTAGTAACCTTTTGTGGCTAACCATTTTGATGTAATGTTTAATAGTGAGTGCAATATATTTCGATCCTTCTCCTTTTTACTTTATAGTCAGGAATAAAGGAGGGATGGTGTCGTCTGCCTTCTATGCTTCTTTGTTATTTGTCGTTTTGGAATAGAGGGATGGTGTCCTCTGCCTCTATGGTTCTTGTTACTTGTCGTTTTGCCGGTGTTCTGTTGCCGTTTTAAGGGGAACTGAACGGCGACCCTCTCAGCCGCTTTGTTCTTCCGGGGGACGTGTACGTCAAAAGACTTGCCGGTTCATAATAAGACTCTCTTTTGTAGCTTAACCCCTTTGCCGCCGGCCACTAGAGATACCAAGTCTCTCACCTTTCACACAATTCGTAACACTTTAGACAAATCTCAATAAAGCACGGGAGATATTTATGTCATAAGAAATCATTCAAACATAAATTGATAAGAAGTGTTTTAGGGTGAAACATAAGAGTTTTTGTACGTAAGAGAACATGTAGACGCGTGCGCACTGTAGAGCTGAGTTACATCTTGAAAAGTCACCAAGATGCACCCATAAACAAAATGGTACATAACTAGACTTGAAAAGCACAATATATTGACCAAATAAAATAGTCAGGATGCTACAATTTGCATACTATGAATCATTAGCTTCGATTCCATAGGAATGACTAACAATGTTCGATTTCGTTATCATTGATTGTATTATGTGTGTGTCCATCAATTTGAAAGAAAGCCCATGATTTGGATATCCTGTAATTCCCTATAAATGCAAACAATATTTATTTTTCAAGTGTATAATAATGTGCAGATCTCGTTGGTTCACACACTAGGGATGTAGATGAGACGAGTCAAGTTCTGATCTATTTCAGACTAAACTCGTCAATAAATGAGTCGAGCTATAATTGAGATTGTTTATTAAATATCTAGACTTGTGTTTGACTCAAACTCAACTCGTATACATATTTAATAATAAGATGATACGACAAAACTGCCGAAATCAATCTAGAGATGCTGTAAATCCCAGTTATAAATTAAGCACTTAAAGGAAGCTAGCTCTTTCTTCCCAAAGAAATCAGAGACGTACGCACCCAATTAGGAGCACTAGACGATCGATCCTCCACCTTCTATTGCAACAACACCATATATATCGTCACTACAAGTTCGATCGAGAAGGTTTACAGTAATATTCCCGATACGATCTGTTTTCCGTCGAGAAAGTGGTATATGAGATTAATTTTTAGGTGTAAACACAATCATGACGAGGAAGCAGCTTGCAACCATCCACAAGGCGCTGCTAGCGGCGTTCGTTTTGGCGGCGGCTGCAATGGCGGATAGATACCTGGCGTCGGTAGATATTACCAACAAGCTGAGCAGGGGAATCGTGCTCATCGTGCATTGCAAGTCCGGAGACGACGATCTCGGGCCTCGTGCTCTCGAGGCCAATTGGACGTTCGGCATGACCTTCCACCAGAACTTCTTCGGAGGGACGCTGTTCTGGTGCGACCTGGCGGTCGAAGATAAGCGTCTTTCGTTCACCGCGTTCGACGAGAGCGATCACGAGACGTACATCAAGGCGTTCGAGGTGTCGGATGGCGGAGTCGATGGGGTGGATAGTTTTAGCGGGGAGATGGTTCATGTTTGTGGGTGGAGAGTTGTGACTCATTTGAATTTTTAGTGACGGATGTGGGTGTTTTTTGTGACCAGATAAAAGTTGGTCGCTAAAATCTTCGTCGCGATATTTCGACCAATGAGTACTGCTTCATCCCACCTCTATGCTCCTTGTGATTTGTCGGTTCGCGTATGTTTCTATTGCCGTTTTAAGCAAACCGATCGGCAGCCTCGAAATACTTGCCATTAATGCACAAAACTCGGTTGGATATTTAAGGCAAGATCCAGTCAATAACCTAATTTTACATATCTATCAATAATCATCTTAGTAATGTTCTTAATTTAATGGATAATATTATTTTTTTAAAAATCATAATTGTTTTTGTGTAGAAAATTTGGATTAATTGTGCTCTCTAAAATATTATCTTTCGTATACTTTGGAATAAAAAATTTGAGAAATATATTACCATTTATACCATGGCGGTAATGCTCGATAGTAAATGAGATTAAATCATGGTGGTATGAAAGTGTACATGTTGTATGACTATATACTATGGTGTCATAGTGTAAAATGATTGTATAAATTATAGTAGGAATATACTAGCCGTTATTTGCCATCTTTCATCATCATCTTTCGCTAGTTACCACCTTATACCAGGACTATATATTATTTAGTCATGAAAACCCCTCCCAAAATTATACAGATTCAATAGATCATAATGAACACGTTCTTTCTATGTAAATTTTGAGTGAAATGAAGATAGTACCAAAGTGGCCCAGTAACCTAGCCCAACCCTTTTGTAAATGAAATTTCAGCCCAAACTATCAATCCATTAGCCCAATTTGATTGACCCAGTTGTACTCTCATTAAAGCCTTTTCCCCTCTTATTGGTCCAAGCAAAGGAATTGGAAGGAAGGGTTTCTAGTTTCTACAGCCACCTCTCCCATTCTATTATGCTTTCCCCTTCCGTTTTGTCCCTCCATCGCCGATTTGAGAGAGACTTTAATCGTAGATCATATACCACAACACTAATACGCCCCCTTAAACGAAAACCACTCACAAGAGTTTGAATTTTGCATAGGTCTGAAGACAAGAATACCATGTGCTTAACAAATGGGGGTCATCGGGAATCGAACACAAGACCTCTCAGTCACAGAAGGCTCTGATACTATGTCATGAACCAGTTAGTCCCAATAACTCGAGTTGTTGGAAAATATTCAATCATAGATCATATACCACAACACTAACAAACGTAACTAATATGAAGTCGATTTTACATCGCATCAGTTCCAACCACAAATATGAAGTCGATTCCCACTGTAAGTGTCGTCACCATCCACTCCGCCGTCCGACACCTCGAACTCCTTGACGTACGTGATGTGATCGTCCTCGTCGAACGCCGTGAAGGACAGCCGCCGGTCCCGGAACGCGGCCTTGCACCAGAACACCGTCCCATCTCCGACGACGTTCTGCCCGAAACTGAAGCCGAAGCTGGCGCCGGCTTCCACGGCGCGAGCCCCGAGGTCGTCGTCTTTGGACCGGCAGTGCACTATCAGCGCCATGTTGCCGCTCATCCTGTTGGTGACGTGGATGGTCGCCTCGTGGTATCTCGCCGCAGTGAAATGGTGATGAAGTTTCAGTATGGTCGCCTGCAGGACGACCGCCGCGAAGATCGCTCTGTGGATGATCGTTATGGCGACGAGACAAGTCATAGAGTGATCTCTTTTTGTTCTCGAGGTTTTTAGTGACGAGAAATGGTGGTGTGATCCTTTTGTGATGCTTTTTGTTATGTATGTATATGAAGAGAGAATGATCTCTACCGCTTTTGCTCTTGGTCTTGGAGACGTACGGCTCTTTGTGTCCGTTGATTTGGGTCGATCTGGATAATTAATTAAATTCGAGTTTGTTTAGCACGTTTTGATTGTGTGTATTACAATGTATGCTTACGGTAGGGCTTTGGTTACAATAGGTTGGTGTCCCAATTTGGACCAAGTTACATAAATTAGGTATCGGGAAGTGTTGGCACCATACTAATATATAATTTATTGAGGATATTATGGTAACTACTACTCATAGCAGCTTTTTTCTTTCGTTTAGTTTCCTTGCTGCTCTCTGCTTACCGCTCTCCACTCTATCTCCGTGATTTTTCGAGTAACAAACTACATGCGTACCGGTTTAGGTTTATGGTTTACGATTTAAATAATAATGATCCAGTGTCCACTCGTTAAAAGTTAGAGTATAGTATGTATGGTATTTCAAAATCTGATTAATTCAAGATTAGATAATATTTTCTACCAAGGATATGCAGTATCCTAAATTTACTCAGGTTAGGTAGAATTGAAGCCACCAATTTAACATAAAAGAATTGAATATAAATATTTTTAATTCTCACACAAAGTGTAGAGTGAAAAAAAAAGAACTTTATATAATATGCAATGGAGCTTGTCTCTTATTTTCCATATCCTTCGAACGAGCTTTGACACATAATCCATATATACGCGAAGGAAATTCAGCTTTCTAATAATAAATTACATGGAGGAATGATTAAAGCATGCATGATAATATAGCTACAACCAAATAAAAGCACATTTATCCTACGCTACTTAATTAATTAATGATGAGCAATACAATATTCGAGCCGTACGTAATTGAGATGCCCAATAGCAAAGCTGGAGTTCGATCTAGCTAGGCCATTCATTCACTCATTCACAACCAGCCGGTCACCACCAAAAACTATTAGCCACCGCGGTAGTTTTTTAGCGACCACAATCATAATAATCATGGCACCACCCTCCATCCAGAAGGAGACCATGACTGTCGCCAATAAGCTATCCACGACAGTCGTGACAATGCACTGCCGGTCCAAGTACAGCGATGTGGGCGTCCAGGGACCTCGGCCCTGGGGATAAGTACAGCTGGAGGAACTATTTCGGCAGGACACTTTTCTGGTGCAACCTTCGAGCTGACGAACGATCATCATCGTTGTCTTCATTTCGATGCGTTCGATCAAGACAATGACCTGCATAGTGTTCGGTATTGGGAGGTTCGTGATGGCGCGGGGTTACCTCGGTGTACTCGCCAATGTTCGAACGGTACGCGTGCTATAGCTAATGAGGTGTGTCTCTATATATCGCGATGCATAAATCCACCGCGAATATCTCGTTCTGTGTTTTGTAATTCGGTTCTCTTTGTTTGTATCTCATTTTAAATCTTTGCCATAAAGAGCGAGGCTTCTGGATTCTTCGAGAGGTTTGACTATACATCCTACATTATTTGTACTTCTTTTGTTTTTGCGTTCGCGCATATTGATCTTACTTTGATAGAGAAAAGAAATTTAGTTGTTGTGTATGTGCACGAGAGATGTGATCACGGGAGATTTCTGCAACTTGGTATTGCAACATCTCGAATTAAGTTTGATGGAGATTATGATCATTGATAGCTAGCTAGTTAGATCTCCCCCCTACTCAACCTAGCTAGCTATCAACACACTTACCAATTACCATAGATATGTATCCTACTTATAAAGACATCTCCTTAAAATTGGGCCTTAGTTGATGGGTCATTGGTGGGTTGCTGGCATTGTTTTGAATGTTTTTTGTGGTGTGGAGCCGGAGGGTATTTTCACAATCTGTCAGGTCCAATTTCCAGTTGGGCTTAGTAGAGGTTGGTGGATGGGCTGGGCTGGGCTGGGCTGGGCTGGGCTCAAATAAGTGTTGGGCGTAATTGAGGCAGCAGCAGGATATCATAGATCAAAAAAGTTATTTAGCGACCATAATTTTGGCGACCATAATAGTTATTACAGCACGACCTTCAATCCAGCAAAAAAATCTAGCGACCGTAATTTATCGGTATTTGATATTAAAATTTACTGGAGTGCGATTAATATACATTGCTTTTAATAACGTTAAGCAAAATTAATTATACATTTAATATCATTTTCTTCCACGGCCCCTCAAACGAAAGTCAATTCAAACACTTGAAATTTGCACAGATCGACCATACTTTGTGTTTAAATCAACTATTAATATTGGAGGTCGTTGAAATTCGAACACACAAGTAATGGTCAAACCAGTTATATATGATACTAAAACAATGATCAATTGCTGCCAATAACTCGAATTGTCGAGAGAATGTTAATTATGAATCTTGTAATAAACCATAAAGATTTTTATATATGTCACTCCCCATCAAATTTTGTACTAATTTGGTGTATCTGTAGTGGGCGGCAAAGAAACCATAAAGAGTTTCTCTCCGCAAGGGCAAGTCTTTTTGACGTTTACCCCTAAGAGCAAAGACGACGAGATGCTCGATGCGGTTTCTTCCCTTGAAACAAAACGGCAGCAGCACAACTACAGACGACCAGAAACTCCCAAAACTATGTATGATAAGAAGCAAAGAGGCAGAGGGCACTATATATCTTCCTCCATCAAATATATAATTATACCCATCTTTCTCCTTTATCACAAGAGAAAGAAACGACGATCCGCAAAACAACATTATTATCATATCACAATGATCATCTGCCACAAATTAGTGCCACTGTCTGTAGCTTTTGTGACCATATTAATGATGGTGGTTATAGCAAGTCGTCGCTCAGTTCTTGCGACGAGAGTTCAGGTTAGCAACCAGTTGAGCAGCAAGATACTGATAGCACACTGTCGATCCAAGGACGACGATCTCGGAGCCCGTGTCATCATCGTCGGGAAAGATACCGGTTGGAGTTTCGAGGCGGATATTTCGGGGGTGACGCTTTTTTGGTGCAACCTCGCGGTCGAAGATAAGCGTCTTTCTTTCACAGCGTTCGATGGAGATATGTACGGAGATCAATTTTGGGATGTTCGTGACGATGGGGTCTACGGGACGACCAAGTTCACCAATGCTCGGTATCTCGAGCGTGAATGGAGGCGAATTCAACGGCTAAATTGATCCATGGTGGGATTAATGAGCAGTTTTGTACTAATTAAAGACGACACATTGTCATTAATGTGCCTCACAAAAATGTTCAGGTGATGATGAATTAGTACTTGTAACTATATTGTGCATCTATAATTGTCATACTTTGTCATTCGTGTTCCATAATTACTGTCACAAAGGGTGACGATATGCGCGTTCCATAATTCCCGTCACAAGTTGTAAATAAAATTCGTCGCTAAAGGCTTGATTTGGTGACTTGCGGATTACCCACCCTACGTGCCCTCCCCTATCCATCGTGCATAAGTTTTTGCGACCCTAAAGGTGAGATCAAACACAGCAACAAGAACTTGGCCTAGTAGTAGTCTGGAACTTGGAAGTTCTGGATTCGAATATCTTAAATAGTACGTTAATTACAATAAAAATAAAAATTATATCAATCATATATAAATAAAATAAAAAGTGGATCAAACACCACCGTTTCTTAAAAATAATTACCCCATTTTTCCCTTTTTGTCACTTATTAATTAACTGCTGCGGCAGGACAATTTAATTTATCTAAAATTGTAATTATCACCTCTCCTATTATTAAAAATCAATTAGTTTCAATAAAGAAAAAATATTAATTATAGATCTTATAGAATTTTACTAACATCTCCATCAAACAAAAGCCAACTAATGAATTTGAAATATGCAGAGGTTCTAATACCAAATGTCTAACATTATAGGTTGCAAGGACTCAAACACAGAATCTCTCGGGTAATCAAATACTATGATATCGTGTCAAGAACCAACTAATCCTAAATTGAGTTGTGGTGAGATGATCGCTTATAAATCTTATATCGTTTACTAGTATATAGCTAGATTTGACCAACTGCTTATTCTACCTCTATTACACTAATTCTTGGCTAATCATCATTGTCTCAGTAGAGTCTTTTAATGGCATGTTTCGGTCCTCTTCCCCATTTCTTAGACAAAATGAGCCACCGATTTAGGTACAAAAGACTATCACCATCACTAGGACGATTAGACCTTCAACCCGTAATCGCAACGACCCAATTGCAAGAGCAGAGCTCCACCTACCAATTGAGCTATATCCCCCGAGCCAAATGGAAAATGCATGACGGAGTCAGTGTTTCGATAGGTCTGTATGAGGGTTAGGGTTAGATGGGAAGCGTAGAAGATAAGTCATCAACAACTTTGTTATGGAGTCAGTCAGTTGTCGTGTCGTGTCAGTTTGTTTTCAGGGTCGAGAGGTTAGTAGTCGTTAGTGGAAGCCGAATGTATTGGCAGAAGCTATGAAATTATAGTGTTGAGTTTCAAACGAAAAAATTTGTCAATTGGCCCCATATTACCCTATCAAATACACAATTCAAAGAGCATAAACACGAGAGAGAGAGAGAGAGAGAGATTCGAAGAGTTCCGGTTTTCGCACAAAACCGTTGAGCAAATAAAAAGTGTTGCTGTTTTATCCTGGAGGCGACCGGCTGATAGTCTGCTGTGCGCATTATGAGGCAGTGCCGTGAACGTCTTAAGGAGAGAGCGACCTAGTCTGCGACTCAGCCAGTTCAGTAAACCTTGATTTTCTGTTCGGTTTCTAACAATCTCTGTACTCGCCTCCTATTTTCTTCTTCTGTTCTACTTTCCTTCGACTCAACCTTCATTACCGACTCTGATTGGAGCCGTTGTTCTTCGTATTTTCCAAGAGCTACAGGTAAATTCATATCATCAGAGCAGAGTTATGCGAATCCATCAATTCGTTTATCGCCATTGCAGTTTCTGTTATAGCTTTTCCGTACAATTGGTGTTGCGATTCCTTCTGTGTTGTGCTTCCTTATAGCGTAATTGTAGTTTTTCTTAGAGCTTTTCTTTATTTCCATTTTGTAGTTTGTTCTTGCTCGCGAATTTACTCATTGTGGATCTCTCGATTTCCGATGGGATATCTCAACTCGCAATTCAATCCAAGAGCAGAATCGGCTTCTGTTGTTTCTTCACTTCGTCATTTTCTGAACTTGTCGTTACTTTCGAACGCTTCTTGATTGCGCTGTGTTCTTGATTGTGTTATTTACTTTAGAGATTTCTCAAGATTCTCGTTATTTGCAGATTGCGTGTTGATTCTTACCCGCTATTTCCTTCATCCGCTATTCTCGAATTTTGCTTTTCTATTGCAGCCCTCTGCCAATCCTAGGTTAGGACTGTCTTCTGTTTCTTAGAGCTACTGACAATTCCTTCAACTCGGTGTGTTATTTCACTATCTATGTTTCTATCCGAGATGATCCATACAATCATGTTGTGATTCCTTCTGCTGTGCCTCTTGATTGTTTAACTTGTGGTTTTCTGGGAAACATGGATTAATTTTTCTCTCTTCACAGATGGATGCTCAGCTGAGGTATCTGAATCATGAGCTTCAACAACATAAAAACACGTTTAAAGAATGGTAACTCATGTTAGAAATTATTTTCATGATTTTACTATTTGAATTTGAGCGAGCGATGACTAAAGGTGTAAAATCAAATAGTAAAATACGAACAAATAATTTGATTTTAGTACCACAACAAACCAAACTATTATTAGGAGATAAAAAATTAAGAATAAAACAAAATAATTTAGGAATAAAGATATAGGAAATTATGAATAAAAGGAAAGAAATAAAAAAAAGAAATAAATAGTAAATAATAGAAAAAAAGAAGATGAATAGAATTTTCCTATTTGAATTTGAGCGAGAGATGAGTAAAGGTGTAAAATCAAATAGTCAAATACGAACAAATAACTTGATTTTTGCACCACAACAAACCAAAATATTATTAGGAGATAAAAAATTAAGAATAATAGAAAATAATTTAGGAATAAAGATACAGGAAATAATGAATAAAAGAAAATAAATAAATAAATAAAAATTAAATAATTGAAAAATAAAAAAGGAGATGAATAGATGAGACCAACTCTAATAGACTATTGTCCTTAAAGTTGAAGTTATCTACAATTTAACCTCTTAATGAATAGTAATGTTAGAACAATACTTTTTATAATAGAATTTTCCTATTTGAATTTGAGCGAGAGATGACTAAATGTGTAAAATCAAATAGTCAAATAGAAACAAATAAATTGATTATATTTTAGCACCACAACAAACCAAAATATTATTAGGAGATAAAAAATTAAGATTAAAGAATATAATTTAAGAATAAAGATATAGGAAATTATGAATAAAAGAAAAGAGATAATAAAAGAAATAAAAAGTAAATAATTGAAAAATGAAAAAGGAGATGAATAGATGAGCCAACTCTAATAGATGGCTACTCCACTACAACCTCCGGTACGATATTTCAATCCTTGGTTAAGTATGCCTCTAACAAGGCACTTAGTTTGCTTGAGAGTTCAAAGATAGATGCAGAAACAGATCGAGAGAGACGTCAGACGTAGCATTATATATACTCTTTTCTCCATATTTCTTGTTTGTGCCGTAGTGTGTAATCATATCTTAACCCCTCTCTTTCGTTTTCTATGTTTTGATTTTTCTGAATCAATAGAAGAACGGAGACGCAATATTGATGGAGTTGAAGAATCTGTTCATCGGAAGAAGAAGGCAAAGGCGAAGAAAAGACATGCCCCCATCGGCAGTAAAATGAAGGGATGGCGTTATGGCCATGGTTTAAGAAACCCTATATTATATCGGCCGGTCCAATCGTAAATATCGGGTACCGGTACAAAACAGTAGAAGCAGTTTTATCGGTACAAAATGTTTTAACCAAGGTTATCGGAACTTTTCAGGTTACGACTTTCGGTGTATTTGACAATCATTATTTTAGAAGCAAGGTTTGTGAAACCGTACCAGATACTCTATCGGAAAAGCCAGCTGCGTGTGTATGGGTGCTTTATTGTGAAATCATGGTTTACCCATAGTTCAAATCGTTAATACCACTAAATGATGTCTACGATTTAGTCTCTGATACTGGTATTCAATTATCTAGATGGACAACAATCACCCAGTTGGCTCACCATAGCATGTTGTTTGTTCCCGTAGTTACACCTTTGGTGCTTATAATTTTTTTAATGAATATATTAGACTCAATATATAATTATAATACAATTAATGTTTTCTACTCGTAATAATTTATTCATTAGACACCGGTTCCATAACCACTTTATAGCGGCTTATACCGGTTAAACCAATAAGATGCGAACCACTCACTATACACGTTCATACACCGGTTCTGTTTTGAAAACATTGGTTTAGACATATAATAATCTAAAAAACAAACCAACTCTGGTGCCAGGTCATTGATCAACTGGTCCAAATAACTCAAACTGTTGATGCAGGACCGCATATATACTCAAAACATAAACACGAACATAAAAATTTACGTGATTTCCCTCGGAATCAGAACTAGTCCCCGGAAGAACTTGTACTTTCTGGAGTCAATCTTATTTGCCTTATCGGTTGCTGCAGTATGTACAAAGCGATTATATATATATATGTATGTACACGAGCTGTGGGTCTCATAACCCTAATCCTACTTAGTTTAGAACGTAAAGGACAATTACCAAAAAAACACCTAAACTAAGCATATATACACGATAATTCAACATACTCAACCACTTGCTTACTGGACTTTGGTTCTTTGAATCGGCTTGCAGTCCTTTGGAACCGGCCGCAAAAAGGATATTACAATTCGGAAGACTACTCTGTCCACCGGCAACTCTTCTCCCTCGAAACGGTATCGGTGTTTAAGCAAAACGACAACCAGGTCCCGGCCGTAAATAAGAAGCGAAGCTGCCGAGTGCACTACACCACCTTTGAAAATGACTCCATCGATCGATCTTCTACTAGCTAGGGGTGGCTAAACGACCCGGTCCGGTTAAATTGGTTCGAATTGATCGGGTTCCAGTCCGATCTTTTCGAGAATATAAGGATCAAAGATTGGATTGGATCCAGTTCGGTCCGGTCCCAATTTGGTCTTGATTTTAGATTGAGTTTGTGGGGATTTGAGTGATCTGAGGAGGGATTTGAGTGACCTAAGGTCTGAAAGGGTGAGGAGATTAAATTTTAGGTGTTGGGCTCTCTTATCCGGTCTTTATCCGATTTTTGGTCCGGTCCCAAACGGTTTACCTCAAATCTAGACCCGAAAATTAGATTCAATTGTTTGCTATCCGGTCTTGATCAGCATTATACGGTCCGGTTTCGGATAAAACCAAAAAGTTCAGACCAAATAGTCAGCCGTATCTCCGATACTATACTTTCTCCCACTGATCAGAGAGCACTATAAAAAACGAACGGGATTGCTTTACGTACACACATTCATTTGTGACCAATATTCAATAAATTGCGACCAGACATTCTCGTCACAAAAGCCCATTTTTGTTGGTGACATATATCACGATGGTTACCACCCAAAAATTACTAGCGACGGTAGTTTTAGCAACCACAGCAATCATCATCATGGCACGTCCTTCGCTCCAGCGCACGGTTCACGTCGCCAACACACTCGCCGAGAAGATACTGATCGTGCATTGTCGATCGAAAGACGACGATCTCGGTGGCCACGCGGTGGCCGTCAACGAGACCATCAGCTGGAGTTTCGAGCCGAATCTCTTCTGGGGGACGCATTTCTGGTGCAAGCTCGCGGTCGAAGATAAGCGTATTTCCTTGGTGGCGTACGACGAAGAGTCTGAGTACAAAACCGACTACTGGTATGTTTGTGACGATGGGGTTTATGGACGGGATAGGGTTACCGGCGGGAGGACTTATAAGGCTGCATGGAAGCGGGTTTGGCCACGTCGACGTTGAACCGGCTGGTGCATGCATGCATGGATGCGGTACGTACGTTGGAGGAAGGTAGTGTCGAGAAGCAGCGGCGGATCCAGAACAGGTTAGAGCACTGGACCGCATTTAAGAAGTGGTGATGAGGGTTGGACCGTAATCCTATAAACATTGAAATATATACCCAAAATCAAGAATTTACAAGTGCTATACAAGTTTTGGATCCGGGGAGGGCTGGGTCGTGACCCTGGGACGGCCCCCAGACGATCCGCCGCTGTCGAGAAGAACGACATCAACAGATTTGTAGTCCAGCGGCCGGATATACGAAGATAATGTTAGTGATTTGATTCGGTTGTGATAGTGTGTCCGAAAATATTATTTCGAATTGTCAAGATATTCTAATCAAATGGTTATCGAGTGATGATTTCTTGATATAATCTGGTAACTGAAACGTAAGTTCATAAACGTGTTTGAAGTGCAACTTTGTATCGGCTTGCTTAAAAACACAACATTATGATGAAATGATTGTCGTGCGCTTACTGAAATGTAACGTATTGAACATACATAAATGAAATTATAAATGTGAAGATGCATGATATAACATTAACTTAAGCAGAAGACATATTTAGAAAATTAGTGTAACATGTATAATGACCGTGAATTGGTTAAATATGGCAAAATTGACAAAATTCTCAAACTAATCTGTAATATGTATCTACTAAAAAATATGACAAAATTTATCTTATATGACCGTAGATTAGCTAACAATAACATGCACATTATGTTAGTGAACACTCGATTGTTGTTGGAGTTGTTGGAAAATGTTGATATTTTATAATATATATTTCTCACATGCCAGTGGCGGATCCAGAACACAGAAGAGCATTGGGCCGCATTTCATTAAAAAATTAGAACCGTAAAAAAACATTATAGTTTTTTTACAATATAAATTGTACACGACGGTATTTTAATTTAGCGAATGCATCAATAATGGAGTCCACATCCATACAATAGTATACATTGTTTTAAATAAAATACTTTAGCAATCGGCTAGAAATTCATCGTTCATTTTGTTGCGAAATCAGTTTTCATATGTTTTATTGTTGAAAAGATTCTCCTTGTAGTAGTTGTTGATACGAGCAGCGTCAACACTAGACAAATCAATCGTGCATTGTGTGTCCATACCTACATCCGCTAACTGCTTTAGTAAATTTTCAAGAGAATAAACCTCATATTTCTTATAGTCTTTTACGTTTTAAACTTTTTAGATTTTCAGATTTCATTGTTTTTTTAGAAAAATAGTCTTTGGAGTTAGAATTTCTAGACTAAATTTATAGTAGTGATTTGAATACGTTAATCTGAATCATTTTTCTAGTTACACCCAATCTTATTATAAAATAACACTAAGCCGAATAACTAAAATCAAAAAATTTATAAACACTATACTAACTCCGAATCCAGGGGAGGGCTGGGCCGGGGCCCGGGTGGCCACCCCTGGATCCGCCACTGTCACATGCCTACTCAAATGAAAAAGATATCGTATATTCAGATTATTTTAGAAACAACATGTGTATCCATAACACAATAATTGTTCAAGCCAAAAAAAAGTCACACATATGAGATAATGGAATGAGGTAAGAACTAGTATTAACCGTTCGAGTTATCAGAACAAACTAGCTCTTGACAAACTGTAGTTGCAGCCATCTACGGCCTAGGAGTGGGTATGGTTCATTTTTTCATATTTTAACTGAAATCCACTTTACAGTTTTATAAGTTTCTCTTAACAAATAAAACTCAATAAATTCTTAATTATTTTGGTTTCGTTTGAAATCGAAAACAGTTAATAAACCGATAAGTCATAATGCAATCAAAGGTTCGCTTTCAGGATTTTCGATTTCTTCCTACCAAAACCAATAAAGACTTATTCACTTCGATTTCGAATAACTGGCTAACTCGAGTTTTGGTTTCTAATTATTTTTACTATATTAATTGCATTTATTTTGGACGAACTATATGAGCTCCCCCGTTTCTCTTCCACCTCCCGCTGATCTCTTGTGAGTTGGACCACCCCGGCCGTCCGGCTGCGGGTCCTCTTAATTGGCCGGGAATGATTTGGCGTCGGCAGCAAAAAGCGTCCGACGAAGGAAGGCCTATACGCTACGTTTCCCTCGGAAAACGGCATCAGCATACGTCGAAAACGACAATAACTCCCGTTACCAAATCAGAACCAAAGCAGCAGAGGGCACGGCACTGCACTACCACTTCTCCATTCTCGAATACTCCAATCTTAGGAAAATGTTTGGTGAGACACACCACCTAATTCACCCAATTTTGCATATATTCATATTATTTGGTGTTTACTAACGTAATTTGGTGTTTACTTACGTAAGAGTTTTGATTATTCACACAGAGAGATTCCCAAACTTTTTTTTTTAAATCTTTTTTCCACAATAATTTGTATTCGCCATATTTCATGGAATTAAATTTGGATTTTCAATTTTCTGGAAAAATAAGTTGCAGCATCGATAGTAATCTACACAATGACATATGTTTTTGATGTATTTCAAAATTTAGAAGTCGATTTTACAAAGGTGTGAATAAATAACAATAAGCCCGATTAATCATTAGTGTTTGCGTGAATAGCAACCACTACTATTACATGAATAAACACCAATATGACAAAAAAAAATTAAGCACAAATCTACGTGAATAAACCGTGTAAAAATGCGTGAACTAGCTGTTCTGCCTGTTTAGAGGAGCCCACCAAACCCTTTTCCATCTCCTTATTACTCCACCATGACCACACCACTATAAAAAAAAAGGAATGTCGATCACCAGGACAATAACATTGATTCCTAACCCTAAGTGCTAGTTTACATCACCATGGTTATTGCCCACAAAACATTGCTAGTTTTGGCGACCACGATGGTGGTGCTCATCATCATGGCTCGTCCTTCACTCCAGCACACGGTCCACGTCGCCAACAAGTTGCGCGACAAGATACTGATAGTGCACTGTCGATCCAAAGACGACGATCTCGAGGCCCGCGCGGTGGGCCTCGGGGAGAGCTTCCAGTGGAGCTTCGAGCCGAATGCGTTCGGCGGGACGCTCTTCTGGTGCGATCTCGCCGTCGAAGATAAGCGTCTTACTTTCACGGCGTTCGAACAAAGTGGGCTCGATCGAAGTGGGCCGTACACCGGACACTGGTATGTTCGCGGCGACGGGGTTTATGGGAAGGACAAGAGCACCGACGACGTATTTTTCAAGGCTGGGTGGAGGCGAGTCTGGCCACGCCGGTGAGCCGCCATATGTATTGTTCGGCAGGGGTAGTAAGTAAAATTACCTACTTAGTTTATTTTATTTGGTTTCACACTTATAGTCCATCAAACCGGCCAATTGACCGATTAAGTTATTAGTTATATGTTTAATTTTACATACACATATTTAATACTTTACATAACCACTCAAGAATTAATCAAGCGATTCCTCACCTTTTTGGACCATCAAATAAATAATGTTAATTATTGTTCATATACTACATTTGTTTTTTAGAGGGTAAACAACATAATATGAGCATCTAATTTAAGTAAAAAATTGTGCATTATACTCGATGAAAACTTGAATGGGAAGGATTTTTTCAGTCTCTCTTAACAGGAAATTCACATAATGTAATTGACAAATGTTTTTGTTATAAACTTCTAATGACTACAAGATAATTTTGTGTATTTATATTAAGGGTTAACTATGTGTTGATTGTTATATTTACTCATTAAATAAATTATCAATCGATGCATTAAAATAATATTTTTCTAACACATTAATAATGCTATGTCGTACTGGTTAACCAATTAACAAAATAGATTCAATATTAGTTTTATTAATTTGGTTGTTGTATTAGTTTGGTCGGTTTTGTTATGATATTAATAAATATCTTATAATTAATATAATGTAAACTTATTTGGTGTATTAAACTATTAATTACTATGATAACCATTTGAACAACTTTACTCGGATATTAAACAATGGAGATTATATGACGATTTATCTATGGTTTGATAGGTGGTAATGTCAAGAACTCAGCAACCGACTTGCAGTTCGAAGGTATACGAAGATATTATGGTGATCCAATAGTGGTGTGTTCGAAATTCTCATGAAAATGTAAGGGACCGATTTTGCTAATGTGCGTTGTAATGGAATAGTTTACCATTTTATTAAGAGTCGTGGTCAGAAAAAAAATTTATCCAAGTGATTTTAAATTGTCGGGAAAGGTTGATGAATTTTGTACTATATTTTTGCACGCATGCTCAATGAAAAATTTATTTAATCACTAGAAAAATCTCATCGTTTTGGCATGGGGCGAAGTTTATCGACGATCGGAGCCTCGTCGACCCGAAAAAATGCATTGTTGGTCTGTTGTGCTTGATTGGCCGGCCGGGAACGATTTTGGCATCGGCGGCAAAAGGGTCCAAAGTCACACTAAGAGTTACCCTCGCAAACGTTTCTCTCGTGTGCCGTAAACGACGACATCTCCCGTCTCAAAAATAAGAAGCAAAAGCAGCAGATCCTATTTAGTGACTTTTTAGTTTTACATGAAACCGGACAGTATAACTCGGGTTGGGATCGGACCGGGACCGGATAACAAACAATCCAATTCAATATTCAGGCTTTGATTTGAGATAAAAAAAAATCGTTTGGGACCGGATCGAAAACCAGATAAAGACCGGATAAGAGAGCCCAACACCCAAAACTTGCTTTTTGGGTCGTAGGGTAGCATTCTGCCTGCTGTTGTCCTTGGCCGGAGTCTCCGCTGTATAGGGCTTAACCAACTCCTCACCCTTTGTGGCCTTAGGGCACTGAAATCCCCCCAAAAGTTCAATCTAAAATCAAGACCGAATTGGGACCGGACCGGATCAAGACCGGACTGTATCCAGATCCAATCTTTGGTCCTTATATTACCGAAAAGACCGAACCGAGACCGGATTAATTCGGGCCAATTTAACTGGACCGGACCGTATAGCCACCCCTAAGATCCAATCCAATGCTTTAATTAACTAATCTTTCTACCCTTCACTATAAAGAAGAAATGGCAATCAGAAATAACAAACCTGCCATAGTGATGATGGTTATCAACAAAGCATTGCTACCGGCGGTAGTATTGGCAACCATAATTATCATCACGGCACGCCATTCGGTCCAGGAAACAGTTTCCGTCGCCAATCTCTTGAGCAACAAAATACTGATTGTGCATTGTCGATCCGGAGACGGCGACGACCTTGGAGGCCATGCGGTAGCCGCTGGGGACACCCTCAGCTGGAGTTTCGAGCCGAGCGTCGTTGGCAGGACACTTTTCCGGTGCAAGCTCGCGGTGGAAGACAGGCGTATTTCGTTCGTGGCGTACGAGCAGTACGAAGAAGCCTTCAGCGGTAACTGGATTGTTCGTGATGATGGGGTTTATGGGAACCCCAACCACCTTCCGACCTTTCTGATGGCTGCATGGAAGCGGCCATCAACAGCATAGGAGGTGCGGAGTCAGGATTTAGCAATCGGGGGGTCGGAGTTTCTTAATATGTCAAGAAGACATGTAATCCATAGGTACTCGCGAAAACAGTATGAGCAAAGTGAATTTATCAAGAGTATGGATAGTACGAATAATATTATGTATTTTAATTTACCAACAGAATTTTACTGGCAAAGTATTCGAAAGTTTTGTAATGGAATGATATAAGATGTATTTTTAGTTTTTTAGGTAAGAATTTAAGCTATTGCCACCTGTTGGTGAATATGTTTGGGTTTTCCATGCAGTTTTTTTTCTCTCTCCAGATGTACGTTGTTTATGTTTTTGCTTCTCTTTTCTTTCTTCTTTTTCTTGTGATATGTAGTCAGTGGCAGTGGCAGTTTTGGGTTTTCCTTGCAGTTTTTTTTCTCTCCAGATGTACGTTGTTTATGTTTTTGCTTCTCTTTTCTTTCTTTCTTTTTCTTGTGTGATATGTTTTCAGTGGTAATGGCAGTGGCGTAACCAGAAATTTATCTAATGTAGATCAAACATGGAAAAGATATATTCAAACAAAATACTGATTGTGCATTGTCATTATGGCACGTCCTTCGGTCCAGGATACAGTTTCCATTACCAATCTCTTAAGCAACAAAATACTGATTGTGCATTGTCGATCCAAAGACGACGATCTTGGAGGCCATGCGGTAGGCGTTGGGGATAGCTACAGTTAGAGACACTATTTTTTTAGTGTCAAATTATAAGAAGTTTTTGGGTTGGGAGCTAGTGGAACTTAGTCTTGTCAGGCTTGGTTTTATCTTGTCACCTTATCACTTGGTTGTCTTGTCACCAAGTACTTCTCGTCAATTTGCTAGTTGCTATCAAGTTCGTCTCATTGGCTTGATATCTTTCGGTTTGCCACAAATTTTATGTACCTGTTACCAAGCTCGCGCTGCCAGCTTGGTCTCCACACTTAATTAGTTTTTGGAATCTCAACAAGTTGGTATCTTGTCGCCTTGTCGGCTTGGTACCCTGTTAGGAGGCCACCTATGCAAGCCCGTCTTGACAACTTAGATTAGTCTACATGTGACCCCTTTGAGGCTCTACACCAAGGATCTTCATCAAATCGACACCCTATCAACTCAGACATCTTGGCCGATGATGAGATTGGATTTAGGTTAGTACGATTATGTGTATGGGGTTAGTATGTTTACGTGCTTAGTTCTGTGGTTAGTAATAGTTTGTTAGGGCTTGGGCCAAAGCTAGTATTATTAGGTTAGGAGTCAACTAGGATTAGAAATAAAATTAGGTATTTCTTTTAGGTTGTCGAGTTGGCTAGATGAGTGGTAGGTTTCGGCCTAAATTAGGGTTAGTCGTCTATATATTTGTAAGTTCGGGATTAGTTTAGAAAAAAACAATCAATAAACTAAGTGTATTTCGACACCTATGTCGTTCTCTCTCTTTTGAGTTACAAACAAAACTCTTAAATTGTAAGTGACGGACCATCAACCGACCAGCCCTCGCGCCTGAGATTCCATAATTAGTCTTGAGAATCTAGGAATTTTCCATGACGGCTTGGTATCTAGTCGGGTGGCCACCTCATGATGGAATTGAAAGTGCAATCTCAACAAAAAATCGGGAGCCTAAATCTCAAAACCAAGATAAAAATCAATATTCTACCAAAAACTGACACTAAAACCCGAGTTTCACCCTTTATATAGGTTTGGACCATTAAAAATAATTAAAACAACTTTAAACACCAAATCCCGTCACCCAGATCCGATACCTGGTCGAGGAAGTTTCGACCAGAATCCTCCTCTGGGAATTGGGCCCGGAACCCAGGGCTCCTTGGGCTCACATCACACATTGTCAACCCAAAGACGACGACCTTGGAAGCCATATAGTAGCCGTTGGGGATATCGTGAGTTGAAACGTTATTTGAGTTTTTAAGTTTGCTAATTAAAGTAAAACAAGGTAAAAGTATCTGGTTTTGAAAACTCTATATGAGAAGAATCACTCGTGTGTCCCTTCTCCCTAACTACTACCATGACAAATGAATCGAAGTGATTGAGTATCGAACCAAACATTTTTGAAGGGACACTTTTCTGGTGCAAACTCGCAGTGCAAGATAAGCATAAATTTTCGTTGACCACGCATGTAAAAACAAAGTACAAAATCATCAACCTTTCTCGACGACCTAAAATTACTTCGATGAAAGATTTTACCACGACTCCTAATATAAAAAGGTAAACTAATGCATTACAACCCACGCATTAGAAAATTGGCCCCTCCACATTTTTATGATAATTCGAACACACCACCACTGGATCACCATAATATTTTCGTGTACCTTCGAACTACAAGTCGGTTTCTGAATTCTTGATACTACCACCTATCAAAAACATAAATTAAACATCATATAATCTCCATTACTTAATATCCTTAGTAGGGGTGTTAAAATTGTTACCATGATAATTATGAAACCAAATAAATCTAAATTATGTTGACCATAAAATATAATATTTAGTCGGTTTGGTCAGTTGGTTAACCAAGCTAAGCAATATAACATACCAATAACGATGTGTTTTTCAAGGCTGGGTGGAGGCGAGTCTGGCCACTCCGCCGGTGAGCCGCCACATCAGCAGCATATGGATTTGTTCGGCAGGGGTAAGTGAAATTACCTAATATCTTCGCAGTAGTATAAGAAGATATTATGGTGATCCAATCCAATAGTGGTGTGTTCGAGATTCTCATAAAGATGTGATGGGACCGATTTTCATAATGTGGGTTTGTAATGGGAGTAGTTTACCATTTTATTAAAACTCGTGGTCAAAAAATTTATCTAGTGGGTTGCGGACGGTTATCATTTGATGACAGTTACAATTCTGGCGGATAGCGGTTACAAGTCCAAACGGATCCTACTCTGTCTTAAGCTAAGTGGACGGTTATAATTTCTTACTTAGTGTATTTCTTCCACTGGTTGGGTTTGGTATATTTGTTTTCCTAACTTGTGATAGATTGGTTCGCATAGCTTGTGGAGCATCGTCGATGGAGGAGATGGAAAGTTTGTACTTGACGATTGCTGCTTCAAGAAGTTTGCCGAAAGAAGTTTTCTTTTGCGTTTATTTGTTTATTTATGTTCTTAGGCATACTAACAGGGCTGCCCATCGCGTGGCACAAACGGCCCTTGCATCGGTAGCAACTCTTTTAGTTGACTACCGCTCTTTCATTTTTCACCGCATTGTAATACCCTATCTATTACGATCTATCTATGATAAAAAAAAATTTATCTAGGGGTCGTTTGGATCAGGGAAATTGGACAGGGATTTTGTCCAAATTCTGGCCCGTTCAGGAATTTAACTAATATCCTTGTTTGGATAGGTCTTAAAACTATCGAGATTTGGGCCTCCAGAATTTTCAAATCCAGCCCGATCCATAATTAAAATTAGATGCCAACCCTCGGGTATTTTAAAATCCGGCCCTAATTATTTTTTTTATTTCCAGCGTGTCGACGATTGTAAAGATTACAATCAAAAGACCTCCTCGGGATCGCCGGTCATAATTGGTCCTCTTAATTGGCCGGCCGGCAACAATTTGGCATCGGCGGCAAAAAGGGTCAAAAGTCACAGAGAGTTTCGTGCACCGGTAACTAGTTTTTTCTACGTTACTTTCCCTCGAAAAAACGACGACATCTCCCGTCTCAGAATAACAAGCAAAAGCAGCAGCAGATCCAAATGCTTCAACCAATCTTAATTTCTACCTCTTCACTATAAAGAGGAATATGGCAATGATCATCAAGATAACAAACTTGCCATAATGATCATGGTAGTAGTATTGGCGACCATAATGGTCATTATGGCACGTCCTTCGGTCCAGGATACAGTTTCCATTACCAATCTCTTAAGCGACAAAATACTGATCGTGCATTGTCGATCCAAAGACGACGACCTCGGAGACCATGGGGTAGCCATCGGGGATAGCTTCAGTTGGAGTTTCGAGCCGAACGTTTTCGGCGGGACACTTTTCTGGTGCAACCTCGCGGTCGAAGATAAGCGTATTTCTTTCAAGGCGTACGAGGAATACGAAGAAACCTTCGGGAAGTGGTTTGTTCATGACGATGGACTTTATGGGAAGCCCGACCGCTTTCCGATCTTTAAGATGGCTGCATGGACGGGACCATAATAGTAAGAGCACATGGATTTTGTTAGATCGGCAAGTTTATGGTTTTATATAAGTTCTAATTAAGAACGTCGTTCAAGTCGAGTGATGGTTTTATAGGTTTAATTCTCTTTTTGAATGTTGAACTAGTGTAAACCCCGCTCGTGTTACCATTTCGCACTTTTAGCAAGAAGAGGATTTTTTTAAAAGAGTTGGTAATTTGAATGTTGGTCAAAAAAAGTGAAAGGGTTACCTTAGCTCGTTGTTTTGGGATGGCAGTGACTAGATTAATGGAAGGAGGATGTTATTATATTTTGTAAAGTGCCAATTGATGATATTGTTGAGATATCGGGAAGATGGAGTTAAGAATGCCAAAAATTTAATAGAGGTCGTGGGAAATGTGGTGGTGGAAGATATCTTAGGATTCCGCTGATATTGTTTTGATCAGATGGGGCTGTGAACAGGTGAGCGAAGCGCGCGGATTGGAAGGAGTAGATCTGGTATGGATCTTTGGTATTGGTCGTGGCACACCTAGGAAGGGGATAACATAGTATTCCTTGCTACAATGTTTCGTGATTAGTTGTGAATTGGTGAGTGAATTAACCAACAATAGATGAGAACTGAGTGGAAAATGACTACTATGGAGAAACCAATGAACAAAAATTGAAAACCTTTGTGGACAATAACTGCAATGGGAAATACAGAAGACAATATATGTAGACCAGGCGGACAATAGTTGAACATAGATTGCCACAAGGTCGAATGATATTGTTTTTTTTCCCCTCCTTTTTGTGCGAATCGATGGAAAGCAAACCAAGTTTTTAACAAACTCCATAACCAATTCATTCTGCCAATTACAAAAGTAGTAAAAATCGTTCCGACCCAACACTCGTAAATACCACGTTCAACACGTTGGTTTGTTATTTGAGTGTGGGTCGGATGAAAAATGGGTCGAGTTTTAACAAGATCCACACTCGATCCAACTCGTCAATTCAAAAAGTGGGTGAAACTCACTCCTGACCTAAAACTAGACAACATCATGTTCAACCTGCTCTAATTTGACCGTGTCGACTGTTTTGTTTTAATTTTCAGTCTGAGTCGGATGGAAAGCAGGACAAATTTTTAACAATATCCACACCCGATCCAACCCAGGAATTATAAAAGCAGGTAAAAATCATTGCCGAACCTAAACTCGTTAACACTGAATTCAACTCGCTTTGACCGGGTCGATTGTGTTGATTTTTAGGTGCCGATTAGATGGAAAGCGGGCCACATTTTCCACAAATCCATACCCAACCAAACCCGTCAATTACCATAAGCCGATAAAACACGCCAACACCAAATTCAACTCATTTTGACATGTTCGAATTAGGTTGAATACTCATGAATTTGGGCTTAATTGTTGTAAAATAAATACAACAAAAGTTTCAATTTCACTGAAATTTTGAATAAGTGGGCCGAGTTGTAAACAAAATTCGCACCCCACTCAACCCAACCCGTTAATTAAAAAAAAGTATCGGCTGTGGAACTATCGTCCAAAGACCGTCGCAAATAACATACATATATGTTATTTAATGACCTTGTCAGAGTCGCCGGCACCGTCGCCAACTATCCGTCGCGAAAACAATGGCAGCTTGTACACTTTAGGATACACGTGTCGAGTTGTTATTGGCTGGAGTCTAACGGGTTGGTGGTTTCAAGCGGCCGGAACCACGACGAGCCATTGCATTTTCCCGGTCCGACGAGGCGACGGCCGTCGGGAAACTTCATCCCATGCCAGACAATGATATTTTTATAGCAATCAAATAAATTTTCATTGAGCACGCGTGTAAAACACAGAGCACAAAATGAATTATATTAAATTTTTTACCACGACTCTTAACAAAAAGTAAACTACTGCATTACAACCCACATTAGCAAAATCGGTCCAACACTTTTTTAGGAGAATTCGAACACACTGACACTGGATCACCATAATATCTTCGTATACCTTCAAACTACAAGTTGGTTTCCGAATTCTTGAAATTGGCACCTATCAAAACATAGATTAATCATCATATAATCTCTACCATTTAATATTATGAGTAGAGGTGTAAACATGGTTATCATGATGATTAACAATCAAATAAATCTAAATTGTATTAATAATAGAAATACAATATCATAACTAAATTGACAACTAATACAACAACAAAATTCACCAAAGTAATATTTAGTCAGTTTGATTAATTGGTTAACCAATATGACATAACCTAACATTTTTCTTATGCGTGATAATTAAATCTCATGTCAATGCATCAATCCTTAATTTACTATGCATATATAATGTATAAGACGTATGACTATAATTGCTTAACTGGTTAATTGGCGTGGCAGACTCGCCCCCATGCAGCTTTGAAAAACACATCATTGCTGTACTTGTCCTTCCCATAAACCCCATCATCATGAACGTACCAGTACACGGTGTATCGTCCATAATGATCAAACGCCGTGAAAATAAGACGCTTATCTTGGACGGCGAGTTTGCACCAGAAGAACGTCCCACCGAACGCATTCAGCTCGAAACTCCACTGGAAACTCTCGCCGACGGGCACCGCGTGGGCATTGAGATCGTCGTTTTTGGATTGACAATGCACTATCAGTATCCTGTCTTGTAACTTGTTCGTAACATGAACCGTGTGCTGGACTGAAGGACGTGCCATGATCATCACCATGGTCACCACCAGAACCTCCGTCGCTAGCAAGGTTTTGTGGGCAATAACCATGGTGATGTAGGTTTATTTTTTGTGGTTAGATACTACTCGAGGGAGGATTTGAACCTAATTAAGACCTCCAGGTTTAAGTCTAGTGGTATTATCACTAGACCAACCCTTTGCTCGCGTGATCGCGATGTAGCTAGCAAATTTGGCGTATAGGAATGTTACTGTGTGCTGGCCGGTGATCGCCATTATTCCTTTTTATAGTGTTCTGGTCATGAGGAGTAAGTAAGTAAGGAGGTTGAAGTATTCGAAAATGGAGATCCCTCTGCTGCTTTTGCTTCTGATTAGGTGACGGGAGTTGTTGTCGTTTTGGACGTATGATGATGCCGTTTTCCGAGGGAAACGTAGCGCATGGGCCTTCCTTCGTTGGTCGCTTTGTTTTTAGGGGGGGAAGAGTTAACGGTACCGGAAACTCTTTCTGGCTTTTACGGTTTACCCATTTTGCTGCCGATCATCGATGATTGCCAAATCATTCCGGCCGGCCAATTAAGAGGACCCAAAGCCGGACGGCCGGAGTGGTCCAACTCAAAAGAGATCAGCGGGAGGTGGAGAGAAACAAGCTCATATATAGCTCATCCAAAAGAATGCAATTATATTAGTTCTGCTTCTGCGTTCCGGTACAAAATCCCGGCTCGGAAATTCCGGCAAAACTCAATCGTATCATGGCATCGAGTTTTGCAGGTTTATGCAGGCTAGGGTTTTGTACTCTATCCGCTCACTTAATATAGTGATATGCAAATGCAACTAGGGTGGTGGTTCGGTTAACCCAATCGAAAAATCATTATAAACAAAAAAACCTCGAATTGGTCAATTATATCTCAAACTGAAATCGATAATTCTTAATGGTTTTGGTACGAATAAACAAAAAAAAATTAAACCATTGATTGCATTAAGACTTATCGATTTATATATTAAAATTCTAATTTTTTAAACAAACCAAAACCATTAAGAGCTTATCAATTTTTTCTTTTCTAGGAAATCCAATAAGACTATACAATCAGTTTCAATTAAAACCCAAAAATCCAAAACCGAACCCAACTCTAGATACAACTATGATACAAAATCATTTTTTTATTTATCAAATATGTAACTTCATGTAATGCATAGAAATAGCATTAGAGTAAGTCAAAAGTTTATTCAAGGGCTGCAGATAATAAAGGAGAAGAAGAGACAATCGGATAGTCGAACACGGATTGTTGATGTTCACTATCATGTGATAAGAAAAATGGCGACACACAACGGAGCTAGCCAGAGATTAGATTTGTTGAAAACAACGCTAGTTTGAATTGGCTTGGTGCTCATACCAGTTGAAAAAGTCACGATTTTCTTATTTTAGACTCGCCTATCTTTTTAATTTAAAAAGATACAACAGATATACTCAGTGTGATTGATTATGACCTTGGCTTTTCTTTAGAGTGATCCTAATTCAAATCTCAGTATGAATCTCGTTTTCATGAATAAGTCAGATAAAATAGGTCAATGTGAAAACAAAAATATCATGTTGCAGAAAATTTAATATGGAACAAAAAAAAAATCCTCATCATTCAACTATTATTATATTTAATATGCAGATGTAAATTGCATTTTTATTTTATTTTATGAACTATGAGCTCCCCCGTTTTCTCTCCACCTCCCCGATGATTTCTTGTAAGTTGAACCACATCGGCCGTCCGGCTTTGGGTCCTCTTAATTGGCCGGCCGGAATTATCTGGCAATCATCGGCAACAATAAGGGTAAAGCGTTAAAGCCAGAAAGAGTTTCCTGCACCGATAACTCTTTTCCCCCCTAAAAGCAAAGCCTCCGACGAAGGAACGTCAATACGCTACGTTTCCTTCGGAAACGGCATCATCATACGTGCAAAAAAGGACCAAAACGACAACAACTCCCGTCACCTAATCAGAAGCAAAAGCGGCCGAGGGATCTTCGTTTTCGAACACTTCAACCTCCTTAATTACTTACTCCTTAAACACTATAAAAAGGAATGGCGATCACCAGGACAATAACATTCCTACCCCAAAGTGTTAGCTACATCAAGGGCTGCAAACGAGCCGAGTCGAGTCGAGTTTTACTTAACTTGAGCTCGGCTCACAATGGGTATTGCCCACAACACCTTGCTAGCGGCGGCGGTTCTGACGACCATGGTGATCATCATGGCACGTCCTTCGATCCAGCACACGGTTCATCTTACCAATATGTTACGCCACAAGATACTGATCGTGCATTGTCAATCCAAAGACAACGATTTCGACGCCCGCGCGTTGCCCGTCGGCGAGAGTATCCAGTGGAGTTTCGAGCCGAATTTGTTCGGCGGGACGCTATTCTGGTGCAAACTCGCCGTCGAAGACAAGCGTCTTACTTTCACGGCGTACGAACAAAGTGGGTTCGAACAAAATGGGGCATACACCGGACACTGGTATGTTGGTGGCAACGGGGTTTATCGGAAGGGCAAGTACACCAATGATGTAGTTTTCAAGGCTGCTTGGAGGCGAGTCTGGCCACGCCGTTGAAACATATACAAATTACAAGCGCGGCGGCAGGGTACTATAATAACAGTACCTTCTCTTTTGTGTCCATTTTATCCCGTTGAATGTGTGAGGAAGTGGTTAAGATTTATACCGACATCTCTCTTGATAATTCGTATTAATGCGACTAAAGGACTCGTTTATTTGTTGGATTTGAAAATGAAGGTTTTGAGTTTTGAAAACCTTTGGATTTATGATGGATTTGTTGCATCTTGTATTTGAAAGATAACATTGTTTGTTTAGTTGAATTTTTATCATGGATTTAGTTCATTTGGTATTTGGTGCTCAAAAATTCGCCTTCCATAATGTGGTATTTGCAAATACATGGGGTCCACGGATTTGGAGCTAAAAAAAATTGTCCAGATCCGTGGGCCCCACTGATTTGCCTACCTTAACAAACAATGGCTTTGGACAAAAAAAAACATGATGGTTTGTATTTGGAGACCAAATACAACATCCAAATCCCATTAGCAAACAACACCTAACTAGTTTATGACATAGTATCAAAACTGGTTTATTATTCGTGATTATAGAATTCGTGATATCTCTGAGCTATTCACCATAGTATCGGTAAGCAACTCCCCAATGGATAATTGGTTTCGACTGGACAATGAGAATTATGTAAGATAGATGTGGCAATTAGTATCCAAATTCACGAATCCAATCTATTCATTAAAATATCTAACTAATCCAATCCATTTAAATCAAATCCATTTCATCCAAATGAAAAATTATAGTTTAGTACGTAGACTTTTTATATTTCACATTTTGGCACCTAAAAAATCATTTTTATACAAAAAATACCATTGAAAATTATGTTTTGATACCTAAAGTTTGTCACTATGACATTTGAGTACCTAAACTTTTCAAAATTCACATAACAGTCCATAGACTTGGATGTCATTATGATTTATGAATCAATCCACCAATCCATTTGATCCAATCCATGAATCCACCAGTCTATTTGATCCAACAATCCATAAATCTAATCCACCAATCCATTTGCCAACTCTAATGTAAGATGAATGGGGAGTTCGGATCAACTTCGCCCCCAACTATGAAAGTCTTCTTCTATGTCTCTTCTCCCTTGGACAGATCTGAAGCTTCATCGTCAGAACTCATGTTGGTCGATGAAAGGTTTGCTATACAAAATCTACTGACGGCTCAGATATCATGATAAAAAGCAATACCAAAAAGAACACGATTCACGTGGTCTTCGCGTTCGATGTGAACAAGACTCCTCCCAATATATACCACATGTTCTTTCACAATTATCCTAGGGCTATACGACAAATATGATAATATCATGATATGATATTGTCATCAAATTATTTTGTCAAATATAAGACCTTATACCAACATCATACCAATATCATATCAACATTATCCCACTATCATACCACTATCAGTAATAATATCGTGATATGAGAGTGGTAATATGATGCAAAACATTTTGCTTCAGAAAATGTCAAAACAGATATCTTGTAGATCGAGCACAAAAATCTGATTTTTCTATACAAAATAATTTGAAATCCAATATAAAACGAATGAGTTATAATAATCCGTTGAATTTTCGTACTAAATTTAAAAAGTATTTGGGAATTCTCGCCAGTTCTCCCAAATACGTGCAGTTGGACAGCAAATCCGGAAGACCCATTATTTACATCGTTACTATTTTATGATTTGGACCGTTTGATCTTTCCTTCCCTAAAAAAATAGTGTTGTCTCACAAGTACAACCCATATTAATAATAATATCAATTAGGGTATGTCACCGTAACATGGACTTTTCGGTCGATCTAATCCTAATAGAGGTCGACCGAATTTACTATTATGTGCACCCTGAGGACTTATCGCGGCCGACCTTTAAAATGTAGTGGTCGACCGTTTGTAGTTTAAGTTGCATTGTTGGTCGACCATAATAAAAAAAATCGGTCGCCCTTTTCATTGGCGTCAAAAGAAAAATGGTCGACCGTAAAGGTATATAGGTCGACCATTTATAGAAAGAGGCTGACCTTATAGAAGAGAAGTGTTGTATCCATTTATCCTTCATCATTTGACGTAAAATGAAGGTCGTGTTGATTTCGGGGTCGACCTTTCATTCTGTTCGCTTCCCAAATAGGTCAACCACTTGCTATAGACGGTCAACCGCGTCGTTGAACCCCACAAAACTGAAACAGCAAATTAGGTCGATCTAATCCTCTATTAGGTCGACCGAAAAATCCATGACACCGTAGAAAAGTCCTATCAATTGAACTATCTTCTTGCTAAAAACATCGGAAACTAAGATGAGACAACATTCTAAGATAGTTTTGGGTTTTTAATCGAAACAGATCTTTACAGTCTTATCGATTTTCGTTAACGGAAAAGAAATCCATAAACTCTTAATGATTTTGGTTTCGATTTCGATTTCGGTTAAAACTGAAAAAATTTAATACATAAATAAGTCGATAAGCTTTAACAAAACTAAAATTCATTTCAGTATATCCTTACACGAGTACCGATTTCAGTTTTAGAACACTGGCTAATACGACTTTTTCTTTTATAATGATTTTTCGGTTGGGTTAAGTCGTTAACCGAACCACCACCCCTATTTTTCATTTTTCGGTCGGGTTAACCATGAGCTCCCCTCCGTTTTCTCTCCACCTCTCGCTGATTTCTTTGAGTTGGACAACTCCGGCCGGCCGGCATTGGGTCCTCTTAATACGCCGGCCGGAATTCTTTGGCAATCGGCACCAAAACGTCCAACGAAGGAAGACGTGGAAAACGGCATCATCATAGTTGGAAAACGACAACAACTCCCGTCACCTAAGCAGAAGCAAAAGCAGCAGAGCGATCTCCATTTTCGATCACTTCAACCTCTTAATTACTTACTCCCCATGATCAGTCCACTATAAAAGGAATCGCGATCAACAAACAAGGATTTGTTCTACTGGTAATACCATAAATCTAAAGTTCGACAGGTTCCTTGTCCACACAAAAAAAAAGTACTAATAGGCTAATAGCTACATCACCATGGTTATTGTCCACAAAACCCTGCTAGCTTTTCTGGCGACCATGGTGATGATCATGGCAAGCCCTTCATTGCTGCACAGGGTTCACGTTACCAATATGTTACGCGACAAGATACTGATAGTGCATTGTCAATCCAAAGACGACGATTTCAAGGCCCACGCGCTGGCCGTCGGCGAGAGTATCCAGTGGAGTTTCGAGCCGAATGTGTTCGGCGGGACCCTCTTCTGGTGCAAACTCGCCGTCGAAGATAAGCGTCTTACTTTCACGGCGTTCGAACAAAGTGGGCTCGATCGAAGTGGGCCATACACCGGACACTGGTATGTTGGTGGCGACGGGGTTTATGGGAAGGACAAGTACACCGATGATGTAATTTTCAAGGCTTCGTGGAGGCGAGTCTTGCCACGCCGTTAGAACCATACAAGGCGTATGGATCTGTACGCAGGGCGTAAGTAACATGTATCTCGCAATAATTCGAGTTATTTGGGACTAACTGGATTATGACATAGTATCAAAGCTTGTTTGAGATTGTGATGATGTCGTGTGTTCAAGCCCTCGTGAGCCGTTGTTCTTAAAGCATACATAGTATGGCGGGCCTGTGAAAAACTTCAAGAATATGGTTGTCAGTCCGATCGGCATGCCACCGGTCAACTTGGTTCAGCCGGTACCTGTCATGTAATCGGCGTGAACATGATCGGCATGATTGATTTACGATTTCTACGCAAAATAACGTCTTTTTGGTTGAACTAAATTAATAAAAAAATATATTTTATCATTTATTTTATTATTTTAAAAGTTAAATATTGATCTTATTTGTTTGATTCAAGTATAAACGTTTAGGTATTTACGTTAAATGTAGCATTTAAATATGAGGATTTGTAATTTTATTATGGATATCAAATTTTATTTAAATTTCTATTTTCAACTCCTTTAAAAAATTAAGCGTACTCGTTCCGTAGTGGATCTCTTACAAGACCAATTCGGAATTTATATTCTCTCGGCAATCCCTCTGCGCGTTATCGTTTGGCTGCCCGGCTGGGCTGGAGAACACGAACGGAGTTCGATTGTTGATTCGGAATTGTCACGGCGGGAGTTTTTGTTGTTGGCTTTTCTTTTCGCGTGCTGGACTCTTCTGTACCGTGGCATGGCAGGTGTTAAGCGACTAGTCTGGCTGTCTCTGTGACCATTCTGTCGAAGCTCCGTTGCCGTGTCCTGCACAGCATCGGTGGATCTTCTTCTTGCCCAGTTTTCCCTTTTCTTTTCCTGTTCTGTTTCGTAGACTTTAGTGGTTTGCTGTGGCTTTCGCCCTGCTGCTGTTTGTTTCCTTACCTTTTCGTTTTTGTTCATTATGGTTCAGTGCTTCTGAACCTGTTTCTCCCTTCGTTTGTACCTGCTTTGGACCCTTCTCGGTTTTTTTTTAATTTAATCTTCACCCTTATCCAAAAAAAAAAAGTCTCTTGCACCGGCAACTCTAGTCATCGTCTCATCCCAAAAAACAAAAGCGTCCGACAAAAGGAAGGATCACTATAAGAACCAAAGCAGCAGAAGGTCGAGGGTGGCAGTAGAACCCAAATTCGCGGGTGCTATCGGACCCAACTCGCGGGTAAAACACGTTTTGACGGATTGCGATCAGGTTTGGGTTTAAATCCGTTATACTTTTTATGGGTTGGGTTTGGGTGGGCCATATTCAAACCGTGGATACCAGCACCCAATTAAGTCCATACCCCACGACCCATGAAACCCTTAACAAATTAATATCTAAACTAATGCCTCACACGTTCAATTAGTCATATTGTTTTAGTGGATGTTTATCTTTAATATTGAACAATTAGTATGAATGATTTGTGAGTTAGTTTGTATGTAGTAGACACAATACTAGTGAAAACTAGTGTAATTGCATCTTTGTACATGAATCCATGGGTACTCATGAACCTGCGAATACCAAAGCGGGTTGGGTTGACTTTGAGTTTTTCAAATCCAGTTAATTTTACCCCGGTATTTTTTCGCTGGATAAACCCATGGGTTTGACATAACCCGATCCAACCCGACCATTGTCATCCCCTACCACACTACATCTACACGTCTACACCATCTTTCAATATAAAAAAGGAAAGGCGAGAGGCCGATAGATATCATTACAAGGAAGACAATCGGATTGCTACTATATCGCCATGTCTGTCCACAAAACGGCGGTGGTTTTGGTGACCATAGTGATGACAGTCATGGCACGTCCTGCGATCCAGGACACTTTTTCTGTGACGAATATGTTTCGCGACAAGATACTGGTGGTGCATTGTCAATCCAAAGACGACGATCTCGACGCCCACGCAGTGGCCGTCGGCGACAGCATCGGGTGGAGTTTCGGGCCGAGTTTTTTCCGGCGAGACGCTTTTTTTTTTTTTTATAAAGGTGATTGCATTAAGAAGAAAAGAGGAAAGATACAAAGGTTCAGAAGAGCTGAACCGAACTACAAAAAAGGAGAAAGGAAAACTACAAGTAAATGGAAAACGACAAGTAAACAGAGTGGCATAAAAAGAGGCGAGACGCTTTTCTGGTGCAGACTTGCCGTCGAAGATAAGCGTCTTACTTTCACGGCATACAATGAAAGCGAGGGAAACATAAGGTTGTGGTATGTTCGTGACGATGGGGTTTATGGGTGGAACAAGCAAACCCCTAAGGCTGCATGGAAAAGAGTTTGGCCGCGCCATTAAATCAAAGTAAGAGGGTGTGCAACAGTTCGGTCCCTATTCAGAATCAGTCGCGGGAACTTTGAGTAGCCTCGACTCAACGTTAAGAAGATCTGCTTGAGGATCGGAAACGCAACATAAGTACACATTTAGTTCGATTTGGTCATGTCTAATTCATGGTTTTGTTTCTTTTTAGTATTCAGAAAATACGGAGAATCATATTCTGTTTCATTTGTGTCAGTCCAATTGTCAGTTAGATCTAGGATTTTTTGTCGATGCAAAGCAAACCATTGCACATCCTCTAATTAAATTAATAAGAAATGATACACAATTCATACAAGTACAAGTATCGATAAATTAATAACATAGTATAAATTAATAATTTTCCGGATCCCGACTTGGAACCACTGTAAAAAAAGAGCAAATTTAATAACATAATAAGATAATAATTTTTGAGAACCAACCGACATAAATACATATATTTTTAGCTCTATAAATTATAGACACGCGCGTAAATGTTCGTCACTAAAACACATACTGAATGAAATATTTCTGTAATGTTCGTCCCATAAAATGTCTGGAGGTTAGCAAATAGCAAAGCAACCCATGAGGGCACAGCCGATCAGTTTCCCTAAAAACGGCAACAGAACAAATGGCAAAACGACAAATAACAAGAGAAGCATAGTGGCAGAGGACACCAGCCCTCTATACCAAAACGACAAATAACAAGAGAATCATAGAGACAGAGGACACCATCCCTCCTTCGTTAAACACAATATAAACCCAAAAAAAAACAGTCACTATAACATAATACATCAAAATGGTTATCCCCAAAAGGTTACTGGCGACGGTTTTTTAGCGACAGTGGTAATATCCATGGCGCATCCTTCAGTCCAGGCGCTGACGGTTCACGTTGCCAACAAGTTGAGCAACAAGATACTGATAGTGCATTGTCGATCCAAAGACGACAATCTCGGTGCCCATGCTGTCGAGATCGGCGTCGAAGTGAGATGGAGTTTGGAGTTGAACTTCATGGCTACGACACTTTTCTGGTATTATGACCTCGCGGTCGAAGATAAGCGTCTTTCTTTCGAAGCGTACGGGACGGACATGACGTACTACGATTGCTTCAATGTCTACGATGATGGGGTTTGAGAGAGATTAATGTAAGGAAGTGGTTAAGCACCATACACGGGTCTGTATAAGATCTAATATAACTTTCTCCTAACAACTCAAGTTATTGGGACCAACAGGTTTATGACATGGTATCAGAGTTGGTTTGTCCTTGAGGTCACGTGTTCAAGTCCTCATAACCCCCAATATTAATCGTTGTCTTTCAAGCACATGGTCTGGCGAGAGCCTGTGCAAACTTCAAACCAATGAGTAGGCTTTCGTTTGAGGGGGCGTGTAAGGAAGTGGTTAAGCACCATACACGGGCCTGTATAAGATCCAGCATAACCTTCTCCCAACAATTCGAGTTATAGGGACCTACAGGTTTTTGACATGGTATCAGAGCTGGTTGTCCTTGAGGTCACGTGTTCAAGTCCTCACGACCCCAATATTAATCGTTGTCTTTCAAGCACATAGTATGACGGGTTTGTGCAAATTTCAAGCCCCATGAGTCGGCTTTCGTTCGAGGGGGCGTGTAAGGAAGTGGTTAAGCACCATACACGGGCCTGTATAAGATCCAACATAACCTTCTCCCAACAACTCGAGTTATTGGGACCAACTGGTTTATAAAATATTCGGGGTCATTTGAATGAAGAATATATTAATAAGGGATTTGAGAGAACTGATTGAAACCTTCATGGCCGGTGATTTCGAAGAGGGAGGCCAGTCTGTAGCTAGCTTCCTAATGCCTCTGTTTAAAGAGAGAAACCGTCATAAACCAATTGGTTCCAATAACTCGAGTCTTTTAGATGAGATCCATGTATGATAGTTAAATCATTTTTTTTTTTACAGAACCAGTGTATAGTTTGGTTTTCGGGGTTTTAATGGGTTCGGTTTGGTTACCTGAACGGACAGCCCTAAATTCAGTATACCATTATGGTACTAAATCATACCATCCAAAGATATTGCGATGATGAGGACCTTAAATTTATGGGTAGCTCCCAACTTTCGAAGGGCATGGAAATACGAGACATAACTCAGAAGCTTTCGTATTATGCACAGTAGCAACCAAACAAATATCTTCGTCGCTAAAGACTATATACTATTCGTCGTCTTTCTGACATGTTAATAGTTATTAGAAGGCGAAAGTACGAGGTCTTCTCTTTGAAAATTTCGTGTAAGCTTGGTTGGTTTCTTCCTCTAGCAAGATGGCACCGCTCTGAAAATTTGGAGGATATTTCCTTCCGCAAGATGACATGCAGCAGTAGCAACCATTAGCAATTCTATCGCCCTGGGAGACAAAACGACTCATCAAAGGAATTCCATAATCAGTTAGATATTCAGAATGTGGTGACAAGAATAAGTGTTATTTACGCGTAATTAAAAGGAAGAATACAAAGTCATCTAAAACTCAATTTTTTCTCTCGATCTTTTTAATATATAGATTAAAAAAAATTGTGAGCTTTTGAGCTATATTTTTCCTATTAGTTTTACGTAAGTAATTAAGTCATTAATCATTGCAAAAGTGTTGTAAACAATTATTTTCATTCATCATTTGGTACAATTGTTATTTTTGTTTCCACCATCCAGACATGATTAATCTATGACTAGAAGTATAGTATAACTTCTCTCTCCTGCCTGTAAACATAACTAACACATTATCATGTCAGTGAACTAGATAAATCTGTATGTTCTTTATTTTAATTTCTTGCATGGTAGATTTCCTGATTTAATAGACAGAGATATTGTAACGGTCGATCACAATTTGCAGATCGACCAAGAGTTTAATCTCGTAACCAAACCCTTTCCCGGAAAGTACTACAGAATACACACAACGTAAACTAAGATCGATGAGCCAAATTAGAAGACATAAGAGCCGTCTACAAGTGGAAAAGAGAGGACATTACCCCAACTCTGTTATATGGTTACTACAAACTCGGGAAATCGAAGGAAAAGAATTACTGGATATATCCAATTTTCACCTGTGCCCATCCCGTCGCAGCGCGTCAAATAGTTCGATTCAAGTCACATCAACACCAATTAATGATCCGCAAAGTGGTGCTAGCTGCGGTCCTTCTGGCGACCGTGACTGCGTCCGTCGCCGCAGGTTACAAGGTGACTGTACATGTCACCAACAAGCTAAGCAGCCGGATGGTGCTGATAGTGCACTGCAAATCCGGAGACGACGATCTCGGGGCTCGTGCCCTCGAGCCCGACGCCGATTTCGGGTTCAGCTTCGGTCCGAGCTTCTGGGGAGGGACGTTCTTCTGGTGCAACGTGGCGTTTCAAGATAAGCGTCTTTCTTTCGTCGCGTACGACCAGAATCTTCACCATGGGTGGGTTGTGGACTTCGACGTGGAGGACGGTGGAGTTTATAGGCACAACCGGCTGGTTCGTGGGTGGAAATGATGATGGGCCTCGACTTCGACGTTTCGAACCACAACATTTGTAGTATACTTATGTAAGCATTTCCTGGAAGTATAGTAGGGATATTCTGTATCGTTTCAATTTTATCGGATGAGTCGAAAGGACATCGCGTCTTACATGGTGAAAGCCGTTGTTTGTGTTGGTGAACTCTGTATCATTCCAATTATATGTAAGCTTTTATTGGCTAGAGAATCCAGATCAGTTTCATGAAACTGTATGCTAGAAGAATTAGTCCTTCTGATTGCATGTTTTTTTGTTTAGTTAAGTGTAGAGATCGAACTCTGATTCGTGGGTAATTGATCGCTTCTAACTATGTCGAAATGGAAAAATTCGTGAATTGTTGAGAGAGGTTAAATATATATCATTCTACTTCTCGAGTGGTAAATCATCTTGAATAGTCGAGTTTTTAGGAAAGGCGTAGCGATTAAATTCGGATTCCATTATTGGAACCTCCTTAATTAGATAAGAATAATAAAAAGACCGAATTCAAATGTCCAAACTGAAATAGAATGAGCTTAAATCAAAATGATGATGACTATCTAGAATCTGTTTGCCCTAATACGTAAGTCGAGTGGTTGAGAGATTGAGATCCAAATATGAATTTTGTATCTCTCTTACATGTTCTACAATCGAAAGTAAATCCAATATTTTGAGGTTTGTAAAGGGCCTTGCATCTAAAGAAGTGGCATATGTTTGAGAATTTAACATAGGAGAGGATCAACTTTGACGAAACATTGTAGAGAAACATGTTTGGAGAAAATGCATTGTAGAAGTGCAAAACACCCTTATTTGAAAAAAATAGAATAATTTTGCATTACAATTGACTAATAGTGCATGGAAATTTTGTTCTTCGATAAATGAGATGATTGATGTCAAGTTATGCAAAAAAGCATGATAGTTATCGATTCTCTTGAATTTTGTATGTTTAATATTCAATCTGTTTGTCGGTAAGTTTGCACGGTAGATAACAATTTTATTCTTTACAAGTCCTTTTGAACCACTTACAAAATCAATTAATACTCATAACCCGTTTGGCTTTGGTTTAAACCGAAACCGAATTGGCAGCCCTAAAAAATGGGACATAAGCCTAGTATCATATCATACACATTGTGTATGTGGATATCGAATACAGAGGCGACTTCTCTTATTTATTAGCAACCATAATAAGATATCCGTCGCTAAAGATTGTATACTATCCGTATTCCCGTCCTATTAGAAGGCTATGGTACAAGGGCTTCTCTTTGAAAATTCCATGGATCTTGATTGGTATTTTCCACTAGCAAGATGACACCACTCCCATTATTTAGAAAGATTGGTGTAATTTGGAGGAAATTTCATCAGCAAGATGACATGTGTATTTAAACTGTTGATATGATTTGAACTGGATTATCTCCTCAACATTTTTTTTTTTTTGGTTAATGGTGAAAGCAATTACAATTATTTTTTTAAACAGAAACGACGAAAGTAAAGAAAGATAAGAAAGAAAGAAATAGAAGCAGATGCAGAGGGCTAGATATTTCGGCGTGGTCTGGTGGTGTTAATGGTATGTTTGAATGAATTTCTTATCTCTTCAAGTTAGTGAAACTGAAATACTATAACCTTATTCTTTATCCGATTTGAATAGGGTTAGGTCGTAGTTCGCATGGAGATCGAAGTACTAAGTTTCTGTAATATTCTGTAATATCCTCAGGCATAGTGAAATCAACTCTCTCCTATCTGTGGACTAACTAACACATTATATTAATGACCAGTTAAATCTATGTGTTTATTACTTTCTTACATTGTCGATCATCCCGATCCATGCTCACCCCTGGATTGAATAGTAAGACTTGCATTTATGAGTACTTGGACTAGTTGGGGCAAAGAGCACATAATTGGAACATTCCAACTTCCAAGCCCCAAAAGGAGAAACATGGAAACAGACCCCATTGTAAATTGTTGGTTGGTGAGTGAATAAGCCGGCCGGCAATTGGCCGGCTAGCTGGCCAGAAGTCAGCTGGGTTTTATAAGCAAACAATATCTCTTGTTTTGCAATTTTCCCTTCTCTAGTAAATTAGATATGGTTGTTGATTCTGAGATCTGTAATATACCATATCCTGCCTTAAACCACTAGCAGGAAGATTAACAAATCTCCACTATAAGAAAAAAACAAAAGGGAATGTTGACTATTAACAGTACATAGAGGGTATAAGATTTCTTATTAACATTTCTTCCAATTACAATTCAAATTATTGGAACTAAATAATTTATGACATGACATCAGAGTTGGTTTGACGAAGTTGTCGTATGTTCGAATCGCGACAATTAGCAATTGATGTAGGCACAAATGATGATAGACCTAGCGATTGTGTGATAGAACCAATGGTGAAGCCAAGTTGCAGCCAGAGGGGTTATAGCCCGGCCCCTCCATTTTCGAAAGTATGTTAATATACATGTAAATTTTTTAACGAATTTGGAAATTTTAGATTCCATTCAGAATTCTAGCTCCGTTACTGGGTGGATTCGTGCATACTTCACGCATATTCAGGGGCGGAGCTACACTATGGCTCGGGGGGGCCTCGGCCCCCCCGAGAATTTTGGAATTGACGTATAAGTTGTTCACGATTTGGGAAAATTACGTATAAATAAATTATATAATATATGACATAGGTTGAAAATTATGTCACAATTGTTGTTGTAGTCTAACGGATTACCATACTTGCATTAGAAGGTGTTTAGAGGTGGTCTAGGTTCGATGCTCCATAAAGAATATTTTGTTCATTTTTCGCTTTTAGTTGTACTTGGCATGATAATCGCATATAATCATCTGGTTTTCATATTTTAGTTTACTTTTGCTGTTAGCTTAAGGTAAGGATTCATTTTCAGCTCTAAAAACAGTGAAAACTTTGTATTTGCAAGTTTAAGGACTCTTTTTAATATATTATGAGTAAAAAAATTTCTTGTAGCGGATAGTGCACATTGATTTTCAGCTATAAAGATAACAAAACATGTTATCAGTGGAATACATTATTAATTTTGTGGATAATTAACTCGTTCATAGTCAGAATGACATTATATATTTTTTTATCTTAAATAATATTTTAAGTAAATATAATTGTCTCAAGCATGTAGCTAGGAAAATTATAATGATCAAAATAATTAGTTTTCTTAACTTTGATAAATTGTTTTTTTAGTTTGTTTAGCTTTTTCGATAATATGAACAAAAAAATTTCGGCCCCCCCGAAACTTGAATCCTAGCTCTGCCCCTGCGCATATTGGCTGATTTTCGTTTGAAGGGACGTGTAAGAAAGTGGTATAAGATTTATAAGAAAATCTTCTTCCAACCGCTCGAATTAGTGGAACCAAAACGATTAATGTCAATAACTAGAAATTTTTCCCTTTAATTTCATGGTACAAGGGGTTATTTGGAGAAAGTGTATAATTCATGGGGCAAAAGAGTTATTTGTCTTTTCTCTTTATACAATATTTATTCATACAAATGAGTTCTTTAATTATTCTTTGTACATGAGATGGAAGTAAAGGCTTGCTAAATAAACAAGTACTAAATTTGATTAGCCACAATATATAGAAAGGGGATTTGTAGGAAAGCTCCCACATTCTATCCATCTTTTTTTTATTTCATTGTTGTGTTGGTTGTCACTGAGCTAATTTCTAATTAATTAATAAATTATCTTTTCAACATTTTCCCCCATTTCAGGAGAATGAATTAAGTGCACAATATTGGTGAAGATATGATACATTGAACTTTGTTTTTTTTATCAACTATAAGATGGATTGAATATTCCAGATTTTGATCATCTTAAAATGTTCACAATTATATGAACCGTCAATATCAACATTTGATTCATTAAGCACAAAATATGATGAATTTAACTTTATAAGTTAACTTTCATTGAGAAGACTTGTAAATAAATTATATAAGATCTATATCTATACCTTTCCCTACCACTCGAGTTATCAAAATCTGTAATCGGGAGGTTTCGGATGGGTAGAAGTCACCTCTTGTGGTTTCGAATTAAATATTGTTGCAATAACTAAAACATAACATATATGTGTAAAATCAACTATGTTGAATCACATTAATAATATTGTTATTTAACTAATGGTCACGGAATTTTTGTAATAATAAAGAAACCAAAGAACATGTCCACATGCATATATATTCTATCAATATCCACATGCATATTAAAGTTGAAGAGAAGATTATATGATCACAATTTTGATATGAATGAATTCAATTAAATCGAAGCAAATAAGCTTTGACTCCTAGCTAGAAGCTCACACATAAATTTTTAATATGTTCTTAATTGCTTATTTATATAATGTACATATATAAAAATGAAGGGGAATCATTCCCCATAGTAGACTCATCAAGTTGAGATAAATTAAGATGTGAGAGAGAGGGTGGAGGGGAGGGAGATATTTTAGATTTTTATAAGATATATATAGAATTATATGTCATAATCATTATTGCTGTGTTTAGTAACATAACATGTCATACTGAATAACACATATGTTACCTAAGCGAAAAGTTTCAAAGCATATAATTTTGAATATATCGTGTTGGTCTAGTTGGTCGAGATCGGCTAAATGATCTGTATAAAGATTATAAGACATGTGAAACTGCCACTAATTGGGTGAGGGTATGTCGTTCAAAAATTGAGATTGATTTTTCCTTCATAAACTTATATAAGGTATGTATATAGATCGAGTATATACTTTGAGAGAACTTGTGAAGTGCAAGTTAGTAATCATGCTGCATGTGGTTGGTTTTTTCCGTTGTTCAACTAACACGTGCTAGAGATTGAGAGATTGATAACTAGTCGTGCAACGTTCAAGACTCGTACTAGAGGTTGAAGATCGATTGTTACTCTTTTGAACTACGAAAAACCCCTTAACACCAAAATATCTTTTAAACCTTCGAAAACTTTGAGTTCAACAATCAATATTGCTAGTTAATGAAGGATCCACCACCTAGAGGGAAGAAAGACGTTGTTATTGGCTCCTAAAACATGTGGTGGGGGAAAATGGTTACGCTAATTCAGCAGTATTAGCAGCTAATCAATGTGGGTTAACTAATTATTAAAATAATTAAAAAGAGTAAACTCGAGCTGTCCGGCTGACACGTGGCGCCCGCAAGATTAAATCCTGGGCGGGCGTAGCTTTAGTGGGGTGTGGAGATTATCCATATCCATTCATCATTTTTTACAACTGATTCAGTTTAATTAATTAATTAAGTCATTAATATCAGGGTTTAGTTGCAACAGAACAGGATTACACGCGTGAAAACCGCCATTTTCCACAGGGTTAATTCCGACATTTACCACCAATCGCCCCGTAAAAATAAAAACAAAAGAAAACGAGGAAAGTCGGAACTTTGCCGGCCGGCCTCGCCGATTGGTGATCCGCCGCCTTTCCTCCGCTCCTCCCTTTTTTAGAATTTTCTTAGGATCAATCGTCAATGCATTCTGATTTTATGAAAACAGAAAAAGAATAATAATATCCGATGCGTACATTAAAGGAATTTACTTATTGTTATCTCTACTTCTATGGAAATTTTTTGAAAGCTCCACAATTACAAATTACGACTACGGAGAAGCCTTGTGGAAGGGATGAGTTAGGGTGGTTATTCAATTTTAAGTAATCATGGTGGCTACTAACATCTATACCCTTCATTATCCTTATTTCATCCTATTATTAAATTGACGGTGAAGATTAGATTAAGGGTAATTTTGAAAACGAAAAATATACCACGCCAGATTTCTATCCTTTAAATAATTAATTTCTATATATTATAGCCAAACCCTAATCCCTCACTCTCCTCAACGAGACATGTCCGCCCGCCCCTACCCGGCGACGGCGAACCCATCGACGAATCACCAGGGAGAGATGGCGAGGAAGCCTTTTCACTATTGCCCCGACCACCAACCCCTCCCCTTACCCTCATCACCTTTCTCTTTTAAGCCTTCTGTTCCTCCTGCTTCCATGCTCTGTTCACCCCTGTCAGCCAACGAGGTAGCTACATTTCCATACCCCCCCCCCCCCCTCTCTCTCTCTACTCGCTGCTCTCTCTCTCTCTACCATCACAACATACATACCAAATAGACATATTGGTAGTTTTCGTTATGGATTCAATGTCCAGTGGTATAGATTGTTTATATTGGTAGTTTCGTGTAATGGTATATATTTATTTCTGCAATGGTATTGATTGTTTATGGTATAGATTATTTATATTGGTAATTTTTGTGTAATAGTATAGATTTATTTGTACAATGGTATTGATTGTTTATGGTATAGATAGTTTATATTGTTAGTTTTCGTGTAATGGTATAAATTTATTTTTGCAATAGTAGTTTTCGTGTAATGGTATAGATTTATTTCTGCAATGGTAGTTTTCGTGTAATGGTAGTTTTTTTTTTTTGCAGAAAGATTGAGAAAAATATGGAAAGGAAATCTGGCTGGAGATTACGGAAGTGAGAGAAAGAGAGAATTTTAATTAATAGATTTTTGTAACTACCTTAAATGTAATTTATTAAAAAATTAATTAATATAATTTATTTTTCCATACCCAATTTTCCATACCCAACTACTAGTAATCACCGTAACCTGTCCCTTGTGGAAGGCTTCTGGAGCTACTGTTGCGACTATGATTCTAGCTATAAAAAAGAAGGTAAATTTGACGAGACTTGCTATTATTTTTATTTGTTGTCCTAAGCTTGGTGCAAGTTTTGTTGTGCATCACTTTTTAACCTTCCTCTCTCTCTCTCTCTCTCTGAACATTTGCGCCACGTAGCAGCTACGTACGAACTCCACTTCGAGCATCTCTTGTGATTCGGTTGTTGCTTCCTGTGACAATCCTTGACACGTCATCATGTCACTGACAATCAACCCTCTTCTTACGATTAAAGGACGGGACAATCAACCACCACACTACAAGCCTGTAATTCTTTGTGTTAGTAGTTTGGTTGACCTTTCGAAGCTTACCTACGTGCTGTTGGATCTTCATGTGGTATCCGGTTGCCAGTTGCCACTAAGCGAATCAAACAAATGATACTATTTCTAATCCGAAATCGTGATGCTAATTTGCAACTCAATAAACGTATTGGAATTGCAAGATTGGTGAGTTTAATTAATTGTTTCTATATTGAACTCGATACTATGTACCTTAATTGTTGGAGCATTTGTGCAAATTAAATCATCGCTTAAATGCATTAAAATAATTCATGGACACTAAAGGAAGAAACAACTTGAAACAAAGAGACCCCAAAGCCAAGATAGAAAAGAAGAAGGGGGAAACACAATTATAAAAGGCAGCACAACAAAGGAAGAAAATCGAAAGAAGCTCCACTTTTCCTATTTATTAAACTGCCCTCTTCCCCTCTCTCTCTCTCTAAAACCAACCACCGGAAAAAATGCAGCCTTGCAGCAGAGAAATGGCCGCCGGCGGCCTCAACTCCCCAACAACTACACCACCCTCCCACCAATTCCAACTCCACGACCTCCACCAGATCCACGGCCACTTCGACCACCCTTCCTCCGCCGCCGCCGCCGACGACTTCCTCGACCAATTCCTCTCCTCCGCCGCCTCCTCCCCCTGGTCCTCCGCCGCCGCCGCCGCCGACCTCATCAAGTCCCCCTGGGCCGACCTCGCCGACGACGACAATGTAGCCGCTGGCAACGGGTTCTTCGACGACCCCTCCGCCGTCAGCCTCGCCGCCAAGCTCCGCCACCACCAGATCAACGGCGGCAACAACACTAACGGTAATCACAACAACAACAACAAGATGATGCTTCAGCAGCAGCTCCTCATGGCCGGGGACGGAGCTCCGGCTCCGCTGTTTAACGGGTTCGGGTCCGGATCTATCCAGTCCCCGCCCCATTTCCACCATCCCACTATGCAACCCGGACAGAGCTTCAGCGCCGGCGGAGTAGGACCGACCGCCTCCGCCGCCGCCGCCTCGCCGGGGAAAGCTCAGCCGCAGGCGAGCGGGTCGGCGGCCACGGCGTCGCAGGGGAAGCCCAGGGTCAGGGCCAGGAGAGGCCAAGCTACCGACCCACACAGTATAGCTGAAAGGGTAAGGTTTTTTCCCCCTTCTTTTTCTTCCTCCATTTCCATTTTTTTCACATTTCCTTTCTCCTCCGTTTTCTCGGGAAACAAACAGAGGTGGAAGTTATTTAATTTAATTAATTATACGAAATGGATTTTTTGTTTTACTGAATTAATTATTATGTGTGTACAGTTACGAAGAGAAAGAATTGCAGAGAGAATGAAGTCCCTGCAGGAGCTGGTTCCCAATGCAAACAAGGTAAAATTACCAAAAGAATCTCCACTCTTTGAATCGTGTTTGTGAAATCGTACCGTAATTAGTAGTAATTTGATCAATTCGTAACTATTTTTGAGAATATTAGGTTGTGTTTGTAAAATCGTATCGTGATAACTAATAAACAGTAATCCGATCATTCAATTGGTAACTATTTAGAAGGCGGGAGAGATTTAATTTTTTTATATATTGTGAATTTAGTTCTAAAATTAAGGGGCGGGAGTTGATGGGTGGGTCCCAGCGGAACTGAAAAACTGAGATCAGGGGGGCCGCAAGGCGCGGCGGATTGGTCGGGAGGAGAGAGATTAGTGGGGGGGGGGGGGGGGAAATTAGATTATAATTTATAGTTTCCAGTGATTAGTTAGCTGATTACTTGATTAATTAAGATTCTGATCTGGTTTTGTGTGGGGGAATGACAGACGGACAAGGCTTCCATGCTGGACGAGATCATCGACTATGTCAAGTTCCTCCAGCTCCAAGTCAAGGTCCTCAGCATGAGCCGCCTCGGCGGCGCCGGCGCCGTCGCTCCTCTCGTCACCACCGCCCCCTCCGAGGTAAACCCTAACCGAAATCCTAATTTCAATCAATCTAATCGTTACATTTGTGCTGCATTATTTCATATAGACATTAGAAATTACGTGAATAAAAGTAAAGATATAACATCTATTTCTTCATTTTCTCGTGTGGTTAATACACTCGAGTCGAGCTAAACCAAATTTATGATTATACATTGATTTAAGTACCTGATTTTTTTTTGTATTTTTTCCGTTTACCCGACAGTCACCTTTTTCTCTGTTTTTTTTCACTCACACCACCCACTACCTTATTTTTGGACTATTTACATCCTCAAAAATCCAAATCGCAAAGAAAAAAACAGTCCTAGCCGGAACACGACAAAGGGGAAAGCAGCACGCGTGCTCCCATTCCATTCCCCAACTTTTCCAGATTCCGACCTTCTTCCCTTTTTAATAATTTTCGCCGGCGTTCTGTCTTTTCTCTTTCCTTAATCCGCCGGGGAAAAAAAAAGTAGGAAATGAAATCGACTAGATTATCTCAATAATTACGAAATTGTATTAAAAGTTATTATAAAAAAAATTGTAGTAATTTATTTTGTTTATATTGTGGTTAGTATCACTAAAATTTTCTATTATCCGATCAATCGATACAGTACGATTTCTAAAACGTTATCTCAATGTCTTTTTGTAGGGAGGAGGCGGCGGAGGGAGCAACAACGCCACCGCCGCAGCAAACGGCGGTTCGTCGGCGAACGAGAGCAGCATGACGATGACGGAGCACCAGGTGGCGAAGCTGATGGAGGAGGACATGGGTTCGGCGATGCAGTACCTGCAAGGGAAAGGGCTCTGCCTAATGCCGATCTCCCTCGCCACCGCCATCTCCACCGCCACGTGTCGCCCCGGCCAGCCGTCGTCTCCCAACATGTCGGTACTCACCGGGGACGTCGCCGTCAAGGACTCCACGTCAGCTACCAAGCCGTGATCGTCACGGCGTCGTTTTACTTTTTGACTCTGCTTTTGGAATTTGGAGGACTCTTTTTATCAGTAAATATATTAAAAAAAAAAGGAGGATGGGTCGATGGGAAGATGACGGACGGAGAAAGACAGGAGGTGGTGGTGATGACGTGTGCGCGTGTGACTAGTGTAGTCTGACGTGGATGGACGGAACGGGGTTTTCGGGTTTTTACAAACGGAACGTTGACGAAGTCTACGGGAATAAGGGGTCGGATTGACTGACGGAGAATGGAGTGGTGTACACGACGTCGTATTTGCGTAGACTTTGTTTTTATATTTGTTTAGTATAGAGCTTTTAGCTAACTACTTTTTAATGTTATTTTGTATTTGATTTGTATTTTGCTTTTTGCTCTAATTCCCAACAAGACCACTACGGTTACCAAAAAGAGACAAGATCCGACCAAATCCCGAGGAGGAGAAGAAGGAATTCCTTTGTTTTTAGGGGGAAAGGGGTTTACTAGATGATTAATTAATTTGATTAATTAATTATCATGTATGTACTTACAGTCTTACATTAATTTAATAGTAAGTTGGATTTTTAAAATTGTCAATTCCTGTTTGTTAAATGATTCCAGCTTAGTCGAGTGAGATTAGGAATGTGCAACGGATCATTGGTTAAGTGTTATTAGAAGGCATGATACTGATTTTGAGGTGGTTGGTTCGAGTAATATAGAATTTTAGTTTGTTCTTTTATATTTGATATATATGTAAGAGTATGCAATCTATGAAAATAAAAGGATTAGTTGTGGGATGTGCAATGGTTAGGAAGTTGGAATTGCATAGGCTGGGTCGAAATCGATTTTGGTTAAGGCATTATACCTAATCAAAATTGGTTTAGGGTTCCAGTCTTTGAATAAATTCATGTGCCTAATATTGAACCTACGACGTAGAGGTTGTGTTTATCACGCGAAAACTAGTTGAACCACAAGGATGGTTGGTTTTGAGGTCTCATTTCCGCTTATAAAATACTCATATTTCTATTTACTGGAATTATGAGCTTTTGAAAATGAATTTGAATTTTGAACCACACTTAAGAACAGCAAGAACCATTCACAACGCAGAGTAGTAGTCGAAATTTAAACCCATATATAGTTAAGTTGAGCATGGAACTAGCTAGGTACAACAAAAAAAGCTATGATAATAGGCTATCTACAATTGAGAGACAAGCTAGGTTTACAATTTCATATATGCATTAGAACTAAAGAACAAAATTCTTAGCTTTTGCTTTGGTTGAACCTCTAGAAGGAAGGACCATAAAACAAAAGAACCGTGTGAGGATTACATTTTAAGTCAACGGCGTGTCACTTTTGTAGCTTTTTCTTCTTCTTCTTTCTTCTTGTTTTGCTTTGTTATGATTAAGTTAGTAAGGGAATCTTAAAAGATAACAAAGGAAGAAGAAATAAAGAATAGAGGGTTAGCTCATACACCTAATCTAGTTAATTTTGCTTTAAAGAGTGTTATATATATTTGGTTTTGTATGCAAGCTTGTTGGGTTTGTTACATTTCAAACAAAGAGTTGTTAGTGGGTTTGCCGCCGGATCACTATATAATTGTGATTAGGCATTAAGCACAACATACATATACTAGAGTTAGCCATTAATTAACCAATTAGTATATGCCCCTTGCAAACCAATTAACCAATTATGTATATGCCCATTGCAATCTAATTTCCCACTAGTGGTTGACGAAGTGTTACGACTCATCCTACCAACTTGAATTGTTTAGGAGAGGTCCAACGATGGTTCTTGTGTCATTGTTCTTATAGCATGACACATTCTCAATTTTGAATGCATGTTATGCATATATAATCCAGTAATCTTCAATATGGTCATTAATTTTGTCTCAAATTATCTCAATCTTCAAATTGTATACCAATATTGAAAAAGTAAACGTGAGAATTCATGTGTGAAATCATTTATGATTTGCCGGTATTTCCAATGTTTGTGAAACTTGTCCAGCACAACTTCAGAAATTCATCTAATCACTAGTATATGGATGGATTAATGAGACATGAATTAGTTATAATTTGAGAATATATTATCCTATTAAACAACTATTGATGATTACAATTTTGAAATTCATTATTGAGAGCCTAGTTCTAAACTATGATTTATTCTATAGACCGCAAATTGATCAAGAGTGTACCATATAGTTTATAGAAACACTTTCATTTATATAAAAACATGATAATTTCAAGTTTTAAGAAAAGAGGGTTTGTAGTTTATAGAAACACTCAAGACTAGAATTGAAGTGATTACCATCATACTTACCTACTTTGAGATTATTTATGTATCCATTGGTACAATTCAATCCACCAAAGGGGAAAATGCCACTTTCACTATCTAATAAATCTCCATTATTACGCATGGTAATTAAGAGACATGGAGAGGGTTGGAGTTCCGTTTTGCCAATGCATTTCTCCAAGGAGAAAAGCTTGGTGCTGAAGTAAAAATATAATCACCTTGTGGTTATAAGCAATTAACCACTAAAAGGTGGCTCCAATGTTACATCATTAAGAGAAAGATTTCTTTGTAATTATCCGCAATACTTTGCTTATCAAACATTCATAAGAGTCGGAATAACCTCGAATGTTTACGTCAAAATCCCACATAAAAAAGTAGTTTGTTCAATGTTCTAACCTCCCTTCCCCACTCCACCCAATCTAATCATAATTAATTAACCACAATGCTTGGATTTGTACCCACTAATTATCAAGTATCAACCAAGTAGGTTGAGACTTGAGAAAACAGATTCACTCCCTCTGCCCTACCTGTCACTCTCCTCCCTCCCACCTTCCCACGTGGCAAGCTGTAAGAAAGGGTGGCAGTTCAATTACGGGTACAAAGCGATAAGCCCTTATCGGTTTTGGTTAAAACTCGAAATCGATAAAAAAACCAATAAGTCTTGAAATCAAAAGATTATTTTCATTTTTCAGTTTATTCTAAACAAAACCGAATCCATTAGGGGCAACCGAAAAACCAATAAGCACTTAACAATTCCAATTTTGATTTGAGCAATTGGCTAATTCGAGTTTCGATTTTTATGGTTAGGTTAACAGAACCAAACTGAACCGCCACCCCTAGTTGTAAGTAGTAGTAAGCCGACTGAATGTGATGGAAGCTTTGATTCGGACCATTTGTTTAAAGGATTTGCAGCAGATCTTAAGATTCAGAAATGAGAATTAACACTGCAGAATGCACATGTGAGAATTAAAGTGACTTGCTTCCCACAAAGTCTTGAGCATTACATCGGGATTAAACAAAATGCTTTAAAATAATAGCCCCATACATTTCCTCACAAAGCAAGTGAATCAGAATATCAGATCAAACAGTGCAGCAGATGGAATCAAAAACAGGCTTGGCATTATCAAATCCCACATTATAATAAAGCCTATCTGAAAGGGAAAGTTGACAAATTCACTCTTGTTAGACTTCCTAACATCCATCTGGAAGTTGAGAACTTACATGGAAGGAAGGTTGCAGCTTTCTTTGAATCTCACGAGATTCAAGCAATTTCACGAACCCTGCAGAACTGAAACAGCACTAACCAAGGCTTTGTGTGACTATATATATACCTGTAGACAAGCTTCAGTACTACTCATAAGTTCAAGGCCAGGTTCTACTTTGAAGTTCAAACTGCAGTTGTAGCTTCTAAGTTCATTCCTGTTTGTTAAGAACTATTGTGTGAAACACTGAGAAGTAATCAGATCAGGCACAAGTGCGAACCGTATAGGATCAGTTAAGAAACAAACAGTACATGCTATGCTTTCTGTTCCACTGTATGATGACAACAAATGCATAGATTCGACAAGGGTCACGAAGCCCTCTTTTAGGGAACATAGGCCGTAATCATTAAGAATAACAGTCACACGTACACAGGTACATGGTTCAGTTTTAGTTCCACTGCGTACACCACAAACTGTTCTAGGTTTGAGCAAAGCTCAGTGAGAGACACGGTTAATAGAATCTGATCTCACAAAGTAAGCAAGCAGCAAACTCTTTTACTTAGAACATGCTGTCCCAGAATTCAACCTGAGTACCGAAACCAAACTGACCATAGCGATCTTGAACCAAGCTCAAGCTCTATACCCCTGCGAAAATGGTATAAACTTGAGCTAATGAAGGCACCATTAACCATCCAGCCAAGGAATCCATACATTTATCTTTCAACTAATAGCATCCAATTCAATCATCTCTTTCTGTTGTCCAACATATCAGAAGTAAAAGGAGCTAATCCCAATTCCCAACCCTAGAACCCATGTCAAAGATGGAAACTCTGTAACAGAAGAACTCATCTTTGTGGATTGGGCTATGTAGTATAATCAAGGTTATAGAACACAGCATTTGAACACAACAAACCTGCATTGCCATAAACCCCGAAACCCAAAATCTTACGAGTGGCGAGAAGATCCAATTTCAAAGTAACAAAGGAACTAACTGATTAAGCTTTCTGTGGAAGTATCAACGGACCTCCCCTGGTTTCCTTGTCATCCAGTAGCCTCTGCACCCTCTTCTCCTTACAATACAGCCTATCGAAATGCTTCACCTAATCAAATCAAACACCAAATTCCCACAAACCTAAGCTTTAGATGGAGAAAAATTGGATTTCAACTAGCCATGGCGATTAGTTCAGTTCAGTTTTGTACCCAAGAAGGCCGGCAGCTGTTCTCGTAGGCAAGCCTCGCTTTCTTGCACTCGGCCGGGTAGAGCAGCCCGACGCAGCCGAGTTCCGTCGGCTTCTTGTCCGATTGATTCTTCACGCAATCGTAGAAAGCATCGCGAGCCTGCCAAGTTTTCCCTAGATTTGTGACATTAATTCTTCCTACCAAAAATGAACCGATTGAAACGGGCAAAAAAGGTGGTGGGAGCCAGAAAATCGGACCTTGTAGCAAGCTTGTCTGGCTTGAAGGAGGACGTCGGTGTGGACTTGATCAGGGTTTCTCGATGCGTAGGCTTCCGACGCCATTGATGAATTGATCTTTGCAGCTCAGAGAAAGAACGAATGAAAAATAAAAATCGCGGCACCGACACCCAAACCCGCCGGCGAGAGTGAAGGTGGGAGTTTATGAAATTGGGCTGGACTTCACCGGCTAACGCATGAGCCTGGGCTTCGCTGAAACTATCAAGTGGGTGGAGCACACTAGGCCTGATGGTAGTGGGCCTCAGGTTTGTCATGGCGGGCTGGGTTTGCTTTATAAATTATATATATCACAAACAATTTGGCAATCGCTTTGCGTTGTGTCATTGGCTTGCCGAACTTTGCCTAGTTGAGTAAATGTTATGGTAACCAAGTAACAAGATGTGAGTTATTGGTAAAATGTCCTTATATCATCTTTAGATGGTGAGCTTGATCCCTACTATAAACAAAAATATGATTTATTTACTTTTGTTTAACAAACCTTGCATATGTCTTGTGACAAATCCAAAACATTTTCCCTCTGCTAAAGAAAATATAAACTCATGTTGCAAATTCGATTAATCTGATTATGAGGAACAAAACAAGAATGAGAGTCAAGCAGGTGACGAACAACAAAATAAGGACACGAGGAGCCGCTAAACGAGTCACCCAGTTCCCTAGACGATCAACGAAACTAATACAATAACCATAGGCGACGTAAACTCTTGTTTTTTAGACAAGTAAGAATATTCAGCTGGTTTGATTTATAGAAGAGAAATACTTCATTGTTTGTTGACCGTTATGGAAGGTAGGGGTGTGCAACGGTTGGGTCTGTACCGAACCGCACGAGATCAAATTGTAGCTTGCACTAGATCATATCGTATCAAATACGATGTTGTTCGATCATTGGTTTCGTCAATTTTTATAAATACCGAATAAAAATGGACCAAACGCATTGTTGATCTGGTTCTTAATTCTACCATATCATTCATTATTGGACAATTGCTCTCATTAATTTGATCCAATACGGACCGGATACTGCACACCTCTAATGAAAGGTAAATAAATATACATGTCATGTGATAGTACATGTATATTGACCTTTACTACATCTCAAGCCTTATAGCTTTTAAGATGGTGCAATAGTCGCCCTAGCAATAGAGGTGTCCATTCGGGTTCGGTTTTTTGGGTTTACTCGAAACCGATCCGATTATATACATTTTTGGTTTTTTGGGTTCGGGTTCGTTTCGGGTTTCAATTTTTTCGGTTTCGGGTTCGGTTTTGTTTTTCGGTTTTTTGGGTTCCGGCTAAAAACCTACAATGAATAGAACTAAGTATGTATTCTTAGGCGTTCGGGTTTTCGGGTTAACCGAACCCGAACCCGCTAAGGAATTTTCGGGTTTCGAGTAACCGGAACCCGCAAGTCCTTATCTGATTCGGGTTCGATTTCAGTAATTTTCGATTTCGAATTTTCGAGTTTTTTTGGGTTTCGGTTCGGATAACCGAACCCGACCCGAACTGACACCCCTACCTAGCAAGGACTCACCTAGGGCCAAAAAAAAAAGGACTCACCTGGGGCCATTAGGACTCGTGTCAAAATCGTTGTCACCTCTATTACCAAAATCGCACGAAAAAATGGTCACTTCGTATTTATTAATAGTACTTAGAGATAACATTTCACTTGTACCTTGGAATACCCAATTCGCTTCTCACAATTAACACAAGGGATTTGTCGTTCTCAAAACAGATATTTTTATGTGAATTGGGTTGGGTGATTTTTGGTGATGGGTGGTTCGGTGGGTTAGGCATATTCACAAAATACATTCTAAAATTTCACATTATTCTAAATCTAATATGAAAGAAATCTCCAAACGAAATAATGTTTAATGCTTAATCATATATGCATCATTGGGCCTACAATATACTAATGTTAATTGTTTACAAATCACAAAATATTCAAATGATAAACATGATCTAAGTATAAGCATAACAAAATAAACAAAACAAAGATGAAGTTTCAGCATAAATCTAGCTAATTGTGCAAGTCTTTGAGTCAATACCCTCGCTAACACTTGTGAAATGAACAAGATAATAACTTATAAGTCAAATTAGTATAAAAACAAGAAAAGTTAACAAGGAATTGCAGAAGGAAGTGAACACATGATATAAATTTTTAATCATGGAAACTAATTAGACTTTGCAATTATCCTTGATAACCATAACTTTGAGAAGATAAATATTCAAAATTGGGAGGACGTGATATATAGAGATTTGAGAAGACCTTTAGATCGAAATTGGGGAAGTGGTTTTTTCTTTATTTTTAGTGTTTTAGTTTAGCTTAACCTGTAGGTTATATATTCAATGGTTTGAAGTTCAAATTTTTTATGGATCGCGGGTTAATCACAGTTCACCCACACAAACCCAATCTTTAGTGGGGCTGGATCATTCTCTTACCTGAATTTTTGCGAGTATTCATGAAGATAGAAATAGTATTTTTAAGTATGAGCCCAACATTTTAGCTCGTGGAAGTTCTTTTCTAGGTAGTAGTAGTAGTATCATCCATCGATTGCATTAATGGAGGAGATTATTGCGAAGGTACTAGATTTGGCGTCGAGTGACCCACCAATTTGTTTTTAGAACTCATATATGGTACTATACTAGACAAGGAGGCGACTGGTCTATTATGTCATAGGTCTCCATCTCGTCGTTGCCTTGCAAACTTCATTACCATCAATCGAGTACACTCTCTCTTCCCCACTAACACTCATGCCATTAGGTTTTCTTCTCCCCAACTCTTATCCAAAACTTTATCCGTTTATAGCAGCACTCAACTACCATTCCAAATGGAGAAAATTTACACATTACCCTTTTGATTCTTACTTTGAACCCTAAAACATATGCACCCAACTCATGTTTCCACACATGTGTTATTGTAAAAACGTGTTTATGTATATGAGTGGTTGAGGATGGTTTGATTGTTTGACCTTTTCCAAAGGGCAAGAGCTTTGATTTCTTGCTCTTTCTTCTTTGTCGGCCATTGAATTGAAGACCTAACTTTTATGTATATCACTCACAACAAACTCGTCATGCCAAGTGACAAAAAGAACCTCTAAAAAGGAGTATGTAAAATGATGAAGTACATAAGAAAAAATGTTATAGCTAATAGCTAATGGAGTAAGAAAGGAGAATCAAAAGAGGAGCACATGAGCCTATATAGAGGGAAACAAACATAGAGAGGGGGAAATGAAGCCTAATGCACAACAAGAAGATGTGAAGGCTCAAAGAGTAGCAAAGACTGATCCGAACAAGCGCATCTGGCAGGGAAAGAAAGCAGAAACAGAAAAAGGTATATAGGAAAAACGTAAAGTATTGACAAAAGGGCTTAAATACTAAATTTAAGTTTCATAAATAGTTATTTTTTTTTCGTGAAATGCATACATTTGTATCATACACTATGTCTAACCAAATCCGATCTCTCTCGGTAAGTTACGGTTGTAAAATTTCAACGGAGAAAACTTCACGAGAACTCATGCATAGAGGGTCTTGTCAACGGTGCTACATAATTATTGCGAATGATGATATTATGTTTAAATTAAAAACCACATAGTCTTAACAAAATAGCTAAATCCATGTCTCAATTTTAACTATTCTACCTGAATAGAACTCTTAAATGGACCACAATCATCAACCAAATTCGACGTAAGCCAAAAGAAAAGCTTAGGGGTCGAAAGATACCTAAGTGTGAAAAAAACACACCAAAAACTATATACAAGAAGAAGAAAAAAATAACATTATAGTAGAACCAAGTTTTTGTGGGCTTTAATCCGTTCATTAATTGAGCACTTGTTGATTGATTAGTGGTACAACAACCACCTTGGTCCTCTCCAAAGACAGCACAGAAGCCACTAAATTTGCCCTAACAACAGTACAAATCATATAATCAAACAAACCATCTAATCTCATCGTACATAAAAGGATTAATGAATGAAAGGCATCAATTATAAATGAGTACGATCACGATTGGGTACAAATCAGATTACTTAAATTCTTTTAAGACCATTGTTAAATGTGTATGGTAATATATTCGAAATTTCACGACAATAATATTGGTTTTATCTTAACATACATATTGATTTTTCATATTTAAAAAGATTTGACGAATCATATACCGAAAGAGGGTGAATATGCATATCCTCATTTTTCGCCCCCTCTCCCACTACCTATCTACTCATCGACAACGTCCCTATTAAGATCACAACATATATGAGGATTGACGTCTGACGTCAATCACTTTTATAATCGCATCCTTAAATCACTTTTCAGACTTCGACCCTTTTTTTTTTTTTTTTAACTCTTTAAGATGAAACGATTGTCCATGATAAGATATTACAAAAAGAAAATAATTTAGTCAATGCAATGCATGTCAAAATTTTCATCATGTGTATTTTCACCACATTAGCGTGAAATTTAGGGATGGCAACAAAATCCGAACCCACGGGTACCCACCCGACCCAACCCGGTCAACGCGGGTAAAATCCGTGTTGACGAGTTTTGGGCCGGGTTCGGGTTTAAACCCGACCCATGGGTACCCTCCCACACACATATAATTACTTTCCGGTATATTTAATATTCTAAATAATATATTTTCCTTAAACAATTAATATTCTTTATGTTTGTGGAGACATGTATAATTTATTCTTTCTAATTGTTTAGAATGAAGTTGATATTATGAAGTGAAGAGTGAACAAACTTAGTTGACGAGGAAGAAGCTTGCAATTAATCTTTTGTTTATAGATGTTTATCTTTAATTTTGAACAATTTGTATTGATCATTTGCGGTTTGCTTGTATGCTCTAGATTGGTGTTTTTTTATATGATTAATTTGTATGAGAAAATTGATGTTAAACTTTTATTTTGAAAGAAACTTGTTATTGTAAATTTTTTACCACAAAAACCCACGGGTACCCATGAACCCGCGGATACCCAGCGGGTTGGGTTTGAGTTTTTCAAACACAACGGGTTTTACGCCGGGTTTTTTTGGCGAATAAACCCATGGGTTTGGGTTTGGATTTGACAAAATCCGCCCCAACCCGACCCATTGCCATCCCTAGTGAAATTCATCTAACCCAACAAAAAATGTCGCCATGGCCGTAATGTTTGACCAAGTAGTAAAACCACACGACAAGCCTATGAGATGGGACAACAAATTTAAGACAAAGGACAATCAACTTTATACGATGCATAGAAATGAGAATCTTTTTATGAAATTGAAAAAGTAAGCATAATAGTGCCATGCTATTAGCATTAAACATGTCGAATATAAGTTTGTTTTAAGTACTAATTAATAAAATTGTTCTCCTAGATATGTATTGGTCTCCTTAATTGAGGAATGTTGATAGGATCATTGAGAATATATAAAACTTTCGTTTGATTAGAATGTGCAAACTAAGTTAGTGGAAATGCACAAATATCTCGAATTTAAATATTTACCTAGTGATGTCTGTATGGTGTGTTTTAATTACGATAAACTAGTTTGCTAACAAGGTTGATGTCGTTTATGTAAGTTATACCATTGATTCGAGCTAATGATAATTTTTATTTTTGATGGCGATTCAACTTACACGTTGGGAAACATGAAACTAAGAAAACAAGATAAATTTCACAATGTTCCTTTTTATTTCGAAGGAGAGAAAATAGAGGGTCGCACATTGTAGGCCAGACTCCTTCAAGACGATTGCATGCGACATCCCAATAACCAAATGAATTTTAAGCCCTTGCATGAATTAGACATTATATGTAAAAAAAAAAAATCCTCCAAAGCAAAAGGCCATTTACTATATGGATAACATGTCAAGTGTATTCAATCCACCTCGTGAGAGACGATCAAAAGAGCCTTTATAGGTGGGAGAAGTCCTATAACTAGCTCTAGATGTAACTTATGGTCGATGCTCTTGACTCATTAGATCCTCTAAGAACTATCAAGACTGATTGCATGTCGATGCGAACTAGCATTTTTTTTCTAGCCTACATAAAAATGCCAACATGAACTACATCACCATCCTCTCATCTCATGTAACTTTTACTTTCTTTGTGCAGAAGTAACGCCAGACAAACTCTCTTAAGCGTCAGACTACTCTAGACTCGATCGTGCCAACTAGCATCTCTTTTTTTTTTAGCCGCAATCTTTCCAGACTCCTAGTCCCTGACTCTAAGTTGATCCATCGTCCAAAACGTTGTATCGTTCGACAAGCTAATCTCGAATCCGAATCATATATCTACAGATAAGTTGTAATTTGAAAGGCTTCGAGCCCACATGTCCTTTGTACAATTGTTTAACCTTAGGTATGGTTACTCGTCTTTTTTTAGGACCCAAAACCCTATAATCTCATCTCTACCGTATTGTTATATAGCAACAATTGTTTATACATAGATTCGGATTAGGTTTGGATTGACGCTTAATTAAATAGGTGAAAATTTTCGGATTGGAGGAATGCGTTGTCGATTTGCCATTCGCTCCTCTTTGGCCTTACGCAATTCCCGTTTATTAATTAAAATATAATTAAAGGGGAAGTGGAATCGAACCAACCAGAGAATGTGAGGCCCACCGTTCCATATCGTACACCCGTCATCCGACGGCTGAGAATCCATCGTGACAAGCCATCCCTACGAACGGAGCGACGAGAGAGCGCCACGTGTCGGTATCAGGTCCCTGTGAGCCAGTAAACGCTCGACAAAGCAGAGCAGCAGCTCGCAGTCAGTCCGGTCCACCACCACCGTCCTCTTTCCGTCAATCCCCACTCGACAACAAACGAGTAGTCCTCTAGGATTCAATTGCAGTGAGTAGTGCACCCAAAAGGAATCCGCGAAGGAAGCTCTTGTCACCCATTAAAGAAGGGGTTCTCTGCCCCTTTTGAGTTTTGGTCATCCTCTTGCTTCCTTTTCCTTTCCTTGTTTACTGTTTTCAATTTGTTCTTGGCGCGGCAGCTGGATCATGGTTTGGTAGGTGTTTCTGCTTCCCGGAGGAAATGGGGGATCTGGGTAGGGGAAGAAAGCTTACGGTATTGAGGAGTTTAGATGCTTACATCTGTGTATGTGTGTCTGAGAAACCCTAATTGGTAGCAAGTGTAGGTATTGCCTTAATAATGGATGAAGATTGAAATGCTTTTCTTCTTTTATCATATGAAGATTGAGCTCTATTGGGTCTTTTGGGTTTCCTTTCTTTTTGGTTGGGACATGGGAGTTGGAAAAAGGTGGAGGGAAATGAAGGGAGTTGGATAGGTAGAGCCAAAGATGGAATCTGTGGCTGGGTTTTTCTTTTGCCAGAAATGGTAAAATTTTTCAGATCTGCCGAAATGGGGTTTTGGGAAAACAGGAGGTCTTCTCTTCTGGTCTTCTTACAATCTTTGAGGGTGCAGGGGGCGTTTCATTTCGTTGACTGGTTTAGAGATAGAGAGAGAGAGGGAGTGAGGACTGAGGAGAGGAGGTGAATGAGACTGACAGAAGAGAGTGAGCACACACGCAGGCAATTGTATGAGGCGAGTACCTTTGCGGGGTGCGTGCTCACTTCTCTTCTGTCATCTTCCTTTCTCTCTATTTGAAAGAAAAATCTTTCTCCTTTCCCTCCTCCCCCCTCATCTCTATCCGGTTGCATGCTTCTCTGTAGCTAGTGATATGGTCAAATTAATGCTATATTTTGCCATATTTATGTTAAATGTCTTCCGTGGCACTCTTCTATAACATTGCAGCAACAGCAGAGCTCTGTATATATGATATGCTTAAAAAGCATCAATGGCAGGCTTTTTCCATTCTCCACATCATCTTTCCTTTCTTGTGTTACGCGGGCTCTTTCCTTTTCTCTCCTCTGTCTCTCTCTATCTCTCTCACCCTCAAGTCACAGGCAGCAGCCAGGTGGGTAGTGGTGGTGGAGGTAAGATCATCGGTTCTGTTGCTTTCTTTGGTACACTTACTTCTCTGAAGTTTGCAAATAAGTACTATTAGTTTGTGAAACATATTGGAACATTCTGTGTGTCAAAACTTCTCTTTTGGGGGAAGGAATGTTGGATTATAAAGATCATCGCCACCACGAAGAAGAAGAAAGGTAATTTCTTTCGATGTGTTTGTAATTATGTATATCGCATATGTACCTTGTCTTATTTTATATTGTTTAACGCATAGAACGAGAGAAAGGGACAATCTTTGGCCTCAATTGAAAAGCGTGGAATTCGATGGTACCTCTTTGGTAAAGGAAGAATTGAAAGAGGGAGGGGAGGGAGACCGTAGCGGAATGGAATGGTACTTGCTACTGTTCAAGCTTAACAGAAACCGTATTCTCTCTTCTTTGCCCCCAAAGCTTGCGCCTTTACCTGCATAGTTAATTACTCCAAGCTTATCTTACTAAACTCCTTTTTACTGTTCTCGCTCATCAGATCCGTGATCCCTTCTTTTTTCATGTTTCTTCGATGGCATCCTACAACTGAAGAAAAGGGGCTGCTGTTAGGGTTCCGTTTTTGTGATTTTGGGTTTTGGGGTTCTTTTTGGTCATATTGATTCTCAGCTTCAAATGGGGTTTCCATAAAATCACCCGAGTTTGTCGAGATTCCATGGCGATTCGATTGATCCATCTGTCTGTCTATCTTCTCCCACACACTGTTCCTTCCTGAAGAAACATTGCCGGTTTCAGAAATTCAGGTACTTATTTCTTACTTTGCCTTTCCTTTTCTGGATTGGTTTTTGGTTTCAAACCGAGACTGAAATTTGTGATCTTATGGTGGAAAGAAGGAAGCTTCCCGGAAATCGGCCAGAGTAGAGTCTGTCGGCGTTCCCAGCAGTAGCGAAATCTTATTTGGCGCCAAACATGGGAAGGATTTATTGTTTCCCTTTCTGGGGTGACTATTTTGTAGTTATGGACGGGAAAAGTTTCCATCTTTACAGGTTCGTCAACTTGATTTCTTTATATCGGGCTGATTTCTCGCTTACTCTTTCTTGTGTTCTTCTATAAAGGAAGTAACTTGACAGTTTAGTATATTTCCACCGTTCTATTTGCTTGCTGTTATCTGCAGATGGAACAGATATTGTCTTTGTTTTGGTGGTAGTGGGGCGGACTGTCTGCTGCAGATACTACAATTTGAGGAACTAATCATCAGGTAGCCATGTTAGTTTTTGTGTTCTTCTGAGATGGATTTCAGTTGTCTTGGTTTGTTTCTGATTTTATGTTGATTCATATCGTCTTGATTGTAGCTTGTTTAGTTTGAGACATCTCTGATCGAGAATGTCATATCTGTTTTAGTTTCTTACTGAACTGCTTCTTTTAAGATGATGTCGTCTGTTGATTGGTGAGCATCATTGGTATGTAAATAGTAGGTGGAGATGATTTTGACGATTGGTTTTCGTTTGCTAACTGTTTTTTATGTCTTAACATTATGATTGGTATTCTGCCATGGAACGATAGATCAATTGGTGAGCATCATTGTTACGGAATTAATTTTAGGGACGATGTTGAACACTGGGTCTAATTTGGTTACTGTTTTCTATCTCTTATCATTCATGATTCACGTCGTTTGATGGAATAAAGTTTTCTTGAGAATATTCAAAATTGGCTAGATCATTATTTTTCTCTTGAAAATGGTATGCCTGCACTTCTCTCAAGACTTTTAACAATGTTGAATTATTTGATCTGATGTCCTAATATGATCAGACATAGAATTAAGAGCATAATTACCCTAGAAAGTCGATAGCAAACAGGTCTTTAATTGGATCTTAATGAAGCTACCAATTTTAGTGTGTTCTCGAATTGATTTCCCATCGACATATCCCTAATTATAGTTGTTGAATTGGTTATTAGTTTTATCCTTCAATTGTACTTTTCACCAAAATATTGAATTTATCTTCAAGGCATGGTTGAAATCTGTTGGATCCCAGGCTAGAACAATTCTCTTCACTTGCTAATTCAGAACTCGGTTGGATTTCTTGTGTTCGAAATTGACTTCATAGGCTATTTGTCATCTCCCTGATTTGTGTTTAACAGTTAGTTTAATCCTTTACATAGTATTTTGACATTGGTAACTGGATTTAATTAATGTCTGAAATCCAGTGAGCGAGGTAATGTCCTTAGAAGTACTTTACTAGGGGTTGGCCTCTTCGGTGGCTTAGGTGTGAATATATGAATTTCTTGTCATCTACTAGCCTAAGAGCGGCAAGTGAGCTTATAATTAAATATGAAAGCCATACGTGAACCATATGTAGCACTCATTATAGGTGGTTAAGCATCTAGATGACAACACTATTGATCAGCACCAAAAAATGTTATTGATGTTGGTCCCTGATTTGTAGTTTCCAGTAGGAGGTGTTACTATTGGTTTGGTTCTGTGGCTCTTGATGGTGAATGCTTCTAAGATGGGTAACTTTCCTGACTCTTTGGGTGTTTTGGTGCCACATTCCTATGTTCTGCTAACTAACCATGGCATCTTGCTGTCTGGCAGTTGATTGGCTGGCTATGTCTAGTGTTACTATTTATAGGTTGCCAATTTCCTTCTTTCATGCATGTGTTGACAAATCTCTACTTTGCACCTTTTTTGAAAGTTTCATAGGTTTGTTTGATTTGTTTCCATTCATTTGTAGGGCACAATTTGTGCCCTTTGACTTGAACTAGTTGGCCAGAACTTAGTGCTGGTTAGGAATCTAGTTAGGGAAATCCTTGTAGCGAACAATGGGTAGAACCCTTTTACTCCCAGTTGTATGTAGCATTTGGATGAACTGATTTAACGATATTAACATGTCTGTTTTCATATGACTTGTTGCTTCCTCCAGCATGTCTCTAATTGCCATAGGAGGTTTAAATTGGAAGTCGTTGACTTTTTTAATTATTCCTTAAAGTTTTGTAGTTTGTGCTACAAATATCAATGCACATTCTGTGGTCTAGTAGAATAATCATGTGTGTGATCATGTCATATTCATAGATTTACCATGATTACAGTAGTTGAAGAAAACAGTGTGTTCATTTCCCCCCTCATATCGTATGCAGAAAATGGCTCAAGATGTAACTGAATGTGTAGAGTTTAGTTGCTTTGTTGAGTGGAGATAGGAAACTGATCAATAATTAACAAGGAATTGCAAAGTTAGCGAACATTTTCCCAACATCTTCTGTTGTCTCTCTCCTTGGTCGAAGAAGCTTTCTTATTTCTGAAAAGAAGAAATCCCAACGGGCACTGCCTTTACTTTTAGAGCTTTCAAGAGTAATTAAGTGTTTGAATTCTATCTTTTCATTCATATATGGTATTTACTGTGGTGCTTGGAAGTGTTAAAGAATCTATCTTTTCATCCCAGTGTGCCAAGAACTTCGATTATATTTCCATCTGCGCTTTAAGTTTTCTTGCCTTTAGAGTTTTCTGTGGTGATATCTGCTTACTGTGGGGAGTGTGGAAGTATCATAGTCTTTTGATCTTAATTTGATTCTACCAGCATCCTGTTCTTTTCTTTCTTCTGTGTGATATGTAATTTCAGCTGTAAACACTGCTCCGAATTAAGCTTCTAGTATCTCGTCTTTCCCTTATCGGTTAAGTTGTGTGAATGCGTTCTCCATTTTGCTGTTCTGAACATCCTGTGATCTCATGCTTCCAATTGTTGATTTAGTAGTGTTGTTTGTTGTACTGTCAGAATGCATCCGATACCGATACTGCTAGCAACATGTATTTTCTTTCCTTTAATATTTCCTTTGTATTTCAGCTGTAGTATTGAGTCTTTTCCTTAACGGTTATGTTCTGTTGTATTGGTTCTTCAGTTTGTTGTTCTGGTCATTCTGTTATCTCATTCTTCCAATTGTTGAAATTTCTGACTTAGCTTAAAAGTACTCTAGTCGCTATATTGAGAAGCTTTCTCAGTAGATCTGAATCAGAAGTTGACTGGATTTAATCTTGTGCAGCTTTGAATTGGGGAGCCATGTTCGAGGAAGACCCAAGGAGCATAATCTCGCATGAGCTCTCGATCTTCGATGAACTCTCTGATTCCAGCAGCACCACCCGCCGCTGCCTTCTCAACCCACTGAACAGCAAGCGTGCTCGATACTCCACTATCACCAATAATATCTCCACGTCATCCAAGTTCAAAGGTGTGGTACCACAGCAAAATGGCCATTGGGGATGCCAAATCTACGCCCACCACAAAAGAATCTGGTTAGGCACATTCAAAACCGAGAGCGAAGCAGCCACAGCATATGACAGTGCTGCCCTCAAGCTCCGTGTCGGCAGTGGTGGAGATAGCAGTACTGTGCGGCGGAACTTCCCCTTCAATTCCTTCACTGCCCAAGAACCCGAGTTCCAGACCCACCACACCTTGGAAGCCATCCTCAGCATGATCAAAGATGGGACCTACCAGTCCAAGTTCGCTGAGTTCATCATCTCTCGGGTGGGGACCACCACTGAGCTGACCCTCGACCTCCCCCCTAGGCCGAGAGCAATGTCATGCGGTGATGTCATCTGCAAGCAGTTGTTCCAGAAGGAGCTGACCCCAAGCGATGTGAGCAAGCTGAACAGGCTGGTGATACCAAAGAAGTACGCGCTGAAGTACTTCCCCAGGGTGCCTGATGAGGTTGCAGAGAGTGGCAACGACAAGGTGGGGGAGGAGGACAGCAACCTGGTGCTGAGCTTCTACGACAGGTCGATGAGGACGCAGTGGAAGTTTCGCTATTGTTACTGGAAGAGCAGCCAGAGCTTTGTGTTCACAAGAGGGTGGAATCGGTTCGTGAAGGACAAAGGTCTCAAGGCTAACGATGCCATCACCTTCTGCTTGTGTGAGAGGCATGGTGGTGGAGAGGCGGGAACCAACGAGACGTTTTTCATGATCGATGTGAGCAACTGTAAGGAGAAGGAGAATCCTCCGCCGGGTTCAATGGTCGAGCTGCAGTTAGGCAGTGGGGGGAGATCGAGTAGTAGTGTTCTGTGCGAGGAAACCGACGGGATCAAGAAGCAGGCGAGGGCTGCTGATCATGATGAGAAGAAGGGGATAAAGCTCTTTGGAGTGACAATAGCTTGACATTTCACACCTTTAATTCTCTAGACTCAGAAACTTTCCATTTTACATATGGAGTAGGGTTAATCTGTGGGTCTTGAACTGACGTTTTGCTTTTAGTAATTGAGAGGGTTTTAGGCCTGAGTTTTGCTGTGGCCAAAATCGAATGTGTAGCAGTAGTAAGAAGTAAAAAAGCTTCTATCTTGCAATGCTGCAATGTTTATATGGTTTCATCAGTTGTTTCTCTGTGTGGATTCTATACCAATCTGAACTAGATCGATGCGTCGATTTGACTTCGATTGCTGTATCGAGAGTTCTAAACCTAATATGAAAGGCCTGTTCGAAGAATATTGAATACCGTTCATGATGTTTGTGATATCATATGGTATCAGTATGGTGTCTGCTTTGTTATTCTTGTTGTTGATAATTAGGGCGACAGTGTTGTTCATCCTTCATCGACAATGGGAGATAACTCCAGCTGGACTGCAACTAGTTCAGCGAAGACAGATATAGTGCGGCTCGACCTGGCCCAAAATTATTATATGGATCAATGTCTCGAATAATTTTTATTCGGGCCCACTTTGTGAACTATCCAGAAAAGGGGCGCTCTTTCGGCAAAAAAGCGTAATCCGGGCCCATTGGTGATATCGTCTGTTCCATCTTTAATTGCTTAGTTTATGAGGTAAAATTTCAATGCATTTTCTACGGGGTCCGTTTTGTAACTACAAAGCGTGGTAGTTGTGAATATTGTATCAAGCAATCGTCCATGACTAGAACATTAGACATAATTAAGAGTGTGTCAATGGATGTTAATGGATAACGATTAAGCAGAAAATATATGTTGATAATCTAGTCCCTAAATTTTAGTGGTTAAGTGAAAATTATCGATTCAGTCAATCGGTAGTAACGAACCATAGAGAGAGAGAGGAACTGGCCGGTTAGGACGAGAATATCGGTAGTTTCTGCTATGTGACTCTCATTAGTTAGGTCACCAGAACTCCAAACATTGGGGGACAGAGGAAGTGAGGAAAGAAGGGGAAGCTACCTCAATTGACGGACTTAGGTGGTGGCATAGGTCCGGTGATGGGACCTGGCGGAGCCTTCGTTCGTCGAATGGGTTGAGGAGATCGAGCTAGTAAGCCCGAGCAGGGATCGTCTAGGAGGATTGTGCGTGGAAGTGATTACAATTTGGTACAAAGGAGAGGAGGCTTGACAACAAATGATGGATAGATTATATAGGGCTTGGGGCAGACATGACCAAATGACAATGTTTTGCATAGTGGTTAGCGATTAATCGCGCATTAAAATTTTCATTTCAAAACATCGAACCACTAGGGTGTTATCGGTTTTTGGTTGAACCGATAACCGTACTCTAGACCTTAGGCACAGTCGTGTTTGTGTACTACTCAGTAGCAATATAGCGAAACACAGAATATGTGTTATATTTTGGCTTTGTTAAACCACTCTTTGTCATGTTTTTGCCTATCTATACTCTACCGTTACTAGTGGGCTCCCATTTGATTCCATAATTCATCTTTGAAATTCGGTTGTCTCGCACACACTGATAAACATAAATATTAGGGTTAGTAGGGGGTTAGGCGGCCGGTTGTGGCCGAGTAGAATTAGGAATATTGCTAGGGTTTTGGGTGCCTTTTACTATAAATATATGTCTTTTGGGTTTTCATTCATCAATCAAGAAGAATATTAAGAATAATCTCCTAAACCCTAATCTCTCCCTACCCTCTCAAATCTCTTCTAATCCTCTCCTAGGCCGTCAGCCAATTCTTTCCTATCTTCCCCAATTCTCTATCACAAATCCCCAATTCTTTCTCTCAATCCCTAAATCTTTTTCTATCTATCCGGTTACATGAATCACAAGCGCACGAAAAAAACGTATTTCTTATATATTAATAGTTAAAAACATTTACATCCTCTCCTCCTCCTAGTCGCGGATATTGAGCAAGTCAACGACCATGTACATATATGGTGGTTACTTGTATGAACAGGACGACAATCAAATACAATGAACCGCGATTGATCCCACTAACTCAAACCGACTGACACAAACTCGAGCATGAGTATCTTAGCACTCGGTTCCCATAGAAGGATGGGCAACAAGGAGCTAGCTAGCAACAATATCAGTTCTTCTTGTTGTTGCAAGGTGAACAATAATTATCGTCGATACACGGGCCAAGCCACAACTTGCAAGGGACATATATGGCCAAAACAGAGAAAAGGTGGCAGACCAGAAAGCTCGCAAGTCGCAACCAAAGGTGCATTGCTTTCGTTCTTGATGGACACATTGATTCTCGTCAGGCTGTTTCAGGACCACAGAACCAGGTTTTAATCGATGGCCGTTTGCTGGCTGGCCCTTCACCGCCTGCTCTGTTTCCCCATGTGGCTTCCCCTGCTCTCTCTCAACCACCATCACTCAGTGTCTCAGTCTGCAAATCTCAACCAAGAAGAAGACAATTTTCTCGCTTGATCTCACACCATTAATCTACTCCCCTCTCTCGTAGTAGATTCCTTGGCTCTAAACAGTTAGTCACCCTAGGTTAATAGGATTCTACGTTGCAGAATTTACAGATCTTGTTACTGAATGCTAAACAGTAAACACAATAGATAGATGTTGACTGAATCGGGGTCAATTTCGTTGTAACAGGAACAATGAATCTTATATCATTCTCTTTACACAAATCATGGAGGCTCTCCATGATCATGACTGAGTTATTATGATAAGTAGAATTGCCTATGTGGTTTCCACTTACCAAGGGGAAAGCATCTATAGGTAAAAAGTCTCATTCTTTAGAGAATTGAAAATGGAGATGTCACCCTCTGTACCAGAAAGTCCATACAGACGTATATACCCACCCAACTTTCCTTGATTCCTTCAACCAAGTCATTCATGGCGATCGAAACCCATCATCATCCAAACAAACATACACAAAAAGCACACACCTTTCACAGTAAAGCTTTAACAAAACCAAACTTTAATGATCAACAATGGCAGAAAAGGTCAATTCCACTTCCACATAACAAATTCTAATTCCCCAATCACAACTTCACAAACTACAACGGATGGTTAAGCGACGGTGGAGTGGTCGACGACGGCGGCAGCGGCAGAGGTCCAGAGGATGTCCTTGAGCGCCGGTCTGAGCTCCTTGGAGCAGAACTGGTTGTACTCCAGAGTATCTCCATTATCCTTCTTCACTTCCACGACGAAGAACGACTGTGTCACGGCGAAGATCTCCGCCTGAATCCCGAGCTTCCCTTTCCTCCCGCTCGCCTGACCTTGCAGCTTCACCTTCGTCTCGCTCTTCTTCACGCTGAATTTCCCTGCTTTCCCGACCTCTTCCAGCCTCGAGATCACGCTGCTGGCGGAGCGAGTCGTGGCGAATCTCAGCTCTTCCTTTTCCATCTTCTTCTTCTCCTCGAACAGCGGCGAGAGGTCGAAACCTTCAGACAGCGAGATGATGTGGAATGCGTTCAGCGTCTCCTTCGATTTCTCCGATTTCGATTCGTCTTCTTCGCAATTGAACGCGTCGAATTCGATCTCCTCCTTGCTGCGGACGGTTTTGGGGATGGATTTTCTGAACCAGGACGACTCCATGACCTTCGAGATGGTGATTCGGCTGGCCGGGTTGGGGTCGAGCAGCTTGGTGACGAGGCGGCGGGACTCGGAGGAAAACCACGGCGGACATTTGAAGTCGCCTCTGTAGATTTTTCTATACATGGCGACCAGATTGTCGTCCTGAAAAGGGAGAAACCCGGCGAGGAGGACGTAGAGGATGACGCCGCAGGACCAGAGATCGGCTCTGGCGCCGTCGTACCCTTTCTTCCCGATGACCTCCGGCGCGACGTACGCCGGCGTGCCGCAGGTGGTGTGGAGGAGCCCGTCCTGCTTCAGATGCTCGGAGAAGGCGCTGAGCCCGAAATCGGTGACCTTAAGGTTGCCCTCCTCGTCGAGGAGGAGGTTCTCCGGTTTCAGATCTCGGTGGTAGACGCCGCGGCTGTGGCAGAAATCGATGGCGGAGATCAATTGCTGGAAGTAGACTCTCGCGGCGTCTTCTCTCAGCCGGCCCCTGGCGACCTTGGAGAAGAGCTCGCCGCCGCGGACGAGCTCCATGGCGATGTAGATCTTGGACTTGCTCGCCATCACCTCGTGGAGCTCGACGATGTTCGGGTGCTTCACCATCTTCATCACCGAGATCTCGCGCTGGATCTGGTCCATCATCCCGACTTTGATCACCTTCTCTTTGCCGATGACCTTCATCGCCACGCTCTTGCCGGAGTGGAGGTTGCGCGAGTGGTACACCTTCGCGAAGGTGCCGTGGCCGAGCATCCGGCCGAGCTCGTATTTCCCGTGGAGCAGAGTCGGCTGGCCGTCTCTGTTTCGCTCCGCCATTGCTGAGATCTGTGAATCGACTGACGGACTAGCTACTCCCGAAGAATTTACAGAATCGAAAAATTGAAAGAACAGAGAGATTGAGAAGGTAGGGGGGAAGGAAGGACTGAAGCGGAATCGGCCGGAGGCCGGGGATCACCCGTCCTCGACGTGTTTCCGGTGGCAATTCCTGCCGCCGATGCACCTCTGGGCGCGGATGCACAGCTCAGGATTTTGCAACGAAGCTCCTACCATCTCTCTGCATTCCCCACGAGAGGAATGTCTCTGAGAAAATTAGGGTTTTTTATTGGGGATTATTTTTTTTCCAGGCGGCGGCGGTGAGAGAGAGATTTTATCAGATTTCCGATTCCTCTTTATTTACCCTGGTTCTTCGCGGCGGCCGGATCCTTTTATAGAGAACTGAGGGGAGTGGTTTGTGATGGAATTTACTATAGTGACCTTGTAGACATTTACTGTACAAAGCGTAGGGTTATGATCTGACGGCGTGGGGAACTTGACGTGATCTGGACGGTTGGGTTTGGTTCTTGTTTTATTCACGAAATTGACACCCGGGACACGTGTGAGGCAATTACTGCTGTACTTGGTGGGTGTGAATCCGCCCCCCTGATTGCCGTTGGATGTTTACCGTGCTACCCCTTCCATCTTTCATTAATTGCACAAATACCCGTGCCTTCTAAACCTAGCCCCGAAAATCGAACCGGTGATAAATAGTTCCGTATCTTAATTGTTGAATCGTGAAACAGTTATCACATTGCTACATCGAACGACCCACATGATCAAATTAACGTGCCGATAACCTCGTCAATCAAGATCATTCTTTGATTGTTCACTCAATGACACAACAACACCAAGCGATCACATCCAATTTTATCTTGTAACACTCAGATGTTACCCTTACTACTACTTAGAGAGTAGCTAGGGTTTGTCTTTTATTCTCTAGCTACTTTGTATTATTCTTTTCTCTGTTCTTGTGTACCATCCTCAATAATTCTTCTTGGAAGGATTCTAGTATGTTGAGTATGATTGTTTGAGGTTTTTCGTATCCCAGGTCGGTTATAAACGAAGTGCAAGGATGTGCTTACATACGATTTATAGGAAAAAAATAGCTATGTTCGTCATAATCAAAGTTGGTATTTTGTTGTGATCTTAATGTACAATGAATTCATGCAAAATTCGATTTTGATGGTGGGTTTTCGAGGTATATCATTTTTCAAGAATCCGCAAGTTAATCGAGGGGGCATCGTATAGAACTCATTATTTAACGTATTTTTAACCATCCTTATATATCGAAGTAGCTAGCTCTTCACAATTGGTAGGGTGTTCAACGACTCGGTTCGATTCCCACCGCACCTTTGATCTGATTATGATCCTCGAATTTCCTTTGCCTGTTCAACCAACTCTATCATGTTCCGACTGAAGTATTACACACTATAAAATGGGGATTGGGGATCAAACTGTTACTTGATTGATGATATAAAATAGAATGAAGACTTTAACGGCCACTTTTTCCCCCTAGTACTAAATTTAATTAAGTTCTTAATTTAGATAAGAATAGAAGGTACTGAATCTTAAGATAAGGTTACCTTAAACAAATGGTAAAGATAAGATTTGCCAAATACCAACTAATATGTGGCATGTGGGTTATTAAGAAGGTGACTTTTTATTATTATGGTATAAAAGCCAGCAGGAGAGAATAGATTTCTAGCCTTATAATTTTTTTTTTCCATGATAAGAAGATTTTTTAGATATAATTGTTTGATAAAGAACCCACCTACCAATAATTATCTTCATTGAGGGTACTTATTTTCTTTTGCTTGTTGGGATAATCTTTGGTCAATTATATGTCCACCCACTAGTGATTAATCAATTAGATCAGCTGTAATTTTCAGTTTGATTAAACACAGATTGGTAATGAATTAAGGCATGTATATGGCAATTTGGGTGCATTTAAATTAAGTAAGAATTATTTGAAGTCACGTGGATGATTCAACCGATCGTTTGAGTCAATTTTGATTATCGATAACATATGTGTTTGCGTAGTGTTAATTATAACTATAACTAATCGATCGATGCCGTATGCAATTAACTTGTTAGTATATATTGGCCTTTATAGAAGAACTACTTCAAGCTTTCTGATTAGCTACTGAATGAATTTTACACAATTCTAACATTCCCTAGTGCTCATGGGATAACCGATGACTGTTGTTTGTGGTTAAGTACATATATGCTCGATTCATTCCAAGTAAATTTTACGCACTTGGAATAAGCGCTAAGATCACAATAGCAAAGTCCAAAAGTAAAACCTACTCCAGGTTTACCTTACTCCTTTGCATACTGTTGCTGCTTCACAATCATGCTTTTGTAAAAACATAAATATATTCAGTAGATAAGAGCGTATGTAAGAATTGATACACATATTACAATACCTTATTTGATTTACAAGAACCGTAACGAATTTTGGAAATCCTCAAGCTTACAAGAAATATGTTAGAATACATGTAATTATCATGTGTTGTAACATAAGATAAGGTTGGAAATAACATGATCCATACCAAAATGAGACATTGTGAAAACGAGTGAGCAGAAGAGCTGCCTGTCAAACCACCTCGAATGGGAAGAAGAAAGAGTCGTATCATGCATGTGGTAAAATCGGATATGAAAGGTGGGGATCAATGGATTGAATTTGCTTGGGAATTTTTGCCCATATATGATATAGAAATAGATAGGGTTTGAGAAAGAAGACAAGCAAAAAGCCAAGACAAGTGGGCAATAATAATAAAATGCTTAATTGGGTCATTAAATATTTTTGGTTATTTTTGTAACACAAATGGGTAGTACTTCTCAAAGTGATAACAGACTAGCTAAAAGCAAGTGAAAGGCTAAGAACAAAAAAAAAATTATCTCTCTTTCCCCCTAATCACATATATTCTTCCAAATCACCCACGAGATAAGGAACACCTCAAGTTATTCGGGCTGGTTGGTTTATGATATGATAGTAGAGCTCATTTGTCAATCTGGTCGTGTACTCGTGTGTTCGAATTCTCATGACACCGAATATTAACTTCAAACCCACAAATTGACTTTCAATTAAGGGGTCGACGTGTAACAAAGTGGTATACGATCCATAAATAACCATCGAGATCTCCCATCATGTCATAAATCAGCGGGCCGGTCCCAATAACTCGATTTGTTGTAGCAGAGATTCGTATATGAATCTTGACCAGTTTCTTACACGCCAGTCTCAAAAGAGAGCTAGCTTATGATCGCGTGAAGTTTGTATGTCTATGACATTATATGCCTCATGCCATAAAACAACTCAATCTCAGTAACTCGAATTGACGGGGAGAGATATATGTCTCACATGCACTTCCTTACACGATGAGTTGTACTTAAACTAAATAAGCGTTATTTTTAGTGTTAATTCTGCCGGTGGGTAATGTTGCTAGGTGTCGAATGTCTTGTTGCATCAACGCATGCATGTGTAACAGAAAACCCCTGAGCGGTGGCGGCCGGTGATATCTGGTTGACGGAAACAATGGGCTCTGGCTGTGTCAATTTGCAGAGTAAAATGCGGCGGCAGAGGGCGGAAGGTGGCAGGAAAAGCCTGCAGCTAAAAATTAAGAGCCCACTGTTCGGTGGGCGGCGGCGGCGGTGGTCGCCATTGGAAAATGGAGGAATCCAATCAAAGCTTTGCCAGAGACCAGAGTAGAGAAAAATCAGTTAAAAAAAATAAAAACAAATGAATATTTAATAAAATTAAAATAAACTCAGCCGCACAGACAATACTCGTTTCTGGCGGCCGCCGGTTGGGCTGGCTCGATCGTCGCTCTTTCCTTATTTCTCCACCTGCGTTAATTGAATCTCCTCCACGAATCAAGATTGATGTGATCGATTCAAGAGCTAGTACGAGTTATTAAAACGAATTGGTTTTTCGACATTGTATTACATCTGCTGGTTATTAACACTTTTTTGGAATTAATGTTTTGGTGTTTGTGTGGGTAATGATCTATGAGTCGGTTCAACATGTTAAGTTAGAATAATTGGGCGAAAACTGCTATTCGCCTTCATTTCGAGCTAAGAATTTCATCAGAATATGAACTTTTCCCCCCCGAAGTGTCTCGACTCTCGATTACTCCTCTCGTTCTATTGTCTGAGCGCACTATAGGATAATTATCATGCCGCATGATTGGACGCATCTGAAACTAAGGGTTTGGTAATTATGAGCATACGTAATGATACGAAACTCCCAACCATCATCACTTACAGTCGTTTAGACCTGATTTTTGGAGTAAGTTTTTCTTATAGCTTACGATATTCTCAAGATTTAGACGGACTAACACATCTTTATTATCATTCTAACTTTACAATGGGGATAACTTAGGAAGTGGAATTTGCATTATTTATTTATTTATTTGTAATTATGTGTTTTAAATATGGGTGAATTTGATTAGCAAATTCAGCATTTTATGTGTTGAACAACATTTTTATAATTAGTAGTTGGGGTGTCCTAATCTTGTACATCCCATATGGTTCCAATTTTTTTTCCTTATTACTTTATGATTAGCGACCCTACTGGCCACACCCTTTGATTGTCCCACAAGAAAGGCTCAACGGTGGTGGGGTTTTCGACCATTTTTAATATATCCTTCAATTTTATTTTATTTTTTCGTTTTCCAATTCTTGAATATGCATGATTAAGTTCTTTGAAAGTCAAGTAAATACACCTTCAAATGCTAATGAAGAAGAATCATTTTGTAGAAGAGGCACCTTGGATGGGTCGAACCGTGTTCAATACTAGAAATGAGTCATTGGCACGATGTCGTTTCTCACTGTTAGAAGGTAGATAAGAGCAGAGAAAATCAGATATATCACTACATAATTATCCGATCAAACCCTATATTAATTTAATTATACTTATGTGTACATTTGATAGTCACATAAACATTTTTCCTCTTGGCACGTGTCTATTTACCGGTTTTTAGATTTCACAAATGAAACAATATTTTTGGTCATCCTTTAAAAGGCAACTATAGAAAAAGAGAGGGGTAAAATGCCTTTACGAAGAGACGAAATGAGACGTCTTTGAAATTAATTAATTTTCTTAGAACAAATTAATTAGGGAACTTTTATTGCATGCGCACATAGAAAGTTGATAGAACAAATGAACATAAACCACATAGTACTTATACTTGTATATTAATTAATTCAATAAGCGAGTTATCTTTTTCATTATCTCTATATAATTATCAACCTTTAATTCGTTGATTTGCTTTTTTGTTGTTGTGGGTTATGGCGTCAAGATTCCGTTTAATATAAAAACATAAACTTTACTTATGTTCATATAGATATGATCTTATCCGAATTTAATCTGGATTAGTACAATAGAGGATAGGTATTGCTAGCTCATTAGCATTGAGGACGATGTAACTATAGATATAGTTGGTATGGATCTTTATATTTGGTTGTATTGATCAACTAGCGATTTAGGATATACATGAGACTTCGATGAGCGTCTGACTATCTCGGCCAGATCCTTCTTGTCGAACGACAAAGGTCAGGATGAATCGATCTGTTTGGAGGATGCGTTGATCAAATTGATACACGATAAGGCTCTATGCCTTGATCCTCATGAAAGAATGATTATAGGGTTTCAAGAGTCTTGAAAGTTTCTCGATGTGTTGCTCGCGATTTGCGAATTAGAGATGGATGAGCGGCCATGGGAGTTGGACTGATACAAATTACTGTTTCAATTTCACTAACCAATGACAATTAGTTGCGATGTTTGAGTTATTAGCTTTTATCTGATAGTGCACATGATCATATCCAAATAGTATATTTGTATTTGTCATACAGGTCGGATTATTCCGCTATCTAGTGTTTGCCTTATCCCAACATTTTGAGTAATTACCAAGTGGCAGTTAAACATATATTTACACGCTTGGTCCAATTTCTCATAGTAGAATCATCACGGACTCCTATATTAACCGTTAATCTTTTAACACGAGATACGTTAAATTTGTACCGGATTTTCGACCAACATGGATTTCCATCTGATGAAC